GGGGGAAATCCACGCATATCAAAGTCGATAATATGCTCAAGAATTACCCTCTCTTCATTTAGAGTAAGCTTCATAAGATTGGGTGCACAATCGCGTCGTGATGGTCGTCCTTTCCTGCGATCACGAAGAGTACTTGGAGGCACGTTGTAGAGTGCTGCAGCGCGTTGAAGTGGAAGTGTCGCGTCTTCTTTAAGAGCCTGTAAGGCAAGCTGTATTTGATTCTCACGATTTTGTTGCAAATTGTTGTAATTTGTTGTAAGAGCCATCTTTGTTGCAAACTTGTTGCGATTTTGGTGGGGGCTTGGCACGACCCACGGCTCGTCCATCCCCACGGCTCGTATGCCACCTACGTTATATGATTTTGAGACTTGAAATTCTATACATGCTTAGCAATGGTAGATGCTGCAGAAGTAGACCAACGAACGTTGGCAGCCTTCGCAGTGAGATGGGAAGGAAGAAGAAAGAGGAAAAGGTCGAAACCAAATATATTCGCACTCGTCCGCAACTATGATAGCTCTTTCTAACGCCTCGTATCCTATCCCCCTAGCTTGAAGGATCGTAACAACGATCATCATCATCCACTTATGCTACGACACATTTATTCCCCCCCCCCCTTCTTGCATTATACAATACACATGACAAAACACTCCTAAAAAAACCCATCTCCCTCAAAACCAACACCATGGCGAGCATCTCCTATACCCCAACAAACACCTCCCAAAAGTAACTCCCATACATGTCAGTGCTACTCAGCACGACAGCTCTTCCCTCACTCCCCATCTTCTTCATCATTACATCTCAACCCCTCCGAAGAGAGCACACAGCTAAATGCTTTTCCGATTTTCCTTGATATTCATGTCGCCATGTTGCTGTGGAGGGAAAGAAGGAAAGAAGAAGGGAGAGGAGTGGGAGGGGGCCATGGTATATCCCGGCCCTTCACTCCCTCGTGTTGTGAGTATGTGGTTGTTGGTTAAGTGCAGGAGCGGATATGAACTTCCATCTTTTCTGGGCTTACGGTGTCGAGTACGGAAGGTAGAGGTGTACGGTTTTAGTATCTACGACCACGGCGGTTTTCTTCTCGTATAGGTGCTCAAGTGATGTTGTCCCACCTTTCGTGTTCTACATGTGGGAAAGGCGTGCTTGACTTCGTCGTGATGCTGGAGTTGGTTTTCTGCGTACTATGATGAATTATTATTGTTTTGCTGGGGAAGCTTAAGGGAGAGTTTGTTTTCCATGAGGTTAATAAAGAAGAAGAACAAGAAAGAGGAGGGGGAAAAGTCAAGGAAGATTTGTGATGCATAGTCGTATGCTTGCTTTCCTCTGTGTACGCATTTCCGTTTTGTTGATGTGCACACGTAGCTTTGGAGCTCTTGAGATGTTCTGATCCAAGCTGTTTCAATCTTTGAGCGGATGAATGGGGTGCGTATTGATTGATCGACGGGATTGTAGACTGGTAGGGGGTACAGGACGTCTCGGACGATGTAGATATAAGAGTCCAGGTACTCATCCGGGATATTTCAACCATCGAGAGAATGAATGAGTGCTCATGAATCGATTGATCATCCAAATTCTAGGATGGTAGGAGGTGAAGGACGTATGAGACGATGTAGATATAAGAATTCTGTTAGAAGAGGTGGAAAGCATTCAATATAACCTTTGGAAATGGTCTTTGGTGTTGATGAATCGAGTGTTCAGAGAAGTCTCTGGAAGTAATACTCCATGCCGGGACGGCTTTCATCTCCATCGAACCAATCTGAAAGGAACGGAATGAGGCGAGAAAATACCTTCAAGACACCGTACCAAATAGCCAAATCCCAACATCACACACCCACCAACGTCGTTAGCAGTCACTTTCCCCACCATCACTGCGTGACTCCAGGCGTTATGAAGGTGAGAAACTGCTGCATTGGTGATGTGTCATGCCAGTCGAGCAATCGACTCTCGTTTGTTGTTCATGTGGGAGCTCTAGGGTATGGGAAGGATTCGAGTGTAGGGGAGATGTGTTCGAGTGCCGAAATATGTCAATGAGGAGATGTGACTGCGGGCTTAATTTTTTTAAGTAGATGTGTGTTTCGATGTTTTTTAATCGTAGTTGGCTCTTTTTAAACGTCCATAATAGTGACTTGGAACACTGATGGATAGGGTGCGATTTTGTTGTGTTAGTCCTTTGAATTAGATCTTTGTTTAACTGTGTGAGTATGTATTCTAGGGTATTGGCACTCGGATCGTCTGTGATATGATGGTAAGTAGCTCTGGTCTCTAAGATATTTTCAAATAGTATATAAATTGTTTCTAGAGAGCTATCAAATGTGTACCATTGTTCTCAGTCTAGGGCATGTAAAGCTCAACGTTCATTACTTCCCAGAATGAAAAACCCGAGAGTAGGTGCTGCTAGAATTTTGCCATTCTACAGAGAGTTATCAAATTACTACAAAGTTGTGGTCACTGATGTCGTCGTGAACAGCTATCTGAGGTTGTTAGTAGTTGCATGTTTTGATTGGCAACCGTTCGAGATCATAATTTGTGGAAAACCACATCGGCCATTGAGCACAATTTCTATATTCTATTCGCGTTACTCCGTACGAATCTTGAATAATAAGTCAGTCATGCTTTAATAATTCAAACCCACATCATAATCAGAAGGTGGCAAGGTGGTTCGTTTGTAGAAACAGCTCATGACGCGGTCACCGTACCAGGCATCCGTCATTTGTACCTGGCCTAGCCTGTGCCACTACCTACATCATCCCCGACCAAGCTCCAACCCCTCCATCCCACTTCAACGTCCACCCGTGCAGTGCATACCATATCTTCACTTTCCACAAACCTCCATACACGCATATACATTCGCTTTCTCTCTATACCCCGGCGAAACCCACATACAAAATGCCACCACCGTCTTTAGTAGTGAGTCTCACCCAATGTCTATTCCCGAACTATCCTGACCGAAAGCTAGAACAGGCTGAAGGTACAGCTCAAGCTGTCCATATCAAGGCTGCGCATGGTACAACAGAAGGACTCCGCGAAGGCTAAGCAGCAGCGACGAGAGATGGCACAACTCATAGAGGTATGGACTACCCTATCACACACCCTCCACTCCATCTTCCACCATCGTCCGCCCGCCAACACTATCTCCCCAATCCCCCATACTGATCAACCCCCCACAGGCCGGCAAAGTCCAATCCGCCCGGATACGCGTGGAGAACATCATCCGCTCCGACATCACGACCGAGCTGCACGAGATGCTCGAACTCTACTGCGAACTCCTGCTCGCGCGCTCACAACTCCTCGAACCCCCGTCCTCCCCCCACGGATCCCCGGCTCCGCACGGCGCGGCCGTCGCGCTCGACCCCGCGCTCGAGGAAGCAGTCCGAAGCATCATATACGCGGCGCCGCGGACGGAGGTCAAGGAACTGCACACCACGCGCGCGCTGCTGGCGGAGAAGTTCGGAAAGGACGTCGTGCTTGCTAGCATGGAGGGGGAGGGCGTCGCCGAGAGGGTGCTGAATAAGTTGAAGGTTAACACGCCGAAGCCGGAGCTCGTGGATGCGTATTTGAGCGAGATTGCGAGGTTTTATGGCGTGCCGTATGGTGACGATAATGAGGATGAGGAGGTGGTTGATGAAGACGACGATGATGAGCCGAGTGGTGGCATTGCGGAAGAGGCGGAGCCCAAGAAACAGCTTGAGCCTGCCCTGGAGGCCGATAAGGCGAAGACGAAAGAGGACGAGGAGGAAGAGTTGGTCAAGGCCACGCCGCCGAAGCAGTTTGGGCCACAGAGTCCGCTGAGAGTCGTGCCTCCGAGTCCAAGCACAGATAACGTGGCGCCGAAATTGAAGCTGCCGGGGAACGTAGCGGCGAAGGCGAAGGCTGCAGAGGCAAAGAAAGCGGCACCGTCGAAGAAGGCTGATGGCCCTGGTGGCAAGATTCCGGACGTGGATGAATTAGCCAGGCGGTTTGCAGACTTGAAGCGGTGATGCAAATGATATTCTTTTCCTGTTCTATTCCCACGGCGTGTATCTTCTAAAGGCGGCAAATTCCATACGAGCGTATGCTGAACGCTTCAGCCATCATGATATGTTTTTTTGAACATGTCTGCCTAGTCTATCACGAAAGTTCTTCCCCACAAGAGATGCTCGGATGCGTGAATGAATCTGCAAATACCTTAGTTGGCTGCCCACTTCTCCAGATCACCTTTCCCGCACCAACATGCTGCTCATAGCAGCCATCGACTCGAACTACGTATTGATATCAGAACCACAACGAAAGTGCCTGGTCTCTCCAACGTTGACTGGATGTCCTACCGCATCAGATCCCTCGATTGGTTCCCTCTTCCAATCCCTCATCCCATACGATCCTTCCTGGAAAATAAATCCAATATGTCCTCAGACGTCCTTCCTACAAAGATACTCCATACCAAAAACAAGGCCACTGTCCTAGTCTAGCCACGCCTTCAAGCACGCCACTCACTACAAAACGTATATCATAGATACAAGACAGACTTACCAATCATATCTACTGCGTACAACACCGTGGAATCCACCGTAACAACATTGTCTCGTCTTCTCCTTATCCACGAAGGAACATTTCTTCTTCCCCGGGCCCCATTGACATGTCTTCTGTTGCTATCGTTGCATACAAGTGTGCCTGGCTGTGCGTCTGAGAAGGGAAGTTCACATTTGTACAGTAGAGATCGTTAGTTATAACAAGGTAGAGACATGATGTTCGAACCCTTGTAACTTCGTTCCTGGTTTGTACTATGTCTGTCTATATCAAAGATCTTACTGAGGGGAAGGAGTAGAGAAGATGGCGTGGTGTGGTAGAGTAAATGCTGTTATACTTTCCATGCTGAGTGTACGTGAGGACATCTAAACATACAACCGACATACGGAGTACATGGACATGATACAACTATATACACACACATACTCAGTACATACTTACCTGAAACTCTAGCTAATTAAATACCTCTCTCAAACCACACAACCCACAAGTATCTAAGCCCCTAAACACCATCACCCTTCGACCCTCATCCCCCAAAGCTAGCACGACACAATGCATCCTCCTCCTTAGTATCAAGTCTCAACCATGCAACCCCAAACAGCCATCACCAGTAGCACAGCATCGAACGACACACAAACACCACATCAACTACATCCTCGTACGAACATCACCAGTTTGTTTACAAGCAAATCGTCCCGGCAACGCGAGCGTCCGTGTCACAAAAGAGCCGCAATTTCTCGCTTCAGTTAGTACGACAGTAGTGTGGGGCTCGTGGGTAGAGGAGGTTGTGGTACGATACGGGATATACGGCGGTGGGTTGTGGTGATTGGTAAGTATGGGGTTTTTGGAGGGCCGTTTTTATTTTATTTTTCTTGTTAGGCATTTAGGACTCGGGTGGTGATGAGGTTGTGGTGAGTATTGGGTTTTCAAGGGGGATGAGAGTTAAGAAAAGGGGAGATGTTGTTCCGCGTACAGAGTAGTGATCGAGGCAACTAAACCGTGTCGATATTACTTACTGGCATGCTGCCTCAATTACGAGTAAGTTGGGTTTGAAGAATCAATGAAGACACATCTCGAAGATCAACAATTCCAAAAATTCAATAGCTCAAGCCTCCTGCTACGTTGCCGATTGGAGTTCATATAATGTCGATCGTTCAGCAGCCGAACCTCGAATCTCGTGATATCAAACTCCCCCTTTCCCTCTAGTTCACACCTTTAGGCAACAATTAATTATCTCTCATTGGGTTCTCTTTTGTGTTTGCAGTTGAAATAGGAAGGGAAGAGACGATCATTGATTTCTTTGGGTAGAATTGCTAAATTCCCCGATGGCATCTTTGACCCCTTTTGATAAATCTGCCTAAGTGTGCGATTACATGTACTCCGTACTTGTACTATTGATCCTAAATTATAGCAAGAGAATTTCAATACGTAAAATAGAAAGACTTCGTACGAAGTATATCTTCAAGCAAACACGTGAAGACTCAGGTGACAATACCATCACCGCCCCTAACTCTTTCATACCTACTCCGTAGAAAGAAAAAAAAAACTCAAAAGAAAACGTGCATTTGCGTCCCTTACCTCCCAACGAGCCGCACAACAGCACAGACATTACAATTCCACTAATTTTCCTTCCCTCGGGAACGGGTACCTACACGTCCATAGCGTTCCAGCCCTGCCTTTCCGCCCGAGCCAGGGCCCATCTCGGGGTCGAGCTTCTGCGAGCTCTGGGTTGCATGGGAACGTGGGAAAAGTGCAAAAACTCGCAGATTGGTTAAATTGGTTAGACTAGTTACAATAGAAGAGAAGAGAGGAAGAGAAAACGCGATCGTCGTGGGATACGAGACGCGACTTTTTTGTCCGTTCTTGGCGGGCTTGAGACTCGAGAGCGAGAACGCGACTTTTTGGGGCGCGGAGGGTCGGACGAATCGGGGGTTGTTCACTCATTACCTATTGATGGCGAGGGGCAGTGGAAACGTTGGGAAGTGGGACTGATGATTTTGTGACGGGAAGAAGAGGAGGCTAGACCTGGCTTTGGATGGGTTGTGGAATTGGAGATTGGGAATCAGGGAGGGAGATGGCGAGGTGGTGGAATTGAGGGTTTAGGAATCAGGAGGTGAGCATCGAGCATCGTGTGTGTTTAGCCGTGAGAGTATCATCGTATGTACGATTGGGATGGTATGGTACGATATCGCACAATACTTACTCAAGTCACACCTTGATGCTATTGCATGAGCAGAGCTTAAGAGGAAGATGATTTGATGGATGGAACCATTGGTTGATGAATTGATTGAATGGCTGTATTGGGAGGATGGGATTTACAATTTGCCCGGCTCTCGGGTTCCTCGGGGATTCAGGGACTCGAGAGAGATCAGAGTATGGTATGGGAATCGATACTGGGTAGACGGGTAGTTGGGATCACGGAGATTGCTACTTGTGCCGAGCCCGAGCACGAGGAGACGGATTTGAAGGGAAATGCAAATGATTGATTGATGACATTTCCTTTCCCTTTCCTTTCCTCAGGTTTGTCAAAGTCGGTCGTCTACTGTAGGTTAAGGTAATCAATCGTGCTGGTGAAGCTCGGAGCGCGGGATTTGCAAGTTGCCGTGCCGAATACGCTACCGTAGACTTGACTTATTAGGGGGCATCCAAAGGACAACGTCTGATTGGCCCCGGGGGCTTTAAGGTTAGTCTCAGCTTACTCCTGCTTGTCGGTGATTTCGGACATGTCAGTCAGCGACTCGGCGGGAATCGATAGATAATCATGAAATGGTGCGGGATTGACAGTAGAGAGGAACTAATGGGAACGGTTCGGTACATGTTGGGTTAACTTGGATTCGACAAGAACAATCCATTGTTTGAACTGATGTTTTAAACTTGTGTAGGAGGAGGCGCTGTGCTGCTGCATGGCTGTTGGGGCGCCCGGGGGGAGGTTATGTTTCGTGTGCCTGGGTGGCTTAGAGAGGGTTTGCGTCTGTCGTTTTACTTGTACGAGTAATTACTCATTGTAGGAGAAATGCCGCCTTGCGCCTACACGCACGTCGTCGCTTAAAGTGTGCTGTTGGTACGACTGCGGAGTAAGGGTTATTCTGAGACCTGATGGATGCTGTGAGGCTGTGGCACGTAAGATGGGTAAAGATGATTGGCGGTTAGAGGATGCTGGTTTGTGCAATCTTGCGTGGATTCAGTGGCTGATGGATTCGTCCCATTGTTGATTTTGGGGTTAATATTGCGACGAGGTTGACATGAATGCCTTTTACAATCACCAGCCCAGTCAAGAGTACGTTGATAAAGTGGCTTCTATCGTATCGCGTAACCGTATACGACGGAGGGGTGCAAGTCGTGTAGGGGTGATGTGCGAGACGGACTGTGATTGGAAGAAGCAAGTGCATCTCACTGGACTGCACTTGGATGCTGACAAGGCTATGGCTTGATCTGTTTGAGTCTTGACTCCATGGGAGCAGCGATGCGAATGCGGCGCCATGCGATGTGGACTTTTGTGTCTTGATGTCATACAAAGCTAATAGCTGTATCTAACGGCGCGGCGCCAGGGCGTACCAGAGAATACAGATGCAAACAACCCTCGGCACCCACTAATTTACACGGTACGAGTATGATACGGAGTGTGCAAAAGCCAGGCAGTAACTGTCTGATGTGCCATGTTTGGCACGGCGTGCAGTGCAGTGAAATAACGAGCATGAATGTTGGTTGTATTTTGAGGAAGAGTGGGCTGTTGTCAGGCAGTTTGCAGGCATTATGTCTAGGTCTTATTTGCTGTACCCACTACGAGACCACGACGAGGATGTGTATGGTGTACAGTGTATTACGGCGTACAGGCGCACATGTCATGGTTCGCCTGCTTTACTTTGCTTCGTCATACATACATAGAATGATACATACATGGGTACTCTGCATTGCTAGGTGCATTGTATCTCGCATGCAAGACAAATGATAAAGAGCAAGACATGAAACGTTTGGCATCCAAAAGTTCCAAAGAACGGTAACCCAATAGTGAGATTGAAAAACCTTGTAAAGAAAAAAAAAATGATAGTAAGGAACAATGGACGGATGAAAAACGGCACCGGGGCTTGGGGGGAGGGAATAAACGAAATTTGAAGCTGGATTGGGCGTAACGCTAAGCGCTGGCGGTTCGTCCGTGTGGCAGAGCGATGGGAGAAAGAGAGAATAAGATTGAGGAAGTTTAGGGTCCTTAACACAGGTAGGGAACAAATAGGAAGGGTAATTTGGCATATCCCTGGTCCGTTACTCTTCTGATCTGTCCATGTCCCTTGTCAATCCCTGGTCATTTCTTGTGTGATTCAAGTGATTCAACCCCGAAGTGTCCGTCCAACGTCCAAAAGCCTCTCTCCCTCAGCCATCCGCGCTCTTCCAGTCCACTTAATACTTACTTACCCGACCGAGCCCGTCCACCACTTACCCACTATTCCCACTACCAACTACCATTGTATTACTACCAACTGCTAACCACTACTAATCATCACCCATCAACCCATGCCACTCTTCTCTCTCCCCTACAGTTCCTAGGACCTAGAGTGGTACGGTACAATACGGTACGGTACTAGTATTCCTATCATTTTCACTTTGCCCTTTTTAACTTTTACCTCGCGCGCCTCATCTTCTCTTTCATAATCCGACACTTCCGCCGCTCATTCTTCTTCCTCCTCTTCCTCTTCCTTTCTACGCTTCCCCCTCTCTGACCTCCACTCCTCAAGAAGTCCTTCAGCACTCCGTTCGCCCCAGGAGTCCTTGGTCGCGTGCCTCGTGTGTCGTGTCGTGTCTCGTCTCTGTGCCTCGCCTGCCTGGCTGCCAACATCAAAGCCGCTACTCCTGCCGCTCACCGTCATCGTGCCGCCAACCACCAAAACTCTCCCCTTCCGCAGCTTTCTCTCTCCAACACCACACCACTCTCCGCGGCCATGGCCACCAAATCTTACCTCGCGTTTCTCGACAACTCGACAAACGACATGATCACCTCCGGTGCAAAGAAGATTCCCGGCCTGTCCGCCCTCCCGAGCTTTATCCCCCATCGCATGCGCAGGAAATGGAGGGCCACCCGGTCACGGATACGGAGCAGACAATCGCCAACCTCATCTTTGGCCTCGCTCGAGACGTCCTTCTCTCCCGCCGACACCCTCCGATCGCTGCGAACACATCCGTGGTCAATATACGATGGGCAGTACTTGATCTTGGCCATCGTCGCCATCTTCTCCGTCTCCGTCTCTGAAGCGCCAGGTCCCTTCGCAAAGACTTTCTCCGCTGCGCTGCTCATGGGAGGTCTCCTCATGCCCATTACCCGACAGTTCTTGCTACCATTTCTCCCTGCTTTGACATGGCTACTCCTATTCTCTAGTTGCAAGTACGTTGTCCTCAACTCCTTCGCCACGTCTGCCTGATCCTCGTTCCCTCTCCGCCAACTCCAAAACTTGCGACCACGGGGATTGTGGCACAGCCCCCAACTTTGCTCCTCCGACTACAAACTCATGGAATGTCCGCTAATATGCTATTTTCAGATATGTTCCCGCCGATTACCGTCCCGCTATCTGGGTCCGCGTCCTCCCAGCCCTCGAAAACATCATTTACGGAGCCAACCTGAGCAACATCTTGTCCGCGCATAAGCACGTAGTCCTGGACATTCTCGCATGGATACCTTACGGAATCGTTCACTACGTCTCCCCGGTCGTCGTCAGCGGCTGCATGTTCATCTGGGGCCCGCCCGGCACCCTTCCCATCTGGGCACGCGCATTCGGATACATGAACATGACCGCTGTCATCATTCAACTCATTTTCCCGTGCTCGCCCCCCTGGTACGAGAACACCTACGGATTGGCCCCTGCCAACTACTCGATCGCTGGAGATGCTGCAGGATTGAAGGCAATTGACAAGCTTTTTGGCGTCGACTTGTACACCTCCGGTTTCCACGCATCCCCTATGGTTTTCGGTGCTTTCCCCTCCTTGCATTCCGGATGGGCAACCCTGGAGACTCTCTTCATGGGTCACGTTTTCCCCCGCCTCTTCCCAGTCTACGTATTCTACACCATGTGGCTCTGGTGGTCGACAATGTACTTCTCCCACCACTACGCCGTTGATTTGGTCGCAGGAAGTCTTCGTATGTTCTCTCAATTCCCGATGTATTGACCAAAATTAACTTCTTTCATAGTTGCCGGTGTTGCATACTTCTGGGCTCGTGCCAAGTTCCTGCCCCGCGTCCAAGCCGACAAGGAATTCCGCTGGGATTACGATTACGTCGAGATTGGCGATCCTCAAGATGGACATTACAACATGCTCGACATCTACGAGGAATTCCACCCGCTATCTGACTCCGACGACTGGGCAACCGGCTCCTCATCCTCCTTCTCCACCCGAAGCCCATCCGCTGGTGCCCGCTCCCCCGTGGACGATGCCCAGAGCCTCTGGGACGGCGACACCGTTGCCTCCGACAGCGAAGCGCGCTAAAGTCAACCAGACTTTCGCACTTGGTTCCGGTCGACTCCTCTTTCCCATGGCGAGACGGACACGACTTGAGCGTTTTCATCACGCTTGTCACGAATTTCATGCATGCACAAAGGGCGTTTTGTGGTTTTACCTAATAATCTAGCATCTGATGCATTTTCAAAGCGGGTTCATTGGCTTCTACACCAATAAACATATTATTACCGATCTTCCTCCCCATCCTCCATTGACCGCTGGCCTCCTCTCTTCACCCGAGGAAGCACGGCAGTTGGGGGCAAGAGTGGCATCGAGCAGGAAGGCGCGGCCCAGATCTTTACACCTGCTGGATTTATCCATCCCGCCTTCCTTTTTTCTTCTCCGCGAAGCACACATTTTTTTGGCTTCCAATTCTTCTTCTTCTTCTTCTTCTTCTTCTTCTTCTTCTTCTTCTACACCTGTTTTAAATTCTTCACCTTTTTTTCAAACCCCATTTTTTGCAGACTTCAATTGATACCCAAAGACGGTCGCTTCCAACAAAAGTACTACATTCTGTACATTACATTCGCTTCGAGAAAAGAGGAGGAGATGAAAGGCAAGAGCCGAGACGCGGAGGTGGTTCCTGAAAAGATGAAGGGTTTCGGAGCAAGAAGGGAATTCTTCTCAAGCATTATTCTTTTTTTCTGCTCGCCCGATTCGATGACGGACGGGTGTTAGTGTTAGACGGGACGAAGATGTTCTAATTAATCATGGGATGAACGGGGCCATGTGTTGGCAGCCCGTGGTAGTAGTGGTAATGCTTAATGGACCGAGACGGACGAGAACAGGTTTGGTGATTTCACCAGCCAGAATCAAACAAACCAAATCAATCAAATCAAATCATATCAAACGAACAAACACAAAGGTCGAATCAGATGCTGTCTGCCTTGCAGAAACGTGACTCGTGAACTGTTAATTATCTCAATTGTCTAACTCGCACTCAAAGAGTAACCTGCCGTCCTCTTCACTTGCATGAAGTCAGTAAGTAGGTACAGTTACTATATTTCCTGTAACTACCTAGGTACCTACCTACTATATGTCTTGCACAGTACCGACCTACAATGTCAAATCGTTCCTGCTGTCTCATGATATCACAACAAACACATTCCCCTATTGGGCCTAATTAGATCAGATCAGATCGCTCTCGCCCTCCTTTTGTAGCATGTTACCCCCTTGCTCTCCATTTCTCTCTGTTATACAGGTAAGATGCGTCATTGACTGTTTCATACTATACGCGCACTAGTAGCTACACTCATTTTGTGGCTGTTTTGCTGAAGCTGGCTTCTTTTATCTGGCAAGTATACTTCGTAGTACAAGAAAGGTCGAAGCTGATCCGGACAATAGAGGTCACTTCAAGGGTAAATGAGAGTATGTATTGACTAAGCATCGCAGTCGTTATGTACAACTAGCTGAACGACGGCGCCGAATGAACCAACGAGTTCAGGAAGTATCTAAAGTTTGATACTATTTCGGGTTTCCCCATGTTTCAAAGTGCCTTGGGTGAATCTCTCACGCCCAGGGCTACTGACTGCGGATCAGAATGGTAGAAAGATGTGGGGTCTACTGGTGCTCTCGGTGCTGAAGACATAGCCCACTTTACCTTGATAGCTTCATCTTTGCTCAGTTTCACACCTTGATGCCACAGTTCGAAACAAATATCGGCTGGACCAAGATTCACCTTGACGACGTACTCGATTCGATGGTATTTCTCTGCCATGTTCCACCAATGTCGGTTCTTCAGTTTGAATTTCGTAAGGGGAACGCTGCCGAAGTCAGATTGCACCTTACAAATCGATCGACAGGCTGTTTGGAATTAGTGACAATCCGGGTGCTCTGCGAGAAATGGAGTGCAGTTACCAGTATTCTTGACCGTCGGAAGAAATGTCACATCTACATCCGAGCAGATAACTTCTGTAGGGAATATTCGAGGAGGATCGGGGCACTCTGCGGTCGCTGGCTGGCACTTGCGAGCGAACTCGCGAACGATTGGAGTATCGCTACTCACAGGTTCACCCTAGAGCAGTCAGCGTGAGATCAGAGTCTTCGTTCGGCATTGCCTTCTAACCTTCTTTATGAACCAATCAACCCAATTCCGAATGTATAATTTACCGTCGAGTTCATCTTTGTCCGGTTGAAGTCCAAAATGGTTCGGATCCTTCCGATCATATGGAATCTTACAGAGCAGTCCGTAGGAAGATCTACAACAGCGCCATCCCAACACAGGCTGGCCGCTCTTGAGCCTTTGCACTCTGTCTGCTACATTTCCTATGCAAACAACCATTTGAGGATTGGGAGCAACACGAATCCGCAGGCTAGCGGCATTTCGATAGGTCACGTTGTGTGCACCATAGCGTTTGCGTAATTGGTCGCGTACATACGCACTGTTCCCAAGGCCACCGCTCAGAATCATATGTGCCACTTGCTTGTGTGGAAACTTATTCAGGAGGGAAGAAAGTTGCTTGTCTATCATAACGCACAGCTTATCGATCTGAGCGTCAAAGAAATGTCGCAGGTCATCCCTCCTGAACACCATTTCTCCAGCGCGGATGCCGAATCGCTCGTTGGTGTAGGCTCGATCCAGTCTCGGTATGCGGACGAAGAAGAATTCGGTCTCTGATTCGGTCTCGTCGATCCCGTAGCTGCACTTTGCGTTTTGGAACTCCTTACAGACACGCATGTCCCACGCTGTGTCTTGAAGATCTTCGAGCATCAGTGGAGCATCGCGGTTTGCTTCCTCCAAGCGCTGGAGAACGCTGTCTTCGAATAGGTTGTCAAGCTCCGTTGAGCCTATAGTGGCGCCAAAAACGACGTCAATCTGCTCTAGTCTCAACGATCCCTGGTGATTTGCAGTATCTTTAATTCGGAATACAGATAAATCTGTCGTCCCGCCACCAATGTCGCAAACGAGAAGTATCTCATCCTCTTTGAAGATAGCGGGTGTGTTTCTCGCAGTGTAAACAGCAGCAGCTTCCGCTTCCGTCAAGCCGATTGTAGCAGTGTGTGATGGCCAAACTCCAAAACCCGCTCGTTTGATGATTCCCCTGAACCGCTCCACTGTCGTGCTAGGGTCCCAGGTCGTGGGGACGGAGAAGATGAATTCGATTTTGGCGTCTTCCCAGGAGCTTGCCAGCTCGGATCTGAGCCTTGTCTCTATGCAGCGATATAGGAATTGGAAGTACTGGGTATACCTATGACAATTAGCTCCGTATGGACTGGCACCATGTCTCTACGCACCATTCTTCAACCTGCCGCATTGTCGGTACGCTCGCAGCATCACTTGTACTCTTGCGCCTCTCTTCCAGACGCTCTTCGTCTAGATAGATCTTGAACCATTCGCAGATCTCACCTTCGCGATCCACTTGTTTCTGGACGGTTTCGGCGGAGAATCCCCATGACGAGGGCACTGAGCTGCCTTTTGGGTAGAGCAATAGGGATGGCACCTGTTTGCTGTTAAAGTGGGATTGTAAAAATCGGGGCGTGGTTGCTCACCTTGTTCTCATTTGCCATCATCCTTCCTGGCCATCTTTGGATATATCGAACTTCACTCGATCCGGTCGCTACATTGCAATATGCAACCCCCGTGCCTTTTACACAGCAAGGTTAGTGTGATCATCTCGTCAGAATGAAGACTAATTGCCTACATGTCATGCCAAAGTCAATAGAAATGACCATATCTGGTTTGTCCATCATGTCTGCCAACTGAAGCTGGAGGAACTATACAAACGTAGAGAAAATCAATGGCACCAGATCCGCTCCAGTCCACGGAGCATACTTGAAATATGTCCGACAGAACGCCACCAAGTGCACTGATGTTCAGGCCCATTGACAGTCTCAGCCGTCCATCAGAGCACAACAACGACATGTAAACATCAGCCTTGTGCCACACACACACTGGCACGCCTGATGCGTCTCAGCCTGGCCTCCACAATGGGTCAGCAGAGACAGCCTCGTAAAAAGAAAACATTGACAATCTGCGTGTTGAACCTATTGCAAGGGAGCATCAACCGCCGTTCGGTTCAATTGCAATGGCTGATGACAGTAAGACGTGTCAATAATTACATACCTACGCGCCCCCTGCGGCGGCTAGATCGTTCGTGGGGGATTTGGGCGGGCTGTGAACGGAATACCAAGGGGGGTTTTGCTCTTGAGGCTTTGAAGGGGTGCCGGTATTGCAACTCCTGGGGTATAACTTGCTGGGAGTGGTCGTTGTATGCGGGAGACACTGCTAACTTATCTCTTAGATAGCCTTTTACACTTCAAACATGGCCGAACAAATGCCCTTCACAGCAACATTTCCGGCAGCCCTATCTGGGAAGATATCAACTCGAGTAGACTTCTCTGTAACGATACTTCCAAACTCCCTGAACGTAACAGCTTCCCCACAAATAATGACCTGGCCGCTCACAGGCCTTCCCACGGCCAAAAAGGATGCAGAAACCCAAATATCCCTAACAGCAACACTATGGGTAACTACCGGGCCAGTCGAGAAAGAAATTACTGTTGCTGCATCAATACCGTCAAATGTCCTCAACTTAACGGCTGCTTTACCAACGATCGGTTGGCAACCAGCGTCAATAACGGGATCGTTACCAGCACCCACCCTAACACAATCAACGCTCGATCAAGGGCAGAAAAGTGCACCTTCCGCACAGTCAAACACAACGAATACCAAACCACCAAACAGGACCACTCGACCAGTCCCTCGCCTCTCCGGGAAAGCCATCACAGGCATCAGCATTGCCTGCTTCATCGCAGGAGTCACAATAACATTGCTCATCGCATGTATATTCCTCGTACCAAAGAAACGCCGGACCAAAAACCGTTCCAGGCAAAGCCACCTACCCGACGAAACAGGCCCATCATCCGGGATAACCGTCATAGCCTCCTCCCCAGTAAAATCAGACGTCAGGAACAGAGACGGCCTCCCACAGCCCGCCGAAGACGGCGTCATCACCAGCGAGGTCTCGAAGCTGCAAGACGACATCAAAAACCACGTCCAGACGTACTACCAGTTCGAAGGCAGCGACCTCAAGCTCGATGGCTCGAACTTCAGGGACATGGCGGCCGCGCTGAACTTGTCGACGAGCCAGCTCGTGCAGCTGATTGGCGACCCTTCGACGAGGAGTGACGCATTGAGGTCGTACATTGCCTGGACGCTGCTGTATCATCGTCGGGGCGGTCTTCCCCCCGACCTCGACGCCGTGATCGACGCGATTCAGAACGGCACTGGACGATGGAAGCCCGAGCTCTTCAGCCAGTGGAAAGTTCTCACGGGGGTTTTACTAGAGGAGCACTACAACACGAATGGTGCGGACACTGGAGCATTTCTAGATAACGACGAGGAACGTTCACTTGACGGCATGCATGCGGTGCTGGGCCGGTTCGTCCGGCGGGGGGTCGACGACGAGAAACGGCAGCGGAATCTCAAGTTGATAGGTAAGCGCTCGGCGACGGTGGCTATTCTGCTTTTCTTTCAGCCGGGCACGTTTGAGTTTCGGTTCTGGGATGAGGCCGGGACGGGTGTCGTAGTGTTTCCCGCGTTGGTGCAGGTCGTGGGGGATGATGGGCGGGCACTGAGCACTCCGAGGGTTCTGTGTGGGGGGGAGGCTTTTTCGAGACGAAAGGGGCTTTAATGTGACTGTTTTTTTCATGTAATTGTAGGGTGGTTGAATAGAGGGAGGGGGTTGGTGACTAGGCTGGGGTTTCAGTGTTCACATAGACTTCAGTCCTTCGAGATGTATCACGGGATAGACATATGTGGAGCGGCTAACAATGATTTGCGCATGTTCACTGTCTCTCTCTCTATGGTCATTCCTATTCCTATGTAAAAATTCTAAGAGTCAATTTTTCCATCATTGGCTAGAAGGCTTGGGTTTAGGAGGTTGGCCTGTTGGAAGTGTATAACGGGATATCAAGTTCCCTAGTCATCCGCAACCTGACGCCTGATATCTAAACGCTCCAGCCTCGTAGTAGTCGTCACCAACACCAAGTCTATCCAATCACGAAATATTCTCTCGTGTTTTACCAAGAAGCATGCGTATGAGATGGGATAATCTGGATATATCTCCGGCAGAGAGACTTCACTGTTATTTTTGTACTTGGCCAGAACACGCAATCTCCAACATATATAGCAAGACGATTGGTCCCTCGGCCGTCCCAAACATAATAAAAGTAATATGCGGCGGAATCGACTGGCTGTCAGCAATCTATGTTTCACCGCCACCCAATTAGCCAGTGCGAATCTCATGAGATCTCGTTTGTTTGGCGCCATCGTCCCGCGAAAAAGCAAGCACCTGGGGTTCGGTTCGGCCCGGTCAAGTCTAATTTCGTGCCTCTGTTCCGAATTCCTGGGAATCCCTCCACAGCATATCCTCGTGTCGTTCGCTCTATTAATCTCGTGAGCCCCTCCTGTACCCGTTCCTCTGCTAGGCTATATGTTCACTACCGACTACTGTCAATCATGGAGCCCTCCACAATGGGAATGATTCCCTTTGCAGGAATAAATAGTTGCTTCAAGCTCGCAGGATTTGCCTATCACCTCTCAGAAGTCGGGCCAGAGAGCCAGGTCTTCGTCCGCCTGATCCACATCGTGCGGATCGATCTCCAAGAAACTGAGCGCTTGCTATCCGTCCCAGCCGTCAAACGGCGAGTCGGCAAGACACCCGGCAAGATCCCCTGGATCATGAACGCTTTGCAGAACAACAGGATATCGCTGAACGAGATCGGGAGGTGGGTGGAGGATGCGAGGGTAGATCACCTGTCGAAAGGGAAATTGGATTTTGGGACGAGGGTGAGGTGGGTGCTGGAGGATCATGATAAGGTGATGAAAAGACAGGTAGAGCTGGCGGCTTGCCACCAGCAGCTGTCGAACGTGCTGGCGTATCTGATACCGTTGGAGGATGATCTCGCGGGTGCTGCGCTTCTGCCGGCGATTGGAGAGAATCTGCCCTACGATGTGGTGGTCGCGCCGCGACAGAGGAGGACAAGCCAGCTCTCGAAGCAGAAGTCGCACTGCCAAATCCTCGAGAAGACATCTGTTGGTATGATCGAGTGCCGTCATTTCATTTCCGTTCGGCGATATCTTACTTACCCGTCATAGTTGAAGCCGAAAAGCCCTCTGTCGTCCGCACTGTCCCAGATGCCAGGCAGAATGACGACGAAACCTACGACGACATGTTCAAAAGCTTCTCGCTATCTCCAAATCCGAAACTGCATAGCGTATACAACGGTTCGAATACCTCTCCATACAAGCTGCTCACCCCACCACCGTCCTACACCTCTGTCAACAACCAACTGCCACTCGGTCCTCACAGTAGACCGCGAACTCGATCAGCCGAGACACTTGCCATCATGGACGGCTCTTCAAACTTTGGGGCATCTGTGACCGATGTGTCGGTGTACAGTATGCCGCGAGCATCAACCGACTCAACGTACTCCATCGACACGGCTTCTGGGAGACCACCGACTTCGCAAATCGACCAGAGGTCCTCCATCCCTACGAACCCTCCATCAACAATGTTCAGCCTCCGCTTTCGAAGGCGCCCGCCGAAAGACTGAAGTTTGTCGATCTTCGTCTTCTGCTCATCGACATCAGTTAGTGGCTAGAGCAAGCGAGCAGGAAAGTACCTAGGTGCAGGCCTTTGGTAGCTTTCTCCTCGCGCATTCGGACATACTGAGTGAAAAATTGCGCGCTCTTGTATTATAAGTCTTCTATCGCATGGGAATTGCTGTTATCTGTAATACCTCTGGCAGCTGATAGTTAATATTTTCGGAACTCACTGTTTCGTCGCGTTCAAGAGCTTTTTTTTTTCCATTATCGCGGAGTCTTAATGTATTCAAACGATTCCCCCTTTTCATGTCCTTTCCTTTGTAAACTACGAAATACAAAGTATTGTATACGTTCAAGAAGATACTGTTCATATACATCGACCCAGTCCATGTAATGTCCCCTATAAATGTAAAATCAAGTAGGAGAGTTGATCTTAAGGGAAGTGTATGTATATGGCTATGACTCACTGAGGTTTTCGGTGTTCTAGTGTCACTACTGCCTTGCCTAGTATGAAAGTGCATTGGTTGTTGATTCACGGTGTAGCAATTTGTTGGGTGAATGATGTTCTTTACGGATATAAAACGAATGAGAGTAAGATGGTGGAGCAGTCATTGGTTTTTTTTTTTTTTTGCATTAGAGATGTAGATGAGACGAGGTCTTGTTAGGAGTGATGTATGCAACCAACTAGCGAATATGTCCACGGAATAAACAGCACTGAATCCTCATACAAAATTGTTACTTGTTAACATAATAGGTGTAATTATAGTACTATTAACTACATTCATTCTTATATATAGCTATAAGGCAGAGCATGTAGAATATATATATAATCTCGAAAGCAAAATATACTGTAACTGTACCAGCCATATGCATAACTACTCGTCGCTCATATACTCCAAGAAGTTATCGAGCTCGATAATCTTGAACTGATCACCCCACTTCTGCCGGAACCTCCGGTTCTTATAGCCGCTGCTCGTCTGCTGTTTCCAGCTGACGAGCTCGACCTTCCAACCCTTCTTCAGGGCCCGTTCCACGTGGGCCAGGAATCCGTCCGAGTACTCGGCCACGGCGCCATCGCCAGTCGCAAGGACCATGGTGGAGGGGGCCTCGGCGTCAATAATACTCTGGCACATCTTCAGATGTAGGCTCTCATCCACGCCTTGCTCGACCCATTTCGGGGCCGGGCGAGGCAAGGACGGCGCAGCGCCCGTTTCCGAGTCGCTGCCGCTGCCTCCGCTGCCGGAGCGTAGTTGAGTCGCCTTGACCCACCCCACCCTGTCCACGTCCTTGAAGAACTTCTGGCTCTCCGTCTGCTCCTTGCTTTTGAAAACCTGTTCGTAGATGTTCTTCTCGTACCCCACTTCCCCCGCGAGCTCATTGAATTTCTCCACTGAGGCGATGGGGGCGTTGAGGCGAGTCGAGCTGGCGTACACGCGCTTGCTCACTGGGCGGCGGCGCTCCAGGAGCAGCGCGAGGCAGTCGAAAGACATGTCGCGGGCCGTGCCGCCGATGCGTTTCATGACTTCTTTGAAGCCTATTAGAATGTTCGATGCGTCGACGAAGACGTGCAGACCGGCAGGAGAGGATTTGTCGTTCGTCAAACGCATCGGCGAGACAAGCCATTTCTTGTCTTCGGGGAATGAAGTAATTAGATGGTTAAGGAAATCGTAATCTCTATCCTCGCGTGAGCGAGGCACCACGTTGGTCGTGGTCTTGCTCAGGGATGGATGAGTGGCTGGGCCGGGCGTGACCACTCCAAGTGGGACTTGATTGTTTACCCTTGGAATGGGTGAAGGCGTAAAACTGCCGGGCCAGCCTCTTATTGTGGTCAAGAAGCCATTAGGTAGTTGATGATGATACGGTACTTGCGAACCTGCGGTGGTATACTGGTTCGACAAGGTAAAATTCAGACTCGTCAGTGTTGATTGTGAGTAAGAGTTCGTAGGAAGTCCAGCATTATGATACACATTGCCAGACGTCCCATCGTTGGTAGTCGCATGATTGTGTGCTGTGGATTCACATGACTGCTCACAATTATAGCTGAAGGAACGTAACGGGAGATTCGATTGGGGGAGGCGGAGTGTAGCGGGTGTATCGGTCTTGTGCCGTTGTAGGGTTGATTTAGTTGTTGGTTTGATTGGAGTCGAGGGTAAAGCTTGCGCAGGCGTGCTTGGTCTCATCTTAGCCCCGACGTTTGAACGAGCGCCAGCTTGAGCCAGCATCGCGTCGCCGTTTGCTTGAATTTGTGAGACTTGTTCTAGGCGTGCACGCTCCTTTTCGCGTTCCTTCTCCTCCTCTGCCAAAGATCCTCGTCCATACTTCGGGTAGTCTATCTTACGGGCACGCTCGGCTTGCCTGCGGGCACGTTTCCTTTGCTTCTTGGTCATGCCAGAGAAGGGGTCTTGAAGAGCATTTCCCGATTCCTCGTCGTAGCTGTCTCTACCGTCTGTGTTGTCGACATTATCATCGACCGGGGAGTACAATGCATCATCCGATGTAAGTGGTTCGTCAATGACCGGATCTGGAGGAAGCGGGGTATGGGGCAAAGAATCTTCGATGGACATCCCCAGCTCTTGGAAGAGCCTATTGAAGCTCCCTAGCTTCACTGTAAGCTCTTCCGTCGATCCATCATTGCGCGATGGTTTGCCGATCGGAGGCGGTGAGAGTGGCGTGGGAGGTCCTTGTGTGGTCCAATCCGAAGCGAAAAGGCTTATTGCGGGGCCAAAGTCCCAAGTTGAATCTAGAGGACGAGATTGATACATTTCGATATGCCCAAATCCAAGCTTCGACAGGAAACTGTTCGTCCAAAATATATCTCGAAGACTTGCGGAGATCGGATTATGAGTAAGTCGGTAGCGCTGCGACCCTTAATGCGGGGGTTGTTTCGTGCGGGAGTCGGATGGGTTCCTAAAATTATCGCGCGGCTGTGCCGAATGGGGTGGTGAATGTAAATGTGTATCAGGAGGTGAAGGCTGCATCGTGTTGTGTCAGCCTTAACAGTGAAGAGTAGTTAGTGGAAGTGTATGACGCCTACAGTGAGAGAGAACCGAAAGATCTGACTTCAACCTCGTCTTCATGGTCGAAGTTTTGGAAGGCGTGTTGAGAAGCAAAGCGATCTTCCAAGCAGTATATTGGTGCTGAAAGAGGATCGGGATAGAAAGGGTAAAGATAGATGATACAGTTGAGGTTGGAGGTGGATGATGCGGGCGGGCAGTGTAGTGTTTAAGACGGAGGTGGAGTGGAGGAGGGTGATGGGGGCCATGAACCAGTCACAGCTAGTCAACCAGTCATCGACCTAATTCCAGTCACCTGCAGTTGCAGTTGCAGTGCAGTGAGGGCCAGGCTAGGTTAAGGCATAAATCGGGTCTGTGCCGGACCCAGATCGATCGCCACGCAACGCCACCTCATAGAGTCAACTCGTCCATGCTCCATGCGCAATAGATGCCATCTAGTAGTAGATCTGCAATTGTCCACTCACAGTCCGAGAGCTAGTGATATCTAGATACAAGGAATTATGCTACAAGGTATCGACTTAACCAGACTCCAGGGAAATTATTCTTTCAGACTTTGAATCCGTACCTAGGTATGCAACAGAAGTCACTACCTACTGGTACCTCTTACTCGCACCGTAGCACCTAGCTGTAGGCCTCGGATAGACCCACCACCCACTCAAACTAAAGTACTGGGTTGTACCGAGTATCAATCTGCTGTACCCCGCCACAGAATTCCAAGCTCCATGCGACAAGAAACTTAGACAACAAACCCACTCGCTACTCGTTCCTCTCGTCACACCCTGAGCAGTCCCTAACCTCGTGTAGGTACCCAGTAGGAATGTCTGCGGACTTCTGGTCCGGCTACGTCTCGGGCGCTGCAGGCATCCTCATCGGCAACCCACTGGACCTCATCAAAACTCGTATACAAGCCGGAAATGCATCCTCCCCTTCGCCTTCGCCGTCCGATCTACCGGGAGGAGGTCAACAGCCATTGCAGACACAGCAACAGCAACGGCCGTCTATCAGAGGCCACTTCGACCGTGCAGGTACTTTAGTTAGGGGTATGTTATCTGTTAAACCTCTCCTTCTTTGGACATCTTCTTCTCTGCACATATCTTTCCCCTGTCCATCAAATTCGTAGTTCTACTTTGGGTTACCTTCATGAAAACGCCTGTGATAAGTGTTCTCCATACATATGCACATGTACACCAAAATGAAGAAGAAAAGGAGAGATATCTCCTCTCCCCCAAGCGAACACACCTCCCAGAACCTAGAAAGGGGATCATCCAAACCCCATTATCATCACCATCACCCTCCACCAAGATCAATTCATACACAAACGAAACCTCATCCTTAGTTTTCCCTTCCCCACGTGTCTTATATACATATATATGAACAAGTACCTAAAACCAAACAACCAGGCACCACAGCCCCGATCCTCGGCTACGGCGCCCTCAACGCCATCCTCTTCGTAACCTACAACCGCACGCTCTCTCTCCTGCACACCTCACCTCCCCCCTCTTCCTCCGGCACCCCCTACTCGCCCTCCGACCTCTTCAAAGTGTGGTGCGCCGGCGCCGCGGGGGGCCTCGCAACGTTCGTCGTGTCTGCGCCGACGGAGCTGGTCAAGTGCCGGGCGCAGGTGTCGCGGGGCCCGACGACGAGCTCGTGGGCGATTGCGAGGGAGGCTTGGAGGGCCGAGGGCGTGAGGGGGTTGTACTATGGGGGTGGGATCACGAGCGTGAGGGATGCGGTCGGTTATGGGTTTTAGTGAGTTGGATTGTTTGATTTTTTTTCCTTTGGAAATCTCTGGATATCCCCTCTCCCGGCTTTTCATTTGTTGTCATTGGAGGTTTATTGTGTTGCTGTTGGATTTTAGGTTGTTGGGCTAATCGTCATGTTCAGTTTCCTGTCGTATGAGTGGAGCAAGCAGGCACTGAGCTCGCCAGAAGATACGGATCGCGAGGCTACGTTAAAGGTGCTTTTGTGCGGAGGATTGGCTGGAGTTATTACGTGGGCGTCGGTGTTTCCGCTCGATGTTGTCAAGACAAGAGTACAGACCCAGTTGCTGAACACCAGCGAGCAACAGCGCCCTTTGCTACGGCCGCAGACCGGATCACTTCCGCCGGATTCGACTAGGAGACTTAGTACCATGGAGATTGCCAGGCAGGCATATCAGAAAGAGGGGGCGGGCGTTTTCTTCCGCGGACTGGGCATTTGCTCCGTACGAGCGTTTGTCGTCAATGCCGTTCAGTGGGCCGTGTATGAGTGGATGATGCAGCTCCTTCAACCAACATGATCTTTCCGTCTAGAATCACAGCAACATCCATTTTTGTTCAGGTCGACATGTGAAGTTAAACCGAGTTTCCTCAAAAGCTTGCCTATTCCTCGAAAGCTCATTCTACAGTACATTATGAAAATTTTGATGGTCCCCCAATTTCAACCCCCTATTTCTGTAAATGGAGTCCACTCGTCCAAGATTGGGGGGCCAAAGGTCGCGCATTGATGTTGCAAATAAAGAGAAGGATGGGCCTGATAAACAGTCTGAAGTCGGCGAACCTTGGTTGCTGTGTCAGATGCGCCCGACATATGTAAAGATCTAACCTCAGCGTCAAGGCTAGACGTGTGCACAACTCTACACTGGAGCCAGATTTACATGATCTGGTCCTGTGTCAAACCTGCCGTGGCCTCGGTCCCTTCCATCTGTTCACCACCGTTGCTCTGGTTGGAGTATCGGACATATGTCAGGCCGAGTGGTCTGCCTCCATATTGGTAGCCAGTGAATTTCGCTGATTACTAATTAGCAGAGTCAATAGAAGGATTGTTGTCAGGTCTTACCAATGGCGGTTTCGGCATCAGCCTTCTGCTCGAACTCGACTACACCGGTTCCTCGAGAGCGTCCATTGGGCTCGTACTGGATCTCAGCACGTTCTACCTTGCCGATTGTGGTGAAGAGCTCGATCAAATCCTCGTTGCTAGTGGACCATGGCAACTGTACTTGTTAGCGCGCGTTCGAATCGGGCTCGGGATCTACTTACGTTGCGGACATAGATGAGTTGGCTTGGCTCGCCGCCCGAAGTCGCGAAGTCAGTAAATGGGTTTGGTGGGTTCGAAGGAGCGTTGGCATCAAAGCCTGCATTCGGGGCTCCGCCAAAGCCACCAGGGCCTCCTCCATAACCGCCGCGACCGCCAAATCCACCTCCACCATAGCCGCCTCGTCCACCTCCGAATCCTCCACGGCCAAATCCACCGCGGCCACCGAAACCGCCACCGCCGAAGCCACCGCGGCCTCCAAATCCGCCGGGAGCGCCTGCAAAACGATCCTCGCGAACCTCAAGATTGCGACCCTGCCAATCATAACCGTTGAACTGTTGAATGGCATTGCGGGCATCGTCTGGCGTCTCAAAAGCCACGATTCCGGATCCCTTCGGTCGACCATCCGGGGCCATGTGCACGTCAGCACGCAGGACGGATCCAGTATGGGCTATAAGGGGGAGAAAGGTCAGTATCCTGCAAATCAATTACTCTTCAGCTTTTGTGAAACCTACCAGCCTGCCTGAACAGATCCTTAAGATCTTGCCAGCCAACATTGTAGGGGAGCTATGGCCTGTTAGTACAAGTGGAGAGGAAGCAAGGCGGGTTACAAACGTTGGCGACATAGACCTGCCTGCCTCCGCCGGGGGGGCCACCATAACCGCCTCCGCCCGCGCCACCACCACCGCCATATCCTCCTCCGCGTCCCATTCCGCCGTCGAAGCCGCCACGAGAGGCACTTGGGTTGGTGAATCGAGGCTCGGCCTCGCGATCCTCGCGAACGTATACGAGCCGACCCATCAGGTTCTGGTTACTGAGCGTCGCCACGGCGTTCTGCGCCTGCTCCCGAGTTGCATATTCCACGATGCCACAGCCCTATCCCAAAGGAACACCCAGTCAATCACCATCCAACTCTCAGAAATAGACCAGCCATCATTTTACCTTTGACATTCCGTTCGGAAGAAGTAGTACGTCTGCGAACAAGACTTCACCGGCTGCGACGCGTTAGTTCCAACTGCGAATGAGCGCTTGCGACGGCTCGGGCGTACCTTGTCTCATGAAGTCCTTCAGGTGATGCCATTTCACATCATATGAAAGATTGCCCACGTAGACTCTTCGGTCCTGCTGGGACGATTCGCGAATGCTCTGCATCATGCTCTCCTTGTTCGATGAACTATCAATTGGGCGCGAACTGCCTCCTCGACCAGCTCCGTATGATTGGTATCCACCCGTGCCTTGAGCACCACCTGCAGGCGAGCGCGAGCGGCGGTCACTTCGGCGATAGTCGTCGCGACTGCGAGATCGACTGCGAGGAGAGTATGAACGTCGTGAACGACGAGGTGAGCGGGATCGACGACGGGGCGAGCGATCGCGGCCAGAGTCGCGCTGGTCATATGTGTCAGTCTCGTAGCTCATCGTAGCGACTGAGCACGTGTGCGCGACGAATACTAAAGCAGAAGATGAACGGGGATGCGATGCGCCGTGAATACCGACGCAGGATGATGGGGAATGGTAGATGGGAGTTGGGGTTGTCGTGCGCGAAGGCAGTAAACCCGTTTGGCGGTCCATGTGCAGGTGAAGTCAAGCGCCTTGGCAGTGCCTTGTGAGTGGTCACGTGCGGGAGGCGATGCTACCTTGAAAGCCAATGCTGACATGATGAGGGGAAAGACTGCGGCACAATGCAGAAGCCGCAAGCCCGGACTTCGTATAGGAAGAGTAGTCGAGGCAGTGAGAGAAAAGAAAGACCGCGAGGCTGAGTCGGATAGTCTTGTAGGATGGAGGGGTGGAGTAGATTGAAGTTCAAGTGGACATAGGATGGCGACTACTTACCTCGGACGGACGATATGTATCAGTAGAATCTAGAAAGAGAATCCAACGGTCAGCAAGTGAGGCCAGGAAGGAGGTGAAAGCGGACGATGAATGATCGTAGGAAAGAAAATAGAAAGGGTGGTGAGGTTTCGGGAAAGAGGGGAAAGGGTGGAAGTAGGTAAGGTAAGTAAGTAGTAGGTGGTGAGTGGGTTGGTAAGGAAGTCAAGTAGGCAGCGAAGGGTTGTGTTGAGGGGCTCTGGCGCTCTTACCCATTTACCAAACGACGCAGAAGTCACAACCTGCCTTGACTACGGGTGTGTGTGTGTGTGCGTGTGTGCGTGTCTGTGTGTGTCTGTGTGTGTGGGACGACACAGGGGAGAGTGCTGCGAGCTGCTGCGGACTGCGGACAATAGAGGATGCACGCAGAAGAGTGGTAGACAGTCAATTAGTCGGGGCAGGCTGGGAAAACCGATGAGCAAGTGAGCAACGAGCAACAGCAGCAACAGCAGCGGCCGTAGCAGCTTAGGGCACCAAGCACCAAGCACCAAGCCAGCTGAGAATGAGGGCGAGCGGGTCCCGATGCGAGAGCAGAGAGCGGGTGGGTGGGCGTGCGTGCGTGCTCGATGCAAGAAGACAGATTACCCTCGAGTTGGCAATGGATGCAATAATGGGATGGATGTGGTGGATGCGGCCGATGACGCGCCTGGGTTCTTGATACAAGACGCCTCTCCACGGCGAGACGGCGAATGGGGAGATTAGAGAGCCAATGGACGGCCTGGAGACCGACCGAGAGCTTCGAAGGACGACCCAGTGAGGCGGTTCTTCGACGGCGGGTAAGGTTGCAAAGCACGATCGGGGGTTCACCCTGGACTTGTGAGGATATGGCGTTTTTTTTTTCTTCCTCGGAGGTGTTGGATGGACGGGAGATGGGCACGAGTGGGGGTTGGGTAGATGTGTTTGCCTGCTATCTCTGTCCTGGATGCATGGGTGAATGTAACGTCCTATGGTTATTGCTCGTACCTCGCACGAAAGACCAGATAATACCAGGCAGATACCAACCAAACAACAGTCACTAGATCTGTCAGGTGTACGGAGTACTGTGTGGGTGTCGAGTTGTACCTAAGGTATGCAATTCAATATCTGCTGTGCTTACCCGTGCCTGACCTGACGTTGTGTTTGTACATACCTAAACTCCACCAGGGTTTGTCTGTATCTGGTACTCGTTTGTGGATATGTTTGATTGTGGAGATGATGGAATTCGAGAGCACTGAGAGAAATTAGTACCCTGATGGATCCATTAGTATAAGTTTTAGGTACCTAAGTAGGTATTATTAGTGGTAGTAGGTGGAGACAGAGAAGAATGGACCGACGGAACAATCAACAAGGTACTCGTGTGGTACAGTACTTGCAATGAGAACACTATAGTACGGTACAAGTACGAGAAAACCCAACTCCTTCTCGCAATCAATGGCTGTTCGAGTACGAGTAGATACCTCGAGGTACATTGGTTGTCGAATCGACTAATAACCTAATTACCTCGTAGGTTTGAACCAGCCAATAATGCAGGCAATGGGCAGGACAGGGGGGGAGGAGGAGTCAAGACAGGGCAAAGGGAAGCACGACGGGCCCGCGGAAGCCAACCCGTTCGCCTCTGCCCTACGAGCCTACTACCCTATCGTATTCTTTTTTTTCTCAACTAAGTTAACCCCTACTCGTACATACAAGGTACCACCTACATAGTTAGGTACAAGTACATTCCAACCAAGCAGGTATAACTCCGTAATATTACGAGTACTCGTCATCCACACTATTCAGAGGGGAAGGGAGGAAGGGCCATGATCAGGTGAGGGGAAGGGGGGACGGAAAGAAAATGTCCACCTCATTGAAATGCACCACCTGTAACGTCAATTAGTTGTACGGAGTACTCAACTACGAGTACTCCGTATCGAGGTAGGATAGGATATAATACTTCCAACATCCACCACCATCAAGCTGCTCTCCTCTTCCTTCTTCAACTCCCCAATCAATTACTATTCTTTGATGACATGTTCTTCAGCTCGTTCACCCGCCTCCCCACCTACCATCACCCACGCTCCACGCTCCACGCTCCACATTCCTCACTGAGCCACCACAAATCCCCAACTGCAGTATGTACAAGTGGAGTATAGACGCTGGCGCATTGGCTGCCTCATTCATTGCCTGTTGCATTTCCATCCCTCTTGCTAGCTGCGGCCACTGCGTACTTCGTACACGACTTGCTAAATTTCAATGCAGCTTGTTCCAGGATTGCCCACCTTGGTCACCGACGATGCTGCGGCATTTCGCGAGATAGGCAAGGTACAGCCGGGAAGGCTGTCGGCACACGACGGTAATAATTAATGGTGTGCAAATAATCTAATGAACCTTCGCCTTCCCCCGATGAACGGCATCCAATCCCTTCTGAATTGGAGCATCACAATCCATAGCACCGCATCCTCTCATCAGCAACCAACTTGCATACTCGCCCGACATCTACAACCTCATATACTTGACACACTTCCGCTGCCTGTCAGCCCATTTGTCCTATGCGTGAGGTTGCTTGGCGATATTCCAGTCCCTACGGCTTACGCTAGTAGTAACCAAGGAAACCCTGCAACAGTTGCCTGCAGCCAGGTGTAGATACTCTTGCCCATTCAGGTCACCCCGGCATCCTACCACATCGTCGATGCGGGTGCACAAAGCGATGCACTGGAGTTCCTCGGTCGGGCCGTTGCATCAACTACTCAGTACCGTACACTGCCTCGGCGCACTGTACAAGTTGCGGCACCGCGTACGGTATGCATATACGCCGGGTTGGCTTGCAGTTTCGTGTCGCCCGCTCTGTCGTACACAAAGATACCTAGTCTTGGAACGAGCACTCTCTATTGCAGATACCAATGATAAACGGTAAGGCCCTTGTGTAACTCTCTTAAATGCTCCGCCTTTAGGGAGCAATCGTGGAATACTACTCCGTAGTGATATTTATCACTATAACCAGGCTCATTCGTCGGGCATACAACATTTCACACATTGAGGCTGCAGGCATGCATTATGAAGTATTGTGTACGGAATACGGAGTACTGCGTGCAGCATGAGCAAAATCGTGAGACTTCAGATGTGGATCACTAGCCGAGTCTGATCGGTGAGCCACAGAGTCCACCACCTATCAAGTCCCAAAAGGATTCCGTATCCAACCTAGGAATTTTCCATGAGTTGAAACAACATTTGCACTGCTCCTATATCTAACCCTTCTGAGGAAAACCCAACATAGGGATGGTACCGAATACCATCCTTTCATCCAGCCGATCTTTACCGAGCACGTGCCAAGTCCTGTGGTTTGCCATCGACAACGTGAGCGGCACGGACCGAAGTCCAAGGAAGGGGCTAAAACTGCTTTTCCGAATGCACATTTTGCCAACAAGTGGTCGAATCCGAGATGGTAATTGCGTGCAAGTTGTATCCATCACGGTTTGCCAACAAGCGGTCGAATCCGAGATGGCAACTGCCTGCAAGTTGTTCAGCAGTGTCGCAAAGGCTTTTATAAGTTCATGTGCATCTCCTGGACCAAATACTGTCTTATGTTGCTTCCGCAACCTTTGCTTTTGTATAGCCTTACTGTCGCCCGATTCGGTTAGGATCATTCATTCGCCACTGCGAGACCACATCAGTCATCCAGGAACCATCAAGAATAGCCGCTCCTTGTAGGTTCTGGGCCAGAATAAGCGTTTGTAAAACCAGTCCGAACAAAGAAAAGCACAATCTTTTTATGATTTTGTTGCTTTCCCCAGCTTGGCGTTTCGACCAGCAGTAAAGACTAATGCATCAACAACCTATACTATCATTATCAGAAGGCCATTCGCTCTTGACGATACTCTGTATTTCATCTGTGGTAAGTATGAAACAACCTGACAATCGCATGAGGACTTTGTTTATCGTTTCTCGCGAGAATTGCGGTCGAGGATTTCATTATTGCTTTCTCACACCTCGAGATGTTTTGCCTTTGGGAGTGGCTTAGTAGTCAACAGGTAAGTCGCGATATCGGGATATCAATACACGCATCTAGCTTTGAACATAACTCTTGTTTAGAGGGTCGAACTGTATTATCTTCAATGTCTTATCTATCACTTACCCGTACGCTATCATGCTGGAGGTTTTCCGGCTTGAAAAACTCGGCGTTTCAATATTTAGGCAACGTCATAGGTTCCATCGGGCATGAAGTTGAAAGCTTCATGAGTCTGTAATCTCAACATCTGAACATTATGTGGGCCTTTCGTCCTCACCATAGGTCGAAGTTTTTGTGGGTACAAGCTGAGGATTGAAAAATCCGAGATAATTCCTACGCTATTTCATTTACGACCTAGTGGATTTCCTTTTTCAGTTAGCTCTTTATCACCCGACGATGAAACTCGATACAAACGAAGACACTTCCCGTTTTTCTGATATCAGTCTCGAGACCCCTATAGGAAATTTACTGAGACAGTCACCGGACGCTCGTACGAGGATTTTCGTCGATTTTCACGTATATATAGGTCCGCAGTCGCACAATCATGGATTGGCTTTTCCAGCTAAAGTACATCATTCCGCATTTACTATCACGAGTACCTTCTACTCGTACTATTGAACAACTTCTTTGTAGTTCTTTGGTATTGCTTTAAATCATTTATCTGGAGGACCTCCCTACCGATCAATACTACCCAGACGCTACCTCGGAATGACTGAACCATCGGAACAACGAAGAATGTCTGAAGACACCTCCTCAGAGCACACACATGTCGAGCCAAAGTCTCATTTCGCTCCAATCAATTCACGCCAACACCCAACGACAGACGGTGCCGATGTAGTCAATCTCCCCTACCGAACGCTCAGTCGCAATGCAGCTTTGGAAGAATACACAGAAGAGACAGTTGATGGCCAAATATTAAGAGAAGTCAGATCTAACGCCACCGGCCGACTGGAGCGTTATGAACTTGTCACTTGGAAAACGGATGATCCAGAGAACCCCAAGAACTGGTCCAAGGCATTCAAGTGGTGGTGTACAATGTGTGTGGCTTTGACCTGCTTCGCGGTGGCTTTCAACTCAGCAGTAATCACTGCGGACATTGAAGGAGTCGCTGAAGAGTTCAACGTATCAGAGGAGGTCGCGCTTCTAAGCATTACCCTTTTCGTCTATGGATTTGGTATTGGACCAATGGCTTTCGCTCCGCTAAGCGAAATTCTGGGACGACGAATCATCTACGGAACGACTCTTCTCGCCGCAGTTCTGTTCACGATACCTGGGGCCGTGGCTGATAATATCACTACGTTGCTAGTCACGCGAGCCATCGCCGGTATTTCCTTCTCGGCACCTATGTCTTTGGTGGGTGGAACACTAGCCGATCTATGGAAGAATGAGGAGCGAGGTGTACCCATGGCAGCTTTCTCAGCAGCGCCATTCATTGGCCCAGCTGTAGGACCTCTCGTTGGTGGATTCCTTTCTGACGCGGAAGGTTGGAGGTGGCTCTACTGGATCCAACTTATTCTCAGCTTTGTCGTCTGGGTACTTATCACCTTCACTGTGCCGGAGACGTACACGCCCACCCTACTCGCACGACGAGCAAAGAAAATGAGAAAGGAGAGCGGTGACGATAAATTTGTTACTGAAGAAGATCTCGACATGAGACCTTTCGCACAAAGACTGTGGCTTTTCCTTGTTCGACCATTCCAGCTCCTCTTCCTTGAGCCAATCGTGCTCTTCATCTCAGTCTACATGAGTGTCCTTTACGGATTACTCTACATGTTCTTCGTAGCGTACGTACTAGCTCCTCTCCGTATTTATCCCAAGTTTGCAGGCTGACCTAATCTAGATACCCTATCGTTTACCAGCAAGGAAAGGGCTACAGCGCTGGTATCACCGGCCTAATGTTCATTCCGCTCATGATCGGTGTACTGATGAGCGCCTGCTGTGCCCCGACCGTGAACAAGCATTACCTCACACTCGTTGCCAAACACGATGGCAAGCCACCTGCCGAAGCCCGTCTGATCCCCATGATGATCTCCTGTTGGTTCATCCCCGTAGGCTTGTTCATCTTTGCCTGGACCTCGTACCCTCGCTTGCACTGGATCGGACCTGCCCTTGGAGGATGGTTCGTCGGATTCGGGTTTATCTTCCTGTACAACTCTGCCAACAACTACCTCGTCGACTCATACCAGCACCAGGCTGCTTCTGCTCTTGCCGCTAAGACCTTCCTGCGATCTTTCTGGGGTGGTTCGGTCGTGCTTTTCACCAACCAGATGTACAAACGTCTCGGATACCAATGGGCAAGCACACTTCTAGCCTTCCTCGGCCTGGCTTGCTGTCTAATTCCATACGTGTTCTATTACAAGGGTGCGGCAATTAGGAAGCATTCTCGCTACGCGTACAGTGGAGACGAGGAGAACGAAGCCACGGCGAAGAGCCGCGCTGTCGATGGTCACTGAACGAGTAGATCGAATCGTGGCGCAACTGGATCTCGATGAAGTCCCAGTGGCTGACGCGTATACCCCAGTTGTGATTGGAGCAATAATTCCCCAATACTCGCATCTCCCCACGGCCGTACCACAATATCAGAGCGATACGAAGTCGCTCACCAGCGCGGCGCATGGACGTCAGGTATCCTTGTGGCGCTTATGCTGTGGCTTGCCCACGGATTGTGTCGGGACTCGTCAAATACGAAGTGTCGTCGTTGTCGACGGCATTCGCCGTTCGCGGGAATAACAGAGAGTGCATGTTGGTTGATAAATCTTGATTGTTATTTTGTCCGTCTATTGCGGCATATGGGCGGCATCTTATTAGCGTTTTCTTCTCAACTAGAACCTTGTAATTATTGGAATAGCGTGCAGCCTTTTCCAAAGCAAAAATGAACAAAAATTCAAATCATCTTCAATAACCACTGGTGGAGTTTTTACGTGAGATTCTGTGGACGCTTGTTTCCTTCTTAGTGCGTTCAAAACCGTGCCGAACAAGCCGGACTTCGAGTACCAAACCTGAATAGGGCTATAGGGCTGGCAGTAGAAAGTGGTCACTAGCCCATTCTGACTCCATCACGTGATGGCACACCGTCACTAAACGATCGTCAAAGCTCTTTGACAACCTGTAAAGTCATAGATCTCTTGGCCGCCGAACCATCGGCATCATTAGTGTTACCTGCAAAGCGGTGGAGATTGAGTCGATCTTGTATCTTTGAGTTCAATGACATTCAAATACGTCTATTCATGCCATTGTAGAGCAGAGACTTCCAAAACCCAAACACGACGACTGCAGTCAACTAACAGATCACAGCAGCTTGTTTCCATTATGTATTATGCGGATGAGTGAAATTTGATCTCTTCTACAATTAAACCCCACGTTCTCTGGTGACATCCCATACCTAGTACTTAGACCCTTTGACATTTCTGTAGCGTAGGGATTTCTTTAGCATGCGGCTCTTTGTACCGTACCAACAAAAACATTCACTTTCCTCACCAGGGCTAGCTGGGGTTGGCTAAACCCTGCATGGGAACGACGTCGTCCAGCCATTCAGACGGTCACGCGAAAGCCAAAAATAAGGTGCGACGTCATCAGGCATGCTTACAGATTAGATCGCACCGTCGCGATTGCAACAATGCAACCCACGGCACATCTAAGACAGAGAGAATTGATACGGCAACGAGTCGATCGTACTGCCGCGGCAGTCCGAGCCCACTGTTGAGGTGCCCTAGGGTTTATACGAGCACCGACCAGACGCGACGCAGCACGGGCTCCTTCTCTGATGCGTCGTACGCTCAGCTAACGGGAATATCAAGATCCTGAGGTACTTTAAGAAGAAACCGATCTGCAACTCCCATTTGGCCATATTCGCGATTGAGACGTGAGAAAGACTGTGAACGCAAACCTGCACTTCATTTATTATCTTGATTGCACAGGCAATATTAAGCTTGGCGATCACTGCTTAGTCAATTCCTGTCCTATCATATCCCTGTCTAGCTTTTTCGGTCGGACGCATGGCCGTAGCGAGTGGGGCTCATCTATCGTGGTGTGCTTCTCAATACACACCTGAATACTCCCAGTTCGCATCTCCATACTTCGACATGATGGAGAACGAAGAGCACAAGGCACCGCCGGCGCCAGTATCTGTGGCCTATTCGCAAGACACACCACCGCGGTCCGACATCGACGAGATCCTGAAGCGCAAGAGGAAAGCACGCGAATACAAGGTGGGTTTGCGCCTTTTTCCGCTCTGAGTCGAGGAGACGAAGATTGCGATATCAACCCCAGCATAAGAAAATGGTCATACTAAGTGTTTGCGACTACAGGCTTGCTATCCTTGTCGTCAAAGAAAGGTCAAATGCGATCAATCAGTGCCATGCAAGACATGCGTCGTCCGAGAACATCCAGAACTATGCTCCTACCACCCACCCTCCGAGACACATCCTCCTGCGAAACGCCACACGCAGAGCGTTGGTCACAACGGAAATGATTTCTCGAACGGCATGGTCCATGTCCACGGTGGGACAGTCACTCTGCCCAGAGAGGTGGGTTCAAATGCTGAGCAGGTGCCGTCTCGTCACTAACAAGATGCCAGGATTGGGAGCGCATCTGTGCTAAACTGCAAAATGCCGAAAAGTCATTGAATGAGCTCAAGACCTCGATTGGAAGCATCACAGAAGTTACACCAAGCACTCTACCTACGAATGGCTTCTCTCCAGGAACCGCAGGAAATACAACACTCGCAGCAACCGCACCCATAGATAGTGAACAGAGCCACGTCCGGACGCAGGGAGTCCATACGCACAACGAATACACTGGCCAAACGATACATGTTGGACCGAGCTCCGTTCCCGCCCTCGTCATGGCTCTGGGCCGTGGCGATACGCAATGGCCTGGCGTACAGGATGTGCTGGGGAAGAAGAACATGCTGCCCATATTCGGTCTCGACAACGAGAGCGCGACATACCCCTTTGTCGATCTGTGGGGTCTGCCACATGGCAGTATCATGCGTGCGAATGAGTTGGCGAATGCCCTTCCCAGCGACGCTGAGTGTCTAAGCTTTTTCCGGTGTTATCGAGAGACGGCACATGTTGTTTACCCCGCGGTGGCGGACGTGGAAAGCATAGAGTCAGACCTGCTGTTACTACTTATCAACCGAGCGAGCTCGACAGCCGGACCTGGTGTTTCCGAGGAAGCGATATATGGCAAGGATTTCCAATGGATCGGCCTTCTCTTTGCGATTCTCGCGGCAGGATGTCAATGCTCGACCCTTCCCAGGAAAGAGCGCGAACTCACATCACAGGTCTACATATGCTGCAGTTTCGAGTGCCTTAGGTTCACCAACTTCCTATCACATGCGACACTAGAGAATATCCAAACACTTCTTATCCTCGGAAATGTCATCTCGAACAACATGAACGCCGGAGTAGCTTGGAGCTTGATGGGTCTTACTGTTCGATTGTCTCAAACTCTGGGTCTGCACAGGCTATGCCCGCCATCAACGCCTCTGCACCACAAACTTAACCGGAGCAAGGTGTGGTGGGCATTGTTATGGCAAGATTCGCTTCTGTCAATCTCGTACGATCGGGCATCATCTACCACAACAATTGACCATACCGTTCCGCTGAGTCCACACACTGCTCCTGGTACCAGGACGTATGTGGAGAGTATGTACCGACTCTGCAAGGTCGGTCTCGATATTGTCCGCGAACGCCAGCGACCCCAAAATTCCCACGACGCCTTGATGAGGATCACCGAGCACCGAAACGAATTGCAGGAGATCATGGTCGATGCAGCTGATTATCTCAAGGACTCTCGAAGATGTCGTTCAATGAGGGATCAATTGGAACATTGGGCCCTCTATCTCCACATTTCGTACATTACCTCGGAGCTCTGCCGACCGGCTGTCAGCCCCAGCACCGCAAACCTTGATTTGTCCAAGACGCTCAGGAAGACCTGCATCGACAGCCTGACGAACACTGTGGAGGCATTCTTGGGCTTACAAAACATGACACCCTTCGCGACTCGGTCCTGGGCAGCGGTCCACCGCTCGCTTAGCTCTGCCCTTCTTTTGGGTATCCTTGGGGAGCAAAACCGCAACGAGCGCGCGCGAGGTCTTCTGTCAAATTTGATCCAGGTGCTGACCGACGTTACGGCGAACGTTGATCCTGCGGAACTCTCCGCACCCATCACACGTTCGGTCGCTGCACTAGAGCGACTACTGAACCTGCAGAATCCGCGCTCTCAAGTATCTAAATCCGCCAGCGACACCTCGTCCACGTACTCGCCCGATTTCACGACGTTCACTGCGGACGATATCAATGCTGCCTTCAACTTGGAAGATCCCAATGGGTTCACGCAATCTCCTCTTGTTGGGTTGGAACTGGATTCATCTCCTTATGCGCTCATGGAGTCAATCGTTTGGGGAAACAAGAAATCTCCTTGAAAAAAATAACCGCATGCGAGAGAAAACATATTATTTTATGACCGAATATGATTATGAGAATTTTCAATTATACAGCAGCGTAAGCGAGCAACGCCTTTTTACGAATTCCCATATTTGACCGATTGTGTGCGCTGTCACATTTGTTGTACAAATCGAGTTGAAGCCTGCATCAGCTCCATGCCTACTCCCGGCTCAGGCATATGCAGGGTACCGCGGTTCCCGGAACGAGGAAGCCAGGTCTCATTTAAGTTAACGAGAACGGATGCTTACAGCCATCTATGTAACAATCAATATCCCTATTCGATATCCCATGTTCTCATCGCGATTTTGGAGGTACCGAGCACGCCAGCTATATTGCATGATATGCACCCATCGAGGAGCTAGGACCGGAACAACAGCGGTATAAGCTTTTTTGCTGATTCATTGCATAGAAGCTCGCGGCTAAGGGCGACCATGTCCGGGCTGAGTGTTGTAGTTAGCACGATTCTCGTTCTGTCCTCGGCGTGGTCTGCCGTCACGTTTGTTCCAGCAATATTCTTCGGTGTGACGATGCATGCCGCACCATGTGCACTGGAGGCTCCCGCGAGCACTGCTGTCATTGTTTTCGCCGCCGTTGTTCTGCGCGTTTGCATACCTGCCATTGGGTCCATGCTGCGCAACTCGTCCTCCATCGTAGAAGGCTCGTACCGTATCTCGGCTACGACCGGCAGCCGGACCAGAATTGTACCCGAAGTTGCTTCCGTAGGGAGAATATCCATTGCTCGGAGCTTGTTGACGGGGACCTCCACGACCGAAGGTGTCAAGCGGACCGAGATAGGTATTCTGGACTGTATTAGGCCCATAGAAAGAATTCTTGTCGATGTCCCAATTCAGTAAATCATTTATGAAATTGTCGAAAATCATCATCCTGAAGGGGAGAGTTCTTGACGCTATTGAGTTGAGAAGCAATGAAGTCCTTGTAGTCTGGAGGTAGACCCCGGCAGATACGCCTGACAATAGATCTGTTGGTCTCAGGAGCTCCAGCAAGCTTGAGGTCTTTGGCAGCTTCCTTGAAGCGGCGAACATAGTTGTTGATGGAACGTCATTGTTAGAAATCGATGTTGTTGTAAGCGTCCCTTGCCTGCTCTAGCAGAAAATCGTCGTCCTGCTCTCCAGGTAGCTTTTCCTTTATGTCGCTTCTCATAGTAGAGGACGCCATAATGCACGATCAAATCAGCTACTATGTAGCCTACCTATGTGCAAGTACGAGCTAGCGGCTAAGCGAGCGGCCAGTTGCTGCTACAAGTACAATGCTGTCTAGGTGTGAGGTCACGTGGTAAGGGCCTACATACCAACAACAGATGGACAATCATGACAACTCTATCTATATCCGGCGACGCGAGAGCTCAGGAAGACATTCGCGTTTGGAAGCGGTTCTGGAAATGGCATGGTAGCAAAAGCTCACACAAGCTTCCTAAGCGGCTTGGTGGGTGTGTTTGGCTCATGCGAACGCACGGATAGTATTCATTTGGGGCTTTGACTCTTGAGGGGGCGTTGCATTCTCGATGTGTTCGGCGCGGCCTATTGCCTGCTTAAAGGTCGGTCGGAGTAGCTGACGGAGTTGCTGGAGTTGCGAGGGAGTCGTGCCCTCTGCCGGGTCAGAGGAATGGACGTTTGCGGAGTTGACGGAGGAGTCCAGCACCCGCCCAGACACACTTCCAGGCTCTCCATCGTACTATGTAGTATGTACTATAGATACACGCCTACTTTTAAAATCCGTTCATTTGTCCCCACGGCCATGTCCTTCCTGTCTACGGCCATCTCCACCACATTACTCGCAATAATGTTGATCTTGAATTGAAACCATAATTACCTGAATTATCTTTACGATCTGTTTTGTGCTATCTTTTATCCCTGCTTCACATCATCATCGCCCATCATCCTCATCCTCATCACCATCACAGAACCACCACCAGTGCGGACCGCCACAACCGCCTGAAAGCAACCCCCCAAGGCAACCCAACACACACCATGACACGTGCACACGCACCGATCCGTCTCCAGCCTTCGACAGTACTCACTTGGGCATCGCGTTTCCCGGTCGTCCTCGTCGTTTCTTCCTCACAACCTACATTGTTACACTAACTATGAATGAAAAACGATCATTCGCACTCGTATCTGTCGCACACCCGTCTGCGGCCTGACATGCCTGGTGTAACCTCGCCCGAGCCTCTGCTCCCTTTGGGCGAGGCGCTTGCGCAGGTCGACCCTCATCGCATCTACGAAGAGGCAAGACGTCAGTACGAAGTTCTCATTCGCACACGCGAATCGCAACCGAGTCTCACGAAGTCGAGAGCCGCAACCAAGAGGAGGAATACGCGAACAACTCATACTAACCCCGCCAATAATCCTCGCACAATCAACCTCTCAAAGTACTATCGCGACCTCTTCTTCGCAGCAACCCCAGCGCTAGACGCCGGGAATACGTACCGGTTACTGACTGTCTGCCTGGCCTACAAAACCAAAGCCCGCGTCCTGCAGTACTTGGAGCTCCTACAGGGAGCTCCCGTCTCGTGGTTAATCCCACTCAAGGACATTATTGAGGCCTGCGCAACAGACAGCGAGTTCGACGACTTCGACAGCGTCAATGGCCGGCACCTCGTGGCTTTGGACAACAATGGTTGGCAGGCGGGGAGGAGCAGGCGGCTGGCTTCCTCGAGTGCCAGCAGTGCGGGCTCCGATACGTCAGCGCGGCCATCCCGCAAAATTCAAGACAATATTGCGGAGTCCTTCGACCTTCCAACAGGCCAAACTGGACCACGACGGCCGCAATTCATTATTTCGACACTCCCACTAGCATTTCCTTCAATATTTTTCACGGCGCTTGCACAGCATGCACCGAAATCATGCCTCACGGCCACAACGCTTCTGTCCCACCCAGCAGCGTATCTATTAGGTCTAGCAGACCTGCTCAAGGCTAGGCTACGAAATGAACACACGGCCAGTCAACAAAGCAGCACTCGCTCAACCCGATCCGGACGCACCGCTCGATCCGAGCACCATTCCAGTCCTGAAGATGGGCTCGATTCCGAAGATGACTTCTTGATCCATCTTTCGGGTGGAAAAGAGAAGCTTAGACAGCCAAACATGCATGCCATGCTGCCCAAACACGCCGAGGGAGGCTACGATATTCCGGATCTGGATCGTTGGTGTCGAATGTGGAAGACCGAAAGATCGTCTTCGAGAGAGGAAGAAAAAAGCCAGAAGATCCCAATCAAGATGACGCAGCGAACAGCCCGCCAGCGCCCGGCCATCGACATGAAGACAGCAAGGGAAGCGCGAACGCAGGCGCGCCCAACCAGGCCTCGAAAGGACTCTGACCTCGACTTGGGGCCTCGGCGGATCACTCGCAGAAACTCTGAGAGATCTTCACTGAGAGAAGGTGTAGCTGACATCAACCGGAAGAGGGTCGACCGGGAGGCGAATGAAGTCAATCGTGCGAAAGAGGATGCATCAAGCAAAAGAGTTTTGAGGAATAAAAAACTCAGAAGAGGTTAGGAGCAGAACTCAATTGCTTTTTGCATAGTAGCAGCCAAGGGATCTGACGTTCACCCTGATTGGAGAAAAGTAACTCACCCCATATTTGAATAGATACCCGGTCGTATTCAACGTCGCCATGTCAAAATCACAATTGCAATGCTTGGCCATCGCGCAACAGAACATCAACTTGGACAAGCTTTGGAGCAACCCCATCTTGTATGAATAAATATATTTCTTGCCGCGCCCTAATCAAGTACAATGAATTCCCAGTGTTTACTCCACAAGAATGATTCCCCGTCCTCCGAAGTGATAGTCTATGAACATGAAATGTGTGTATGTAACCGAAATCGTGTAACCCAGCCATCAACCCAAGACCAAATCCTCTCTGATATCTACAAGAAATGTACCCAAACGCCCCCAAACCTTTCTATCATATAGGCCGTGAGGGTGGCGGGCGTCGGCCAACCTGGAAGACAGACGCCCTTCTGCAAAGCGCATCAACAGAAGACACTCCTTACTCGTGACGTTTGTCCCAGGGAGAGAACCGCCATCCGCTGTCAGGACGAGGGTGTCTCCCTCCTCCGTGTCGATGTCGCCTGGGAAGCTGATTGTCATCGGGGTCCTGATTCTCTTCTTCCCACGACTTGTTTTCATGGAACCAGCCCTCCTCGTCCCCGTCTTCAATGTCGTCACCTTCAAACCCCCCAGGTGTTTCTTCATCTTCTGTTGGAGTCCACTCTTCTTCTGCGTTCTCGTCGACAATGTCGACGTCGCCTTCCTCAGTCGGTAGAGGGTCACTTTCAACCTCTTCGAGGCTCTCCTCTGGCGGACGTTCTTCACGCACTTCTTCGACATCTTCTTGACCTTCTTGATCGTGTTCTTCTTCGGGACTCCATTCCTCCTCTTGCGCAGTCTCTACATCCCCTTCCTCTCCCTCCGGTGGCTCAACCTCCTCCTCACTCGCATCCACAGTCCCAACACCCGCAGTACCGTCCCCCAGCATCGCCGCCGCATAAGCCAGATACCACGTCCTACTGGCCCCACCATCCAACTGCGCGATATCGAACTTCGGATCCGCAAAGAAATCGTACGCCGCCCTCGGATCAATCAGCGCCAGATTCGCATACAGAATCCCCTTCCAACCCCCCTCCACCTTATCCACCCTCCCATCACTAAAATACGCATCCCACTCCTCCTGCACGAACTTCCTACTCCTCGTATACGCACTCGACGGGTTGAGCGGGATCATATGAATCCCCTGCACGTACTCCTTATTCCCGCCAAAGTACGTCGTGTGGTCGACCTTATTCTCAAACAAGATGCCCGTGACCTTATTCGGCAGGAACTGCTCCGGCTGCACCGCATTGTCGTCCTCGAGCAGGAAGTAGTTCCGCATGCTGCGGGACTGCACGGCGAGCTGCAGATTACCCCGTGCCTCCATGTTGGCGTCGCCCGTGACTTTCCCCCACATCTTGAGCGCGTAGGTGGAGAAGGTGTCTTCGGAAGAGGACTCCTGGTCCTTGCCGTCGCCGGACTCGAAGAGCCCTTTCGCCCACGAGTGGCCGTGGAACCAGTCGAAGGAGCGTTGGAAGGGGAAGTACGGGTCGAGGGAGCTGGGGTTGGCGTAGTCGCGGACGAGGAGGTTCACCCAGTGCTTGTTGGCGCCGTTGTCTTCTTCCAGCCACGAGGGGTCGAGGTACCCGATGACCGCGGCCGTCCACACGAAGTAGCCGTAGTGGAAGTGGTGGTCGTTGTAGAGGGAGTTGCCGAAGTCGACGCCCGTGTCGCCGTTCTTGTAGGTCCCGGAGGATACGACGCCCCGCCACACGTTGTCGTAAACTAGAGGGAAGGGCTGCGTGTTGTTGACGAAGACGTGGAAGGCGTCTTTCAGTTTCACGAGGCCGGCTGCCGCGAGCTCGGTGTTCTGGGCGAGCGATTGGAGAGTGTAGATGATGCCGGCGAATTTGGCGAGTCCCTTGCCGCTGTAGTACATGCTGTTGAGGCGCGTCTGGTGGTCGAAGTCTTCGTTCAATTCTAGGGCCCCGGCACGGCTGACGGCAGCCATTGCGATGGCCCCGAGATTCGTGTTGGAACCGCCGCCGGAACCGCCGTCGGACGCTGGGATCCATGGCGCGAAGTCGATTGTAGTCGGGAGGTCTTGCTCGACCATGGTGATGGAGTCGGCCACGACTGCCCTGGCATAGCCCTTCGTGACGGTCGAAAGAGAGATGTCTGTGAGCGCCGCTCTCGTCTGATCCGAAAACGATTCAACCTGATGAGGCAGGGCAAACATGACGAGCGTTTGGTTCTGCACGCCGTTCTTGGTGTAGTGGATGGTATAACTACCAACACTGCCGTCTACGGAGCCACTGATGCCGGCGCCCGCTGCGTAAGCGCCACACGTCGAATCGTATACTGCTTCGCCGGAGCTGTTGGCCGGGTTCTTCGCGACTTGAATCATGCCGATGAAGTTCTCAGGGCCCTCGATGATAGCACTGTCTACCAGATCGAACGGGACTGCGCCTAGTGATGCCACAGGCGTGGCGTAGAGTAGCCACTCTGAATCATCCTCCAACGTCACTCTGTACTTGAAGGTGACCCCATTGAGCTTTTCGACATATTCAAGCGTACGGAAGAAAGTCCCACTGTTGAGTTGCGGTTTGGCTTTATTGTACAGCGCAGTGACGAACCCCATGCCTTGCACAACTGGGATGGACATGATGGTATCGGCGCCAGAAAAAGGTGCCAGGTTGGCGTAGACGGAGAATCCAGTTGGCTCTTCCACGGACAATACCGTATCGTTTGCAAGTTCAGCAGCAGAGAAAACGATGTTTTGAACCCCGACAGGCCCGATGAAGTAGCGAGGTACGTCGCCTTCGCCCCAGGCAAGCTGGTCTCGCTCGATGTGGGCGACTGCTATTCCGAAGGTGTCGCCATGGCCTTTTGCCCAATTCAATGCGTACGGGTGAGACCATACGGGTTGAGTCTGCGTACCTAGGAAGAAATTCGAATAGAATTTGTTGGTTTCAATTGGGATGTCTTGATCGAGTATGTGTTCTTTTGGAACGGCATGGTCGTTGCGAGCTTTGATCTGTTGCGGTGGGGCATCGCTCTCCATAGGCATGAAGATGTTCGGATCCGGCTGTCGTGCTGCAGCTGTAAGCTGTGGTTGCAAAGTTGCTTGGATGGGTGAAAGGGGTCCCATTGGAGCCGAGATTTGGGGACCGTCCAGCGGTCCTCGTGTGAAGCCATGGGATGGGAGTTGCGTATGTATAGACTATAGATAGTGAATAGTTAGCTTGCCATTTTAAATCAATTCGTCATGTTGTCCGGGAATTGCTCCCGTTGTCACTGTAACCTACACCGGTAACGGATGGTACCAAGGTCACCGCCACAGATTGGACGGAAGATGGAAAAACAGAGCTGTAGCTGGTCGTAGCGTCAAGGTTCAAAGAAAGAGTGATTTCCCGTTTCTCTATCTCGTCGGGAACTTGAACCTTATCTCGAGTAGGTAGAGCATAAAGGAGTGTAGCCTGGCTAAGTGCCAACAGAAAGGCCAACCTGGCCATAATGTGCAAACGAGTAAAATCAAAAAGAGCGACTTGCTAAAGGCGAAGAAATGAATGGAAGAGCGTTTCAGGCAATATACAAAAAGAGTGTGCTTGGATGCAGAACAGACACGGTGTTTAAGGCTGATAGCGAGGGAATGCGGGAATGTGTCGAAAGAATGAAGGGAACCAATTGCCTGAGCAACCCCATTATCGCCAATCTCTGGGGGTATAATATATACAAGAAAGATATGAGAGTCGATCGCCATGGTGCAGAGGCTTCTCACATGATTAGAGGATCATGGACCCTTTCGTTTCGAAACAAAATCATGGTGGAGGTGAAGGGAGAGCAGTGGCAAAGGAAGTGGTAGCAACACAACTGATTCAGGGACCTATCCCAATGTGGAGCTTCTCATCTGCAGGTACAGGCCCGCATGGTAGTACAACTAACCGCGGGTCCCTGACAAGGTGCTACGCAACGCTCGGAACGTGCCCCATGTTGGCAAAATCGGCGTCAATCATGTAGTACCATGCAGATCGTGGACTATGCAGGCTGTCGTTCGGCTGCTTACCGAATACCAGACGCATGAGACTTTCCGAGGTTGGCTTGCTAACCGTTTGCATTCTTGTCATGCGTGTGTGTGTTATACAGGAGGAGGGATAGCTGCAAGGCATGGGACGCGCGTAGTGGAGATGCATCTGTGATACATCCGTACAGATTCCGCGGTCTACTCACAAATACTGCACGGGAATAACTAATGATTCGGACATCCAATGATGGTTGCGGCCATGGTTAGTACAGAATCACATCCAGCAGGTATTATTCGAATCTCTGTATTAGTATCTTCCAGGATGCATCCTAGTCACTACTGTAAGGCGGACGGTGATCGTACGCCGAGACAGTTAGCAGCTTCTGGATACCTGTTCGAAACGTTGATTTAGTAGATGGCTAGATATGGAAGGAGAAATAAGATGTTAGCGTAAGGACCAAAAGGATTCACCTCCACATCAAGTAATACTACCCCTAGCGAAAGAATAGTTATGACAATGAGATATCTTGGGCATCAATCATTTACATCATTTGAGCGCATTATACTACACTTTCTTTTAGGTGTTGAGACTCACATATTCGCGTATGGTACTTCACAGTGTCCTACTCATCTAACGTTGCTTCTATGGAGTCTGAGATCTACCATGTATTTGGTGATGAGTATGCAGCTGCTGCATAGCATTCGAATGTATGCATGCGCCTACGCGCGCAATAAATGAAGTGGTGGCAACTGTCAGAAACCAACTACACAGCCTCCCATTCAAGCATCACAAGAGGTGTGATCGCGAGATGGGGAAGTCGAGATGGGTGTTTGAGTTGAGATGAGGCAGGGGTATGGAGTCGGCGAATCCGATCGCGTAAAAAGCTTGTTCATTTGCACCTCGACCCTTTACCCCAGTCCCGACTTCCGCGGCCCAAGTTCTGGGTAATCAAAAGCGAAAGGTACTTCTGAAACACTGTGTCTACTAGGCTTGAGTTCTGGTCTGGGGCGGCGGGACCTTTCTTCTCGAAGACATGGTTCGTGATACAAACCGTCTCGCACATGATCTTGAGATACCGAGACCTACATCTCATCTTTGTGGAACTGTCGACGTTCGATGGTGGATGAACGTCTCTCTTCGAAACTACGCCACGGCGAAGGCAAAGAATTCTCCGCGGTTGCTTCATTCTAGACACTGATCGTTACTCACCCTCGGGATCCTGTCTTCGAAGCTGTTTTGATCAACCAAGGCTTTGCTGTGGCGATTTTCACATTGTCAACTTTGGGCACGATCGAAAGAAAGATAGACCCCGTCAAGCTACTCCTTCTTCCATTTTTCTTCTGTGAAGTCTAAACGTTCACTAATACCAAACCCAACAAGCAATGAACCTAACACATGTCTTTTCTATTTCTACATACAACCAAACCTATAGACCAAATGGCAAACAAAAGACTGCAAACGACTTCCACTTAAACTATACATCCAGACTATCTATTTACACCAGCCTCCAGTCCTACATACACAGCCCTGTACAACTCGCCTCAACATCTCGCCTCAAGTCATAATACCACATCGTTACATCGAAGTCATGATCGATCGATCGTATTTACACGCTCTTGTACCACTTCCGACCACTCCGAACCCAATTCACCATGGTTCTAGATCTGTGGAGAGAATCAGAAGGGCAGTGAGGCAGTGCTCGCTGTAATGATCAGCATACCTCGGATGTGTCATTTCAATCTACAGACCATGAGTTCACTTGATTTGTAAGAGATTCTTGTCATTGATAGACTTGCTTGATAATGTACATGAGTAGGTAAGTCATGGCTGTACTTCTCAGCTGTCTACATGCTCTAGCGATGAAGTAGCATTTAACTCTCCATCTCAAATACCCACTTGTATGCTAGGCAAGGTAGGGATTAGGTACGCTCGCATCAGCGCTGTGTCCCATATTATTCAGATACATCATCATCACCATTGCTATCAATGATATTAGTCTTGCTCTTCCGAGCCAGGTCCCTGCGTGTGTGTACGTGAGGTCAAATGTCACGAGTGGATGTAAATGCCTTTGAGGGAGGAGGGAGGCGCGTATTGTGCACACTGAGTGCGATTTTTGGAGGGATGAATTAGAAGACTTAAGTCTCTATTCACAGGTTGTTCTGAGCACTACTGTCTACAAGATGTGGTATCTATCTCTTGACCTCGGATGCGAGGTCGCTGCTGACCGGCGTTGGTGAACACCTTGATGTAAAGCAGATGTCATGGAGTGAGTGAGTGAATGTTTACGCATCATGGAGGGTGCAGAGGAGAACATTGCATTTGCCCCAACGACAACAGAGAGATCTATCACAGGGACAGACAGTCACTTGTGGGTTGGAAATGTGATTTGCTCTGACGGATTGAATACCGAAGGAGCCTGAGTGTCTGGTCATGCTGGACTCAATGCCAGGAAGGGTGGCTGGAGTTTGGCTAGACTGAGCTGCTTGAAGCAATTCGTGACGAAGGTCGACAAACGTATCGTCGCTTTCGTCGGACGGGGTGTAGGGAGCAGAGCCGCCAGTAGCAATTGGCGAGACGATAGGAGTGGCAATCGGGTCGTCGTTCGAGACGGGCTCAGTCGAGGCAGGAAGGGATCAGTCACGTTTGCACTTGCTTTGTCTATAATTTTAAACGTTTCATTCTTTCTCATTCTTATCTCTCTCTACTATAACTACTTGCTTGCTATATTAACTCTCTAAAACAGAAACAAGAAAATTTGAAAGAAGCGCGGAGCCCAGAAGGTATCAAAAGGTTGTCTCTTTGTTCTTTTGGCGCACTCCTTTCCTGTTTGGGGGCCACAGGCCCTATATGACGGAACAGAGGCCGCGTCGTTAATTACAAAATGTTGTATGGTATTGTTTATGCGCGCTTCCCCCCTCGTCCCCCAGGTAGTAGTTGCCTAAGCGTCTCTTTGTGTGTGGTTGTCTTCCCTCTCCGATTCCTCTTTGAATGGGAAAGAGAGACTGGGTAGACTGAGGTATGTTGGATGGTAACAGAAATTGGACAGTGTTGGCTTGATAAAGGAAAGACATTCGTGTCGTGGAGCAGTGCCGTCTTGCCAAAACACAATGTGTGTGTATGTGGGAAGGGGCATCGCCCATGATGCAAGAGTGGGTTGGTTGGGTGCCGTTCCCAAGGTATAACAAAGAAAAAAAGGAGATAATAATGCGCTCCGTTGGTGGCAATGCAGATATATCCCAAAAGCAAAACCATGTACAAGAACCCAAAAGCAGTTGGTCAAATATCCCAACCATCTTGGAAATAAGAAAAATTTACAATGCTGAATTACTTTTACTTGTCGATGATGCGACGCGCTTAGTATCCCTAGCGGAATCCTCCCTGACCGTAACCTCCTTGGCCGTAGCCGGTTTGGTTGTAGGCACCGGGAGGTGCATTGAAGTCAACGTCAGGCAGCCGAGGCGCCCTTGAGTCGGGAGGGCTTTGACTCCTATCTCCGCTAATGCTGCGAGTATGGCCCAGGCCACCGGCACCCATGCCAGCAGCATCACCGAGCAGATGCTCGCCGCCATTATAGGGGCGGGCACCGCCATATGCAGTGTTTTGCTCCTGGAGGGGAACAGGGTCGTAACCAGCAGCACGATTGCCGAATGGAGCAGGAACGGAGTTGCGCTTGTATTCGATGGGATCCATAAGGAGAGAGTTGCGGGCGTCGAGTGGGGTGAGATTGTCAATGTCACGCATTTTCTCTGCAATGATATTAGTCTGTTTTCTATTTCCCATTGGGATGAATCAACTTACCAGCCTCCTTTCTCTTCTTACGGTGTGGGTTGTCACGGCAGCAAATGATGATGGCGTTGACGGCAATCAAAATAGCCAAGACACCAGTCAAGACAGCCTGGACAACGACCAAGACCATACCAGTCACGGTCTTTGTAGTCTGTGCGACACCGAGCTCTTCGACGAAGACCAAGATGCAAACGACGGAGATGACACGAACGACCTGGATGATGATGTTGATCCAGTTACCGGACTTCAGGGAGAACGGACGCGACCAAAGGAGAACGACCAGAAGGATGGACTCGATAATAAGTTGACCAGCCGCTTGCGCCAGACCATGGCCGTCGGCACCAGCAATGACGCAACCCTTTGCGAACATGTAGATGATGAGAGGCACGAAAACCCACCAGTAGCTCTTCTTGTAGTTCTCGTAGAAGATGTTGTACTTCCTCCAAACCTCCTTGTTGTCATAGAGAGCAGAGGCGTCACCTTCGAGCTTCTTGTACTTATGGGCAATGCTCCAGACTTTCCAGGTGAAGAAGGCAAGTAGTGCAGTGAAAAGACCAAGGGTAACACCGGCAAGGATCTTGGCTGCCCAGGAGTCGTTGTTCTTCAACTGGTAGACGCAATACAAGGTCCAGATACCGTAAAGAACAAGCACCAACTGTGTGATGGTCTTCGCAAGAACCCACCAGTACCTCTTACGGAAGCTGACAAGGCGTTTGGGGAACTTTCCGCAAAGTGCCCAAGATTCGAGGATGACTTTGAAGAGAAGGATGGCGACAGTGATGGAAGCGACAACAATGGCGAAAATGAGAAGAACAGTCATGAACGTGTTGCCGTCAGGAATACTCAGTTCCTCCGCATAAGCCTGGATACCCTTGACAGTGTGCATGACCTTGGTCTCCTCTTGTCCATTTTGTTCAGAGGTTCCATTGACGCTAGTCTCGAGGCTGTCACGCCCGTAGAGGACAGCGGCGTTGAATGCGCGCCGAGCCAAGTTGTTGCTGGTCTGATGAACGAGGGTAGCATTCTTCAAGAAGGCGACACTGTTGTCGGTCAAGTTTCCTCCAGTCTTCTCGCGGAAATTATCGATGGTTGTCTGCATGGCTTCCCATTTGATCAAGCCAGTGCTGAAGGCAAAGTTCTTGGAGAAACTCTGGTAGACTCCGGGATACTCGACACTCATCATTCCGTTCATGGCCATAGACTGGAACCAGGTCATCACCTCAAAGAAAGTCGGGCTGGCTGTTGGGGAACCGGCATTGCCAGCACTGGCGAGGGCGGAAAGTCCAGAGACGGCAAGGGCAGCTCCTGCCATACCGGCGGCAACATACGATACACCGGGCACGGAGACAGACTTTCCGTTGCTGACGGTCGAGGTGATACAGGCCAATTGCTCTCCTCCATCGATGGCCTTGAGTTGCATGGTCGCCTGACTGTCAAGATCTGGGACGTTGAATGCGATGGAAGGAATCTGGGAGATGTAGGTCTCAGGAATGGTCTGCTGGCCGGCGGCGGAGAATTCTCCGGCAGGAACTGCGAATAGATTAGCACATTGTTCAATTTTTTCACCAAAAGCATCTCAACACATACCTGGGCAGAGTTGCTCCATCTTGGTGGCGTCGTCGCAAGGATTGAATTCATTCTTGTAAACCTCCTTTCCGTAAGCCTTCACGACAAGGACTGCCATGACCTTCTGTGACTTTGCACTTGAACCAGACACATCAAACTTGATCTTCTTGGTCGATCGGTCGAACTCGAGGTCGAGCCTGTTTACTTTAATATCGGATTCATCCTGGCAAGAGCTGTAGCCGTTGGTCTTCAAAACGTCGGCGGCCAGGGCGCCCAGCGGCGCTGAGGCTAAGAGGAGGAATGGAGCAAGCATCGCGGAGTATGTGCTGTGAACTCTCATGATGTATAATTGGTTTTCGCCGGGTGGCGATCGACCTCAGCGAGGTGGGAAATCGACGGCGATCCTTCTTGAATGCTGGTGTGCGAGGTTTGGTTGTGTTGTTGATGTGTCTCGCCGGACAGTGTCAGGGGAAAGCAGGAAATGAAACCAGGAGAGAGGAAAGGCCGATGAAAAGGGATTACAATTGTATAGGGCCGCAGGGTCAACCTTTGTCGCGCCGAGAGAGAGAAATCGTTTCCAAGGAGAGCAGGAGAAGAAGAAGGGCGATGGATGTTGATGAGAAAATTGGAAACGGGCGGCAAAGACGGTCGAAGGTCGAATCTGGATGAAGCGAGAGTGAGTCGGCGGCAGAAAACGGAGGTGAAACGAGAGACAGGCGGTTGAGGGTGGAATGTGAAGTAGGAAGAGTGAAGAAAGGTCGCAGGTGGGAGGTAGAGTGGAGGAGGAGAAGGACAAGGAGCAGGCTTGGTTTTGGTCGAGTTTCAAGAGAGGCAAGCCTTTCTTGTGAGCGACTGGCAGCCTGTAGGAATCGTATCGTGCTGTACTGGGCAGACAAGAGACGGACGGGGTCAGGGTTGTGGGTCAGGGGTTACACGACCCGGCCAGTCTCAATGGGGCAACGACGCGCAATTTGGAAGAGCGCTATGGACGCTGGTCGCACACTCCAACGGCTTATCGGTGCAAATGCTTGAACAGCCTGGAAGACGGGAGATGGGAAAAAGGTCCAGAGGTGTCCAGAAGATCCTTTCCGTGACGAAGCAAGTACTTTGTAGGTAGGCAAGCAATTGTTGGGGAGGATTCCAAGAGGGCGGAAGAAAGTCTTTTTTCTTCACAATGTGCCTTCAGCTTGTTTTTGAATTCATCCAGTCCACGACATGTCTTGTGTGGCTAAAAGCTGTGTCACTGTCAGCTGCCCTCCACAATGGAAAGGGCTTGATCCACGTTCGCCGTCGCAGTGACCACGCGGGCGAGCCATTCCCTCTTCCTACTCCTTCTCTTCACCATGCTCGCTCTGCTCTCCTCTCCAACCTTGCCATGCCATGCCATGCCATGCTCACCAGTACGGTTAGCTACAAGTAAGGTTGCTCGGCCACCTCTGCTCGGGCCCCGCTAAGAGCTGAACGATGCGACACTGTAGGAAAGCTGACTATCCCGACCTATTAGGGACGGAGAGAACCGTAGGGTCGTCCAAAGGTCGTCCAGTGCTGCGGTCGCGCGATCCGACCGCACTTGGGGTGGTGGCTAGTCCCCTCATAGACCAGACGCCGCCGCCTCAGACACTGCAGCCACCGCCCACCTGAAAGCCTCTTCTCTCTCTTTTTTCTCCGCTGATTATCTCTCATCCCACTAATTTCCCTTGCCGTGAGCGAATCTCAAAGAAAATGGCTCTCAGCTCCCTGAAATTAACCTCTCTGAATAAGCGAGTCTCGTCAAAGCATAATTGTGGATAAACGCGAGAAGAGGAGTGAATGACGCAGTGTCACTTGTCTGCGTCCACAATGACATTCCTAGGTAGGTTGGTAGTGTAGCATTATGGTGAATGTTATTTTCGGCAACAACGACATACAGCTACCTATCTCGTGAGTACGCTACGAGTACTATCGATGATCTGGTGGATGGATAGGATAGGGTTGATGTAAAAGAAAGCAAGGATGTGTGTCGTTGGGCAGGTGGGTTGAGGTGGAATGGAAGAAAAAAAAGGGAAAAGGGGCCGGGAAGGAACACTATTGGCTGGTTTGGCTGGCGAGTCGCGTGTCTTTGCGTGGCTGTGACCCTTGGCATTGACTCCAAAATAGAAATCAATCCCATCAACGATTATTTCATTATTACTGTACGGGGTGTAGTCCTGTTCTATTCTGTTCCATCGCCCATGTATCTCGTACAAAGGGCCTTCTCGAATCTGTAGTCACCTATCCCATCATCCATGTAGTCATACGTAATGATGATCTGAGTGTGTTGTACAATAATTCCCTACTCCTGCATGGATTGAGTTGTTTTGTCGTACTTCTTCCAGGAGAACTACCAACTCAAGTGCATCGGCAAAGGATGCGGAATAATCCCACAACGATCTATACTTACTGTGGTAATAAATCAATTAATTGTTCACTTGCCTATTCTGATCTAAGAGCCCTTCAATTCCCCAATGTACTGAACACACTAAGGGACAGACCATTGCCATGTCTGTGAGCGCATCACATCTCCGCGCAGGTACCCGTCTACGCCGTCTACGCCGTCTTCTTGCACAAAACATGCACAACATGTTTTCGACACGTTTCCGTGCCGTACTTCTGCAGCGACCTCTTCTGTGACCTTCTTCCGTGATTCACATCGGCATTATCCGGCGATCCTTCATCCTTCTCCATACTGTATTCGCACTACACGCGACGTTGCGTAGGTGTTTTATTATACTTACCCACGTTAAAGACCTGCGCAAACAGCTCATGCCAACACATTGAAGTTACTACCAGCGCTCTGTATAAATTCTTTATTAATACGGAGCAATTTTATTTCTTTTTCCTTTGAATGTTACGTTGGCTTTGTAATACGATCTCGATAGCTATGCCGTACGGACATCGATCCTCCATTACCACCGCTAACTGAAATCCCATCACATAGCCACAGAAATGTCCCATTCACCCACCAACCCATCATTCATCACACATTCGCCCTGTAGGACCTCCCACTGCATCTCACCTAACCCTTCCCTATTCTCCCCATAACTCCCTCTTTCGATGCTATGCTATAATGCACCTTTTCACTCCTCAGCCGTGACGCCTCAACCCGGTCCGCTGACGTGCCGGATCTAATTTCGTATCCCCGTTCAGCCACACCCACTTCGACCTCCTTGCAATTAAACGACACATTGCTCTACCTGTATCCGCCTCATCTTTCTTTGAGTAGTAATCCGATTGTTTTCCTTTTATGTGCGTTTTCCCTCAATCTTTACGACATTGCGTCCATTTCCACGATTCCTTGGTTCATAGGCCCTCGTGTGCTGCGTCAACCATCATAAGAGTGAGCATAGGTTGTACTCTGTGTGTCTGTACAAGTAGAGCCCTCGCTCTGATCCCTTATGCCTTCCGTTTGCCTTGACCACACTAGGCCTGAATCGGTCATCTTCAGGATCCCATTGTCGCACAGTAGATGACGGGGGCCTAGGTGGGATCGGATGATGTCTACTTCCGGCTTCTGTTGAGATATATGTCTTAACGTGAGATGGCTGTGTACTTGACTGTTTATTGCCTGGATTGTGATATTCCCGGATTCGGATATTCTTTGTATTAACCGTCATGAAACTCCAGGCAGTGGCTGGAATGTGCTTTCAAACAAGCGATTAATGCAGAGGATATAGTGGTTCACAGAGAACTACTCGACTGGTTGTCTGTCTGGTTTGAGATATAACCTGACCATACTGATCTCTTCTACCGCTTAGTTTGATTGTTGATACCTGACATCAGTTGTTGTGATATCAAAGAATCACATCTTATGAACTCAGTAACTAGAGGGTTAAAACACGATGTAAGAGTGCGTTACATCCGTACTTGCACTCATCCTAATTAAATGATATATGGATACTCTGATCAATCACCTGTGTTACTGGGTATCCCACCTTAAATGTGTGAATGTTGGCCCAGTGGACGTCAATATCTGCTTGTACTTGGTCATGCTCGAAGACTATGCCTTCCTGTGCGGAAAATCAAAGCTGTGTCAATATCTCCTTAGGCGGATATTTTTGAATTAGTGCATCTTGCACTAAACAACATTTTGCTCGAAATTGGTTGCTATCCGGGAATCGATATTTCAGTGGATTTGCGATTACTTTGGGTCGTTGATGTATCGTGTTAGTATATATTTAGGAGGGCATATACTTTCAACTGCTTTGGATACCGCAACATTGCAGAGTGTGCACGACGATCATATCCTTGGTTATTATATTCTGCTTACACGGTAGGTAAGCATCGGAGAATCATTTTATTCGGGTAGTATTGTGTTCTTCACGAAAAACATCTTTCAATTGCATTCGGACCAAGAATTGCATAAACTTCTATACTATATATGTAGGAAACGAATAAATCCAAAAGGCATAAGCTTGTGGACTCTATATGGACAAAGACAAATACATTCCTCACATGAACCCTTAAAAGGAATTAACGAAACCTTGAATGAAGCAGAGGTGTAGTGTCATATTAGGATAGATTGGGACTATTCAACGTGAATCGAGGCAAGTGCAAGAGGAGTCGAGGATAGGCAAGGACAGAATGCACATCCTATCGCGGGTCTTCGGCCCCATCTTTCCACCTGCTGTGCCGCAACCATTGCAAACGTCCTCGACTCGCCAACACACGAACATCTCTCATGATGAGATTCGTGCTTGTCATAAAGAACTCAACATTCGACATCCTGCACTCAAAAACAAATGCATGCAATTCAATCATGTGCAGTTACCTCCGCGTACAGAGCGCAATTCCCGCTTACCCTTGGAAAGAGCCCATTGACTGGGAACGCCTTGCTACCAATCACGGTGAGCCTTTCATACGATTTGCATCATTGGTCAGAACAAAGCCAACAAACAAACAAAACACGACCTTTTCTGAATTTTCAAACCTGCCCGCTGAGCTGCAGCTGTACGTCCTCCGCTTCTGCGACCATGCAACATTGTATCAGCTCATGCATACTTCGTCCCTACTGCGACAAGAAGCCAAAAAGTTGTTCTGGTCAGCAAGAGATATCTGGTACCTGGTCGAAGGCATCTGGCTGCTTGATGGAGGATTCCCAGGTCATGCAGATCATGCAATCGAGGTGTTGCCTCTGGTAGAACAGATAGAGGTGGAATTTTCGGATTTTTTTGCAACTTCTAAGTCTTTACAAGGAGATCGAATTGCCTTTACAGTGCATGGAGATGTTTCCGGACGACCTGAGACCGTCATTGAAATCATACGAAAGTTTTGGCATACGCTACAAACCCGATTTCCCAAAATCAAAACTGTTATCATCAGTACAGTCCAATTCCGGGATGGGACCTCATTGCCGGCGGATATGAAATCGATAATCCGAATGTGCCCCGACGGTATCACCGTCTTAGGTTCAATCCTTGCGGATGCAGGAGACAGAGATAACGGAAAGCGCAGTATGCTAAGGCGATTATGGCAGCGTGTAGAGGACAGTAATGGCGTGGAACATTGGCAAGTCGTAGAAGCGGCCTGGACTCGGAAAAGTGTATTGCTCCCCCTTAAGGAATTCCATGGGGTTGCCGGGCGATTTGCACAATACTTATACCATGATCGCTTTCAAAGCTACGAAGTATACGTCATGGACTTATTATGCACCGAAGCGATCGAGAGACATCACTTTGAAGACTGGTATGAACCCTTTCACTGTTTGGAGCCGGGCTGTGGGCATAAGTTCGATAGACCTGGACAATACACCGTACATGTGATTGACATTGGCCACCAAATTAAATGGAGAGATTGGGAATCGCCTCTAGTTTTCAAGGACGATTTTGAGAAGTACGAGGAGAACCTAAGTCGTCGTTGGGAACGTATTGGATGGCAGGGATGGCTTGAAGAGATGGGTTACCCAGACACTGAGAAACGAAGGCAGGCGGAGAAGACATTTTTGGACCAACTTGCCCACGATCCCTTGTACAATGAAGGCGTACCCCCTGAAAGCACCCTGATATATCACAGATGGCAGTGGCATGGGAATCCAGACGCGGATTTATGAGCGTATTAGATTAGTTGGGAAATTACACACACTCCTCTCAATCCGCATCAGTCTAGCGACACTGAATATTACAAGCTGGCGACTTCAGCTTAGTTTAAACATCAATTCACAATTACGCAGATTGTTGGATGGACACTTCGTATCGGATATGTCATGGTATTCATTTACGTTAGTTAGACCCCAACGCCAATGCCTTCAGTATCTATGAGACAAGGCCTGGCGAACATGCGCTATCCATTCTCTCCAACGGTGCAAATTCTGAAAGCAGGTCATCTCGATTCTCGAAACCAGTCTCCATATGATTGACCGTGACGGTCGAAAGTGAATGTTGCTCCGGTGAACTAGTCTCATCAAGTTCCAAGATTCTCGACAATCTACCCTGCTTGAAGGTCTTCCTCGTCATCTCTTTGAATGAAGCGACAGGCGATATGTCCGCGAGTACATTACCTACTGCCGTGGCTGCAGCTACGGCCGTTGCAGTGACGATCGACGAAGAGACACTTTCATAATTATAACCTGTCATGGTGACATCGCCTTCCTGATCTTTACTGATACGATCTTGACCTTCCGGCTCTTCGGATATAACCGCCAGTGGGGAGGATCGCGTCACTGACTTCCTTCTCGTTGCACTCGCTAACAATGCACCCCAGAAATCCGTCTTCTCCCCCTTCTTTTCCGCCTCTTCACAGGCCTTCACATTCTCAGGCTTCAGCACTCCCTCTAAGTTCGACGGAGTAGGCGAGGGCGGCGAGACCGGACTTAGAGCTACACTTGGAACTTCCTGTACGAGCGGACTATGCACCCCGTACTGCCGTCCCCAGCGGCACTCGCTCGGATAATCGCACGTGTTCCAGCAGTCCTTTGTCATTCCCCTCTCCTTCTTACCGTAATGGTCTTTCTCCACCGCATCTACGTCCTCGATAAACTCATCATAAAGATCGATGCTCTTCTTCCCACTCCTCTTCCACCGTCCCCAGACCTTCCACCCTTGGTAGTCGAACTCACTAGGGCAAGCCCGATGCCGCTTGACCCTCTTCCTGCTCTTCCTGGGATTCGCGGATTTCCTCCAATCCTTGACCTTCGTTGTCCCGGAACAGAAGTAGTGCCCGTCGTCAAGGCAGCGGCGCGAACGCCGAGAGCGTATGTCCGACCACATTGATGGCACTGCCACAGCCAACGGAGTGGTTGTGCGGGGACCTGCGCGCTGGGCGATGGTGGAGGGTATTTCGATAATGGTTGTACGGAGGTGTTGAAGCTGGATGCTCGGTGGTTGAGGAAGGGGAGAGGTGTCCGGGGAGAGAAGGGACTGGGTGGGATGGAGAGGTGGGATGGCTTGAAGGGCGCTGGGTGGATTTTCAATCCCAGCTTCTGGGATTTTGCGAATGGCATCTTGGATGTTTGATCTCTCTGGTATGGGTCGATGTACAGCTGTGACGGTAGGAGGAAATTTCGTATCTACCAGAGAATACAAAGTTGAGATCTCGAACTTAAATTCAACCGACTGTGTCCAATCCCTTTGGCAGAACGAATGAACATGCTTCATGTTTATATCTTTATGCGTTTCCCAAAGAACCAAGCAGCGCCAAGTATCTTTACCATACCTTTCCCTTTCCGCAAGAACGTCATCCTCAAAATGTCCAAGTATCTCTCCCATACATCCTAAAACAATCTCAATCCGATTCTCCCTTGCTACCAAGTATGGACTGTCTTTGACACCCAACCGGTTCGTTTTCTTCTTCTTTCTATTTTTGTACTTCGGGATCGTTCTATTGTTCTCGCGTGGTTGGCTATGAAACGCCCTTTACTAGTGCATTGCCCAATTTGGTCATGTGGATTCTGTTTTCGAACTTGTCATGATGGGGTTCTTTGTTGAGAGGTTGGGGGTTTCTATGGTGCAATATCGCACGTGGAGTGGCTGTGAGCAATTTGACGCTTGGTCGTCATGTCTAGCAGGGTTTTCTAATATAGATGAACATTGTTCGACGCTGTGAGTTTTGGTAAATCGTGCTTGGGCTAATGTGTCCAAGGGCGGCATCCATATAGTTGGACTTTGGAAGGAGAATACCCCCAGGAATAAGTTTTCGTTAGTGGATGGGGGAGAGGGTGGCGCTGGGCTGCGAACCCATATTGAGTTTCCTTCCTAGTTCTAATTATTGTTCTGTAATAGATCGATCATATCGAAGCTTTAAACATGCAATGGCGACATGGCCTGTATGGCCTGTACTACCAATAATCCACCTATATAGCAGCTCAGAGCTGTACCGATTCTTCTATCATGAATCGTGTTGTAGTATAGTAGAACATGATGAGGTTATTCAGAGGTCACGTGTATCCGGGAAAGCGCTAGGAAAATCATGGATGGATTGATCAGGGCCCAACGAAGGTTGGGTGCATCATCCCCTAACCTCCCGAGGAGAATTGACAGTGGCGATTAGAGATATGGTGTGTCTTGTTTATCTACTGATTTGTGGGTCCTATGTGATGTCACATACCACGGAACATCTATACGCAACAGGACGTTCATAAAACCTCTACACAAGGAAAGAGATAGACAACACAGATAAAGAAAGCATCTGCCTGAACTTGCTTGGCCCTATACATGCGTTGCTAGTCCTCAAGCGGCATCAACACACTCGTATGTTCAACTAGTAGAGGAGCCAATAGTCGCAAAGTGACGACCATGAAATAAGGCATATAACATACCAACCTGTAACAGCACCTAACGGGGATGAGCGACCGGTCTACATCCTACAAGGCATCTCTTCCACGGTGTCAATATCCAAGTTGTCTATATCTCAAACCAAGAGCATTGCTTACTTCTTAACCACTCTTCTACATACCCAAAAGCCACCATCACATTCCCTTATCTCCACCACCCCCATCCCCATCCCAATCCCCAGAACCCAAATCAAACCTCCCCACAACCCCAAGACCACACTACCTACACCTAACTCTCAATCTCCACCCTTCCCTTCCCTCGCCCTCCCGCCCCCGCGTCTGATTCTCGAAATAAAGCCGCAGTCTAGACCATCCAAAGATTCGTGCATGAGAAGTGCGTGCTTGATCGCTTGCTTGGCTGCTTGATTGATTACCCGCAGCGTTCCTTAGATACGAGAGATCTGGCTACTACACGTAGTCACGCTCTTCGCTGGCTCCTTTCACATGATACGATATGATACGATACCCACAAACCATAGATACACATATGTCTACACAACAAAGGCCGATCTCGAACCTACCTTCGCTATCCCCAGACCCTCATTCGCTAACACGTGCTCACATACACACCTGGCACCTTACAGCATCTACAATGTACAGACGCAGGAAGCGAGAGGGAGATTAGATAGATAGACCAAACCCGCCCCGCCCTGCACCGCCAAGAGCTGAAACGCAGCTGAAATCGATGATGTCTACGACTATCATCTCACGATCGAATCGAATCGAATCGAATCTCATCGCCCTGTTGCGTGGTTTTCTGAAAATTTGTGTATCTGTAATCTCTCGAGAGTGAGGGAGGTTCGGATGTCTTGGCGAGATAAGGAATGGGAAGGGGGAGTGTGGAGTGCAGGAGGGCTGATCGACGGGCGCGAGCGAGCGCTCGCTCGCTTCGGGGGCGGAAGGGGGAGGGGGAGGTGTGGATTGGCTCGCGGGGGGAAAGGGGAGGGGGATGTAAGCGAGGGAGGGATGGGGATTGGGTGTTTGGGGACGGGAGGGATGGAGGATGGGGAGGGTGGATGGAGGACGGAGGATGAGGCTTGTTGGTGGTTGGGTGAGATGCTTGGCTTGCTTTGCTTGCTTGTGGTTTTGTCAGGTGGGTGGTGGTTGGGATGTGATGAGCTGTTGTTGTAGATTGAGTGTTCACGATCATGAGAGGATGAGGTTTTTGGGTATTTCGATATAATTATTATATCTACAGCGATCTAATCGAGGTTGCTGGAGGTATGTATGGGGTGTAAAGAACCTAGAAACAGCGAAATGAATATCCCATTGCTTGGATTCCCGTAGTACACCCTTTTGTATACCAGCCATGCCTCCCCCAATTGAGATTCGATCGCTCTCTAAATTTGCCAATTTGTACAATACGAAAACAAGTGTTTCCCCGCCGCAGACTTCTTTCCCCGCCTTCTAATACTACGCATACATTTTCTGTCCTCCCTTTAATTCATCGGATGGAGGGGTTGATGAAGAAAAAGGACAGGTGTTGGTATCTTGCTTTGAACTCCGGTAACAAATAAAAAGTGTATAGGAAAAAGGATTAGGAACGCTCATTGAAGAAAAAAGGGGCACTCGGTGCCAAAAACAATACAGGGTCGATTAGGTCGAAGGAAAAGCTTATTCGACCTTCTCGGGGCCAGCAGCAACGGCGTGGCGGTCGCCACCAATGCCAGTGTGTGCGTGGCCGCCCTCACTGCTTTCGCTCGGGGCCTTACCCTCGAGCATCTGGCTGTGCTGGTGGATTCCGTGGCGCTCGCCCTGGGGAACGGTCTGCTCAGCGCCGGCGACGTCGGTCTTAGCGGGCGTCCAGGCGAGGTAGTCACGGCGGACCTCGACGTAGTCGTAGGCGAACTCGCCGAGCTGGTCGTCGTCCATACCGAGGAGCTCAGCCTCCTCAGAGGCGCGGAGGTGGAGGCCGGGGATCTTGTCGATGGCGAAGGCGAGGAGGGCGCTGACGACGAAGGAGTAGGCGGTGGCGGCGACAATGTAGGCGATCTGCATGTACATCTGCTTCCACTCTCCCTTGATCCAGCCACCAACGAAAAGACCGGTGTTGACGCCGTCGAGGCCAATGATGTATCCGGCACCGAAGAAGCCGTTGAAGATGAGTCCGACAATTCCAGCGACACCGTGCTCAGCGAACACGTCCATAGCATCATCGATCTTGAGCCAGAACTTGACTATAAAGTTGTTAGCTGGAGTTGAATGTGACAGTTTTGGCATCAGAACTCACTCTTGGTGGCATAATTGCAGACGACACCGGTCACGATACCGAGGATGACACTGGCCCACGGGGGGATGAAACCGGAGGCGGGAGTGGCAGCGACGAGTCCAGAGATGACACCAGAGCACCAGCCGACCATGGACCACTTGCGGGCAAGACGCCAATCGAGAACGACCCAGGTGGCACCGGCGAACATGGCGGTAAGGTTGGTGTTCCAGCAAGCCATGACAGCGCGGAGGTTAGCACCGAAAGCAGAGCCACCGTTGAATCCGAGCCTATAAAATTCTTAGCACAAGTACCATATTGTGTGATTATCCCATTTCCACTCACCATCCAAACCAGAGGAAGACCGTTCCGAGGGTGATGAGAGAGACGTTGTGGGGACGGAAGTTGAGCATCATCTTCTCCTGGCGGCGGCCGAGGACCCAGGAGTATGCGAGAGCGGAAAGACCAGAAACGATCTCGACGGGACCTCCACCAGCGTAGTCAAGAACTCCCCAGGAGAAAGCCCATCCGTTGACGTTCCAGACCCAGCAGGCGACGGGGCAGTATACGATGGTAGCCCAGAAGAAGATGAAGACCATCATGGGGATGAGACGGCCGCGTTCGGCAACGGCTCCAACGATAATGGCAGCGGTAACGGAGCAGAATTGCATCTAGACGGACAATGAGTTTTTGATGGATTTAGCAGAAGGGCATGCTCAGTGAGACCTACCTGGTAGAAAGCGTAGAGAAGATCGGGAATCAGAGGGCTACCAGGGCTGGGAGCACCGAGAGTCCTCATGAGACCGAATTTCTTGAGATCACCGATGAAGCCGTTGGTCGCATATTGGCTGAAAGCCAACGAGTAACCCCAGAAGTACCATTGGAAAGTGATGATAGTAGCGGAACCCAAGCAAGCCCAGATCAAAGAGAGCGCCGACTTTCTCCGCGCAAGACCAGAGTAGAGGAATGCGAGACCCGGTACCATGACCAACACCATGGCAGAAGCCACGATGATGTAGGCCTGGTCACCAGGGTTGTACCATTGGTTCAAGTTTTCGGCATCTGTAGGTGGAAAAACGGATTAGTTGAAGTTCTGGAGATCTTCGCAACTCTCGAGGCTGATATTGGTATCTTTTTTTCCAACTCGTCTGGAGAGGGCGAAGTAATTGGTGTGCACGAGTCTTCACGTGCATATGTTACACCAAAGGGATGGTACATACTGGAGTCACCACCAAGATCGGTGTTGGTGCCATTGAACACCGCAGGTGCTCCTACCCAAGAGTAGGACATGTTGGATAGGTGTTAGTCGACTATGATATGGGTGAAGGGACCACGACGGTAGAGTAATGAGCGTGGTACTCTTTGGTGTGAAGTCGAAGGAAGTACTGGGGATGAGGCGCGACAAAGATGGAGGTACCGGGCTGGGGTATATAAAAGAAAGCGAAGGGTGAATTTCGGCGCCCTTGTATGATCAGCAATGATGATGGAAAGACTGCCCGGGGGGGTTTGAGAGTGAATTAGGACTATTGTCAATGCTGGTAATTGGACGAAGTTGCTTATCTGCCCTTGTCCACCCGAGGCGCGCTCATGGGAAAATAAACGAAGGGTAGAGTTGGCGCAACACCCACAGCCCCGGCGTCGTGGGGTTCACGTCAGATCTGGAGCTTCTTTTTTTTTGTTCCGCTGGGGTGAAAGGTCCCAAGTGGCGTCAAGAGCTCGGTAGTGGTTACTGGGTTTACCATAACAGTAAATGCGTTGGGTAGTTACAAGAGGGTGGGTTGGTAGGGTTGAACAGGGTTGTTTGGGTTCACATGTGTGTGTGCGTATGGACTATGGACTATGGGAGTATGTGTGTGGACAAGTGGTATTCCCTTATCAGTGGCGGACCATTGTTGTTTGCTCATGTCTACTGTCTACTTTTGGTTTGCTATCTATCTACCCTACGGTCCCTACCAATTACTCCGTACCTAGCTAGCTAGGTATCTATCTGAACTAACTATGGGTGGAGCTGGAGATAGCAACAACGCCGGGAGGCTTCCGGTCCAGGGCGTTTGCGGGTCTGTGGGTAATGTAATGGCCATTCATTTGCGCCCAAAGGTGAAAGTACAGCGGTAATTGTAATTTAGAGCAAGGGATTCTGTGATTTACTTTGCGGCGGATCTACCAACTGAGAGTGTTCTTCCGTACACGGAGTTCTGTGTATATCCTATGACCTATGTCTTATTGTTTTAACCCATTGACACCCCCGCGAACCCACGGCGGATTGGCTGGGCAGAGAGGAGGAGGGTGGGACAAAAGGTAGATGAGACGAAAGAGCAGGAACAATAGTGGTTGGTTGATGGCTGAGAAGGGCAATAAACTCAGTCCAAAGACAACCATCATCGGAATAGAAGATGATGATTATTGCTGTACAACTATGCTGTAATCACCACAAGAGTTTCGCATTCAAAGGTACAAAGCTTGGCACAGAGTGGGATTGTGTAAGTGGATGATGAAACCAGAACCGATGCTGATAAGGGAGCCGAGACATCTGATTGGCGGGCAGCCCTCCAGACCACAACTGTGACCCAAATGTGGTCATAACTCTATCTCGTCGTCTCCCCCTCCGATCTATTCCGACATGGTCCCTTCTCTTTCTCCCTTTCTCCCCTTCCCTCTGTATTGGCAGTATTTGCCCTGTATTACCGTAATCAGCCTATGATGGTTGGAATTATGCGATTCTCCTACACAGAACTTCTGATAAGCCCCGTTGGACCGTTGACAAACCACGAAACCCTTATCTTTCTGTCACTACCCATCCCTGGTTAAGCGTGTAGATGAACCCTGCTATACCCCTTTCGTCTTCCATTCACCCTCACACACCCTTTCCCATTCCCACTCTGACCTGACCCCCGGGCCTTCCGCGCGCTTTTCTTTTGCCTCTCGAGTCTCCGCCCAACTGGTCCACCACTTGCAGATTGATCTCTTCCAAATAGCGAAGCCCTAATTCGTTTATGGTATTGTGTAGTGTGTCTTTGTACGGACTACAGCATCCTCAGTAATCCTCAACTCGAGGCTCTCCTATCCTATCTGATTGCGCCTAGAACACATTCCTGTCCTACAATGTTCCCGACCGCCTGGTAACTACACTTTGTAGCTAAACTCTTCAAAACATTTGAAGTCTGGTTGGGCTACATGTGCTCAACTCTGGATGACGATCGACTTGCACGTGTCGTCTACCAGCCATGCCCTTCCTATCGGTTGAAGCACCACAAGATCTACGGTCATGGCCGAGACCCCCAACCAGAACGAGGGCTGTGCAAAAAGTCCCATGTTTGAGGTTCAGGCACCATGGACGCCCCGATTGTCGGCGAGCGTGGAGTGTGAAAACACATGCGTTCTGGTCATGGACGCTACAGTGGAGGCAGGATAATACTCCGAGTTCGTACTAGAACAAGTATGTGTAACAACGCAGTACACACCCGAATGCACTAAGCTTCTGGAAGGTCTGTCGAGCAATTCCGACTCAGAAGGACCATACTCGTACTGTGTAAGCTAGATCTTGTTGAATGGACTACGATATCGTTCGCCGTCTGGAGAGACCCACCTAATGTTCCCACTTCCAGGATTTCCCATCTGGGAAATGCTCCAGTAACGTGTCGTTCGACATTTATTTTATCTTCAATATCTTCGCATTCCAATCAATATACGTGGACATCCCACACACACACGAGGATTCTTAGCTGCACGCACTCCACACATGGGATCCATTTTGGGGCTCTCGGGGGTCTCGCTTCGCTTGCCCCCAACCTGAAGGGAGTTAAGATAGCCTATTCCCCTGTTCCAAGCACCATAGAGCGCGGGGTCACGCCAGAACAGAACAACCCACACGAGACATGTCAAAACATACGTTGTAGACAAAGATAATAGACGAATGCTATTATTCTTTTTAGATCTTAGATATCATTTCTGTCAGAGCTTTGCCGACGAACGGCACGGGGATGTGTGGGATGCAAGTTGATTCAGCCCTCTCATCCCATCTCCTACTCGAAGGAAGCGTGGGACTCTTTTGACTGCTGCATGTTCTCCCAGCCAATCACCAGCTCTCCACGCCCTTTTGTCTTCCCTTCCCTCCCGTCAGCTCTATTTCGCGTTTCCGGCCAGTCCACATGTCCTCCCGTGCCAATCGCTCTCTTGGGGGCAACTCTGCTGTGTAAATCGCCAAACGTTTATCCGACCATGTGCCGTCCGCGTGTCCGGCTTCGGCCCAGCTACTCTCCCACAGCCATCATCATGACAGCTGCACTGCGCTTCCCGGCCGGTTGATCGACTATGAGCAACATGTCATAGATTCTCTTTCGCCATCCCATCCAGTGCATCAATCATGCATAGCTCACCAACATTCCGCCGCCCGCATAGTGCTTTTTGAACAAAGTCTTGTCCGCTATGAATTGGCAGTCTTGGTATTCCGATGTTGCTCCACTTGTCTTTCCGATCCCTCGGCCGGTTGGCTCTCAGTGCTCGTGTGTTCCGTGAGATGCGAATCGGATCTGCGCTTGAGGATCTGGCCAATGGGAGATAGGTTGTACCTATTGCTTTTACCAATGTGTATTTAGTTATGGTATGCTGAGTCTAATCTTTATATGGATCGCATGTTTACTTTTTCGTTGGTGATGTGTTTCTGGTTGACTGCCTTTTTCCGTGCTTGATGGTACATTCCGAATCTCATGGTTACTTTCTCTGGGTGTTGGCCCCCTCGGTTTGATACATCTCTCACTACCTAGGTACCCAACAACGACCCTCTCGTGCTATGCCATGAATTATTGATCACAATGATGGATTGAACAGCAAATGAAACAGACTGAAAGAAAGATTAACTCGACGTGGTTTTAATTAATGACTTCAAGTTGGTAAGAAAGCGATTGGGCGTTGACGTTGAAGACTGACCTGGTTGCTGGTTCGATCATAATCTACCCCATACATGTAAGAGCAACTAGTAGATCACGGAGCTTCCTGGATATCATCTATTCAAACCGTTGAATTTGCCGCGAAGAGTGCGACAAAATTGCCCCTCAAGTCTTACGAAACCAACATGCATCATCTCAGACCAAATCCATAGCCGTCTACATCCATCCGTTCTCAAACCGAACAGCAACAATCTTCCTCTGACCGATGACACCGATGGCCAAACCAATCGTTACATCGCACGTCTTGCGCCTGATAACTCGAATTTTTCACATCCATCTCTCTGAGGGGTCGAGTGCTGCTATCGGCCCATCAAGAGCTCGGAAACTCGCCGTTCCGTGACATAAAGTCCCGGTCTTATTTAGCCCTGCGTTCGACGACCAAGTTTGGGGGACCTTATTGCATCTACTATGCCGTAATGATGCATGCAATCGACTCGACGATAATCTGGGGAATGCTGGTCAACGACCTTATATCTGTGGAGATTATACTTGCGATTTCAGGGACCGTGACCAATATTCCGGTTCGAGGTCCAACAATGATAGGTAGGAGGGCGATCCGGTGCTGTTGGCAAATGTATCATTCCACTCGACTGCATCGGCAATTGTCGTGGCTTAATGTATAGTTGCTTGCCTTCGAGAGTGGATGTGACCTCAAAGCTCGTAGGTCACGGCTAGATTTCAGGAGCAATCAAATACCCTAAGGCATCTTCAATTTGGACTCTTCATGAGCTGATCGGCTCATAGCCTTGTGGTCGGCCAAGTTAAGGAGACCGCCACTGGCACGTGGTTGCCTCGTTCTGTTCATCCTCTGCAAATCAGGAACATCCCAATGGGGTTAGCGCATGTCGATTATATTGAGACATATGGAGTGTCCTTCAACCTCCACTCTGAGTCTGACATGCGGCAGTGATGATTCGAACCATGCACAGGCGACCGCACAGCATCTTTAACTCTGCTCATCCCTGAAGTGGTCCGGTCTTTTCGCTTCCGCTCATCGTCGTTGTGTCACCTAACCAGGACCACTTGGACCACAGTTTCTTTTGACGACGTGCACTTGAATACACATGGTGCCTAATTTTGGACCAGGACTTATCGGTGGTCTAGAAGAGAATGAAAAAAAATCTTACACTCAACTCAGCTTCAAGGTGTAGCAGCAATTGCCTCCGCATGCCATCCAATTTCTCAGTTCTTGAGTCAGTTGCCGTTCCCTGATTTTTCTTCGCCGCAGCTCGTTCTTACAGGGTGGTTAAATTCAGCAATCCAAAACGACTAATCGCCTCCGCATCTTGGCCACGCACACCTGCGAACTGCAAGGGCAGGGGCTCAAACTCCTTCCCCCCTGTCACCTACATATGTAGGTAGAGACTACATCCTACTTCAAAGTTCAACGCTGCTGGGACTCACCGCTAGATGCAACACGCAATTTCGCCTCTGCTCAATCTACAATTGGCGGAATTTCCTCTACTCTTCTGCCAATACATCCTCTGTAAGGTTTACTGAAGCGAAATCCCTACTCGTTCATTGGCTGGGCGAACACAACTGATGCGCATGTGGTCAGATGGGTTGCCTTCCAGATATCTAGTTATTAAAGATACAGGATGAGAAATGATCCATCTACATCTAAGCTGCTAACCTCTCTGCGGACATGAGGCAGCTGTCGCCCTCCCCCTGGAATCCTGATGCAAAGTAAAGATGGTGGGAGGGGCGAATAGGAATCTCAAGATACGATAGCAATGCTGCATTTGGACACCTGCCCGTCGAACTTCTTACCCATCCCAGCACACTGCATGACAATGGCAACGCCAGCTAGACCAAATCGACACCTATGGTGTTGAGATCTCTACTCATGATGGGCACTAGACCCGGATGAGGGCTTGAAGCTATGGAAAGCACATGCCTTCTGTATTGCGAAACATCATGGGTCAACCGAAGTATGCTTCACTTCCTTGATCTACCAAATCCAGTCGATCCGACAAGCCTGGTGGTGTACTACCCTGCTTCCCTGAGGTGTAGCAACTTCTTTCGCCCGCAGGCTAGGCTGGCTCTTCATTTCTAAGTCCGACCTAATCAATATTGTGTCCGTAACAACGGGTCCTCCCGCCCACGGTCGAATCGCTGAGTGGCAACCTTCTGCGACGGCCATGAGAAAAAGTTCAAACTCCCTTGCAAACTTGCATGCATACTCGAGCATAGTGATGGTAAAACAATAGTCGTCTCTCGTCCGCATGTCAGGGCCTCTCGCTACCACAAAGATGGCTGACGCCCAAGCGCACTGAACGTTTACGACACCCAGACGTACAGTAGTTGAACGGCTATATTCGAGCGTGTTAAAGTTTCGTTAAAGATTCGTCTGGACCTGGTTGATCAGTGAATATAGTTCATGGAGATCCCGGTCAGGACCGTGGCTTCCGTACGTTTCCCCACACCTAACGTGGCTCTATTCGTAGACCGATGCATGGCCCCTCGACCTCAAATTTACAGTTCAAGGGACCAGGGGCGTTTGCATGGCTGTTGGCCTTATTATCCGTTTTATATCCTAATTGTCTGGGATGCCGAAGCCCACTGTTCGGTTCACGAGCCGAAGCATATATAGTTCTCTATTCTGATATTCACCAGCGAGAGAGCGAAGAACCTACGATTCCTGGACCCGACTTAATTGAGATATGGGAGGTGACTTCCCCAACCTAACGTCAGAGTTGATGGCCAATTGGCCATCATCGAGTTCATCGCCAGTCACAAGAGGGTGGTACTCTCCTTACGCTCTGGCGCTGGTTGTTTGCGCGACCGTCGTGCTAGTCAGCAGGCTTGACTCGCAGGTGAGGAAAAGTTATCACGGATTGGGGGTAGATGATGTTATTGCCTGTATCGCATGGGCTTTCGCTGTTCTTTTTACTGCTTCAAGCATTACAGGTCAGTGATCTCATTCATGCCCACTGGTAGACTGTGCGCTAATCAAGTGATTAGGCGTAGTTGATTACGGCTTCAATCGACATATGTGGGATGTACCATCAGAAAGATACAATCGTGCTGCTTTGGTATTGCTTCTACTCCGCGTGGTAGTCTAGTCAACTAATATCATGCAGATGGAATGGATCAGTGAAGCAGCCTTCACACTAAGCGTCGGCTTAACGAAAATCTCGGTTCTCCTCTTCTATCGTAGATTGGAATTACCATGTGGCACAGGCTTGAAATTGATCATGCACATGCTCATTGCCATGACAGCCTCAATTTCATTTGGTTGCCTGATGACCCAGGTGCTATTGTGTCGACCAGCATCCGCATACTGGGACATACCTGATCCTACACGACCTGTAAAACGATCTTGCACGCGCGAAGACATCTTCTATCTCGTGCAGGGAGTGCTGGATGCCATTTCAACAGTCTACTGCATAGCGATTCCAGTTCTTGTGCTGCGAAGCAGACCCATGTCGAAATTTCAGAGGACCGGTCTTCGGGCTGTTTCCTTTTCTGGCCTCCTGTAAGTCCTCGGAACTCACATGTCTCCAGATCCAAGCTCACTTCTGCAGTGTCCTAGGTGCAAGCATAGCTAGGACTGTGTTTCTCACCCGCCTCGCAGGGAGTGGCAACGGCGATGCAACCTGTACGTGGCTAGATGGTTTACATAAACTTTTCGAACATCATGGCTAACTGGGCAATAGGGAACGGGTACAATGTTTTCATTTGGGCACAACTTGAATGCCAATTAGCTCTCCTGTGCGCATGCATACCCTTCTTGCAACGCTACTTCAAACACTATCCTGCCGCACCGATCGTCTTTGTCGGCCAGACCAGCCATTCGCGGAACGATTCAGTGATATCTCGAGTTGGAAGTTCGCTGTCTGGCCAAATCAAAAAGCTCCCTTTTGGGCGAAGCAACAGTCCGCGTAACCTTGAGATATCCAGGCCCCGACTACAACCATCCCCTGTAGAAATCCCAGAATGGGAATTTGAGCGATTCGCATCGCCGCAACCAGCTCATTCACCGCTGGACGAGCATACTTACCATCGCTACTTGGCGGGCAACTACGGTCCACCGGTACCGCCAAAAGACAGCCGGGTCATCTTCGACGAGTATCGTCGGGAACATGGAGAGATCCGATGACACTGCATCATCACCATATAGTAATAGAGAATAGATCGACCATTTTTAAGTTCAATACAAAAGCGATGATCTTTTGGACCATGTAGTCAGTTCCTAATAGATTTCCCTGAGTGATGATCGCCATGTAAATCCGAGCGCCCGACACACCTGTGAGAAGATGGTCAAAGTTTCGAATAGACGTGGCTTTGTGATTGCATGCATGATAGATCCCCGAAAGACCATGTGCGAAGCAGTTGCACGACAGTAGACGCTCCGTTCCTGGACGTGCCGTCCCGCTGAGCCTTGGGTCTGTGGAGTCTCTTGCAGAGCGACCCTCGAGCAGCCCAGCTTAGAGGTCGGCTAAAGTTATGGTGCCCGTCGCGCCCGGACCGACATACGACCAGCGAAGGTTCGCGTTAAGCCCTTCGCGCAGTAGCGCCAGACCCCGCCGAGGCTCGTGGCTCCTGTGGCTCTCCCTGACCTGCGTTGGCCGTATGTATTGGACCTGTTGTTTCGAAACATCGCCAGTGTGCTCATCGTAAACGCAGTGTGCGAGGCATCCGGGGCGGCCCACCACCATCACTCACATAAACCCACCGCTGCGTCGCTCTCGCTAGGGGCGTACCCGCAGCGATGGTGCTATCATTTATCCTCATCCAGAATCGCCAGTACGTTTTCTCCCCCCTTCCCGAAATGCCGCTGCTGTCAGCGCAAACTGGTCACATTCTCGAATTGCGAACCTCTTGGGCCTACGGACTCTCCGTATCGTTCGATGACTGACATCTTGGATCTGCTAGGGGCAAGACCCGTTTGGCGAAATGGTATGCGCCGTACAGTGTAAGTCCGCACCAGAATGCAATCCCATCGCCGGAGTCACAAACTAACCTCGTAGATAGGATGAAGAGAAAGTAAAAATGAAGGGAGAGGTATGCAGCTTCATCAGACACCCCCCCTGGCCCTCTATCAATCCACCTCACCACCCACCTTCCTCCTCGAACCCTCGATCTCCCGGTCTACCGATATCGATACGTCTCCAACCCTCAATTCGTCCCCGTCCGCATCCCGATGCGCATATCCATCCCTCCCATTCCACACATCAGCATGACTGCCCAGCTCCAGCGCTCCCCCGGACATCTCCAATTGATCAAACCCTCCTCCAAGTACTGACAATTCCGCCAACCCCTTAGGTCCACCGCCTCATCGCGCCGCGCGACCAAAAGCACCAGTCCAACTTCGTCGAGTTCCGCAACATGTCCAAGATCGTCTACCGGCGGTACGCGGGACTCTTCTTCTGCGCCTGTGTCGACACCAACGACAACGAGCTCGCGTACCTCGAGGCCATACATTTCTTCGTCGAGGTGCTGGATGCATTCTTCGGGAACGTGTGTGAGCTGGACTTGGTGTTTAATTTTTATAAGGTATGTTTGATGGTGGTTGGGTTGGCAGAGGGAATTGTATACTAAGGGGGGAACAGGTGTACGCTATATTGGACGAGGTGTTTTTGGCGGGGGAGATCGAGGAGACGAGTAAACAGGTTGTTTTGACGAGACTGGCGCATCTGGATAAGTTGGAGTAGGTTGGCTTCAAGCACTTGACAGACTGCAATGGACTGCTCTGTGCGAATTGATTGTGGGATTCGGAGTTGGCATCGACTACAACTCCTTCCGACGCGTACCGGCGAAAACACCTGCTGGTGCTCCAACAAGGTCAACCGATCTGCGGTCACAGATCTGAAACTGGACATCAGGAACGATTCGAGATGACCGTGTCAAGCCTGGGGATGCCAATGGCTGGGGGTTCAAGATATGGAGTATCTCGTGCGAACGTCACTCCATCTCTCCCTACCCACCTTAAGCAGTAGCTATATTAAAGACTTGGATGTAAATGTACCGGATCTCAATGGTATATAATTTTATGGGTCTTATCAAGAACGAAAATGTACGACAATCAAACTCAACTGTTTTCTCCTCCACATGTTCCGTGAACAGTATTCGATTACGCGAATATTCTACATTCTACTATGCAATGATCTGAAGACGAAGATCCTGGGTCCATTCAACGGGACCTACGCCGAGTTGGGAGGAATGTTGATCCGAAGCACATGATCTCATTAGATGTCTCATGGCGGGCGGTCTCGACTGCGTGGCACGGACCATGATTGTCCCCGAAAGCTCAACGTATACACAAAATATGTTCCCCAGATGCCACATTGCCAAACCAAAACTCCAGAGGTGATCCTCTTGCAACACAGCCAGATACCCCGTCGCATTGGAATGGTGCAGCTCAATCCGACTCGGAGCTTTCGAAATCCTTAGGCAACCTGAGTGATCGCGCGACCAGCTACCTGTCTTCTTCCTACTCCACCACCACCGCCGCTGGCCGCGTAAAGACCCCCGCGCCGCAATCATGTCCGAGTTCGCCATGTATCACGCCCTTGGGGACGATCAGCAGAACCAAGCACCACGGAAGGATGGACACAATCCCTTCAGTCCTCCTATCGCACCAAGCCCCAGTGGCTACCAACAGACAGGCAGCCCAGCTTTCAGCGGGCAAGGCCCCAATCAGTACGGACCTGGTGCTACCTCACAACAGCCAGGCTACTTCCCGCCGCAGCAGGCCTCGCCGAACCAGCCTGGACAAGATGTCCATAATTTGAGCGCTCAGATGGGTGGCATGGGATTAGGTGGGGAGGCGCCAGTGACGCCGAGGCACAAGAAAAAGGACAGGCACGCGTATCATAACATTGAAGGTCCAGGAGGAAGCTCACAAGCGTTCAACGGAATACCACAGGGAGGTGCCACGCCCACACAATTCCTGAACCAGAACAGTCCGCAGGTTGGAGGTCCGCAATGGGGCAGCCCACAGATCACGCCAGCGATGAACCAGTTCCCAGCACCGGCGGGGACGACCTTCTCTCCCGCCAATCCGGCAACATCAATGCAGCATGCCGCTCGAGCGGGTGGAGCACCTCTGGCAGGTTCACCAGCTTCATCACAGCAGGGCCGCGTCGATCCCGAGCAGATACCCAGCATACCCAGATCTCGAGATGCACCGGCCAAGTACTACCTCGAGCATGTGTATCCCACGATGGAGCATCACTTGCCGCCCCCGGCGCTGGTCCCTTTCGTTGCGTACGATCAGGGCAATTCGTCTCCGAAATTCGCGAGACTTACGTTGAATAACATCCCCGCATCGCAAGACGCGCTCGCACAGACTGCCCTTCCATTGGGCTTAGTGCTCCAACCTCTGGCTCCTCTTCAAGAGGGAGAGCAGGCCATCCCCGTCCTGGATTATGGCGACCAGGGACCTCCCAGGTGTAGAAGGTGCCGTGCGTACATCAATCCCTTCATGGCCTTCCGTTCCGGTGGAAACAAGTTCGTCTGCAACATGTGTACGTTCCCCAACGACGTCCCCGCGGAATATTTTGCGCCCACGGACCCGTCAGGCGCGAGGGTGGACAGGTTACAACGTCCGGAGTTGACGCTCGGTACGGTCGATTTCGTGGTCCCTAAGGAATACTGGTCCAAGGAACCTGTGGGGCTTCGCTGGTTGTTCTTGATCGATGTTACTGCTGAGGCTGTCAACCGCGGATTTTTGGACGGCTTCTGTGCGGGCATCATTGATGCTCTCTATGGCGATGGGGAGACTGAAGGTGAAGAGGGTACTAAGTCTAAGATTCCACCAGGCGCAAAGGTTGGCATCGTCACGTTCGACAAGGATATCCATTTCTACAACCTGAACCCAAACCTTGAGAAGGCGCAGATGCTGGTGATGCCAGATATTGAGGAGCCTTTCTTGCCACTGAGTGACGGATTGTTTGTCGATCCCCAGGAATCCAAGACTGTTATCACTTCCCTACTACAGCAGCTACCTACCATGTTCTCCGAGGTCAAGAACCCCGAGCCTGCCCTCCTCTCCACTTTGAACTCCGGCCTGGAGGCGTTGAAAGCTACCGGAGGCAAAATAGTGTGCTCGCTTTCTGCGCTCCCAACTTGGGGACCTGGAAGGCTGTTCTTGCGTGACGATGGCAATGTTCATAACACAGATGCTGAGAAGAAGCTCCTCACTACAGAGCACCAGGGCTACCGAAAGATCGCGCAGCAGATGGTTGAGAGCGGCATTGGTATCGACTTCTTCATGGCTGCACCAAGCGGCGGCTATCTGGACATTGCGACAATCGGTACGATTGTGCTTATGATATTACATGTACACCTAGAAGGTATTCTAACTGAAAGCAGGTCACGTTTCCGCACAAACTGGTGGCGAAGTGTTCTACTACCCCAATTTCCATTCTCCTCGGGACACACTGAAGCTCTGCAAGGAGATCAAACACACAGTTACACGAGAAACAGGATACCAGGCATTGATGAAGGTTCGTTGCTCCAACGGCCTGCAAGTCTCGGCATACCACGGCAATTTCTACCACCATACTTTCGGTGCGGACCTAGAATTCGGTGTTATTGATGCCGACAAGGCCATCGGTGTGATGTTCAGCTACGACGGCAAGCTAGATCCCAAGCTTGATGCTCACTTCCAGAGTGCTTTGCTCTACACGACAGCCAGCGGAGAGAGGCGAGTGAGGTGCAGTAACATTGTCGCTAGCGTTAGCGAGGGTGCTGCAGAAGCGATGAAGTTCGTTGATCAAGACGCTGTAGTGTCCATCATTGCGAAGGAGGCCGCTTCCAGAATGACTGAAAAGAATCTTAAGGAGATCCGCGGAGCTCTTTCCGAGAAGTCGGTTGACATCCTCGCTGGCTATCGCAAGAACTTCACAGGTAACAATCCACCTGGCCAGCTCGTCCTTCCCGAGAACCTCAAGGAATTCAGCATGTATATGCTTGGTTTGATCAAATCGCGAGCAATAAAGGGCGGGAAAGAACCTTCCGATCGACGAGCTCATGATATGAGAATGATCAAATCGATGGGCCCTCTTGAATTGTCATTGTATCTCTATCCCCGCATCATCTCGTTGCACAACCTCGACGAGACCGATGGATTCCCGAACGAGAATGGACACCTCAAGATGCCAGACACTGTGCGCGCTTCGTTCTCCAAGGTGGAAGAAGGCGGCGCATATCTAGTAGATAACGGCCAGGTCTGCCTACTCTGGCTGCACGCGCAGGTATCACCAAACCTACTCGAGGACCTGTTCGGCCCAGGTCACACGAGCTTGAAGGGACTCGACCCCTTCGCCTCGACATTGCCTGTCCTAGAAACGCATCTCAACGCACAAGTGCGAAACATCCTACAGTACCTCGAGACCAGCCGAGGTTCCAAAGCACTCACACTCCAACTTGCGCGACAAGGTCTCGACGGGGCAGAATACGAATTTGCCCGCCTCTTGTACGAGGACCGCAACAACGAGGCACAGAGCTACGTAGACTGGCTCGTCCACGTGCACAGGCACATCCAACTCGAGGTGAATAAACCCAGACGCTAGAAACATCCTCCCCCGTAACAGAGCACTGATTGTGAAAATCTAGCTTGCCGGGCAACGCAAGAAGGAGCCCGATTCGGACGGCTTGTCGGCTTCGACGTTTGTGGGATTGCGGACACCGTACTGGGGATAATGAGCTTTTCAAACAAAACTCAATTCACTATTTCCCCGCCCTCCCTTTGGAAAGAAATGAGAAACTGAACTTTTTATCATGGCGTGACGAAACCTATTATCAAGATATAAAATGGATGGGAAAGAGGGAGGAGGAAGGGACGGTGATGACCTTAAACAGTGGCACTTTATAAAGATGGTTTTGCATCGATCGAATCGTAATTTGCATAGCGAAAAAATCCTACTTTATTTTATTCATTTACAGAAATCAATATATGGGTAACTAACCTTTCTCATCTCGAAATCCTACCTCATCCGGCCTTCCCACCCGCCTTTTCTGGGGGCCTTCCTATGCTTATGATTCATTGCCCGCCTAGTGTAACACAGTACCATACAATACCTCTCTCCCCCATGAGGTAGTCCACCAACCCGCCATAACGCGACCCTGACGCAGACACAATCCCCATCCCATCTCACCCCCAACATGATTGGATTGGCCCCGTTTGCCGCACCCCGCGCCAGATCCCCATCCCTTCTTTCGATCCCACACGCCCAAGTATGAGTAAGACAACACACCACACCCTCGCACCCATCTCGCACCAATCCCTGCGCGCTGCGCGTCAGAAAGAGGTAAGCAGAAATGGGACCCCTACCGTGTGTAATTTCTACAAAGGGTAGGTTTGGGGAAAAAGTGTCGATGGCGGCGGGTGGGTTTTGCCAGCCAACCAATGCTGTTTGTGGTTTGTGCGAGGGTTTGGGGAAGGCTGATTGGTAGGCTGGCTGGTGGACGATGCGGATGTGAGGTGATGGTTGTTGATATGGTGCATACATACATTCACATATGAAGTTGCGTGGTTCTTTTTTAGACTTCTCGTGAAGCCGTGCATATCTCTTCAGAGGCAGACCGGATGAAGCCCGCCCTTCTTCCATCTGCTCCCTTTTGCTCTACTCTCTCCAGACTTTGAATCCGAAAGAGAAAGAAATGTCACAGTTCGCAATCATCACCACGAAGCACGATTCCAATGTCTAAAGTACAATGTGATCATTTGGACTAGCTACTCCTTAGACACCTCCTATGATAGGCGGCGATTCGAAGTATTGAATCCCAACCGGAACTCCACCTCCATAATAATCCCACCCTCATTGAATCTGCAGGAACCCAAAGGTCGATAATCCCCGAATTCAATTCGTGTGTCCTGATTGATCCACCAAAGATCCGATTGATTTCTCCGGATTCAAGAGTTGAGTTCAAAGGAAAAAAGGAAAAGAGAAATACAAAACAAAGCAAGACAAAATATAACCAGCAGTGAAACCCCGTTTTTCATCCATCGGAAGGTTTCATCAAGAAAGAGGGAATTGGATGGACCGGACGGATTCTTAGGGAAGCTTGTGTGTTCCCAATGATTCGACGTCGGATCGATCCCTCATGTATTCAATTCGTGTTTGTTGAAGACTGAAAAGACTCATGCAGTATGGAAATGCTCATTTAGACGTATTTGGTATCGATGACGCTGCAATCTTACCATATCAGCATGGTGGTTCGACAACTCACGACTAGATCATGTACTTACTTCAACTTCAATAATCTCAACGCATACACATGCCATATGGCCTACTCAAAGTGGACTCTCTTCTTAGTCTTCTCCTGGGCGGGCTCGTCCACTGGAGATGTCGGCGGAGCCACGGTGCCAGAAGTATTGTACTTGTAGCCTCTGACCCTGGAAGAGTGTTGCAGCACAGGCTCTGGAGCTGCTGACAGAGCAGTGGTACCCATGTTAGATTCGGGCAGGCTGAACCGACGGTCAAACCATCGCTGGTTGGCTTGTGGATGGCGAACTTCGTCTGCAGTGTTGTCGAGACTTGCACGGAGGATTTCGTAGGCGCGGACGCTTTCTGCGGGATTGACGGACAACCTGCGGCTGAACACTTCGGTCCCTGGGCTCAATGGGTATCCCAAGACGGTAGCAGGTTTGGGGTTGGGATCGCCGAGGCATGTCAGAAACCGGCTCTGGCGTTCCGTATTCGTGAAGTTCGGGTCGAGGCGGCGGCTGCAGTGCATGCCGCCGAGTAGGGCTGCGTCTCCGTAGATCATGGAGTAGCGAGCCGGGGAGTTGAAGGGGGTGGTCATCGACACGCTACTCTCGCGGCTGTCCATCTTGCGGGAGTGGCGGAGCCTTTCCATCGCCTCGTCGGCGGCCTGCCGGGCGACTTCCTCGAGACGGGAATTGCACTTGTTGTGAAGATTGGTATCTTTTTCATCGGAGACGAGCGAGTCTTTCCTCTCGAGCGGCTTAGTTACGTCTTCCAGTCTCTGGGGCCAGCTGTGGGTTTCGTAGGGGCTGGAGTGGGAAGTCTTGAAGACTTCGCGGGTCTCGGGGTGTTCAGCATCGGCGAGGGTGAATTGAGGAAGCACTGGGGCACTCGGGGATGGAACCAACGACGAAGATCCAGCGTAAAGAGCCGGGACAAGAGAACGTTCACGACTTTGACGACGTCCACGGCGTGCACGGCGTGCACGTCTGACCGGAGACGAGCTTGGATGAACAATCAGAGATGAGGTCGAGGAGGATGACCTTACTCCGCGAGAGTCGTCATTGTCGTCACGGAGTCTACGGCCCAACCTCTCTTCATGATCAGCGGTCCTGCCACGGACGTTGCTCTCTTCATTGCGAAAGCTGCCACCAACGCGGCGGTCAGAGTTTCCAGGCACAGAGAGGCTCCTCTGCAGTCCCTCTGAAGACCTCTCATCGCGGCCTCGGCGGGAGTGAGACTTCGACCTGGACACACGTGCATGAGACTCGGCAGGCAAGTGCCCTCCATCCTCATTTTCTTGAGCAGGACCTTCCCGATGACGAGAAGCCGAGGCTCTGAAGTCAATGGCCTCCTCACCTGTAACAAGTTTAGTTTTCACCTTCCTGCAAAGACGCTTCACGATGCCTCCACCGCTTGAGGGCCTCGCCCTTTTGGTAGACTTACTCCTAACCAGGGACGGCTTTACTTTCTCCTCTCGACGCTGAACGGGGGGCTCAAAGTCCGTTGCAAAAGCATCTTTCAACTCTTTGATGAAGGATGCGCGGTCCTGTTCGTACTTGTCCTGGTACGATTTCTGTCCAGCGGTTTGTTGTTGATCCTTCTCTTGAGGCAAGAGGGAGGTTACATGCTCCTTCGCAGAAGCCCCTCCCAAGGCATACTTGGTAGTGAACCCGAGGTCATGGTCGTCACTATGCTTAGAAGAACTTGGTCCAGCTTCTTGTTGATTAACCTTGGCTACCATCTTGCTGTTTTGGATGTTGGCCTCGCGTCGCATGACGAGCTGGAAGCTTCCATCTGAGTCCGAGTCCGAGTCGGAATCCGAGTCGCTATCAGAGATAGTGATGTCGAGACCGTCAAGGTAGAGATTGACGCAGTGCTGCTTATACTTGGGGCCACGCACACGAATGGGAATGGGATGTAAGGCAGAAGAGAAACCCGTGCGACGACCCTCCTCTTCACGGGGTGCTTCGTCGGACATCATCTTTCCCTTACCTTTAGCTTTAGCAGTGGGAGCTGCACCATCGCGACCCAGCAGACCAACCAACCCGAGACGCTTCTCAACACTTTCCAAGTACTCCTTCCGAGCAGCCGGTCCCTTGGGACTGAATAACTTCCACGGCTCGTCGTCGATTTCGACAACGAGACTGCTGATGCTCGGGCCAGAAGCCCCGATACCACGGCCGGTAATGTTGCGGTTGGCAGCCGCAGCATTATTGGCCCTCTCATTCATCTTGAAGATCTCACGCAGGGAAATGGGCTCGTTGATAGGCATGCTCTCCTCGAACAAGGTACTTACGTATATGCTGTGGGCTGTCGCCCGCTTGCGTAATTTTTTGGATTTGGATCCTTGAGCGATGAACTGTCGCCGGATGAGCCGATAGTCTTGCTCCTCCGGAGACGAGATGCGGGAGTTGCTTTCGAGCAGCTCGTCTGGTAAGACTGTTTGTTCGTAGTAGAAAATGTACCCTCGCACGCTGCTGCGAATGATATATGTTGGCCTTGCGAGCATGTAGTCGCACTGGGAGGGGATGAAGGAGAAGGAGAAGGCGAAGTGGTGGCTGTTGTCGTTGGTTGCAGCGCGCGCGGGTGGTTGGTTGGAGGGTTGGGAGAACATGGAAAAAATAGTGCGTCCACAGGATCTCAGGTGAAGGTGGGTGATAGATGGGATGACCGGTGCTCGTGGAAGATGGGATGGATTCGCAAAGGTAGCGAAGGCGAAGGTGAAGGCGAGTGGTTTCGGTGGACTCTGAACCTGCTATCTTCTAATATGTGTTCGATATTGACAGGACGCACAATAGAAACAGTGCACAATAACTCTTATAGACACACTTTATGTGGTAGAACCAGATCAATTGTCTCTGGAGCGGATGCTACCAGGGACGCCATCACTGTGCAGTCAGATGTACAATGAGAACGGCAAACGTGTATTGGGCAGAATCAAAAAGTTGCAAGCTTCCAGAACAATGGGTGAGGGATTGAGAGGTAGAAGAAGATGGCAGCGGTGCCAGCCAATATTTCATTCGGCAGGTAGGTGGAGTAAGTCTCTCAACACAAGTTCCGCAGTCCCAGGCTCCACGGTACCCTCTGCCCCACGACTCATCATCTGACCCACGAACCACTTAATCTTCTTGTGTTGGCCTTTCGCCACTATGTCGTCCACTACGTCGGGTTTCTCCTCGAGCAGTTGCCGGGCCATCTCTACGTACTCTTGGTGGGAAAGGGGTCGCAATATGAGGCCTTCATCTTCGATGATTTGCTGCACAGGGCGCGGCTCCCCGTCGAACTTCATGACCAGAAGCAGTTTCGCGGTCCGACCGGTGATCTGCTTGCGAATGAGGCATGCAATGATGGAAGCGAGCTCGGACGATGGGACACGAATTGCAGACCAGGTTTCGTCTTTGAAAAGAGCGCCCAGTTCCATCAATACCCTGCCCAATATTTAGTACATGGAAGCAATGAAGCCATTTTACTGTCAGAACCTACCAATTTCCAGCAACCTTACCAATGCGTGCTGCCTTTGCTTCTTCTTCCGAGAGCATACCCTGAAGATCTAGTACAAGGTCATGGTAGTACTCGAGTCGATTGCCATCGTCCAATGCAAGTAGGGTACTGGCATCTTTGGGCGTAAGGCCATATTGGTCGACATCCACGAGGACCTGCATAGCCTCATCCGATAACATGGGAAGCGTGGACCGGAGATGATCAACGACGTCCTACCCTAATTAGCACTGCACACCAAAACTTTGAATATTTACCGTACCTTTCCTACGACGACAGGTGCAATGTCAGGATCAGGCATGTACCGGTAATCGATCTCGCCTTCCTTCCCTCTCAACCGCTTGGTGGTCTTGCTGCCCAATGTCCAACCTCGAGTCTCCCCCTCGACGACCCCACCTCCTTCGAGGAGATCGATTTGGCGATCTCGTTCGGCTACGATTGCATCTTCTACCGCCTTCACACTTGCCAAGTTTTTTATTTCCGTCCTCTGCCCCAGGCCGGTAACACCGGAGTATGAGAGACTATCCTTTCCGGGCTGTACATTCCGTTCCCGGATAGACACATTTATATCGGCACGGAGGCCACCCATTTCCATTCCCGTGGTGCACGCATTGACGGTCTTAAGGATGGTTTGGATCTTTCGTACGCATACCGCTGCCACGGTAGGGTTGTGGATTTGAGGGAGGGTTATTATTTCGATGAGAGGATGCGATACACGGTTGAAATCGAGGAGGTGCGTTGAGGGGGGCTGCTGGATGGTTTTGGCCGTATCCTGTTCCATCTGAACCTGCTTGATCCCGATCGTGATCGGTCCTCCTTCTGGAGATACCCCGCCGGGGAAATCGTGGGGAAAGAGGGTGATGTGTCCGTCTTTTGCGAAAGGCTCTGGGGTATTCGGTCAGAAACGGGAATAGCTACACCGCCAGATATTCATACCGTAGAATTGGGTGATTTGATAGCCGGACGGTTGGTCTTGGTAGAAATAGTGCTTTCGATCAAAGCTGCTTCTGGGCTGGATCTCGCAATTGAGTGCTATGGCGGCACGAATTGCAGGTATGAGTGTCTCCTTCTGGAAATGAGGTTGACTTCCAGGAAAGGCTACATCGAATAAGGCGACATGTGTGTTCGGAGTGTCATTCATTGAAGTTGCTGCGCCTGAGAAGAGCTTGTGGGCGGTATTGAGCTCCGCATGGATCTCGACGCCGACGGTCAATTCCCATTTCTCTAGCCGTGGGTCGGATTGCTTCTTGGAGCCTTTCTTAGAGCCCGGGGCCGCACGATCTTCCTTTTTCTTCTTTCTAGCTGCATCTTTGAGCTGTTTCCGAAATGGGGTATCCTCTTGGGGTAAGGCTTGGCTATCGGTTTGTAGATTACGGAGGAGCGGTCGGCTTATGCTGGGAGAAGTGGCCAATGAAGGACTTCTAGCAGATCGAAGACATGCTGGACATACGTATGGCCGCCTCGCAAGGGTGGAGAGCACGCGACGAGTCGGTTGCTGAAGCATGATGTGCGGATGTCGTGCATCGGAGGTGAAGACGAATCAACATCAAGAGTGTCCGTGCGTCGCGGAATTCATAGCAAGCGTCATGACCATTGATAGTATTACTCTGCCAGAAATATGCAATTCAAAGTGTTTGGAATCTACGCACTGAGTCTAGTAGTCAAGATAGCAGTTGTTGTGTAGTAACGGGAAACGATTTTTTTCTGTCCTTCTTACGCAACTTTGTTCGTGGTTTATGATATTTTATGTCATGCGTTCAAGTTGGGCGATCACATTCAGAAGTAGAAAATTGTTAGAAGAACCTTTGAATTAAGATTGTCTGGTATACGCTGCTCCTGTGTGCACAAACAATCTCAACCGGTTTCAGTAAGCCTACTGGGAGTATGAATGGTTCTAGGTTAATATGTAACGGTAACAGTCCGACGACGTGAGAACTTGGACTTAAGTCTAGCCAAGAAATGCCTCTTCACCAAATTCGCCTTATTGATGTTGGCCTCCCTTTCCCTTTTTCTTTGCAATTTTCTCTCCTTCTTCAATCGCCTTCTCTGATCTCTAGCCTTCTGACGCCTTTCGTAGGAACTTTGACTCGTGTTCGTTTTGACAGGTCCGGGTTTTAGTGTTGGAGCAGCAGATAAAGTTGAGTTGGTGTTTTTGGATGCGTGACTCAAACTTCTGTCCTTGTCGACATAGGGCCTGCCACAGTGGCTACAATAGTGCTTGCCACAGCAGTGCCTTTTGCCATGATGCTTGCCATCAAAGTACGAACCGTCGCTGCGGCGGCGTGGAGGCGTGTGCGGAGGCGTATGTGGAGGTGTATGTAGAGGCGTCTTTGGAGGTGTCTTCGGAGGTGTTTTGGGAGGGGTTATTGGAGGCGTGTGTGGTGGTGTTTTCGGAGTTGTTGGGGTCTGTGGAGCCGGTGGAGTCTCTGGAGGCACATTGCTTTCGCCGTTCTCTTGAGTAGACATGTGTGGATGTCCGTAAGTCTGTTCGACGAAGAGACGTCTTAGGTGAGGCTTTGTGGGTGTGTTGCGGATGAGGGATCTGCAAAGTGGATGTTAATCGGTGAACCGCGAAGTATGAGAAGAGATCATTTGCCTTGTGCGTAGTAGAGGACACTATGAGAAGCTGCGTTTGATATGATGTGGCTTATGACGGAATTAAAGTGTGACGGAAAGGGTCGTGTCTAGGAGTATGATATGAACGACAGATGAGATGAACGCGGTAGAAATAGTGATGAGGGAGACGGCTGAAGTGAGGAAGATTGTAGAACTCTGAGAAGGTAGATGAAAGGATCAGAGAAGGAAAATGGATCAATACCCACCCAACACGTCGTGACTGCCTTTGCAGTCAGAAGACCTGCCTCTGTATCAAAAGATAACAGCAAGCGAGACTGCACTCGCCTTACGCATAGCAGGGGGAAGGTAAGGTACGGTGTAAGTAGTTGCACGATAGTGACGTCGACCGTTACGTCGAATAAAGTGACCAACTTCAAGATAAACAACATCACTAGCATGTGCAATGATCTGAGTACTTCAGTTTATTCGTCTACGTTCTGACTCTGCTAAATGCATGACGAACAAAACCCACATGAATGCCCAATGTATGCTAGGTCTATGAATAAGCCTGCTAAATGGAACACGACTCGATCATGCGATAAAAGAGGCCCCAAAATTGGGATCCTGAAAGGAAAATGGGTATTTTGGAAATGTAGAAACACATGCAACCCACATGCATCCATAATGTCGAACAAAGGAAAGAAGTAGTCGGATGAAGAATGCACAGTTGAAGAGGATATGGTGAGGAAGGGAGTGATAGAACCAACGAGCCTGAGAACTCGCGCGAGGGGATGAAGAGAGTGCATGTCTCTGACTGGTGAAATCATGGTCAGAGACAAGAGGGAGTGGATATGCAAAGGCGTAGGATAATAGAGAAATGCGTTCGCGTCCGTTACGTCGTGCAAGTCACAGACCGGAACCCTGCATGCCAACTGCTCCCCCCTCTTTTCCCTTGCATGCTCAGGCGCGTGGTCCCGGACAGCGTGCCTCCACGGCTAGCCATGTGGCACGCTAGGTTTTGAGATCTTGATAATTTGAGATTTGAAAGTTTTTGTGGTCGTTAATGATGTTTGCGTGTAACGTCATGAGAGGTCCGTGGTGACCGTGTTAAGCGCAGTACTCTACATGCGAGTGCGCATATGTGGTGATAGTCGTGGTTGCGCTATCTATGCCCTGCCAGCGCGAGCGAATTCCTTGATCTTGACGCCAGGGACTTTGCTGAAGCGTCGGCTGCTGCTGCTGTTGTTTGTCGACATGGACTTGGAGGAGGTTGGCGAGGAAGCGTAGATGTACTCGCCATCCACGTACTGCGCATCGCTGATGAAGGTAGTGCGCTTCTCACGACGAGTGTAGCGCTGCTCCAGGCGGTAGAGCTCAAGTTCTAGTACAGTTAGAAATGTGATTGTGGATCCCTGGGATTGCCTGACATACTGGCTTGAAGCTTCTCGATGAAACCCATGTTGAATACCGGCAACAAGTTGTTCAATTGATGTCACGAGAGGGAGGATATGTTCAAACGGTCGGTTTATCTTGGAAGGTTGGAACAGTGGTAGGTCTGGGCGACAGATGGGGATCGGAAGCGAGGTGGTATAATATATCTCCCGAGGATCTCGACCTGGTAGGTACAGGGACAGGGAAAACCGTTGTAACACTGAAGCAGACGCCGCGGCAGTCAAGTCTCGGCTGTTAATTTAGAGATTTGCAGGAGGTTGGCGATCCCAGGAACGAATGCAATTGCTGGGGTTGTGGTTGAAGTCGGCAAGGTAGGGTGACGACGAGGATGGAGAAGAGGTCGAGAGGAGATAAACCACAAACGGGGAGGAGGAGAAGGACTACCACGAGGAGGAAGGGAGGGGAGAGTCTAAAAACGAAGAGAACCCACAGTATCTCGTAACAGGAGAGGGACGGGAAGGTTACTAGAAAGAAGGGCCAGGCACGCCGCACACAGGACAGGGACAGGACAGGCACGCAATGCACACGACACGCTACTCGTACACAGAAACCAACCTACGAGTTCACTGCCAGCCTCTACAGGTCTAGTCTGCTGTTTAGTTGATGATTGAGCACGGGCGGGAAAGGGCCGAAGGACTCTCTTGGCCGTCTATTCCCAAGTTCTCGAAGCCGATGAGGGCTTATCGAGTGCAACGCAAGTCAGTTAGGGCGCCACTGGCCTGCACTGGTTTTCAATGGCATGCAATGGCCTGCAACGGCATACAGTCGTCTGCAATGATGGCTGGCTGCCGGCTTTGGCTCGCAGCCCGTGGGCTGTTGATATGGGGGTTTACGCGGGGGATTCGTCCCTGTTAGGCCTTTTCGGCGAGTATCAACGGCCCTAGGCCAAAGGACAGTCAACTTGTCGTGCATGTCGTGTAAGTGCTAAACACTGTTCCATGCATAAAGGGAAGGTATTCGCCAAAAATGCAGAGAGCGGTCCATTGGTGGGTATGTTCTCTCACTGTTTCTGTTGTGTCCTTCTCTTCTGTTCCTCTTCCAACCTCTCTTCTCGTGATTCTCTTTGAATTGAGAGTGCTCCGTGTCGTAAAACGCATTGCCACCCGCCACCAGCCACCGGCATTGCGGTAAAAACAAGTAGTGGGTGGATTGTCGTTCCGTTGGGATGGTTTGGCGTTCTTCTCATGTTCCCTGACTCTCCTCAAATTTCGTCTCCCTCTTCCGAGTCCCCACCCAGCATCCTCTCTCAAGTCTCGAAACCGACCCACGTGGATGCTAACCCCTTATGGGTACACTAATCCCTTTGTGGGTACGCTAATCCGAGCCTAATGGCTGCATGAGCAAGGGGCGCATTGACTACTGCATTCAATCAAATCCAAAATACGACTCAACCACCCTCTCAAAGGCTCAAACCCACCGGGGAAACGCACCACCGCTACGAGTCAACGTTCATGCAATGGAGATCGCGTCACTAATTGTCCTGCTCTTCTTTGTCAATCGTTCCACTCACCCTACCTACTGTGCAGTGTGTACTGTGTAAGCATGTGGAGAGCGTTCCGAAACTCATCCTTCCGTCAATCTCATCGATTCAAGCAAACAAGCAAGCAGCCAAGACATCCGTAATAGTAGTTATGTTCTTTTTGCATTTCTCCATTTGTACTTGAAGCTGTGCCTCATCTATGTAAACATTTCCCCGCATGATTGCTCGCGGGCTTGTGTGTGCTTCGTCCATCATTTCACGTATCCGTGCCGTTACCAAAGTCTATGTCATCCCGTCCGGACTCCAGGCTCCATGCAAACATGCAAACATGCTCTCCTGTCCACCCAACCCTTGGGTGAACAATCCACAGTCCACAAGTATCTCTTCGAACGTTCTCCTTCGTTCTACTTTTAGGTCGTGCAGTTGCGGCGCTCTAGACGCGTGTGTCTCCGACGGACCCCTCTACAACTGCCACTGCTCCCGCATTGCCTGCATCGGTAGAGCCGTTCAGCAAGGATACCACAGAAATGACATCCGCCGGCTCGACAAGATGCCAGCTTGCTAGAGTCTGCTTCGAGCTGGCACCGACTGTTACGGAAAATACGTGATCGGTTGGCAATCGTGCTTGGCGCAAGGATCGGAACATATCTGCAGTAGGAATTAGCAATCCATCCATACACATACGCAGACCAAGTACAAATGACATACCTTCATCCGTGAAGTCATCGCCCAGGCAGAGTATGAACTCCGGAGCATCGCCTTCCTCGCTCCCGTATTCTTGAACTAGACGCTTCGCGATCTCGCCTTTGTTGACAAAGCGAGGGCGTACCTCTAGATTGGCCTTGCCTGTCATGACCTCAACATCGTACTTCTTGGCCACGGTCTTTTCAAGATGTTTCTGGCACTCCCTGGATTGGAACAGTCCGTAATCCGGATCGGCTCTTCTGTAGTGCCATGTTAACGCGATCTTCTTGCGTTCAATGAAAGATCCTGTCGAGTGTGAGCGGCTGTAAAACCTAGTCAACAATATCGAACATACCTTGTGTCCTCTCGGTATAGTGCTGGAAGATTTCAAGCACTTCATTCTGCCAGCTCATATCCGTTTTTTCAGTGAGGTTCTCCCAATCTTCGGTGCGAGGATGACGCATGAAACTGCCATGTTCTGCACTGAGACCGAGTTCCGGGATGTGGCCCATGTAGTCATCCAAGAATTTTTGATCTCTTCCACTGATGATCCAGACAGCATTGGAAGGGTCTGAGGCTAGTGTCTTGAGAGTGCGGATGACGCGGTCAGAGGGGATAGCTGCCGACGGGTCTTTGACAATCGGTGTCAAAGTACCATCGTAGTCGAACATGAAAAGTCGTTTAGTCGCCTGGCGGTATTGGTACAGTAGCTTGGCTCGATCCAGGGCAGGGGTGGCGAAAGATTGATCAAACGATGCAAGGTTGGTCATTAATCGCTTGAAGAAGCTATTTGTCCACGTTTGCACAGTGTTGGCCACAACATATTCGTATAGGCCATTGAACTGTCCCTTGCGGGTGTCCTGGGGCATAGTGAGAGCGTCGTTGATTGCCCTCGCAACACCGCTCAAGTCCCAAGGATTGATATGTATGGCTCCGCGCAAGGAACCTGCAGTTCCGGAGAATTCGGATAGGATGAGGGGTCCGTGATTGTCCTTCTGGCAGACGACGTATTCCAGACTGGTCGTATTCATACCGTCACGCACGCTGGTGATCAGGCCAACGTCTGCTACACGTAGTAGAGCGAAGTATTCCTCCCTGGAAAGGTATTGCGGGAAGTGCTGCACCGGAGTGAAACTTAGGGAGCCATAATTGCCATTGATACGAGCAACCAAATCCGAGATCTTGGTGACAATCTTATTGTCATCGTCCTCGCCACGCTTGGTCTGCACCCCACTGGGGCTTGTAACCTGAATCAATACAACCTTGCCGCGCCAATCGGGGTATCTCTCGAGGAACATTTCGAAGGCCTGAAGCTTTTGGGCAACTCCTCGAACGGAGTCTAACCTATCTCTACCGACGATGAGCTTCTTGCCCGCATACAGCTCGCGAATGGCCTTTATCCTATCTTCGATGACTGGGTCTTCGAAGGCGAGCTTCTTGGTGTTGGCGGCGTTGATTCCGATGGGGAAGACATCCACGGCTACATGTGCGCCATACGCATCAACGCCAGCAGACGAGGAGTCGAAGCCGAGAACACGGGTGCAACAGGACGAGAAATGGCGAGAGTAGCTGTAGGACTGGAAACCAATCATGTTCGATCCCAAGACTCCCTCAAGAATCTCCTTGCGCCTGCTGAGACAACGATAGAATTCGCTACTGGGGAACGGAACGTGGAGGAAGAAGCCGATGTAGATGTTTGGGACACGTTGTCGAAGGAGACTGGGCAGCAGGAGAAGATAGTAATCGTGAATGACCACAATGTCTCCAGGACTATAATACTCCATGATACGATCGGCGAACAACTTGTTCATGCGGTAGTAATCTGCCCACGTCAACCTCGCGTCACGACCGTCTGCTGGCTCATTCTGCTTGTAGTGAAAGAGGGTGTACAGCTCGTGCTCGGCATATCGCCGCCAGCGAGATTGGTCCTTTAAGATGAGGAGGTCCTTCTCTTTATCCACATCGTCGGCAAGCCAGACGGGAACAATCTTGCCGTTATTGTCTCGTTCGAGCTGTCTTTCGAGTCGATGACGGTCCTCGCGGCCGATGCGCAGCCCGTCGTGAGCCGGCGGCTGGGTCCACTTGCCATCCACGGGTATCGGAGCTGCCGCTTTGTTCTGTTGTGAAGAGTTCGCAGGCCTGTAATTCTGGCTTGTGACGGGTTTAGCAGTTTGAATCTCGTTAATCTCACCAGTCCAGCCAATGAGGGTATGGTTCCATGGAGATGATGCCGAAGCAAGATGGTTGAACGAATCGAACAGGGCTGAAGTTCCGCGTCTGGGCTCTAATTGCCATTCCTTGCCCGCCGAGTATCCAATGTGATATGGGACAGCAAAAGTGGCGCTGATGATTTTCGCGCTCAGACCAAGGCTGGGATGAGCAGCTCGTGGGTCTGTATCTGCGAGATCTGGCTTCGCATCCGGGTCCTGGACCAAACTAAGGCGACGCAGCAACTCTTCGCCCGAGCGGGCACCGGCGGCAACTTCAGAAGGCGAGCGTGGTCCATCATTCTCTAGGGGTGGGAAGTATGGATTGGAGGTATTCTGCGCGCCAGGGTTGACCTGCTTGGAGGGTTTGTCATCCTCATCCGAATCAACGTATGCGGACTGACCAAATGCACCGGGAGCGGGGGTGACTGGAACGTTGGTGACGGAGGGGTGCAAGGCCGGGTGAGTCGCGTCTGCCACCTCCTCAGGAGAAGCCGATTGATTGAGCTGTGTAGCTGGAGGCATGGTGCTCTCGCAGTACGTTTGTGCCTAATTGGAATCAGTCAGCTTGTGCCCAGCCAGAGGTAGATATAGCGGAGCGAATGGCGAGAAAAGGTGTTGGAGGTTGGAGAGAGGGCGCTCTGCTTTTAAGAAGAAATACGCGAGCTTCACCCTTCACCCTTCACCCTTCACCAGGAATCTCACTCACCTAGAGTGAGAGAATGAAACGAAAGTTCACCCCTATTATCGAACGAGGCGGTGAATCAATTCCTTCGAGCGTTGAAAGTCAAATCGCGGGCGCAAGTAACATTATAGGATTGGTAGAGCCGGGAGAGGCAGAACTTGTAGTCTAAGAGAATCAGTGAGTTAATGGTACGAGGAATCGATTAAAGAAGCAATAGGGAGCGGATAGGGAAGAATTGGGTAGGAGGTTTCGTAGGGGTTGAGGGTGAGAGTGAAAGTGAGAGTGTGAGAGAGGGCGTAGAGGAAGTGGAAGATATGGGTTTACGTGAAGAAGCCCCTCCATGTCAAGCTTGGAGCGTCATAAGTAATAAGCTGTGGGAGAAAGGTAAGTGGGTCTCCGCACGGGCCCCGATTCAACATAGAAGACTTGATAATGACAGCTTTTTACTTGTCTTTCCCATTATTTGCCCATGGATTGGGAATATTATAATGATGACGCAGCTGGGAACGATGTTTTTCCTCATGTGGGACCTCAACAACTGTGTATTTCAACATGACAGTCGTGTATGCAAATATTGAAACACCCCACAAGACCTACGGTTGCGTAGTGGTCATGAGGGACACCAACGGCAGTCTTGCTTACTCAGTCTTTGACAACAACTCAGGGAGAGGATGAGGCTCAAGGCTGATCAATTGGCTTTCCCAATAGGTAGATCCGTAGTTGGGTAGGCAGTAAGCTCTTAGTCTACCAGGTTCCTACGCACGAGTATAGAGAGAGTAAACCCCCAATAAAGGCGGGGTGCAACATACATACCCATCAATTATTACCGGTAATATGACCGGCTAACTAAAGCGATTTCGCCCAATCCATGGTATCACGAGAAACCCCAAAAGGGTATAGCGTATATCCCACCTCCAAAGTTCCCCAAACACCCTCAAGAGGGCGCACTTCTGGTAACGGGATTCTTCAAACTGCTTCATTCCTCCGTCTGCACGAATAGGGATTCCGTCATGAAGCACCCAGCCTTACCTTCTTTTGTATGCCGCTCGCATAATCGATTTGCGCCGTCAATTGCTCTGTGGCAGTATTACGTGCTTCCAAACCAACGCAACGGTTTCCAACCACGATGGTCGTCAACCTCAACTGCCGCCGTGGTAGACACACCTACTACACCTGGTTCATCCGTAGATGACGTCTTCCCTTCAATTGTCACCGATGACCCCATACAACCACTGGAAGACAGTACGCGGGAATCTGGGAATGCGAACCAAGAAGAGTCAAGGACAGTCAAAAATGTTGTGAAGACGAGGAAAGGCAAATCAGAGTTGAGACTACGTCCTGCTGAAGAAGCGCGGAACAAGCAGAGCAATTATGTGGAACGCCTCCCGAAAAATGGAAAAGGCAAAGCTGTCAAATACACAAAAATCGATCAACATGATCACGCATTCAGCAAAAAAGTGCCATGGCACACACACCCCTCGGACCGTGTGGATGCAATGGAGAGGTACTACCAGATCCATAACCACCTATGCTGGAAGACATGCTAACAATTTGCCCGCCAGACTTACAATCGAGATGGTCCGATTCTCCAGATACGCGCGCCCCAACGGCGTCGAATCCTTCGCACGTAAACGACTAATCAGGATGATGAGAACCCATGTGAAAAAGGCAATACCGAATGCAGACATCGAAGTCTTCGGCTCGGAGCAGACAGGTCTCGCGCTCGCCCTCTCGGACATCGACATCCTCTTAAAGATAGAAGGGCTCCGGGGACACAACGAAGACGGAACCATTTCACGGACGGCGAAAGCAAGAGAAGAAATGAACGGCCACCTCAAAGTCCTCCGGAGGCACCTACGCGAATCACATCAATACGATCCCTGCAACATCTACTGGTCGCGATTCCCCCTCCTCGATACGACGCACATCACCACGGGCCTCAACATCCAGCTCGTCATCGGCAACATCAACCGCCCGAGCGAAGACCTCATCCGCTCGTACCTCACCGAGTTCCCATACCTGCATGAGCTCTGGCCCATTATCAAGACGACCTTCGAATTCAGAGACATGATGGACGTCCGCAAGGGCGGCATCACCAGCTACCCGCTATTCATGATGACCGTCGCCGCACTCCGACACACCCCTCCCGAGACCCCAACCGCCGGCGCCGCGCTCCTCCAATTCCTCAAGTTTTGGGGCAGATTCGACACCGCGAAGCACGGCCTCTCCATCGACCCCCCAGAATACTTCGACAAATCCCAAGTCCTCCCACTCTCAGAAGTAAACAGCGCCACCATAGAGGTATCATCCCCCTCCCCCTCCCCTCCAACCCTCCAAACTAATCCCCCCACCCTCAGAACCAAGGCTTCAACCCCACGCACCTCCTCTGCCTCCGCGACCCCGCCGACCCGACAAACGATCTCGGCCGCCGCGCGACACTCATAAAGCACTTCCAAGCGACGTGCCAGGGGCTCTACGTGAGCATGCGGCGGCGGCTCGAGACCAACGGCGACGACTCGCTGACTTCGCCGCTCGTCGGCGCGGTGCACGTGCTGAACGCGGACAGGAGGGCACGGCTGCTGTCGGCGGGATACTGGGCGAATGGGCATCTGAAGGCGGCGGGGGGAGCTGCCGGCGGCGACGACTCGGGTGAAAAGTTGTCGTTTCGGAAGATTAGTGTGGACTGAGAGGAATTCGGGTCTGTATTATAGTGTATGTATAAATGTATAGAGAGTCTGCTATCAACAGCCCTTCGGGTTGTTGGTAGTGGGGTCGTGGAAGAGATCCTCCGGTGCCTGTTGTTGGCTGAACGGAAATCACAAAGCTCGTCTCGTACTACCCATTGTGCGTAGATGTACAACTATGGTTTACTTCACAGGTTGATACATCTTACCATGGCAACGTGGTCTTGCCTTGCTTTCACAAATGGTCTGAGTTCACTGTAGCTGATGAGAAGGGTGAGGGGTACAAACAGTGTTAACGATTCAGTACACACGCAACATCACTAGCCACGGACATCACAGAATGATCAAAATCCTCTCAGCAAACATGTGGAAGTGATCATGCACATTTCCGAAACCCTAAACCATAAAATGCAGATGGTGATAATGTGTATCGTTCGCAGAATGATTGGGGGAAGATGTAAGAAAAGAGAGCCATTCTGCTGCTGCTAGAAGCTAAGCAAGAGTTCGTCCCAGCCCTTTCTTCCAAAAGCACGCCGAGATTTGCGCAAGGAAAAACTCCTGATCCATCCGCCGCCCGTATTTGAAGGGATCTCTTCTCTCTCTCGTACTTGCATGCTAGAATCTGAATCCACCAGGGGCCATTTGTCGTTCATCATTCTAAAGGAAAAACCAGCTCCGCCTGCAAAGGCCGCCATGCCATGCCATGCCTAAAGAGCTCTTTTCACTAGATGGCATACTTCCGGGTCCACTCCCGAGCCGTAGACTCGTACCTAGACCGGTCGGTCTTGTAGACATGTGCGATTTCCGGAACGAGCGGGTCGTCGGGGTTGGGGTCGGTCAACATCGAACAGATACTGAGAAGAACTGTAGAGATGGTCAGTGGCAAGATTCCCTTGGGAGAGTCTCTCGGTGAAGGCCTCGACTTACCCTTTGAGATGGTCAAAGCAGGACTCCATTGGTCTCGGAGGATATCCAGACAGATGCTACCGTTTGAGTTGATGTTAGGGTGGTAGATGCGGGTGGTGAAGTTGACCTTCGGGGGCTTGAAGGGGTAGTCGGTGGGGAAATGAATGGCTAGGAAGAAGACGCCGCCGGAGTATGGTGAGTCGCTCTGGTATATGTGTTAGCCGGATGGTTTGATATTGGTTCGAGAGTATGCCTCTGCGAGGGTGGCGGGATGAGGTAAAATGCCCTCTGCCGAAGAATACGTACAGGACCCATGATCGTCGCTTGCCAGTGGAACTATCGTGGCATTTCAGTCAGTTTTGTCTTTCATTCGGTTCATCTTCACAGCGTTGAGAGTGCAAGAATGATGCCGCTTCAGCCGCCGAAGATGGAGCGATAAGAGGGGACGTACCAGGTCATCTCCGATGGGACCAGCCGAGCAAGAGGAAGGAGGGTCGCTGCACACAAGGAGTCAGTAAAGAGCGACCTCAGAAGGTTTGAGAGAACGTTGAAGCGGAGGTTGTGAAGACGCCTCGTCGTCGTGCACCCCGCATCCGTACACTGTCATGCGAGCAGAGCGGCGAGCCTCGTAGGACAAAGGAATGGAGATCACTCACCGGCCGAGATCCGTGAGTTCCTTGTTGATGCGCTTGAGAGCCATAGCGAAGGTTGTGTGAGGTGTGTTGTTGGGGGTATTGGGGTTGTCGTGCGTCAGAGCAAAGTTGTTGTAAGAGAGATGTTGGTGAAGTGGGCTGGAGGGTGTTAGCGCCTTTCTGATCCTGGCCCCAAAGAAAGTGCGGCGTATCAGTGGCGGAAAGGGTAAGGTGAGGAAGAGTAAGTGAGTGAGAGTGAGAGAGAGGCAGGGCAACACTACTCGTGAAGCCAGGCGAGGCTGACTGAGTGAGCGGCCCAAGGGGTAAAGAGAGAAAGGTAGTATTATATTATTCTTATTTGAACATACCTGTTGCGATGGTTGTGAGATATGAGAAGGTTGTGTGTTGTTCAGTGGAAGGTGAGTAACCAGGAAGAAACTAGTGGTGATGATGGGGATGGGAGGTAGTAGTGTCGGTGGTACTGATATAGTAGAAGTCTTTTGTGATTGAGTACTCTGTGCACAAATTTATGGTGAAAGTGAGAGTGAAAAAAAGGCGACACCAGTGAATGATAATTGCCCAGGTGGTTTTACGTCCGGAGAAGACTGAAGAGTGGTTGGCTGTCTTTCTGCCTTTGCTTTCTAAGTGTAGAAGAGCCGGTTGCCGCCACAAGAGTAGCAAATGACAAGAAAGGGCCCGACCGGATTTCCACAGCCCAAAAAATTATTCATCGGCTTTGCCCAACCGCTGAAGCATCGCTCACCCCCGGGTCCAGCAAACAGTGAGATGGTTGGCTGGTGGCAACTAATAGAACAGTACAGAACATGCTTGTTCAGTCGGTGCCATCACTTCTACAGGGCGTTTGTTCGTTCTTCACACGAGTACTCCGTACAGTAACCAGTAGCCCTGAATACGCAGTGCATTCAATAATCGCATTTGTTGCTGACCTGATCTATTCATGGTCTACTCTGCATTTGGTTATGAGACCATTTGCTCATCATCACCAATAATGCATCCGCTGTGACTCTCCCCACACAGGCGAGATCTTGTTCGATACTTCTCCTGCGCATTGCACTAATTACACATCATTCAGCTGCAGTGTGGTTTAACTTTAGGCCCAGTTCGCATTGCCTCCGCATCACCGGCGCTGCTGCAAGCAGATGCATACCGTCGTGAGACCTTCCGAGTTTCGAAACCTCGGCCTAAGTCGTCCTAGGCTGCAGTGCACTGCATTACTGGCTACAATATAGGAGAACCACGTGCACTTCTCCAAACCTTTTAGGACCATTCAATGACAAAGTTGCGTAGGGTCACATAGTGGCTCGCTCGAGCCTCTCCATTCAACGGCCATTAGGGTGCTCTGCTCAACGGTGCTTTTTGCCATCATATTTGCTATGGAATCACGCATGCTTTATGTATCTACATACAGTACTAGGGCTATCAGCAGAAAGCCTGAACGCCAGTAATTGCTCTTCCAAGAATCAAAGCTAGCAATGTCGTTAGTATTAGTGTCAGACACATAAGATGTACAACTCACAATGGATGTCACTCTGGCCCTCGTATGTCTGTGTGACGAAGAGATTGGCCACATGTCTCCCTATTCCGTACTCATCGCTCACCGCGTTGCCTCCGAATATCTCTTGCAAGCTGAATGTTGTGTTAGCCCAAGCAAGATCACTAGAGGGTATAAACTTACGCCCGTGCATTCACCAAAGCTCGATCGCAATTCTGCCTTTTGATCATTGAGATCATCTCCGGAGCTGCCTTGCCCTCATCCTTCAGCCTTCCGACCTGTGCAGCTGCCACAATACCATAAGCAGCGTCTGTGGACGCATCCGCAAGTTTCTTCTGGACCAACTGATACTTGGCAATCGGATTGCCCTTGAATTGCTTTCGCTCTAGGGCATAATCTCTTGCTCGAGAAATGCAGTCTTCCAGCGCACCCATGGTTCCCCACGCAATGCCATATCTCGCGTTGTTGAGGCAGCTGAATGGACCCCTAAGTCCTTCAACTTCCGGAAACATGTTGGCTTCAGGGACTGGACAGTCGTCCATTTGAATCATTCCTGTTATAGAAGCTCGCAGCCCATTCTTGTTCTTGATGGCGGGTGTTTCGAGAGTACCGGGTGGGCATTGGTCACGCTCAATAACGAATCCACGAATCTTGCCCGTGCTCTCCAGCTTCGCCCACACCAAAAGTACGTCTGCAATGGGGGAGTTGGTGATCCAAGTCTTGGAGCCAGAAAGAACATAGTATCCTTTCTTCGAAGGGTGGGGCTTAGCTATCGTTTCCATAGAGCCTGGGTCAGATCCATGGTTTGGCTCAGTCAACCCAAAGCATCCCAGCAACTTTCCCTTAGCCATCTGAGGCAATAGCCTCTCTTTGAGCTCTTCTGATCCGAATTCTTCAATGCCACCCATGGCCAATGCACTCTGGACAGAGTATCCAGATCGATATCCTGAATCGACCCTCTCTACAGCCCTTGTGATGAGACCCGAGGCAACGCTGCTGACACCTGCACAGCCGTAGCCTTGAATCGTGGCGCCCAAGAACCCCAGATCTCCCATCTCTTCCAAGATCTTCCTATCAAAATCCTCTTTCCGATATGCCTCTAAAGTCCAGAATCAGTACCCAATTTGCTCAAGTGACTTCCGATAGATTTACCTAACACTCGAGGAAGCATCCGCTCCTGGCAGTACGACTCTGCAGTCTCTGCAATTGCCAACTCATCCTCAGTGAAGAGGTTGTTGGCACCCAAAGGGTCTTGCCAGTTAAACGCCACGGGGGCGTGTAGATGGCGTCTACCGGCAATCGCAGTCTGTCCTGATTTTCCCAATTGCTTTGCAGCAACTCTACGAAAAGGAGTCAACATATTGTTAAGAGATACGAGAAATATGATATTTGGTCTATTGAAAAGGAAATATGTATAATGGTAAGGAGTAAAGAAACAATCGGAGGATTGTGTTCGTTCAGTCGGATGTACCCCACAGTCGGCAAAGGCGCTGCCACCGAGCCGTGGACCGCGGTACATTTCCTAGTCTCGTCCGATTGCTGCCGATATTTAATGTGTGGCGAACAGACGCCGATAGATCATTTGGTGACATCATGACCATATACATTTAGGAATAGACACTACCAATCCACATCGACTTCTAAGAGAAAGATGCGTAGTTCAAATTTTATTCCAACCTGTCGAAGGAAATCTGTGGCGTTAGCAACCAACCCATTTTGGGTAATAATATGCCAAGACATCTAAGGCTGAAGGTCGTGATCGCGCGCCGCGGAAGTCGCGAACGCGACGTGACGCAAGAGCACTAACCTCGTTCTCCTCTCATAGAAATTCCCCTCTCTTCCTCGATCAATCATCTGACTGCTTTACCACTCTTTCTTCACTCGCCTTCACGTTTGCGCGATATATCAGCCTGAAACATGGGTATTAAACACCTTTTCCAGCTCATCCAGGCAGAGGCCCCAGATGCCATCAAGACTGGGGAGATCAAGAACCAATTCGGCCGCAAAGTGGCTATTGATGCGTATGATAGTCCCATTCCCAGTCGTCCGATTCAGCTATACTCACTAAATTCCATAGGTCTATGAGCATATACAGTTTCCTCATTGCTGTTCGTTCCGATGGCCAACAACTCATGAGCGAGACCGGCGAAACCACATCCCATCTCATGGGTCTCTTCTATCGGACCCTTCGCATGGTCGAGAACGGCATCAAGCCCCTCTACGTCTTTGACGGAGCCCCACCGAAACTCAAGTCCGGCGAATTAGCAAAGCGATTCCAGCGGAAATCAGAAGCACACGCTGCGCACGAAGAGGCCAAAGAGACAGGTACCGCTGAAGACGTCGAGAAGTTCTCGCGGCGAACGGTCAGGGTGACAAGGGAGCACAACCAGGAATGTCAACGGCTCCTGAAGCTCATGGGTATTCCATACATCGTCGCTCCAACAGAAGCCGAGGCGCAATGTGCCGTTCTTGCGCGAGCGGGAAAGGTCTATGCCGCTGCAAGTGAAGATATGGATACACTAACTTTCCATTCGCCAATTCTGCTACGACATCTCACCTTCAGTGAGCAACGTAAAGAACCCATCCTAGAGATCCACCTCGACAAAGTCTTGGAGGGTTTGTCTATGGAGTACGAGCAATTCATCGACCTCTGCATTCTCCTCGGATGCGATTATCTCGATCCCATCAAAGGCATCGGCCCCAGCACTGCTGTTAAGCTCATCCGCGAGCACAAGAACCTTGAAGGTGTCCATGAGCACATGAAATCCTCAACAAAGTATACTATTCCGGAAGATTGGCCTTTCCAAGACGCCCGAGCCTTATTCCTCGAGCCTGACGTCCGCCCTGCCACCGATCCGGAGTGCGACTTCAAGTGGGAATCTCCTGACGTTGAAGGACTAGTCAAGTACCTTGTAGAGGAGAAGCACTTCAACGAGGATAGGGTAAGGAACGGTGCAGCCAAACTGCAAAAGAACCTGAAGACCGCGCAACAGAGTCGATTGGAGGGATTCTTCAAGCCTGTCCAGAAAACAGACGAGCAAAAGGCGAACCTCAAGCGGAAAGCAGAACAGAAGGCCGAGGAGAAGAAAAAGAAGCAAAAGCAAGCAGCCAAGGAGAAGAAGGAGGCCAAAGCCAGGCCAAGGGGTGGTGCTTAAGGCATCGATAACAATGAGCGAGATTCGGCACAATCGAGACAAGCGGAAGTTCTGCCACGGAGGGCTTAGTGATGGCGTTTTAGGGTGCATTCAATAGCGATCATGGGGAAATGGTGGGATACCACTGGCGTTTTTTTTCCTTTCCTCAAAATTTCATCATCTTTGACGATACAATTCGTATCTGGAATCCTCCCCTCCAGGGAGTCTCTTCGAGGAAACATTAGCTTATGCCTGCTCGGTAGAAACTGCATGAGAATACTACGCCTGCAATTGCCCAATTGCATACTTTTCCGTCTTCAATGAACTACCCTTTTAGTAAACCAAGCAATTGTGTAAGACCTGCCATCGTGCGAAATGTAAGTCATCACTGTAAGCCATTCACACATTCCGCCCTCCCACAAAATCAGCACCCTAGATCCAGACCTTCCGACAATCCAGAACCAAAATCGAAAAAAACGTCAGAAACGTCACCCCCTCCCCTTACAGACGTCACATCCAAGTCGCAACCAAGTCCCACCCTACCTAGGTATCTAACTGTAACTAGCACCAATGACATACAATGCGAACGCATAAACACCTCCCCTCCCCCCCACAGCCGCGCGCAAATGAAAGGGAGATCAAACCAAGGACCACAATGTGTTTTCCGCAACACGATAGATAGGACTTCTTGGGATTTCAAGGGAAAAAGGGAAGTCCTGACAGCCTGAGACTGAGGTGAAGCTCCACTGCGACACCTTGACACTTTCGCGGTGGGACCCGACCCGTTTTCCCTTCCCCACCCCGGTCAATCCAACAACCCCTGTCCTGCATTGGGGATGCGACGAAACCTGAGACAGCAATGTCCCGCCTGGCACAACCTCAGAATTCTTGGATGTCCGATGTTGCGAAGATCTGTGGAGATTAGTAACTTTTCCCTCCTTTTCGAACTCCATCGTTGCAATCTGGAACTGGAATGTGATTTTTTTTTTTTCGTGAAAATATGTTTACATTCGTGCCAACTGTCTTGGGAGTCGATAATAACTAAATAAAAAAAAGGGTTAATGGAGAAAAAGCGCCCTCAGAGCCAGTCCAAATGAAGCGTTGCGCTCCATCCTCCGTAGAGTGATACCCCTTCCTGAGGAACCAATTGGTATTCTATGTCAAGTGTTGTTGTTCAGCCCCCAGAAGTGTGTCGAGAAAAAAGTACCATTACCACACAAAATATACCTCGTAACTGCCTTTTCGCAATCCCCAGAGTCCATCCCCGATGCTCACTCTCTAAGTGTACATCTATGCAATGAAGGCGCGAGCGGCGAAACGTCCCTTTCCGCGGCCACGGCCACGACCACGGCCACGACCGAATCCGCCGAAGCCACCACCGCCCTGTTGACCTTGACCCTGTTGACCTTGACCTTGTTGACCTTGACCTTGTTGACCTTGACCCTGTTGACCCTGTTGACCGTTCTGACCTTGTTGACCCTGCTGGCCCTGTTGATCTTGCTGGCCTTGTTGATCCTGTTGACCATTCTGGTCCTGTTGACCATTCTGGCCCTGCTGTCCGTTCTGGCCTTGCTGTCCGTTCTGACCCTGTTGGCCGTTCTGGTTCGCTTCTTGGCCATTGTTGTTGCCGCCGCCGTTGTTGTTGTTGTTGCCGCCGCCGTTGTTGTTGTTGTTACCACCGCCGTTGTTGTTGTTACCGCCGTTGTTGCCACCGTTGGCATTCTGGTCATTTGAGACAGTGAATCGGATGCAGTCGTCCTGGGGACCACGTTGGGCAACGGGCATGACTACAGGCTGATGGTTTCCGGCGGAAGTGATGGAGCAGACACGATAGACACCTTCGTCAAGACCTTCTTGGAGAGTGGCTGAGAGCTCGCCATTGCCATTACCGGCATCGTTGATTCCCTTGAAGAAGTCGAAGGTCTCGGCATCCGGTGGTTGTGTGAAGGTGAGAGCATCAACCTTTTGGACACTGATATGAGTGTGGCCTTGAACCTTACCGCCAACAAGCTTCTGAGGGCCAGCATAGTAGGTGATGGTAGGGTTGGTGAATGTACCGGCTTCCAGGTTGTTGACCTGAACAGTGAAAGTAATGGGCGAGTTTGGTGCAACCACTGAGTTGAACTCAGGGCTGATAAAGGCAGCAGAAATCATCTGGTTGGAGGCAGGAATGTCACCCATAGCTAGATGATGTTAAAATCGCACGTAGGCAGATGCTAAGGTAATAGACTTACGGATACCGTTGCAAGAACCCTCCTTAACTTGGAGACCATTGGTCAAGGTCTTGCCGGAACAGAAGTTGATGAAGTTGTTGGGATCGCTTTCAATCGGTTAGTAACAAATCCATCTAATGAAAGATGGTTGAACGTACGTATCAGATGCAGCTTGGCCCTCTTCAGCCTGCGCAAGTCCATCGTTGTTACTGGCATCCTGAATCGCATCGGCATTCAAGCAGTTTGCACCTTGGCCCTGTCCACCGTTGTTGTTGCCCCCATTGTTGTTGTTTCCACCATTGTTGTTGTTGTTGCCGTTATTGTTGTTACCACCATTGTTGTTGTTGTTGCCGTTATTGTTATTGCCGCCATTGTTACCATTGTTGTTGTTACCACCGTTGTTACCACCACCGTTGTTGCCCTGACCGAATTGAGCGTGAGCAACACCAGCTGCAAGCAGCAAAGGAAGCAATGTTGTAAATCTCATTGTGGCGTTTGAAAGGTAAGTGCAATAGAAGAAGAGTAAGGGATATCAAAGAATGGACTCCGGTTCGCAGTTTCGATTAAGATGAATAATTTGGACAGACACGTTCAACGTAGCCTGGAAGAAGAGAAGAGGAAGTGAAGAGAAAAGGAATGTAACCCTCGATTGACGGCCTGCCTCACACACAAGAAGAAAAGCGACTGAGGATGGTAAGTAAAGAAGAAGATTGACCTACGAGCGCAATGCGGATGCCTTTAAGGAACTTGGCGACGTCAGGCACGGATATGCCCCAAGTTGGCGGCTGATGCCCCGTTCGGCCATGAAACTCACGATGAAGGCTCTCATGTCTCATGAACCATCCCCAGGGCTACCAAAGCGCAACGCACGGAGCCTGGGAAATTCAAAGTTGCCTTCTTAGAGAAAGGCCGCATCGGCAGCTATTCCGGATCAAAAGTGCCCAAGGCATTGAAAATGTGGCTGGAAACGGACAACGTTTGAAGGAGAGTGACCCCGACCTGAGACCTTCCCGGTCGCGGATTGTCTGTCAGCGCGGATAGGCTAGCCCGATCGGGTAAGTGATGGACCATCAACGAATCAAGTGGCAGTCAACCATAATCTTATTTCGAGGGAAGTGTCAAGGGGATTTGGCACTTCAAACTTTTCTGATGCCTCAGAGGATGCACTCTTGCAGAGAGAGTGCCAACCGAGTCCATCTCTGCCATGTTTATCATGATGACTGCTAGGCGTCGAGGCGATCCTGTGCCTGGGCTCGTGCATTGCTTAGCCTACACGATACAATGGAGAATATGTTCCTTCAAACCCATATTCGCCCTAGCTCTACTCTCCAGCCTCTCGAGCATGCAGTCTTCGTTCGTCCGTAGCTCCGCAATGTCTTCAACGACTGAGTTGGTTTGTTCCTTATTGGCTAGAGTAAACATGTTACCCGTGATAACCGACTAGACGATCGGACATGAGGCACTCTGTTGTATAAACGAGCTTCCGCAACGCCTCCTCTCAAGGAGGACCACATATTGCAACCTGCTGCCGTCCAAGCGATGAACGAACGTCTTGGTGAGTAGGTAGTGCGGCGAAGCAACAAGTGGGACTCAATTGCGTCTCCGCCTATGTTCCCAGGCTGAAACTTTTCTTGTGCCTTTGATTATGGTATCAAAGGAGGTGAGTAACTAGTTAGGTGTACCAGGCAGTGGCTGTCTGCTGTGCTATTGCTTCAACGCCTCAGGAAAGTCTTGTCTCCGGCCATATAGCAGTCGCGATATCGTAGTCCCTCCATTCATGTGCTCTGCCGGCTGCTGGCATTCCGACAATTTCTCCCTAGCAAGCTGCACGGTGACTTCTAATAATCGTACCATTTCACTGAGGATCCGAGTTACCAACTTATGCACCTGCAGATCCCCTTTTTTGATAGGACTAGTCTCGACCAGCTTCCAGAGACACATCTTGTTTCGCCCCAATTCCTAAACGGTACGATACCTGAGGCAGCCAACATACTTCTTCAGGTTAGAACATTGATCATCTGTTCGGAACGGCATGTCCTCGGTGCCAATATCTTGACATTCACAGCTCCACAATTGTTCGGCGTATCTACTACACAGTAGCTGTCACGACTTTCCCAGGTAGAGTCGGCACGCGAACCCAGCAACATGGAAGAAACTCTCCCATTGCTGTTCCACAGCAGCTTACAAGCATTACAGGTGACGGCCAGTGGAGATCCCCCTTTGCGGGGTCGTCGCTACATTTCCATACTAGAAGCTAACGAATGAACGAAGCCAAGTCCTACCAAGGTGCAACCATGACTCTCCTTTTCGCAAACTTGGATTTGAAAGCCCGTAGGCTCTAGACAAACATTATTCGACAGCTCTGTCGGTACATCGTACGTTTGCGACGCCCAGAAAATGGCGGCAAGCATTGCTGGTCGTCATAGCAATGCCGTCAGGCCTTCAAACCGTCAAACGTCCTGACATAACCTGGATGACAGACCCCTCGAGGTAGACATCCCTAACTCCGCGGTCATCATTCAAGACAACCTCAACACCAATCTCACTTCGACGGCCCATCTCAACACCTTGTGTGATCGCATACCTCCGCGTTTCTCCTGGGCGTCCCTCCACCATGGCAAGGTATCCCGACAAATCAGTTGCAGCGCTGCCAGTCGCAGGATCCTCGAGAGTGCCTTCAATCATCCTCGTTCTCAATCTTGTCGTCCCATCACTCCCGCCTGGAGACCGTGTGAAGAAATAGGAACCCACGAAGGTCTTGTCCCAGCCTTCGTCTAACCCCGGTACGGATAGGCTTCGAGAGGACGTAGAGACCAATCCTAACGCTCTCTCGTCTTCGACTTCGACCAAGGCAAAGGCCATGCCATTGACAACTGATACGATAGGATATTCCGGCTTGAGATTGACTTCCTTTCGTTCGTATGCTCTTGCTAACCCGGGCTGGACTTCCAACAATTCTTCCAGCTTCCATTGCCGCTTATGGATATGGAAATCATGTGGAATGGATGCACGCGCTGTCTGTTTCTGTACATCATATTGCAGCCCTACTGGACCGGCCTTGATCTGGAATTGCGCTTCGAATTTCCCATTGAGCTTGCGAGCTTGTGCAACGTTGGACAAAACGTGGCACGCAGTTCCAATTGTCGGGTGGCCAGCGAACGGAAGCTCCGCGTTTGTCATGAAGATATCCACGGTCCACGAAAGTTCATCCCCATTGTTCTCGTGGAGGAAGGTTGTCTCTGACAAATTGAACTCTCGGGCAATTGCTTGTTTCTGGTCCTGGGTCAAGGAGGTGCCTTCGGGTATCTTGACGATTGCAAGTGGATTGCCTTCGTACCTCGTCTGCGTAAAGACGTCCACCGTCACGAAGTCTACTTCAGACAGATTTGATGACATTTTCTTGATGGTGAAGCGTATTCGCTAATGTCAATGTTTTATGGTTCCATTGTCGTCTAGTACCCTGCATCGCATTTTATGTCTACAGAGATCGATGACTCATCCGACGATTACTATTCGACGCTGCTGTACAAAGCCAGTCACATACCAATTCGAACTTTCAATGAATGTCTTGGCGCGCCCTATCGACGACTCATCACGGATGACGTTGGCGATGCACTCCGTACCCACTCTCTCGCCAACCACTTACACAAGTTCTTCACCAAGAACAAATAATACTGCGATCGTAAACATGGAATATGATCGGAATTGGTAGCTCTGAACGAGCGCAGGCACTTATCTAAGATATCAAGCTAACACCATCCAGCTATCGAATTACATCAGCACACTCTGCTTTGCTTGTCCCATCACTGTGATTGCCCGCTGCTGGGGTGGAACGAAAGGAAAGACGGACCACATGCCAACTTTTCCCTTTAACTATCTAATAGCCTTTCATCGCCATCAACATCATATACCTTCCATCACACTCGAAACAGATCGAGGTCTTGATCAAACTCGGAATTGTTCATTCAAGCCTTCATCACGTGCTTCCACTTGAACATTTGGAAGCTACTAGCTCGAGCCGAGCCCTACCATTTGACGTTGACCTACCATAGAGACAACACATACTCCGTACAAATGTTACACTACATTGTGCGACAGACATACACTTTGTACTACTGGGGCTGTCTTTGGACTATCATAGGAACATCTCGCTTCACTTAGCATGCTCATTGTCATCACCATCCATGGGATGTTCTTCATCTGTCCAACAATGATGTAGGCATGGATCCGTTTGCCAGCTCTCACAGCAAATGAGAATCTACAATCCATAATCCACCATGTCTCCACCAGACTACTCCAAAACTACACACATCTTCAGAGCCCATCTCTCGGCTCTCTCTTGACCAAGCGGAGTTACAAAAAAAGCCCCAAATAGCGTCCTCGACGATCCCCAATTGCAGACCTTCCGAGGAAGTGATCTACATCCGCGATATCGCACTGTCGCTTCCGGTGAACAGCCCCCACCGGGGAACATCCCTATCCATCCCTCTGGGTCTTCATCTACAACGGACCGAAATATCTATGCAAAAGCACGAGAGCGACGAATCACATCCTGTTGGGCTCGCTTCGATTTTCTTCGGTCGGGAACGGATGGGATGTGTCCGCATTGCGCCGCGAGCACGACCACTGAGGTAGCGCAAGGTACACAAGTGTTGGGCGCCTCAAGTGGCTCCCGAGTCCAGCCACGGTGAGCACGATTTTTCGCCTGGCCAGTAATGCTCGCAGCACCGAGGTTTGCTGTTGGCCAACATCATTATCGAATAGCATATGTGGCAATTGCACCAACGGCCCTCGTTTGTGCCTGGCGGGTCAGATTCGACATTGCACGTTACATCGAATCACACGATGGAGGGAAATTGTTATACGACGGTGTCATACGCGAATTCTCGATGATCGCGATGCATATCGATTGTTTACAAAACGCGTCGAAGTTGATCTCCACCCCGAATTGGCAATTTACGACTTTTCTTTATTTATTTGTTTTTCATTTATTTGTTTGTTTTTGTTTTTCTTGCTTACCAGCCGCGTAAATTGGCGAATAAGAGGGGCCGATCATTGGCGATACGGACCCGTCAACCGCAATCTCGGTATGTCGCGGTTTCGATAGAACGAAAGCCCACGCCCACGCCTTTAAACGACTAGATCCCGTTGTCCGTTGGAGCCTCGCTACCACCTTTTTCTACAGGATTTCGCCCTACAGCTAACTAACCAAATACCTCAGGCGCATATTCCGTTCCTTTTTCGAATCCATTGCCAACACCTCCCGTCCTTCAACTGCAAGCGAGAAACCAATTAGACCCCAGGTATACTCTCCTGTTCGTTGGGACACGCGTCGGTCTGATAAGTAAGTACGCCATCAACGAACCCCCATCCTCGACATCCGGAGAAGACCCCGCCCACAACGAAAGACCAAAGACCGCAAGACCATGTTCATGTAATTTCCCCCATATCGTTTCGTTCGAGAAATCTCTAGGTCACTCAACAATCGGGTAAGGTATTCCACTTGATCTTTGTGGAGTCACCTTATCGATTATATGTCATGATTTGGGGACGGCTCGACCTCGGCCTCTTCAAAATCCCAACGGCGTGGAAATGAATGTGGAATTGTGGGTTGTAGATTGTGGATCGAAGGATCGTTGGAACTCGTAACGGGCTTTGAAAAAGAAAATTCCTGATGCATACGCGTTGTAACATACGAGTACGGGACGGGACATGTCCGTCCGTGTATGCGTTCGTTCAATGTATGCACAGACCACAGTTCTCCACGTTCGAACCACTTCTTAATTGAGAAGTCGATGAGATTCGAGTCACTCTTCGCAAAGGGAGTTTTGCTCATGCTCACCAATTGATCTCTACATTCTGCAAATCCTTTATGGTGGTCCATCACTGGTTCGTCGGGATCTTCCCAACTAACCCATAAATCCACCTGCACCTTTAGACCACCATCACAACCACGACCTCCACCATCGCGAGACATATAATTCCCATGGAAAGACCCGAATCCTTGGGCGATCTAGATGCATTCCCAGATGCGGGCCGCCTTGATCGAACCACTAACCCACCCCCCAATGGTCATCCCTCCCAGGTACCCAACTTACAAATAACCAAAAGAAAAAAAAACATCAGAAAAAAATTCCCCCTGGACATTCCTACATACCACCACCTTAGCCTCCACCATCATCGTATCATCTAATTCCCTTAGCCGAATCAAACGCAAGCATCTCATCCTCCAATACCATAAACCACAGAACGCCAATCTTCAGCGGCGGGGCGGTCCCACAAACGACAAATCGTGCACGAAGTAACAGGTACCGCATGGCGCTATCTTTGCTCGCGTACCTGGGACTTTTTTCTTTTCTTTGATCAGACGAGGCTGCATGAGGGATGAATATACTGTACCTACTAAATATGCAATACGCCAAAGGTCCCCTTGCTCACTGCTTACTAGACAGGAGAAGAAAGAGAGAGTGAGAGGATATCCTAGGTTGTAGAACGCCTCGTTGTGCGTAGAGAGGGTAGACACGTCTGTGGCTGGCCACCTGCTAGCGTTTGTAGCTTACACAGTGAGCAATACGTGCATCTACAGCCTCTGATACGCTGTAATGAAGCTGTTTTAAGGTGAAAATGTATATGATGATACTAGCAGCCAGCCAACCCGACGTCCCTACCCACTGTAGTTCACTAAGAATGGCCCGTCTAAAGGACCGTTGAATAGGTACATACATAGCCAGGCGTATCATTTCCAACGCCGAAACCCCATCCACGCTGCAGGGGTAATCGCGACCATGTCTCCGATCCTAGTAATTTCAGTAGAATACGCTTTCGAGTAGGTTGGTCCTAGGGATGGAGTGAACTGAGACCACATCACCACCGCTAGTTACGCGGTACCTGACCCAAAACTCACCAACGGTATAGTTTAGGTAACGACCTTCCAATGTCTGTGAGGAGGTGGTGCATGTATGTCGTTCATTGCGACGTGCTTGCTATTCATTCCCTCAACTCAGTCGATCGGTTGGTCGGTTTGTGGGTTGCATTGTTACTTGGATGTCGAAAGAACCCGTATAAACTTTGCACGTAAGTGAGTACACTGGCTATGTATATACCGACATGTACAGACATATACACATGCATCCATACATACATGTATAGTCTACTAAACTTCTCCGTAAATAACTCTATTTAATCTCCTCATAGACAGGTAACTACCGCCTACCACAACCCATCAAGTATAAACAGACAACCCAACCGCAAAACTTCCTTCATCACCATCACCATCACCATCACTATTACCATAACAGTAGATCTATATTATTCCCACCATGCAATATGTAATACATGATATGATACCCTAAACACTGCCACCTCCCCTTTCCCCCACCCCTTAATTGAGAATGATATGCCAGTGACGGGCTACTACCTCCCCACGCCTCTCGAACCTCGAGGAGGTCCTCACTAGACGTTCGTACCTCTTCTGATCAAGCACATCAGGGCGAGTTGCGTCTATGATTTTATGTCTGTTGTACTAACTACTATTTCCGTGTAGATATAACTAGGGGGGTGTAAGGGGTATAGTATATATATATGTAAGTGTGTGTGTATCAGTGAGCCAACATCATCATACATCAATCAACCACAGTACAACATCACTGCCACAAAAGCCATCCGACGTCTATCCTCTCGGTCCGAAACAATGTTCAACACTAGGAAAACTACCCGAAGAGTCAACAATGAGAGAATCAAAGAACAATAGACAAGTCGGTTGTCCAATATCCCGCCCTCGGAATCGGACCATCGGCGCCGGCATCGGGTCGGGACGTAGACGTGACTCTTACGTTGACGTTGGCAGTTTCACCGGCGGGATCGACATGACAGGCAGGTGTAGCAAAGCAAGTGGACTGGCGTCTTGACTCTCGAAGCATGTCCTGCATATCAGAGCCTCACATCACGCTCACCGGATGGTTTCTCGTCTTGCAGCCCCCCACCAGCGCCAGCGCCAACGCCAGGGCTAATGGAAAAGCCCGACGCTTGTACGAGTACCTACCTAGCCATCGAGTTGAATGAGTGAGAGATAGTAGATATGGCAAGCACAAGCCACTCAAACCACAACCTACGGCCCTTTTTCTATACTTTAGGCAGAAGCAGCGAAGCCAGGGAGAAGGCGAAAAGAAGCTTCTTCGTCTGCCGGGAGATCCGATCGTCAAATGGCGTTTTGTTGACTTTCATGATTCATAGGTTAGGTAAGTAGGTAGCTAAGGGAGAAGAAAAGAGGCGTGGAAGAGGCAAAACTATATCTCTTCGTTCGTTTCTCTTTAAACTTCTCGCTTGTCATGCAGGTTAAGTTTTGGGGGGGAGCTTCAATCAGGGTCCTTTGTCTTTTACGTTTAGAGCCGTCCGTTTCAAAAAAAAAAAAAACCTTACATGTTGTGATGGGCTGGATGGATGGGCCACATGATACGGGGAAGATCAGGGTCTGAAACTTGAAACTCTTTTTTGGCTTGCTTTCTTGCTTTGTTGGATGGAAAAGGGAAATGCGCCGTGGAATTGTCGGCTACCTTTGTTTGCATGTGCGCGTGAGTGTGTAAGTGTGTGTGTGTGTGTGGCTGGACGATGCTGTGGTTTGTTGCTTTGCTTTGCTTTGCGCAAGCCCAAGCCCAGACCGAGCAAAAGCTTACCATTGGCGGCTCATGCAAGCTTTCGACAAAAGCGAAACTAAGTATGTATTTACGGGGGGGGGCTACGCTACTACAGATGTGTGTGAGGGTTGGGGTGTGGTGTTACTATAAACTCTTTTCACGGCGAATTGACGCAATTGGACCGGTTGTTGATATTTTTGCATGTGCATGCTTTTCTGTTATTTTCTCTTGAGTATTTGAGACTTGGTGGGTTGTGGTTGGTCGGGTTGATGTGGGAATTGTATGCGTGGTATGCGGGATTGAGTGGTCTTGTTGTTCGTTTCCCGTCTGCAGGAGACGGAATGGAGAGGGTCGCTCCGTCCGGCAGTCGACATTACCCCAGGTGCTGTGGAATTGTGTTGCAGGTTGATTAACAATTGCTTGAGGGGAGGTGAGTAGGAGAAACAGCAACAGCGGGATCTAGGTCGAGGTGTTGCTGTGCCACATGAATAATTGCAAGGGAGCGCAAACCTTAAATCGATTCAGTTCGTGGTAAGGCGAAGCATGTTCACGAGTTGAAAGTGTAGATGGGGCCCATGCGGCGGACTCAGTCGTGAGCTGAGAAGTATAAATTCAGTTTAGAACGAGTTGATCGCGTAGGACGGATTTCGCAGGTAGCTACGCCGTAGAGACCACGAGTAAGAGTAACATGGGAGTACGAGTACACAGTAGGTCGCGGGGCGGGCTACCGAAGGTTACGAGTAGATCAGCGAGGGTGCGAGGCCAACAGGCGCGACTCCAAGGCGGAACGACAGCCGCAAGGAAAGAGAAGCGGGCTAGCACTTGATGGAGCTACGGGCGCCGTTTGGGCGAGCTGGCGAGCTGGCGCACACACCCGCCGGGGCCTTGTTTAGGCGACCCTATGTATCCTTGTCACTTACACCAGTAGCTACTTGAAGAAGGGAAAGGAAGACGGAATGAGGAGTAGTGAGCACTGAAGACGGACGAGCATGATGACTTGGATTGGTGGGAGGGAACAGCCGCATCAGCAGCCACGGCCGCAACTGTGGTCAGATTGTTGCTCTTCTTGGGTAATCAGATGGTTTGTATGTATGTAGGAGCATGTACGCGCGTATGTACAAGTAGATGTGGGCGAAGAGAACGGAGGGTACGGAGAGTGTTTGTAGGGTAAAGCTGGGGAGGGGTCAACGAAAAGGCTTTTTAACGGAGAGGCCTTGCAGGAAAAGACGACGAGTAGGAAGGAGAGAAAGTGAGAAAATGAGGTGGAGGAAGAAAAATCACCAGGATCGAATGGTCGTGGATAAAAGGCGACCGTATCCAAAGGAGGATGGTTTGGGCCTTTGAGGAGGGGATTGATGATAATTGGGGGATGTGCAGTGTTTGCAGTTTGCAGTTTGCAGGAGGACAGGACCGCGTGAGGGGGATGGGGATGGGGATGGGGATGGGGGAAGGAAGTGGAGGGAGGGGCAATGTTGGGTTAGACCAAAGGGTAGAATTAGGTGGTGCATCGGGGCTGCATGTGGCCGATGGGGGAGGGGGATGTCTTACTTCGAACAATCGATTCGAGTCTCATTAAGCAGTTGAATTGTCGAGTAGTACTCTGTGGTCGAGGAATAAAACATGTACATTGAAGTAGCTAGATAAGGAGGCTCAATTAGCTACAGCAGATACGTTATGATGGAATTGCAGTATTGGATTGCTCATATGGTGGGGGTACAAGTTGCAACGGTGACGATGCATCACGATAATTATTATGTGAACTGGGGTTGTACAAGTACCGCACAAGTGAGCAGGAGCTGTATTGATTCTTGTGTACCAGGTACAAGGTACCTATCACAGCTATGCCTACTCCGTACATCATATGCACATGGCACATGGTACCTACATGTACCTACATGGCACATGGCACATGCGAGGGAACAGGACTCAGGTACGTCCAGACTCCAGTTTTGCTGCTACTGTTACTTACTGTGTGATGCAGCAACGGTATCTGATTAGGATTGAGATAGAGAGTAGGATTTGTAGAAGATACTGGTAGAGTCTAGGTAAGGGTGTTTGCGGACGGGGCGTTTGTGTTGTGGGTACTGTGATGTACAAATACATACCTGTAGTGATCCTTGTCACCGGGCACACGGGGAAGACGCGTCGTGGATTAGGCGGGCGTTGGTGGTGGTGGTGGTGGTTCGTCTTAGTGTTAGTGGGGATAGTCGGAAGTAATCAAAAGTAGTGAAAATAATAATGAAAGTAGTGAAAGTAGTCATCAAGAGTGGATTAGTGGACTTGTGGATAGTTACTGGATAGTTACTGGATAGTTACGGGATAGTCAGTAGTGAAGTGAACTGTGAGTGGGCTGGTGGTGGTTGTGAATCTGTGATGGTGGTGAAGAGGCACATGCAGCCAGATGGCCATGATCCCTGCCGTCTTCCCTCTTCCCTACCAAACCTTACGGCCCTTAACCATACCTGACCACGCCCTCTTCCCTGAATCCTCTACTACCCTGCACTTCCCTAGCCTTCCCTGTCATGCCCAGAGGACCAAACGAGAAGAGACGAGGACGAGAAAAGAAAAGAGCACGAAAATGTTGCAATGGTAGTGGTAGCTTGCAGATGTGCAGATGCAGGAGTCGATGCAGGAGGAGTCGACAGTACACAGTAGACAGTCCCTTCCCTACCCTACCTAGACGGTCGATGCAGGTGCAGACGCGCGAACTTACCCTTACCCTCTGCTCTTTCCCTTAGTTATTCTCTCTCCTTCTCTCTCTCTAAACCCATCTAGGATCAACTCACGTCCTCGTTCTCTTCACTTGGTTATTACTCACTTACTCACTATCCATAACAACAAAAAAACCTTCAATCCCTTCATCCTCCTTCTTCATCCTCCCTTCCTCCCTCTCATCTCACCTCTACACTCCCTCTCCTCTCCCTCTATACCTCCTCTGGTCAGTTGGTCATCACCGTCACCATCGCCTATCAACCTCCACTTTCTCTCCAACTCTACACCACTATCCTCTGTCTGTCTGACTTCAACTCTCGCCTTTCTCTCATCCTTCCTCCTTGTTATCGTTTGTATACAGCCAAGGGATCATCATCCTTATCGATTCAGTCGTTTGTCCTCGTTATTCTTATTCAATCTTTATCCGTCGCGTCTGCGAACCTAGAACCCGCCCATAGCACACCACACCACATTACCCAGGCAGTGCCAGACCAGGTCCCACGGCAAGCCGTTTGCGCGCACCGACGTTCGGGGCCGGGGTACCCTTCCTACCCAACCATCAAGCGGCATCAACCATTACCCATTACAATCATCTACCACCATCCACCGTCCACCACCCATCGGTCCCATCCAATCCATACAATAACATCCAACTATCCCTCTCTCTCCTACTCACCTTTCATTGTCGTCCTGTTACCACCTCTGTTGCATCTTCATCTTCATCTTCATCCCCCTCTCCTTCTTGTGTCTTGCTCCTACTCGAGTCAGTCCAACTCGCCTACCATTATTGCTTCGCCTTTGCTCTTGTGTAGTGTGTGTGGCTAGACCCTTTCCTTCCTTTTTGGCCACTCTCACCTTTTTCCTTTTTTTTGCCTTACACACCAACACCACCACCACCACCACCACTACTTCTACCCCCACACCCAACCACAAGCAATAACAACAACAAAAAACACCACTACCAACGTTCATTTTCCTCCCCCCACACCAACCTCTGACCAGGACTTAAAACTACAAACATCGACGGATATCTCACTCAATCCATCATTCCACCGTAACTCGACCTCGCGGCTCTGTCATTGCCGGGCCACGTGCTCCACCAGCAAGGGCCTCCCTGGATCCACCGAACAGGCCTCGACCCTCATCGAGCATAAACCGTTACAGCGACTTCTCGCCCTGCCTCCGGGACTACGTAACTGTAGCTTGCTTTCAGCAGCCTCAGCTCCAGCTCCTCCCTTCCATTAATTGGCACGTTTTCTTCTCGTGCCGTCCCTCTTCGAACCGACATGTCATCGGTTCACTCTCGCAATCACTCCAAAGCAACGTCTGCAACTTCATCCTTCAACATGATTCTCGAACATGTCTTGCAATATCCCGGTAGTTATGAGATCCCACTACGGACCATGTACACTCTCAACTGCAACCCCCGCGCTCAGCCTCTCCCAAGGGATTCCACTCGGACTTCGACAACCTCTGGTTACTCTGCCAATTCCGGCAGTGCGTCACCCGTCTCTGGCCAGATGGCATGGAATGATACCGAGTCTTCGGCCATGGATTTTACCTCTCAACTCATGAACCACATTGGATCGCTTCCGTCCCAAACCAACTCTCTTCCCCCGCCTTTCATCATCTCATTCGTCTCTCGCTGCTTTCATCCTGACCTGTCGTTGGTCGACTTCCCTCAGGCCCTGACTGCATTGGACTATCTGCGAGATCTGGAGAAGAGGAGGTGCAAGGAGTTCATCGCCGCCTTTGAGAGGCTTGGAATTAACTTGGAGAACTTCGAAGACGACATTGAGCAAGTGGCTGATAAGTATCCTGGCGTCGCCCTCTGGGCAAAGAATATGCAGGGAAAGAACAAGAAGGCAGAGACGTACTACGCTCACATCTACCTTACTCTGCGCCGTTGGGTGAGTCACTTCGAACCACATACCACTCCCATAGATGGGCGTGTTTGCTAATCGGCTACAGATCATGATCAATGAACTCTCGATTCAGCCATTCAACAAACTTAACTGCCTCGCCATGCTCAACACTCTTCTGCCTCCTCAGTCGCCCAGTGGCAACTCTGTGCTCCCCTCGCCCTTGTTGCAAGCCTCTACCTTGAAAGAGGAACGTGATTGCTTTTTCGAGTACATTGGGCGTGTCCAGAAGAGGGGCCCTCGAGTCCTCCAAGAGATCGTCATGTTCGGCAAGGGCGAAAAGGACGCCAATGGCTGGTATCCCGTGCAGAGGTCCGTTGATAAGTATCTTCGTGTCGCCAAGAATACGATCGATGACTGCCTTGCAACTACCGGCATTGAGACCTTCACACCGGCAGAGGGTGAGAGGAAAGGAAAGAAGACAGACTCTGGAGTCAGCTTTGGATCCGAGCGCAGGCCAAGCACCATCGACAGTACCGCAGACAAGGTACTCCCGAACATGCCCAACGAGGCGTTGCAAGCCCACAAGGGCTTGAGCAAGCTCGAGCGCATCACGAGAGAGTTCAAGCGCATGCGTGTCAAGACGAGGCCAGATGTAGAGGAAATTGTCAAAGTGGAGAGGCACGCTGCCGTCGATCAAATCCCCATCCCTGGCGACAAAAGCAAGAAGTCCCTCAAGAAGGCCCGCTCATTCGCAAACCTTGGTGGCCTCCGGGCCGCAAATGCTAGCTCAACTTCCTTGACTAGTGGAAGCAGAAAAGGCAGCGATGCCATGGGCTTCGATGCAGAGGCGATGAAACGACACCGAAAGCTCTATGACCAGACGCAGGCGCAAAAGAGCGCGAAGCATATGGCGTGATGTCAGGGCACGATTCTTGGATGCGGTTACTGACCAGTACGGATTCTGGCTCATATTGCCACCTTTTCTTTTCTTTTCTTTTCCTTTTCTTACGACTCAGCTGGGGTTCGGCAGCACAGTGCGCAGGTCTGCACAGGGATCGGGATCTCGATTTCCTTTCTGGTAAGACACTGCCTCTTTCCCACCCCTGCCATGCAAATACACAAAACTACCTCCGTTGCTTTTTTCTTCTTCTTGTTTTTATTATCATCAAAGCGGAGCAGATGCTCCAACGAGATCCAGACTTTTTGGTCTCGTACACCCAGGATTCTATTGCGCGGCGGTTCTTATCTTTTTTGCACTCATCATATGGTTGGCGTTTGAAGAGACAATACTCTCACGAGTCGAAAAAGCTTTCCAGTCGTCGCATTGCTGTGCCTTGGCATCGACATATCCACTGGGTATTCTTTCTTTTTTCCATTGCATTAGGGTTTTTCACTATGGGTCATGAGGCGGAGTTATGGGTAAATGATGCATGGACTACGGGCGTTTCCTTGGACACACAAGGTATCATTCGATTCGCACCAATATTGATTTGGTGTTGAGACGTGGGTTTGTCTCCGGACAGTACTCTATCACGTCGCTTATATTGTGGATTATTACGACTCAAATCTTTTTGTACACTGGAATAATGTCAAATGCGATATGAACAAAAAACGTTTAATGAAAAAGATGTTCCGCTACAAAGAAATGCATACTCTTGGGTGTTCTGTGAAATGAATGAATGAATGAATGTGACGGCTAGATACTTGGTGCAGACCGAGACTGTGTGATTTGAAGCGAAACGGTGACAAAGGAAGTTATTGGTCTGGTCTGGTCTGGTCACTTGGTAGATAGATTAAAGTAACTATTACCCCAGCAACGAGGACGAGGCGAACAAAGCAAAGCAGACCACGATTCGAACTATTATTGATGACGGCTTCACCTGCCTAGATCGCGAACCTCGTGTATCCACCCATCGGAACAGGACGAAAACCGTTATCGCGCGTAGACTTGACTCTGCTAGAGCGAGGTCCTGGTCACATCACGATAATAGGAAGATCAAATATAGGGTGGAGGTGTACAGGATTATTTATCGAGGATCTTCCTTCGAGGCGAGGCGAAGGTAGGCCCATGCGGAAGCCCGCAGGCAAGTTTCGTCACGTCGCGCGCCCGCTTCGCCTTTTATCGTCTGCGTATTTGTACGAGGTATGTACAGATCTGGTCACTATCACATCTGACAAGCACCCGCACAGCAAACTAAGACTTGTACAGTATTTGTACATACACACAAGAAGACCAGGGAAAGCAAACAAGACAGAACGGGACAAGGGCAGGCAGGGCAAGGTTAGGGTTGTCGAAAGAATTGCCACCACACCGCCTCGGATAGCTGCAAGGCACGCTCCGACGCCACATCTAGCTCCTCAATACTCGTCCCTGTCATAGACTTGTGTCGTTCCAATTGTAGCTCATGGCTCATAGCTCTAGTATTACTTGTGTTACTGTATACGGAGCCCAAGCTACAACAACACCCCACCTTCCAATAGCTACCTGGTCATGGACCTCGACGATCTCGACCCTCCTCCCTCGGGACAGCAACAGGCGGTTGCAGCAGTTCGCACAAGGGTCAAGCAAGCATCTGCCTCACGCTCTATTCCTTCTCGTCAACAACTGCCCAACTCCAGGACTCCTCACCATGCCTCCAACCATGTCTCCGCGGCAGCAAATTCCCCGAGAGCAGCTACTACAGCTATATCATCACCTCTGATATCGACAACCCCATCGAAATCTTCAACGTCGTTGCACACAGACCCGGTCCCTGCATCATCACTATCATCATTATCATCATTATCGCACCACAACCGCAGTAGCAGTAACGATAGCTCGTGCATGAAACCCCGCTTACATCACAATCCTGGATCCTGTTCCTCCTCCCTCCTCTCGACAATAACTTCACCCCCACCCGGGGGTATCACCATCGCCCCAGACAAGGACCAGGACATCAACAACATCACCTCGAATTCATCTTTTATGCAACAACCCCCCGCCAAGCCCACTACAAAAGCAAGCTTGCCCAAACCATGCACCACCACGACTGCTACTATCAAGACAGCAGCGCCTCCCACGCGCACCTTCTTCGATCCCTGGAACTCATCTTCGACGGGGCACCAACGGGCCGAAAACCGCCTGTCGGGATCGACGTCGTGGCGCGACTGCCGCAACCGGAAGCTCGGCGAGCAGTTCAGGAGCAGCGGGCGCGGCGGAGGAAGGCGTGTCGCTGACACGGTGGGTGCGGGGAGCGAGGGGTTTGGCATTGATGGGAGGCTGGCGAATGGCGGGTGGGAGAGGGGTGCGAGCGGGTTGAGGACGGGGGGGCAGAGGAGTTTGGTTGAGGTTTGGGGAGCGAGGAAGAGGAGGTGCGTTGATGCGGGGGAGAAGGAGGAGGAGATGATGAGGAGGAAGAAGGACGGCGTGGAGGTGTCGTCTGGAACGTCGCTAGCACCGCTGGGAGAGTCGCAAACGAAGTCGTCCTCGCAGGAGGGAGAGTCTCATACCCTCGATATCAACGACAAGGACATCGTCCTCCCACCCCCCGACCACCACCACCTCCCCTCGTCAACATCAACATCACCTCCAGCCCAACGTCCCCCATCCCCCTCCTCCCCAGCGCAGCCCAAGCAGATCTTCTCCGGCCTCTGCATGTACATCAACGGCTCGACCGCGCCCCTGATCTCCGACCAGAACCTCAAGCGCCTGCTCGCCACCCGCGGCGCCACCACCTCCGTCGCACTCGGCCGCCGCACCGTCACCCACGTCGTCCTCGGCACCCCCATCTCCCACCGCGGCAGCGGCTCTGGCTCCGGCGGCGGTCTCGCGGCGAGCAAGATCCAGAGGGAGATCGAGAGGACGGGCGGGAAGGGGGTAAGGTTTGTCTCTGTGGAGTGGTGAGTTCTTCCCCTTTTTCCTCTTACCTCGCCTCAAGTCATTCATCATCTATCATCTTCCCCTGATTTATATCAAGTTTGCTTGATGGTCTGTTGCTAACGGGTGTTCTTGAAGGGTTCTCGAGTCCGTAAAGGCAGACATCAGACTCCCCGAATCACGCTTCGCGTCGTCGACGCTGAGACTCGCGCCAGAGGGCCAAAATAGCGTGTACGGGATGTTTACGAGCAAGGCCGCCAGATAACACTGGCTATCGTCGTCATGCGTGATGACTAGACTGGCGTGAATTCGACGTTGTCTCGTCGTGGACATCAAAACTCCAAAGCACAGGCGTCTTTGGAAGAAAAAGGGGTGAGTGGGGGAAAATTGAATTCATTCCTACGCGAGGGGAAACGAAGTGAACTCGAAATGGACGGTAAATACTACCCACTTCCAAATAACGTCATGTGTGTGGGGTGTATGTATACATGATGTACATCAGACATCCCACACCCCCCCCCCCCCCCCCCCCCCCCTCAAACGCTCATCCTTCAGAGTCAAAAAAACGATATGGAGGGATTGAAGTGGGAGGTTATGAAGACACCCACGCTACAACCTAGCTGGTCTGGCGAAAATCCAGACAGTGCGACTGCGTATAGATGTAGATATAGTTACATATATGGGGGTAAAAGCGTCGATAGCGCTGTAAACGTACATATCACGACCTGGCACGAACATACATAACGAGACATGGAATAGCTTTCATGACGGAACGACATTGACATGACTATGCCAACGGGATTTTTTTGGTCGTCTCGTGTTGGATTAGTTGAATGGCGGGAGTAGGCTCTCCACAAATGGTGGTTGTATGTTATACGTCCCCATCTATGTACACATTTTCGCGAAACAAAGGGGAAGTCGATGATAATGTACTATCTGTTAAAGACGGCATGTATACACCTACACAGAAATAAAACAACATCAACATCAGGTCGAAGGACCGATAATCATATCTTGTTTTCCTTCTAAACGTTGTGTGTTGACGTGAGAGATAGTATGAGCTTTCATAGTGTTTCGGGCGTGCGTGTCGCCATGCATCTATCTACCTTACATCCCTTACGAAGACAAGATAGAACGAAAACGTAGAATAGAAAGGGCTATATAAATGTAATATTTATATTCTTCTTCTATTCTCTCTTCTTATAATTGATCCCTTATCTATAATTTGTAACTTTTTGCTTTTCCAATTACTTTTATATAATTATTAATTTATCTTCATCAAACAGTCTTTAAGGCTAAGTTTTTTAAAAAATTTAGATTTAAGATACAAGATAGGTAGATTTTATGTACATCAACAATTTGAACATTTCCTTTCCCTTCCCCCCTCTAAATAATGGACGAGGGTAAAATCCTTTGACTGAGGTGGTTGGTGATGCTGTTTGTTATGGAGTGATGACCATTTTGTCATCCTAAGGTTTGGAAGGTACATGAGATGCGTAGACGATAAAATGTGAAATCATTGTCCATAATTCATTCCAATCCTCCTCTTATTTTTATTGCGTTTGTCATTATTAGGTTACTATTCCCTTATGTATGAATAGATATATAAATAATCTTGAAGATATATGGTGTAGATATGTGACTTTCTAAGACCACCACTGCACAGGTTCGACACACGTGAGCCTGACCTTCGGATCATGTCCATGACGAGACCGTTCGGTATACATGAAGAAATAGGTATGAATGATGGATGGTGTACACATGACTACAATCTACACACCATGCGGATGTCAATGTTGGGAGCCGAGAACGGAGTTGTAAGTTCGATGTCTTACGAGTTTGCCGTTGACATGTTAGGTATGTTTATGCCTTACCATGCGTGTACCTGTCCATACACATAGTTACATGTATTGTATTCGGTGCGATTTATGGACGCCGTTCGTATATTTTGAAAGACCTCATCTCAAGAAAGACATACTGTCATCTGTTGCAAACCAAAATCCACGAATTGAGAAGAAATTGATGAACACTTCCACATTCATGACTTCGTATTTAGGGGGCCTGAAAGCATATGCAATTCTCACGCCTGACTTTTCTTCCCCATCGAGTTTCCTGATCAATGTTCTGGTGCATGTGATATCTTCATACGGGACACCGACTCACCGGTTTCTATGTAATCCTCGCCAGGCGTCCATAACGAGTGATGTCGTTGGGCGCCGTGGAAGATCTGAGGTCAGGGATCCGCGTTGGGTTCTATCACGCGAGCTCGCGAGCTCGCGCCGCAGCAGCATCACCAGAGCCCTATGTAAGGTACTATCCAGCCAGCAAATGCAGCGATTTGTCGTTCGCAGAGGGTCGCCACGATAGTTATTGACTTCTTGTACACGACGTTCGCCACGCGTGTATTTGTCCTCTCGTTCAATCGTTCGTTCGTTCCAGCAAAGTAACCCCCATCGTCATCTCACCAACGATCCTCGCACCCCCCCCCCCCCCCCCAAGGCCCCCCATCCAAGCATCCATGTTTCGAAAGAAGGGCACGCAGATGATCGCGGAAAAATCGGCACTCTGATCCCACAACCCCAAGCCTTTTCCCTCCGAGAAACTCGTTGGCAACTCTTACCTTGTCCCCCCATTTCCAATTCTTCTTCCCTTGCCAAACATAACCAACTTTCCTATCTCTTAAACATTTAAACTACCCAGCGAACGGATAGGTCGGCGAATTGCGGACGTTTCGGCACCACGACGTACGACGAAGCTCTCTAGTCGTCCCTCATTCCCATCCGACGCAGCTTCAGCAGCAAGCTTCAATATTGTATGAATTAGAGCGGTTTTAATCGTTCTGCGGCGGGTTTCTCTTGGATTGATGATAGTGAGATGGAGAATGATCCGAACCAGCCGTTGAGGAGGGCCACGACGGAGCCTACTCCTCCCCCCGCGCTGTCGCTGTCGCCTCCGCCTATTACTGTCGTGCACGAGGAGGAGCACGCGGCCGGTGGGACGGCGCAAACGCGTACGTTTGTGACTTCTTTTTTTATTTGTTAAACCCACCCATCCCATATATGATTCCCATTTTCTTTGAGATTCCCGAGTTCCGTGATCTACAACTACCGCTGTTCCGGCTTCTCCATAATTTCTTGAAAGCTTGTCCTGTCTGTCCTTGTTAGTAGGCGGATAATAGGCATATCTGGCGAATCAGCCAGGAGAGTAAAAAAAGCGAGAGTTGTAGAGCAGTTCCTAGAGAGCGGAGAGACATGAGGAGACAAATGCAACAGCAGCAGCTAACGGAGGAACGACTTGTAGACCCTCCTCCGCAAGTGACATCCATATCTTTCGACACTCGTCCCGCAACTGCTACTCCTAACACCAACACTAATACCGCTACCACCACTTCTTCGACACCGCGGCAGCAGCCTAGGACTTCGGAGGTGAGGAATCGGAAGGGGAATGGGCTTAGACGACAAGACACGCCGAATTTGGAGTGGCATGATAGGTGGACGGCGGATAGTTGGAAGCATGGGAGGGTGCTGTTGATTGATTATGTTGATAAAGGTGAGTTTGATCCGACTTTTGTTAGGATATGTGATTGCACCCCCCTTATATATAGTCCTCGAAGTCGAGACCCACATGACGTCTGTCTGTCTGTCTGTTGTACATACATACAATCCCCCAGCAAGCAAGGGAAACAAGAAAACCGCATCCACACAGAACACCAACTAAGAATGTAACCATAGAACACACCACCGCGGGCCACCGCAAAGTCGTCGCCCAGGAATTCTCCGACATCCACGAGCTCCGCCGCTTCTACATGAACTCCGACCTCTCCCACCAGGCGGCCCTGCGCGTCATCCACGTGCAAAACGCCTCCTGGGCGACGCGCTTCCTCCTCCGGAAATTCAACATCGACGCCTCGGACGACCTCGTCGGCACCAACTTCGGCCGCTGGGCCAAGTACACGAAGCCCAAGGTTCGCGCCAACCGCCCCGTCCCGCACGGTAAGACGTTCCGCGCGCAGCGGGACCCGTGGAGGGGGATCAGCAGGACGGCGTTTGGGCTGGACTATCTGAGGCACTACGACAAGAAGAGGATTTCGGATGATCAGGGGATGAAGTTTATGGAGTTGAACCATTTTGATGCTAATGATAATCCGGCGTATGGGTATGATATCTATGCGCAGCGGATGTCGGTGTATATCCAGATGAGCGATGGCGAGCCGGGGAGGCCTATGGATCCGGATATTAGGAATCCGTATGATGAGGAGGAGTACGAGGAGTATCAGAGGCTTAAGAGGCAGTATGAGGGCGCGGACGACAATGCGCCGGATGTGAACTATGTCCCGAAGTTGCAGACGCTGGACAATGGGACCACGATTATTCTGTTCGAGCATTCTCAGTCGGGTTCGGTGCGAGATACGTTGATCGGTGCGAGACAGGATGTGGAATCTCGGTGGAGGCGATTGACTTTCTACTTACCACCGGAAGAGACATCAGACGACGACCGACTCGCCATCGAATGTATGGATTTCATACTCCGCGATATATTCAAAGCCCTAGCCATGAATTGGGACAAGTATCTCAACCTCTGCGAAGCCCACGTCAGCATCCTCGAAGACAAGATCTACGAGAACCCCGCCGATGAATCCCGCGCGCCGGAGCTCTGGACCAACTCCAGCCTGTGGCTCAAAGTCGAGCGGCTGATGTACATCCACGTGGACATCATCTCCGAGATGCAAAAGAACCTCAAGGAAGTCGTAACCTACGACCCAACAGCCGACGAACCGTGGCTCGCCGGCTCCGCCGAAGAAATGGACCGCCTGACCAAGAACCACGAAGAAGGCATCGTGAAACCCACCTCCAACCTCTCAGACCTCATGTACAAATCCGTCGGGATCCGCGACGCGCGCATCTCGAACCAACTCGGCCTCAGCATGTGGCGCCTATCCTGGATAACCTTCATCTTCCTGCCCCTGACCTTCGCGACGGGCTTCTTCGGCATGAACGTCGACACGTTCGAGGAGAACCCGAGCATAAAGTGGTTCTTCATCGGCATCTTCCCGCTCTTCGCCGTCGTCCTCATCTGCTGGTACGGCATCAAGCACACGCTGACCGCGAAGCGCCAGGACACCCTCCGCCGCGGCGTCTACGAGTCGCTCTTCTTCGACTTCTCCAACGACCACCCGAACCTGTGGACGCGGCGCGGGCCCCGCCAGGGCATCGTGCCCGTCGGCCGCTGGTCCGCAATGAAGTGGCGCCTCATCACCCGCTGGTTCAACCCGGAGACCACCGTCGCTGCGAAATGGGACCAGGGCGACGAGGCGCTGGGCTTCTGGAGCAGAGTCAAGCGCCACCTCGCGCGCCGCTGGCTCGAGAACCTCGTCGTCATGCCCTCCATGGCTAAGGACGCGGAGTCCCAGTCTGACCTCGAGGCCACGGGCAACAAGGAGGGGTCCAGCGCTGTCAACGATCTGTCGGCCGCTTCCGCGCCCACGTCGCCGGCGGGAACCACGGGGTTCAGGAAGACGCCGCTGCAGAGGTTCAGGAGCTTGTCGTCGTCGAGGAGCGGCGAGCAGGGCAGCAGGCCGGGAAGCGAGATGATGGTCGAGGAGAAGAGCGCCGACGAACAGGACGACGATAACAGCAATAACGACGACGCTGCTAGCACGTCGAGGAAGAAGAGGAGGAAGAGCAGATCGGTCGCTTCTACCGGGAGCAGATCGGCGTCGCCGTTCCTGCTGCATCCTGGCGAGGCTAAGGTCATCGCTACGAAGTAGACAGACCTAGATGGGCACAATGGTCTTTCTCTCTGGGAGATTTTCTGCCTTGGAAAAATGGCGAGTGTGGTGATGGAATAATGTATTGACGACTTGACGATTGGGAATATGTACATATCCTCTGGTTTTTTGTATTGATATCCCAGCTGTAGGATTGGGTCCTTCTGTTGCTATGCAGGGCGAAGATGCAATACAGATGTTGTATGTACATTTAGCGAGCGCGCGCATCATATAGTAAAGCATTATTACGACATTTGTAATACGAACATCTTGAGAAATTGTGACAAGTTAGGGTTTGACATGCACGACGTGGAAGTTCGTTTAGTTGTGACGGGACAAGGTAATGAATCAAATAAGTAGACGATAAATGATTCTTATATATTCATCTATACATGACGGGACTAGACCGTTCAAAATGTATATTCAATGGAAGTAGGTGGATGGGAAAAGCGCGCATCGTGATGCCCTCGTAGAGAAGGGGGTCAAATCGTTAGATTAGGAGCAAGACGCACAATAACGCCTACTGCCTTACTACCTACTCGAGATCACTCCACCACAACACCAGTAAACGATGGCATTCCACTAGAAGAATTTCCCAACCACGGCGATGGGTAAAGAGAGAGAGCGCCTTGAATAAGGAAAACAAAAACGACAGGAAACAAAACACTTTCCTCCTAGCGTGAGCGATTATATCTATGTATATGTATTTATGTGATTGCTTGTAAGCTTTAAGGGGCGTCTCGATGAGGAGAGCCGATGTAAATGGTGGAACAGGAAAACAACAGTTGGTGATGATGATGATGATGATGATGATGATGATGATGGTGCAGATCGTGATTATCGTATGTCTTCGAGGCTAAAAGAACGCCCCGGTGGTGGTATCAACAAAAGATATGAGGAAAATGAACAACTGATTGGAAAGAAATGGAAGAGGGAAATGTTCGCTATGCTCGCTTGTATGTACCGCTCGAAAATTTCGTTGTGGGAAGCATATGTGTATGTTCATTCGTACTTTCTGCTCAGCGCTGTGAGCTCTTCGTCACCAAGCGCGGCCAACCACAAGCACTTGCTGATGATGTTAGGCTCGGGCTGGAATGTGTATTTGGAACTCGCTTCCAAGAGACGCAAGAGGCTTTTGACGATCATGGCAGCTGTGTGGTGTCGCTCGAAATTTACAAGTCGTTCTCCGTCGACGGGTGGTGCGTCTAGGAAGGGTGGTTTTTGGGCATTGTAGATCAGATCTCGTGTGTATATGCCGATGAATGGAATGCATCCATTCTCAACGCATGATGTTTCCATCTCGTTCCTCAAGTTGTGGAAGTTTTTCAATGGTTGGACCAGAGCCTCCAACTCTCGCATGGTTTGCATCTCGGCGGCGGGAATCATAGACCAGGTTCGCTTCAGTCGCGAAACGTCGGCCGACAAAAGGGCGATGGTGATTTGATACATGGTCGCATAGTTGCGGAGACGACGAGCATGTGACGCAATGTGAATGTACTTTACGATGCATCGAGCTCTTTCCTCGATGTTTTCCGTGAGAAGACATTCGGAAACCGCCCACTTGACCACTAAGTTGAACCGAGCAATCACCACATCAACTCCTCTGGCTTCTTGCGTACGGAGGTACTGCACCCAATCACGGATCTGGGGGGACGATTGCTTCCAGCGAAGTTCGATGAGTTCTTTCCAGTCGATCTCATCCAATGCATCCTTTTCTACAATGGTGAATTGTTGGGCAAGGACTTCCGAGTCATACGCCATGATGAACGGTAGATGGGCTGGAGGGTTTGCGGTATCAGTCGATTTGAGCTCCTGTAGCTCGACCGCAGGTTCCATGGGCGGACTAGATGGGTGGTTCAAATGCTGTCCAAACGACTGGTTATTCAAGCGCGATGTAGGGGTTAGTCCAGGAGTTGGCAGACCGCGATCGAATATAGTTGTGTCTACTGGAGGGGGAGAATCCTTGAGTCGATTGGCGGTGAGTGGGGGCGTAGGAGGGTGTCGCATGGGATGCGTTGGAAGACCATCTTCTTGCTCTTCGTCTATGGTAGCAGGCTCATCGTCGAAAAAGCTTCGCACTCCATGACTTGTGTCGTCTGAGTGCGGTCTCCCTCCAGAACCGGCCTCATCCATGTCGCTCAAATCCTCGTCATCATCGAGCAAGAATGATTCACGAGCAATAGAGCTTTGTGGACGTGTACCATTTCTCGGTATTCGCTTCATGCTCTCTGTTTCCGTAATGTACTCGACCGAAGAATTAGGTGATCCCAACCTTGGTGTAGCATCACCATCCGCGAGTGACGGGGGACTATTGACGTTTAGTGGCGCCGGTTTGGCGGACGAGGCCATGGAATGCATTGCATCTGAGGCCTGAGCATCGGTGATGCCACTAATACCACGGTCGAGGAGAGGAACAGACGAATAGGAGTCTTCAGACTCTATAGAAGATTGAACATTTGGAAGCCTCTTGTTGAAGTTTTCACCGGACAGCCTATACATGTCCTGAACTTCGGATTCTGGAGGAGCAAGGGGCCGATGAAGAGTATCATCCGATTTTGCATGGGTTTCAGTATGTGATGAGTGCTGATCAGAAGGTACTGAAGATGTATGGGAAGATGCAGATGATTTGGCAGGCTCGTAAAAGGCTGGACTGGCGGGGGAAGGTAGAGATGGCGACTTTTTCTCATATCGTCCTTCGAGCTTCATAAGGGCAGATTCGATGCCGCCGTCATCATCCGTATCGTCAGGTAGAGCAGCGAGTTTTGCAACTTCGGCTTCAAAGGATGGTCGTAAGTTCGGCTGAGAAGAGTGTGTAGCAACCAGAGAAATGGCTTTCTTCGGAGGTTCGGGTGGTTGACTATCTTCGTTGTGGTCATCTCGTTCATTCTGAGGATCGTAACGGTCGGACCGGAGTACAACTGAATTAGCGATGGAATGTGTTTGGTTCGAGATTGAGCCAGTAGAATGTGGTCGCTGGATTTGTTGCTCAAGATCCTGCACGTTGTCGACGGCACGAAGGTCACCGCCTGGTCGCCGACGAAGTTGACGTGCAGGCCCAGCCGCATCTTGCTCGTGTGGATGGCGGTCTAAGAAGAAAGGGTCGTTGTCGGAGGACATTGTTTGGAATGTGGCGATACTGGGAGAATGCTTTCTCCCTAATCCGCTATTGTGAGATGCATGTCGTCTGAGCGACGCTGGTCGACTCATTGAACCTTTCTTGGATCCGCGACGACGGAACGAATGCATATGCTCTCGTCCCTCCGAAGCAGATCTTCGTTTAGTTGAAAAGGACCGCTGAATGGAACTGCGAGCGGTTTGTCTCCAGTCGAGCGAAGCATTGCGCTCAGGCAAAGCAGCGGAGGACGGGCGTTCGGATAAATCTACCGTGGGAGCATCGGAATCCTCTTCTGTTGGAGGCTCGTCCACCGTCTCATTTTTCTGCTCTATAACAGTCTGTACGCTTTCAGCATCAACAGGAGCAGGCAGGGCCCCAGACATAACCGGAAGGGGAGGCGCGCCGGTATCATCCATAATCACAATGGATTTGCTACCACTAGTGATGTTGCTGTATATCCTCGGATCCTGCTCCCGAGCCTTGCCATCTCCTGGAGGCGATGTGGTTCCGGGTTCAAACTCGAATTCGAATGCGCTTAACTCAGGCTGTACTGTGCTCTGGCGTTGCTGTTCATTTCTCAATTGCTCCTGGACTGCTTCTTTGAAACTTTCCCCAACTTTGGAGGCAAGGACGTCAACTCGAACTTGTGGACGAGGACGAGTGGCCCTGCGTTTATGAACGCCTCCTGATACGATTGAGACAGTCGCCGGATTGGATGATCTGGAGGATGACGCATGATGCTGGTACGGCGAATGCGGTAGGTGAGGGCTTGAGGGTGAATATTGTCTCGAACTCAAGGCACGCCGGACGCTACCAATGAGCTTCTTCATGCCTGGATTAGTTGCATGGCCTGGGCGCATGTGGAAATCGCCACTGCTTGTATCGATAGGTTCAAGATCCAGGTGAGATCTTGTATGGCGCAGACCTCCATTCTTCACGTCGATGTAAGGAGAGCTAGGCTGGAAAATACCGCCACGAACCAGGGTACCAGGCATATTTGAGACAGCAGATATGGCAGCATCGGGTGCAGCATTCTTTGGTATCGAGAGAGGTGCTCGATGGTCTCTCAACGCATCCGAGAAACTGCCGCTTCGTTTATGGGCATGTGCTGGACGATTCGATTTCTTTGCCGACGTTACTTGTTGAGGGCTTGCTGCAAACCTAGCCGGGGCTGGATGGGGCACAGGATGAGGATACAAAGGCAGTTCATTTGCGGGTTCAGCTTTGTTCAGGCCGAGACCACGCACGGGAATTGAGCAAGACACCACTTGCATGCTATGTTCGCTGGCTGGCGACAGAGGGGCCTGGTTCCCTTCGTATTCTTGGGAGGGTACGTATGGTGAACTCTGCGAATTTTGTGGGGTATGGCGAGATCTTTGTGCCCAGTCCATATGCTTGCTGGCAAATTGATCGCTCGGATTAGATGGAGCAGTATCGCTTTTAGTACTGCTACCGGCTTGTCGTGGAGGAGTCGAGGGAACGGGCAGATGTTGCATGATTTCGTCTTGGGATATCTGTGATCCAGGTTGTCCTCCGGGCAGAAGGTCATCATCCGCGAGGTCCTTGCCAATACCATCCTCGGCATCCCAATACAACGCGCAGGTCCGCCTCCAGCATTTCTTCAGTTCACCCACGATTTTGATATCTCCCCCGCCCCCATCAGACCTAGCCTTCAGGTCCGTGTACAACGCGTTGACCAGATCGCAGAAGTATACACGCAAAGAGTAGTTTGGCACAAAGTCATCAACAAAATAGTTCAATATCCAATGACGAAGCGCAACAAAGGTCCGCACGCGCACGATTCGGCCAAAATCATCTTGTCTATCCACGGCCCATCGCAACCGAGAAATCAGATAGGCCACTAGGTCTCGACTGGACAAGAACGATCTGAATGTGAGGAAGAAGTCGGATAGCAATTCATAGTCCAGGAAACTGGGCGAGGTAATGTGTGCAACAAGGCGGGAGGGTGTTGCACCGAGGATGTCTCCGGTGGGTGAGAACTTTACAACAGTTTGATCGTCCGGGTTTACTGTGATCGCATCATACAACTGCGGCCCGATTGGAATCTTGGATACTCGAGCAGAGGATGGCATGCTAGATGCCTGCCGATCCATGAGGGCTATGCGATCCAAGGTGGTGCGGAAGTTGGGTGGAACGGGCGAATACACGTCAGACCGGTGGCGGGACGACAACAATGAATGCCTCGCTCTTTGGGTGTTCAGGAAAGACGACCGGAAGTCTTCTGTGGCAGACGCTCGGGTATATACAGAACTTCTGAGTATGGCTGTGCCTTGGGTGCTGAACCGGGGTGTACCTAGACGGTAGTGAGGAATTGGGACTTCAAGAAGCGGGAATGTGCCCGTGTCTGCGGTCTTTGGCCGGGAATGATTTGGCTTCTCGATTACGATCCTGAAAGTGCCTGGTTCGGTGCTATGGGAATTGATGGTATGGTCGTCAGCCGTGGAGAGAGACCTGGAGCGCACGTGAGGGGTCGGACGGGGAGGTGAAGAGGTGTTGAAATATGCCAGTGGGAGTTGCGTGAGATCATCGTCTGTCTTCGCCTGGTGCGTGGTCACTGGTGGTGGTCGTTCAGTTTGGGGAGTTGCGCGCGAGCCGTAGATACTCTGGTCGTAGTCATTGTTCGGCGAGGACAAGGCGTTGGAGTCGAGGGTAGCGCTGTCCGGAGGTGTCTGCGGAGGGAACACGAAAGGGTCAGGTAGAGGGTGGGAACGTTGGTTTCCAGCGCGGACAATAGGTCTGGAGAAGAATTGGGTTAGTTTTGGACGATTGAAGTGGTGTATTCTTCTGGTGAAAAGGTTGGTTGGGTACCTGAGATAGATGATGCCGTTATTCACGTTGGCGACCGTGAATGAGCGACCCGAGGGCGCGGTGTTGTTCGTTGTAGAGGATTCGAGGGTTGCGTTGCTCACACCTCGAGTGCGGGTTCGAAGGAGCTCTTCTTTGGAGTCTTTCACGCGCCGAAGCGACTGTCGTCGAGGAGCAAGAGGAGGGAGTCGTCGTCCATCCTTTTCAGAGCGGTTCTTTGCATTGTGTGCTCGGCGCGCCGCTGCTAGCAAGTCTCTCTCCCCTGTGTCTCGTGAGAACCCTGGGGTACCTGGAGAGGCAGTCTGCACGGGCAAGGACATCATCCTGCCCCCATCATCCGGCGCGCAGCTAATTCGGCGGCTACTGTAGCATGAGCGACTGGGAGAATTGCAGAAGATGAGCAAGCTGCAGCGACATTGTTAATCTGGGACCTGCGAGGGAGAGAAGTACGAGAAGGTAGAATGACGGATGAAGTCGAGAGCAAGCCGTCCGTAAGAAGGCGTCGATTTGCTCGCCAATCCAATAATGGGCCCAGTGTAGAGCAGCGGCCCAGAGACCTTCCCAGCAGCAGCAGCGAGCAGGAAAGGGAAAGGGAAGAGCAACGATTGAGCCAGCCAGGATTGATGTGCAAGGATGGGCTGGAGGGTAAGCGGAGCGCGGAGGGGGGGAAGAGCAGTCCAGTCCCAGTCCAATCTAGTGGTGAATGAGCGAGTGGACCTATCGTAATACCTGGACGGAGTGGGTAGATTGGTGGACGATTTGGGTGGGCCAAACTGGAAAGGTAAAAAAAAGGAAAGGGAAGGATGATGCCCTAGACAGTACGAGGAGTAGGAGGAGTAGGAGTTGGAGGGCTTGATGCCAAGGTTGTCGATACAGGCAAAGTGTGTGTGTCAATGCACCCGAACAACCACACCAACACCATCCATCATACACACATACACACACACACACCATGCACACATCCATATCCACAATACTCCCGAGTTCCAGGTATTATCCTGCCCCTCTTCTTTCCTGTGCGTCTCTTTGAGCTATGGCAATTGTTTCAGGGAATACCCTACCACAACCTCACTGCTATTACTGTTACTGGCCGGGTAGAACCTTAATCGACTCTTTCATCTTCGTGACGGCCTCCGATTGCATCGGCAAGCCACCTTCCCATAGTATGGCCGAGCATCTGATACGAATACATACACGATCATAACGGCACACCTTACCTACTCTGCACAAATACATATTCCAAATATATTCAGCACTACCATCGATCTCCAGATCTTCCAATTACTGACACGATGCCCCTCATCCGAGACCGCTCTGCGTGCGACTACCACGACTCACCAATGTCACGTCGGTGTAGCTGTCGCGGTCGCGGTCAACACCAACCTTCCCACTCCCAGCCACCGGCGTACTAGGTAATTAGTCGCTACGACTGGGGCGTGGACGTGCACAAAGCAAAGGAAAGACTTGGGTAGAAGAGGAGCGTGCGCCGCTCTGACCTGCCCTGCCCTCGCGATTCCGCTACTTTTATGTAGGTATGACGAAGATGGGATGGGGATGGAGACAAACCATCTTGATTGCTATTAGCTGCAAATGCCGTTCTTACTTTTCATCTACACACCAACGGCGACAGACTTCACGCCATCGGTCCGGCACGGTACCGCGTGCTCGCTAGGGTTCCGAACGTGAAAACGGGCCACGAGCCTCTGCTCCTCCTCTCGCATGTGCATGTCACTGGTCGCTGGTAGGCTACACATCTGCCCTTCTGCATTGTGGACGCCGGGTAAACAAAGGCATGACGGTCTACGACGAATTGGGCCGTCGCCCTGCTGACACCTTGCACCAACTTCGTTACTCCTTTGGGATCACCTTGCGTGCGAGCGTAGGCAGGTTGGGCGAATCCATGATACACAATAATGCACCATGATCGGCAGAAATACTACTCCGTACTTTTCTATTTTATATTTTTTCATCATGTGTTATGACAAGAGTATGGCCCTTTCTGGATACCGGCATCCTCCCATAAGACGAAGATGCGATCCGTTCGCCTCACTACACAAAGCAGGGACAGCCCTCACTGTGGCACGACTTGTCATTATCTATAATCCGGGCAATATCGACGAGGACGGGGATCGCAAAGTGCTAGATGTGCCGACAGACCAGTACATGCAAAGAGATAACTACCGCGTCCCTTGTCATGTATTTCATGGATGAAGCATGAAAAGCAATTCCACTTCTGTGGCACAGGAACAAAATCAACAAAGGGAATTATAGCTTCATAGCCAACATTCTCCTACCTGCTGCGCACATCCACCCCATTTCGAGGCTGCAGCCTTGCACTGACTGCTTAGTAGACTTCAGCCGCGACTCATTGTGCAAGCTCGAGTCGACGTCTGAGACAGCCGAAAAACGACTATCCTCTAACTACTGCATGACACTTAGTAGCAACTGCAATGCTGCCGAAAGTTTATTCCACGTTATCGCAACATTGCTTGCCTATTCCGGGATTCCAACAAGGCAATGTGTACAATTATTTAAACCCGGGTTTATCATCGAATGATTGCTCGATGCCGGCATTTAGTACCTTCCACTTATAGTGCTGGTCGAAATTATATCGCCGTCCAACCAATCGTCTCATGCATGACACACATAGTCTTCGACAAAACGAAAACACGAATGTTTAGCCAGACCGAGCACTATTTCTTGCATGAAGAAAGTATCCTGATCGCTATGCTATCGTAATATGAGATTACTTGACTCGCCATTTGGCAGCAAAAGAGTCATTGTATGCTTCAAAAAGGATAATATCTGACCTCCTCTTCCTTGCTCATGTCTAGCCCGTTCGCGAGTTGTCTCTCGTGGGCCTTGTCTAGATATTCGAGAAGAACCTCATGATATCTGTCTTTACCCTTGTACCTACTGACATCGTCGCCCCAGCTCCGAACAGCGCTTGCCAAGCGGCCAGGCACATACTGCTCTTTGCAAATATCTGTAATCGGATGGAAATAAGTTCTAATCGTGAAGACAACACCACCAGATCGTGGAAGCCTAGTGGTAGAGACGTCAGTAATGACACTGGCATCATTACGGGCAATTAGACAACATACCTTCTCAAGCTCTGCCTCTCACTTCGGAAATAGTGGTGTTGAATCGCCTTGTTCTTCTCCGCAGTGAACCAACCAATACCCTCACTATCCTCGCTCCCAATGCTAGGACTCCACGGCAGCTGGTCATCCACCTGAATGAAGTAGTTGTTTCTCACTACCGGGTGACCAGGCTGCACCCGCCTGAAGAAGTTCATCATCCCCTTCTCTAGCTTCTCCTTGTACTGGGGAACATTGCCGCTGGTATGTATTTCAGACAAAGGCATACCAAGCTTATCCTCCAGTCTCCAGAATCCCGCGAGCAGGATTGACCCAGCGAGCAAATAATACTGGCCGTCCTCCTTCTCGAACATGATCGCCAAGTCGTCCTGCGTGAATCTCGCAGCCATCTGCATGGGATCCTCCTTCAGCGGCCTCTCAACGATATCAAACGTCTCGCCCGTCACCAAATTATCCATCCCAACCTCCGTCTTCCTATACAAGCTCGGATACCTCTGTGGCAGGTAATCGCACAACTCCTCGAGCAGCTCGCACGCACCATCGAACGCTTCCGGCGACGTGTAACTGCACTTCTTGCCGCGCTCCTCGATGCGCTTAGCCTTCAGCTCGTGGTACTCCAAGAACCTATTGTCGAGCTCGATCCACTCGTCCCAGTGCATGGTGCGCAGACCCATCGTCACGTTATACTTGGGACCGTAGCGAAACGGCCGGTAAGGGAGGGGTTTTGTGTCCGTTACCGACCAGTCTGGGTACGGCGGGGCGGCTGGCCGTTTGAAGTCGAGCGGGTACCATACTGTGCACACACTTATCAGCTTCCTTCCCGTCATTGATTGCTACGTTGCGTTCACGCTCAGGACGTGCGTATCTAAAGGGAGAGGGAACTTACCTCCTGGAGGACGAGTTGGCGCTTTGAACGGCGACCGCTTTTCGACGTCTGGTGTGCTTGGTCGGTTGTTGACAGTCCGTCGTGCACGTAGCCGACGTGTAACTATCGACACCACCCACACGAGTGTCACAAGGGCGACTGCAGACGTTATGGTGACATGGTGGTCGAGGTTGGTCTCCTGCAGGAGGGTGTCGAGGGTCGTTCTGGTGACATTGAGGTTGTGTCGTGCCCAACCATCCGCTTCGTTCATCTTGTCCGCGAAGCGGGCTTGAAGTGTGTTGGCCATTGCTGATAGAGATAACCACTTCGAGGGCGTGGTATCTATGTCCTTCCCTCTGGAGGAAGCCCGCTGTAGGAAGGATATCGGCAACTTTGATTGCGTTTGAGAGAAGTGAAGCGAACAAATATCCGTTCAACTGTGTATCCCAAGATACCCAAGTAAGGAATATAATTCAAGACACCGAACCCTAACAAGAGCTCATCCCACAAATTCGCAACGAACAGTGGTAAAATACAAATCCACGATAGCAACGAAACTCATCAACTATCGCACTGTAAAGATCAGGGTCCTACAAACCCAAGAAACAAAGGTACCTCACATAGATATATAACCACCCCCTCCCCTCTCCTCCCCTCACCCCAGTTTAGATAGCAAGATAATCGCACAGGAGAGATAACGCACCTCCTGCGTCGTAGCATCCCAGTACAGCAAAGAAAGGATAGGGCAAAAGGGACAATCAGAAGTGTGGGGTTGAACTGCCCCCGTCATAGTTGGTGATCCCTGTTTATCAGACTAGACGGGCGAGGGTAATTTTTTCCGATTGCGGTTTAGCGCCATGGGTTGGGGAGTTGTAACGACGACGGGTGCTGCTTGAACGACGGAAAGATGGAGGGGTATGTTTCCTGGAAGGGAAATGCGGACCTGAGGGTAAGAGGGTTGGAGGGCCGAGTTGTGGCGAGGGGATTTGGGGTGGTGATGTGGTGTGGATTGGGAATGATAAGTTGGATTTTTTGAAACTATTGTACATGTTATAGTTATATTTTGTCGGGGAGAGAACGAAATGAAAGAAAAGACATATCTACATGTTGTACGCTCGCTATTTCAATTACTCTTTCTGGTGGATTTCCAAAGATGTGATGTCTGTTTCACGGATTTTCGACGCAAAAGACAGTACCGCCCCCATTTACGACGGAATCTCTCTGGAACGAATGGCCAATCCGGGACCCATATCAAACGGCCTAGTGTCGACGTCCGCGTCGTATCCAGGAAGTCCGTACAGGATAGTTTTTCCCATTTTTCTGTGTCGGAAATGTAGTCTGGTTCGAGCGCAGTGGACGGGACTCCCGGGAGTTGCGAGTCTACGAGGAACTGACATTGTTCGATGTTTACCTGAACAGTGTTAGCATCAGATCTGTCAACGAATGAATAGGATGTCATTCTTACATATTTCCCTGGGTCCTCTCGGTTCTCGTCGTTCATGCCAGATGGAGGTAGCCATGCACCAGGGAAGAGGCCATGCACATCTGTGGCTTCGCTGAACTCGCCCGGGAGCAAGCCTGAGAATTCACTCTTGATGAACTTGGCCCGTATGCCATCTGGGAGAAAGTATGTAGAAGGAAAGCGGTACCATTCTTTGCCCAAGCATACGTTGTCGCCAGGTCGAGCGATGGCTGGATTTTGCAGGGGTCCGTATACATTCAAGGGCGCGGAGTATGCGGTCATCATTCCCATCGTCCGCAGGACACCTAGATCGATACTACCGAGTACGAAAATGCTCACGATGGCAAGTTTGAGCTGAGCTGGTATCTTGCTAACGAGGTCTCGTGGGTCGTTGGATCCAAAATTGGCAAGTAGAATGTGCAGTGACATGGCTGCGTTGAGGGCTAGAGCTGGATAGGCTGGGTACATGAATCTCTCTTCCTTGTGGGGCTGTAGCGTAAAGATTGCGAGCCAGAGGTAGAATGGAGATACGAAGACAGTCCCCCGTAGTAGGGTTTGCATCGACACTGACCGTTGTCGGATGAGGTGCTGGAAGAGCAACAGCGGTAGCGCACCCAGTGCAAGCAAGAACCAGATGTTGAAGTTGAGGATAAGATTCCGGACATAGAAATGCCAGGGTTCTACGCCGTAGATATTTGGTCCTTTGCTGCCGCCGCTGAAGACATTGTAGAGGACAATGTTGAATGGAACGCATACCAGCTTCTTGTAAAAGAATGTGTCAATGGCTGTTTGGATAGCCTGTAGTAGGGTATAAGTTTTGATTGCCTAGGTGCAGGTGCGTACATACCAAAACAATTACAGATCTAACAGTTCCGTCAAGCAAACGCATGAAACCGTCAAGTATCTTGCCGCTAAATGCTGCGAGAAGAACCTCTTCAAATAGAAAAGGAAGTATAAGGGCACCTGCGAAGGGCCAGCCAAGCAGACTTCCAACAGCAAACCAAAAGATCCCTTGAGCCGTTTTAATACCCCCTTGCCAGTCCATGAAGGCGGAAAAGCCCAACATGGTAGTGTACATGGCGAAGCTTGATGGCAGGTAGGCAGGTGATGCATGGTACATTCCTGGGCTGAAGATCATGACCATCAGAAAGAACACCGCAACTTTAGGGTTGAGATTACGAGCAATTGCTGAATACAGCCGCGTTTCACACGCAGCACATACGCAAGCTAATATTGCCCTGAGAAGATAGAATTCCGCGCGTTTAGAGTTGATAAAGGGCAAAAGACTCCCAATCCAAATGACGGATGCATGTGAAATGGTGTAAGCCCAGCTTCGGATGGCATAATCTGGTGAATATTCCCATGTCTGAAGTCCGTATCCATGGTTTAGATAATGTGTCGGTTCCCAGTAGTTGAATACTTCATCACAGTCTTGGATTGGCGCAAATGCAGCGGCGATGAAATTGGCCGCGAGAAAGACATAGAATGCACTAACAGGCTTGATTGAGGGTGACGGATCACTCCTTGAATCAGGCCTATCCAAATATCAGCAAAGCTATCGAAATAAATATTACATGAGTCTTACTGCTTGCTCGACCGACGAGCCTCCGTACCCAAAGGGTTTTTTACTCCAGCTCTGGCCGCCATTACGAAGGAGTTCTGGGAGGCTGAGATCTACACATTACACAAAAGTTCTCGAAGACGTGTAGTTAAGTACATGCCCGTCACCCGTGATTGCGTCGAGGTGCATTTGCCAAGGCGCCAGCAGGGGCCAGTCGCCGTGGAAGATCGTCCCTAACCTTTTTCTTTCCAACATAAAAGACAGAACACGTCCGCAACGCCTCTTTGCTACGAGTCGTCAGCTATAGGTACACATTATTGCGCACACTGCGCGTGTAACATTTGATCTGCATTATCGATATCTAAGTGGATATGGCGGACACGTATGCTCTAGATGAGCCTCCCGCGAAAAGGGCACGCTATGAAGAGAGCAATGAAGCTATCGATGTGCCATCGTCACCAGTCGATGATATGGACGACGACTTCTATGAGTCGACTCCTGTTAAACCAGAGCCACAAAATTTGACTGATGCAAACACCCAGCTGTCAACAGCAGCGACTACATCCGTTCCAACTACAACTCACTCCTTGGCCCTCCCTGGCCTTGGTTTTCCGAGTAGCGCCTCGCCTCAGCCCGAATCAAAGCAGGCGCAAGAGGCGGGAGAGCTTGAAGATGGAGAACTATCAGACTCCGAGTCGCTCTACAACGATTCAAAGCCCGTACAATCTGCCGCAGCGGATGACCAGAATTCCCATCCTCAACACCCCGCTGCATCATCGCTCGAACAGCAACCCGCCATTGACGGGGCCGCTTCCGCTGGCAAAGAAATCGACCATAATGTTGACGTCTCGTCAAATTCCCTGGCAAATGTTTCAGCGACTGACACATCCCCCGAAGTCCTGGCGCCGAACGCAATCAACGGCAGCGAAGCCGCACAAAGTACAAAGGAAGCCGACACGGAGGCGACGAGGCAACATATTTTAGATAAAGAAGACTTCCTCCGTGCAGGAGAAGCAAATAAAGGCAATGCAGAGGCAGAGTGGCAGCTCGATTCTGAGGCGTCTGACTCTTCGTCCGACTCTTCTAGCGATTCTTCAGATTCGGATGACGAATCTGAGGAAGGAGAACTTCTTGATCCCGCGGAGCAGGTTCGACTTCTGATGATGGAGAGCGCAGACGATGGCCCTGGCGCAGATAAAGCCAAGATCAAGACCCTGAACGAGGTAGTGGAGGATTACAAGAAACCCGAAATAGAAGTCACCGAAGCAACCAAGATCACAGAGCTCGGAAAAGTAGAGTCAATCGTTGATAATCTCGTGTTGGTCAAGGCCAATGTATCGGGAGACTACAGAGTTCTGGAATCTGGCTCGGCGCTCTGTTTGGGGAACCGTACCGTCATTGGACAGGTGTCTGAGACTATCGGCCGCATTCAGGAGCCACGTTACTCGATGGGCTTCAACGAAGCTGCTGAGATCCAGACATTAGGCATTGTAAAGGGCACCCCAATCTTCTACGTGGATGAGCATTCGACCTTCGTCTTCACGGAACCCCTGAAGGCCCAAAAGTTCACTGATGCCTCCAACCTTCACGATGAAGAAGCGAACGACGTAGAGTTCTCTGATGACGAAAGAGAAGCGGAGTACAAGAGGAAACAGAAGGAATTGAAGAAAGCTAGAGCGGAGGCCAACCGTGATCCTCAAGACCGCGCCCAGCAACCTCCAAAGAACGATACACCGGCAGTTCCTGCCGCAAACCAATATCAGGGAGGTGGTCTGAACTACAGTGACGATGACGAGGATCTCGGCATGTATAAGCCCCTTGCTAGGCCGGATCATTTCGAACATATTGTTGGGGCGGGAGCTCCGCTAGAAGATCGAAGCCATGTGCGTAGGGGAGGTATGCGTGGCGGCAGAGGAGGCTGGCCCGATCGTGGCCGTGGCTTCCGCGGACGAGGAGGACGCGGTGGTGGACCTGTCAACCAACGCGACCAATTCTCCGGTCAGGACCAAAGAGGAGGGCGACGCCAGCAAGAGCATGGACGTCAACAGGAACGAGGCCGGCATCAAGATCGCGGCAAGCATCCTGACCCGCGAAACAGAAATGGTCAACGCGAGAATCGATCTGCTTCGTCCGCGTCTCCCAACCGACAGAACCAGGGACGGCAACAGCATTCATCTCCACATGGAAACAAGGGGCGGAACCGGCCTCCATTCGCGTCTTCCCCAGGACGCAACTCTGGATCGCCTGCGCCCGCTAATACCAATGCCTACAACCAGAACAGCAATGTTAATACCGCCTGGTCAACGCCTCAGTCGTATTCCGGATTGCCAGCTCCGTCTGGTCCTGCACAGGCAGCTTCAGCAGTGCCCGCGGGAGCATACGTCAATCCGGCGTTCTATGGACAGGCTCCCCCGCCACCTCCTCAGGACCAGCAACAACAACAGAACCTTGCTCAGTGGGCTCAGTGGTTGCAGCTAGCCGCTGCTATGAGCCAAGGCCCGCAACAGCAACAGCAACAACCTCAAGCACAACAACAGCAACCCCAAGCCGCGCCTCAGGCTCAATATCCTTTCCAGTATAACTATCCACCAGCCGGTGCACCTAATACAAATGCACCGCAGACTAATACGCAGGGCCAGACTCCGTCGCTACAAGACCTCTTGAGGTCACTTGGCGGCGGCGGCCAACAGAACCGATGAAGAGGGGCATAGGAGGCATTCAGAGAGTGTATGTGCGTGTGTACGATTATTTATCATAAGTGTTTTGTAGTATCTGTTGCCATCTTTGACCGTTTTGTGTCAGATTGCTCTTAAAACTGGGCGTTTTTGATTTGCATCAAGGCCTATCCCGCTTAGGCGGACCAGATCTGGAGTCACCATTTCCACCTATTTTCATATTTATCCATCTGAAAGTGGTAGCATTTTCTATCTAGAAGCAGGCTGCTTGAGTTTCTGCTTACGATTTTTGCTGTACAACGACAACACAGAAGTGACCCTCATAACAAGATCTAGCTATCAGATGGCTCTGCGTGAAGGATATATAACCTTGAAGCTTACTTATAGCGTTGATGAAGTAGGGGATATGCTTCTACTACTTTGCTGTCTGACTACCCGAGTGAGCAATTCATTCCATGAGTTGGCCGTCGCGGATACGAACAATATCAAATGACGTTTGGTTCGTCTTGATCATAAGCCGATCCGCACAAAAACCACAGCCCGACCTTTACTACCTAACGCAACAAAGGAAGAGAGGCATATATCTCATTCTTCGCTTTCCAGGTCCTAATCTCGTTCCTGTACACACATAGGCGGTGCCCGGGTCGACCAATCCACGCATCAAAACTTTTTCGACAATGGTTTGCCTCATTTGGAGAGATGCCGTACTCATGCCTGCTTGTACCAAGGTATATGTAATATATACCGTTCATCAAGGAAATGATTTACCCGTTGTGCACACGCACACACGCAATTAGAATAACGCTCAATTTGATCCTTGTTCTTCAAATCCGATATCAATTGAGAATCCTTGCATGCCTGTAGTACACTTCTCTTCCTCCTCTTAGTCCGCCCATCTTTCATTGTCGCCATACGCAATATCTACCCAGGTATATATACACAGCAGCAACATCATCCACAAGCCAGCAACCATACTCCGTATTCGAAGGTTTTCATACCCTAGATCAAGGCTCCCTGATATCAAATAACAACCATATTCACTCAACTCAACATCTTACACCATAAAGTAAATAAACAAGTAGCAACTCCTCCTCAAAGAAAACCTGCGTTACCTGTATATATATGTCTACTCACTCTCTCATCTCTTGTCAGTACAATCTACATACCAAGCCCACTTCCTCAATGGAGATCATCAAACCCCACTTCACGACCACCACACACCGGGTCCCGACGCCGAACTCAGGCACCAGAGGTCGAGGTGGGTACTCGTACGTTACACTATTCCTGACATCTTCAGGTCTGCCATCTGCTATAAATAACACAGTCAGAGATGCCGTGACATGTGTATGCTGCGGTGCGGTCGTACAGATAACCGGGCGCCGAGGAGGGGGGTAAGTATGAATTGCGCGGATGCGCGCGTGTGTGGGTAGTTGAATGTTGTGTCATGCGGTGGTTTTATTTGAGTTGTGTACTCCGTATGGTTTGTGGTTTTGGGGGGTTTGGGGATACGCGGTGAGCATGGGGTGGATTAGATAGGTAGACGTTGGGAAAACATGATGCACGAATACCTAGGAATGGGGCGGTGCTGGTGATGTTACTTTTTTTTACTCTGTTTTGAATACTGGAAGGGTTGGTAGGTAGGGTGTGACGATGGTGAAGATGATTGATTAATGATGACGATGGGCGTGCATATAAGGCAGACATGTACTGTACAGACATATGATATTCACAAAACGTCGTCTTCTGCCTTATTCTCACTCACGCACATCTCAATTTGGAATCACAGACACACCTACAAAAGCGGAATAAATGATGATGATGATGATGATGATGATCGTCACCATCCCTACTCACCACAGCCGAAGGCGACTCAATACTTCGAATCGAGGTACCTCGATCTTCACACACCACCCCGTACAAGCTCACACACAGCAATACATAAAGATTTGAATTTGATATGTAGGGTTTCGCATCATCATCGTCTTCTCCCTATGACACGAATAAGGAAAAAGGGCAAAAAACTGTGGGGCGGGCAGAAACCCTCTTTTAGAGTTAGGGATCGTCGTCATCAATTCGCGTGGCCTGGCAGGCATTGAATGGACGAAGGGAACCAATCAGCTAAAGAGGGGGACGGGTGTGTGCTTGGTATGGCTATGGGGCTAGTGCGGTGGGGGGTTAGCTTGAATGGGCTTGCTTTGTTTGTGTGCATGAGATGACTGCGTATGTAGGTATGTAGTTATGGACGTTGTGTGTGGGTTTGTTGCTGTGGAGGAATTGTGAGTTGGTACGGGGTATTTGTAGACGATAGGGATCATTCATGCAGTGGACACCCAGCAGCATCAGCACAAGAAGTGAGGGGCTGCAGTGCACTCTGCCCTAAAATAAACCCGTTGCAATCAATCGCAGCACTAAAACGAGCATGGCGTCGGGTCTCGCTCAAGCAGCAGCAGCAGCAGCAGCAGCGAGCGACCTATCCCCGTATGTTCCCTTTTGTGGCGTCCCGACGCCGTGGAGTAGGCAAACGGTTGCGACCAACGTAAGTAAAATAAAAGTAAGCAAGCAAGAAGGAAGTATTAGAGTGTAGGCCGCTTCCGGCACCTAGGGAGTCACATCTCGTCACGATCTGAGACGATGTGGTCTCTGAATGAAGAGTCTGAGACGAGACATGCATGGCTCGCAAGATCGCCTCTTTGGGATAGGTGCGCGGGAGGGAGGGAAAGATGCATACGTACGTATGTAAGTGCAGTACGTATTGTACGAACACGGAGTAGGTATTGGGAATAATGAGAAATAGACGGGTAGGAATTTCCTATGCTGAATAGCAAACGAATGCAATGATGCGACGGAGGGGGCCGAAGGAAGGGTGTTGGCGTGGTGGTTCTAGGCTTGCTTATTGATACCCAACTGTGGGAATTGCGTGTTTGCGGGTTTGCGGATTTGCAAAGATGCGCAGAGTTTTGGCCTTTGAAGTGAGATGGAGGTGGGTTTTGGGTTGCGGGTCCTGGGCTATTGGGTCTACTAATACAATAGATGGGTACCTAGATCTACGGTCTACCACAGTAAAGGAAATAAATGATAGATATACCGTGTTCAATGATTACAAGTATGTACAAGTGCTGCCTAGGTACTAATGTATGGAGGACTTACATACATACGTCCGGAGTATAGTTATATGTAGGTACAGTGCACATACGTGTACCATAATCCAGGGACGACTAGACTCCAGCTTTTTCTTTTTGGGGGCGATTGGAGGGGAAGGGGAGGGGAGGGAGGGCCATGTGGGTGCACAGCTTGTAGGTGGGTTTGTGTGTACACCCACTCACACTGCTAACTGCACCGTACAATAGGCAGCCTGTCCCTGGTGTTATGCACAAACGACGGGCTCTTGGGCGCTCTTTGCGGGCAGCCTCACGGACCTCGGGGGTGTCCATGTTGTCTTTGTATTTTAGTCCCTTACGGTTACAGTCGATACAATGTGCCAATATGGGTGTCCCGGTGGAGAAAGAAGGGTCTACCGTCTCTGAATCCTTCAAACGTCCTTGACCGGATTTTGCATGTTGGTTTGGTTTGCTCCGAGTCTGTGTCTGTGTCACCGTCTGTGTCTCCGTGTCTGCGTGTGTGTGTCTAGGCCTGTGTCCACGTCTGTGTTTGTGTCCATGCCAGCTGTTCCTGTTTAAACAATAATAGACTATCAAAGAGCTGTCACTATTGTGTAGATCTCACTGTCCCCTTGGGAGTGTAGTTAGAATACAATAGATTCTGTTTGTTCGTGGGTCGGGGTCATCAGTTCGTTATTCGTTGGTTGGATGGTTGGTTTGGTTAGTGTTGGTCTATCCTACTATCCTAGACTCTAAGCAGTAGTGAACGAACTCCTCCCACCCATCCACCCATCCATGATCCATCCATCCACACGCTCGGCATCCACACTCCACACTCTCCCGTCCCATCCCATCCCTCCATCCCATCCTCCATCAAACAACAAACCTACCTACCTACCTACCTACCTACCTACCAACCCTCCTCCCTTTCACCACTACCACCAACGGCATCGTCACCATCACCGTCACCACCACCACCACAACCATACCTGCGATCGCACTCACCGCCAACACCATATACTCTCTACTCGCCATATCCATACCCACCCAGTCGTCTGTCGGACCAAACTCCAATTCTTTCCCGCGCCGCCGCCCATGTGCCGCTCGACAATCCCGCCCTCACCGCTGATGAAGCCATACTAGCATCTTCACCGCCCGCCCCAACCGGTGCTCCTCGTGGCGGATTTCATAACTCCTCCTACCCCAGACGTCGCCATCGACCACGCTTCGCGGGCGCATCGCGATAATACAACGCAGCTCTGTCCGCGACAATGACGAGGAGAGAGACGGTCGACCGCCATGCTTCCATCGACAGCTGGCGCTCCGACGAGACCGTCAAAGGCAATCTCAGCAGCCGGACCAGGCCGCCTGTGACTGTAAAGACGTCCAAGGACGGCACCAAACAGTACGTACATGTCTCCCAGTTTCCTTCTCTTCTCCCGCGCGCCGTCTCAACCTCTATGACCACCCCAGCTTGTGTCTGCTTGGCTGGGATGCTCCACCTCACATAGAGTGCTGCGCGCCTCGACATATTGCGCGCGTTTTTCTATATGATGCCGCCGCCGAGCCTCGCACCTATAGCTCTTAGAAAGCCCGACGCTTCCGCCAGAGCCTAGTATTCTACATAAAGGGTTCATATTCCTTTATTTCATGTCAAACGCTACTTCGATTTCTCGTCTTGCTGCTTAGGATGTGCACGCCCACCATGCGAAATTGAAATTGCACATCTCGCGGATCAAGCTCTCCCACCACATACACAATGGCATGGCATATAGGCACCACTTGCTGACTACTTTTGCACAGAGGAGAAAAGGAATCCGAGATATCTCCCGGGACTGTTCCACCCATCCCCCCTCCCAAAGACCCGTTACACAAAAGCCGCAAAAAGTCAAACCCCATCTGGGAGAACCCACGGATGAATGAATTCAGAGACTATCGGAAAGACCTAGCAGTACTGGAGACCGCTGGAGGCCGAGTCCCATCCATCTCACGAAACCCGCCCACCGCCACCTCCCCGACCCCGCCCTGGTCTGGAACGAATGGATCCGTAATGCCGCAGAGCGTGTTCGGCGGAAGTTTCTACAACGATTCCAATGAAGATATAGCACAACTCTCGCCAGGCTTCCGCCCCGGAAGTGGAAGGGAGGACGCCATGGGATTTCCCGCAGATGACCGCCGCCCATCCGTGGTCAGCACCACCACGGTCAGTAGCTCAGGGTCCAAGTCCAGCTTGAGCCGAGGATTCCACAAGAAGTTACAGGGCTTCTTCGGCGACGAATTCCCTGGGGACTCGCGTCAAAATTCCGATACCAGCCTGCCAACCCCGTTTGTTGCGGAAACCCAATCCACCCGAAGCGTGCGAAATCGAAACAACTCAGTGAACAATACGGTGGGAAGCAGCCTAAACAGCAGGCCTGCCTCGCCCGCGCCCTCTCGACCCCGCACTCCCCTGCCCTCATCCGAAGTTACACCTTGGGAGTTTCAAGATACCAAGGTAAGTGGTGGCGGATTTCGATTGCTCTACTTACGATTATTGGTGGAACGGTCCGGGGCAGGATCGAACGACTTTGTCGCTTCCGATTGCCGAGCCTGCCTTCTACTACTGCAATCCACTTTCCTGTACTACAGTATCGTGACTGACATTTCCCGTGTAGGATGATCCTTCTCAAAGCGAAAACGGGCGCCGCTCGTCATTCGAGCAACATACCAGTAAACCTCACAAATCACACCGGATTCGGATTCCCGGCCATCGACACAATCGCAGCAAGGACGACGCAAAGACATCAGAAACCCGTTCAGAGGGACGCGTTGATATCAGTCAACCTTACCCACTGCGGCCAGTCACCAGTCGGGAGGACTCGTCGTATAGTCTCCGGGGGGGGCCACAGTACCAATCATCACTCAGCTCTGCGCTAAACTCCAGAACAAATCTCAGTGCTCGGCCCTCGAGTCCGACACCGAGCGCTTTCAGCGAAATGTCTCGGGACCATACCTCGCAGAGGTCGCCAAACACCTCCAAGCCGCGATTTTTCCGAAACCTACTGAAAGGCGGAAAAGACAAGACCGATCGACCGGCGGCAGAGTCGCTCCAGAACCTGCCAGTATCCACCACCTCTCTTCAGCCTTCGATTCGCTCCGCAAAGCAGACCCCACGAGCCGAACCTTCCCCTAGCGTTTTCCCTTCGAAGAGGAAGGGTGCACTAGAGCCAAGCAGTAGGGACAAGAGCTATGTGTCTGTTAGAGACGGAAAACGGTCTGGTCTGCCGTTCAAGAGCCGGCGATATGGCTCGGCAGCCGACCAGCCCAAGGGCAAAGACCCGAATGAAGCGAACGCAGATGCGGTTATGAATAATGCCCTGTGGGATCTTGACACTGATCTCGACCACATGGAAGGCATCGTCAGCCGCCATCACCAACCGCCAATGACCCCACCTACTGGTGATGTGCCCACCGGAGCCTGGCAAGCAGACGATAACAAGCAGGATCCGAAATGGGATGTGCCTGATTCTTGGGCGGTCAGAAGACCTGGCGAAGGCAATGTCTCTCGGATGGAGGAATTCGATGAAACGGGCGCAACGCCCAAAGAGGAGGACACTTCGAAGACATTCTGTGTGCGAATTTTCCGAGTCGACTCCACATTCGCGACATTGTCTGCCACGATCAACACTACAGTCGCCGAGATTATAAGAATTCTAGGGAAGAAAACCCTACTTCAGGACGAGCTCGACAACTACCATATCGTAATGCGAAAGCACGACACCTCGAGGCAACTAGACTCCCACGAGCGACCATTGTTGATACAGAAGCGCCTCCTGGAACAGGCCGGTTATACCGACGCTGATCGCTTAGAAGAAGTTGGACGAGAGGACAATAGCTATCTGTGCCGCTTCACGTTCATTCCTGCCAAGATGAGTGGGTACGCCAGCTTAGAGAAGGATCCAGGGTTCAGCAAGATGCAGAAGTTCAGCCATATTGACCTGCAAGGCCGGAATCTCATAACCATTCCAATCACTCTTTATCAGAAAGCGACGGAGATCATTCAGCTCAACCTGTCACGAAATCTCTCTCTAGATGTTCCGAAGGACTTCATACAGGCTTGCACCAATCTTCGGGAGATCAAGTACACAAGCAACGAGGCACGGCGTTTACCTCCCAGTCTGTCGTTGGCTAGCCGATTGACCATGCTCGACATTTCCAATAACCGTCTCCAATCCCTGGACCATGTTGATCTTTACAAACTTTCCAGTCTCCAGGGTCTTCGGCTATCCAACAATCGCCTTACCCAGCTTCCCAGCTACTTTGGCCAATACCGTGCACTCAGGAGTCTTAACCTCAGCTCCAATCAGTTGACAGAGTTCCCAGACTTCCTGTGCGATGTTACGACCCTCGTAGACCTCGATATAAGCTTCAACGCCATCTCTAGCCTCCCCAAGATTGGCCAACTCACATGTTTGGAGCGTTTGTGGGCTACTAACAATAAGCTTTCCGGAAGTTTCCCTTCTTCCCTTAGCAATTTGATCAACCTACGGGAAATCGACGTCAGGTTCAATGCTCTTGACAGTATGGATGTCATGTCTCTGCTTCCACGACTCGAGTACCTCATGATCGGCCACAACTCCATATCCGCATTTGAGGGGTCCTTCCCGAAGATCCGGGTATTACACATGAATCACAATCCGGTCACTCGTTTCGGCATGAGTGCTCCTGTACCAACACTTACCGCTCTCAATCTCGCGTCTGCCCAATTAGCACAGCTACCAGAAGATTTGTTCCAGAAGATCAATGGATTGACAAAACTAATCTTGGACAAGAATCATTTCAGGTATCTCTCTGCTCAAATTGGCCGAATGTACAAACTCGAGCATCTTAGCATAGCGCGGAATTCACTCGATGATCTTCCTGCCGAAATCGGAAAGCTTTCTCAACTGCGCTACCTAGACGTCCGAGAGAACAACCTGGGGCGATTGCCTGCGGAAATTTGGTACGCACGCCGCCTCGAGACGCTAAATGTATCCTCGAATGTGCTGGATACCTTCCCCAAACCATCTATACCACCCCCGTCTTTCATCAATGGAGATGGCCTCCAACTTGACGGCGTTACTCCTCTTTCAACACCAGGTCTAGAAACCAGCCCAAGTTATGAGGAGCTAGGAAAATTAGAGGACTTCCAGAACCGGCGTCCTAGTCAGGCGTCTGGCGGTTACCTCAGCTCAGGCACCTCACCTGCTGCTTCCCAAAGGAAAGGCTCCATGGCTTCTTTCGGCACTGCAAATTCGACCAGGAAGCCGTCTATTGCATCGCGAGTGACTACGGAAGGCACCGTCACCCCGATTACGAGGAAAGACTCAAGTTTATCAAATAAGCTTGCCGTGACATTTGCTGGCTCTTTACGACACATCTTCCTCGCCGATAACCGCCTGACAGACGACGTATTCGATGAGCTTGCCATGCTCCCAGATCTGCGCATTGTCAACTTATCTTACAATCTCATCTACGACGTACCTGCTCGAACCATTCGCAGATGGCCTCATCTTGCTGAATTATATCTCTCTGGTAACGATTTGACTTCATTGCCAGCGGAGGATTTGGAGGAAGTCACATCCCTCAAGGTTCTCCACATCAACAGTAACAAATTCCAGGTTCTTCCCGCAGAACTTGGCAAGGTGTCAAAGCTCGCTATCTTGGATGTTGCCAGTAATTCGTTGAAATACAACGTCTCAAATTGGCCATACGACTGGAATTGGAATTGGAACCACCACCTCAAGTACCTCAATCTGTCCGGCAACAAGCGTCTCGAGATTAAACCAAGTGGCCCATTCAGCGGTGGTGGTGCCGCCATGCGGGAGGGAAGGGATCTAACCGACTTCACATCCTTGACCACCCTGAGGGTCTTGGGTTTGATGGACGTGACAATGATGGTCCCATCAGTCCCTGAGCAGACCGAGAATCGGAGAGTTCGAACTTCGGGCTCCGCCGTTGGAACCATGGCCTATGGCATGGCCGATAGTCTTGGTCGCAACGACAACGTATCCACGATGGATATGGTCGTTCCGCGCTTCCGCAGCCACGACGACGAACAGATCTTGGGTTTGTTCGATGGGCAGCCGCTTAGCAGCGGTGGATCAAAGATTGCCAAATTCCTCTACGACAACTTCAAGAACAGGTTCGCAGATGAATTGGAACGCTTACGTCCTAACGAGAATCCGGGAGATGCCTTGCGTCGTACTTACCTTTCCCTGAACAAGGAGTTGGCCACTGTAGCATCGCAGTCAGTGGATCGTGTCCCTCCTACCGTAGGCGGGCACCGCGGTTCTGTGCCAGATCTCGGAGACGACGATGTTCAATCTGGCAGTGTCGCTACCATCCTATACCTGAAAGAGATGGAACTCTACATCTCGAACGTTGGCGATGCCCAAGCACTCTTAATCCGATCAGAGGGCGGGCACAAGATTCTCACTCAAAAACATGACCCTGCTGAGTCCAGCGAACGGAACCGCATTCGGGAGGCGGGTGGATTCGTATCTCGCCAAGGCAGACTCAACGAGGTCTTGGAAGTATCTCGTGCTTTTGGCTACGTGCAGATGTCCCCGTCGGTCATTGCCTCGCCGTATATCACAAATCTCACGTTGGGCGACACTGACGAGATGATCCTAATTGCATCCCGTGAACTATGGGAATACCTCACCCCGGACTTCGCGGTTGATGTGGCACGATCGGAGCGCAGTGACCTGATGCGCGCGGCACAGAAGCTTCGTGATCTTGCCATAGCATTTGGCGCCACCAACAAGATCATGGTTATGCTTCTGGGCGTTAGCGACCTCAAAAGCAAACAGCGCGCTCGCTTCAGGACCCATAGCATGTCAATGGGCCCGTCTGGCTCACCAGATGATTTCTTCTCAATCAGAAAGGTGGGCAAGCGTGCTAAGGATCTCCCCAACTCTTCAACACTACAACGACTCAACCAAGAGATTCCCGCACCGACGGGAGAGGTCAGCTTGGTCTTCACGGATATCAAGAATTCGACACTGCTATGGGAGACTTACCCCATTGCAATGAGATCAGCCATCAAACAACACAACGATCTCATGCGGCGACAGTTGCGCAATGTCGGTGGTTATGAAGTGAAGACTGAAGGTGACGCATTCATGGTTGCCTTCCCAACCGTGACTTCTGCTCTATTGTGGTGTTTCACAATTCAAAGCCATCTACTCGACGTACAATGGCCACAAGAGATTCTTAACAGTGTCAATGGACAAGAGGTCGTCGACCCCGATGGTAATGTCATCTTCCGCGGTCTTTCGGTTCGCATGGGAATACATTATGGCCAACCGGTGTGCGAAATTGATCCGGTAACGAAGCGTATGGACTACTTCGGCCCCATGGTCAATCGCGCCTCCCGTATCTCTTCCGTTGCCGATGGAGGCCAGATTACCGTCTCGTCGGATTTCATTGCAGAGATTCAACGACTCCTGGAAACGCACATCGAAGGCGACCGGAGCAACTCCGTCGGTTCTGAGGATGCTATGATGGACGACTCTATGACCCAGGCTATTCGGCAAGAGCTTCGGTCTCTCAGCAGTCAGGGTTTCGAGGTCAAGGATCTTGGAGAGAGACGGTTGAAGGGACTGGAAAATCCTGAATACATCTACTTGATGTACCCACATTCCCTTGCCAGCCGTCTGACCGTGCAGCGTCAATTAGAAGCGAAGCAACCACAACCCGCTGAAGCTGGATCGATCGGCCAGAAAATGCCTGGAAGCCAACTCACCATTGACACAGAGCATGTTTGGGACCTATGGAATGTCAGCTTGCGCTTGGAGATGCTCTGCAGTACACTGGAGAATCCAGAGTCTGTAGAGCTCAAGGCCCCTGAAACGGCGCTGCTAGAGAGGATGAAGAACCGGGGTGGTGAAATCACAGATCGTTTCTTGATTAACTTTGTCGAGCATCAGATTTCAAGAATCGAGGTAGGAATCATATTGACGATTGATACGAATACAACTAACGTTCCATGTAGACATGTACAACCACCCTCGCTCTCCGCCACATGGTGAGACCGTTCGGACAGAATTCATTGCTCCAGCAAGCCTGCCCAATGGCCGACATTCTTACCGAGCTACAAGCACAACTCAAAGAGCTCCAGCAATTTAAGGACGATGCCTCTTCGCAAATCGTATCGGCATAGTCTTCCCGAACCACCTGCGCGTACCTAACACATTCAAACGAAGTCTACGAGGAACTCTTCACACGTACGATATATAATTCTAATACTGCATATATGGGGCTCTTCCTGTTTTCAAAGCCCACATACGTTCATACCTGGCGCTTTCGCCAGAATCTTCTTGTATTATCATTGTTCTGCCCCGGCGGCCGAACAAACGTCTTCTTCTTCATCTTGCTCGACACCTCGACACCTTCAAGGACAAGCTTGGTTATGACCACAGGCTCCACAGACACCCTGGCGTTTTGTTTTGGGGGCCGCTAAAGTTTATGACTATGGAGGAAATCACACTTGCTGTTTTATATGATGAAGGAAATTTCTGGCATCTTCTCGACCAGAAAGCAGGTCTTTTTCTTTCTCTCCCCTTGATTGCCTTGTTCTTTGACATGCAAATGCGGAATGTTGTTTTGTATCACGTCGGGACTTTTCTGACTTTTTGGCTGCGTGGACGGGCATCCCCTTTTGTCTTAGTTTTCCAAGCTCACCAACCTGGGAGGTACCAAATTCTGATTTTGTTGTCCGCCTTTTCCCTTTTCTGTTCCTGTATGACTGGCGAATCATGGTGCGGCAGACTCTTTCTCTCTCTCTTTTGATCTTGATCTTCCCGTCTTCATATTGGTATCCATCCTGCCCATCGGAGAAGAGAGCTTCTGGGCTCACTGACTCTTGTTCCCATGGGGTTGTTGTCATGTACGGGGGGCCACGCAATCGCAATGCAGATGCTACTACTACTATATTAGGTACTTTACTGTTAGTTGGGCGTAAAAGAGAGATCTATAGGCGAGTGTGAAGCAAAGGCTTGGCTTTTTTCTTACTTTTGGATAAAAAGAAATATAAGAGATACTGATGGTAATGGTGTCTTGATGATTGTGGCTGTTGGGATGTGAAAGTGAAGTGAAGTGAAGTGAAGATGTGATTGTTTCGTTCTGTCCTGAGGGTACATGCAGCGTAAAGACAGGTAACTGGTTAATGATACTTTTGCAGTTACTGTGAGATCAACCTTTATACCTTCGTGATGATGCCCCCCGTTCTTTCTTGTCAAGTTTCGAAAACGTGATTGTATATTTGTTCAATGCGTTGATGTAAATGTAATGTAAACAGTTATCTATCGTCTGCTGTAGGTCTCCCGTTATTCATACAAGAACGAAGAAGAAGCGTAGTTTTTATCCGTCGAGCATCAGAACCTGAACCTGAAAACATCAACGTTCTCACATGGTCAATTCGTCTGCGTCATTCTTCTCCTCTCTTCATCATCCACCGCCTGCCTCATCTCTTTCCTTTTCCTTTCCCCATGAGTGATTCATTGGTTTTCCCAGAGCGAATCCACTACTTCCGCCTCTTCATGACCTTGGTGCACATGTCGATCAGGCCCGTCTTGGCGTCGCTGTCGGGGAACCCGCTGATGGCCTCGATGGCCTTGTCGACGTACTCCTGGGCCAGTGCGCGCGTCTGCTCGAGGCCGGAGCTCGAGGCTACTATGTCTCGTGCCTGTCATCCATTGCGTTAGTTAAATGCCCCTCTTTCGAAAAGGATGTGTGTCTGAAAGGTAAAGTAAAATACATACCCTCTGCACATCGCCCTCATGGGAGAACTTCCTCCCCACGAGTTTCCCAAGACTACTATTATCCTTCCACGCGAACAGAAGCGGCGCCGTCGCGAGCCCCAACTCCAGATCCGCGCCCGCGGGCTTCCCGAGCTCCTCCCCAGAAACCGTGTAATCGAGCATATCGTCGACGAGCTGGAACGCCAGACCCAGATTCTTCCCGTACAAGTACGCCGCCTCGACGACGTCCGGGGTGGACCCGCCGAGGATGGCCGCCGCGCGACAGCTCTTGCTGATGAGGCTCGCGGACTTGAGGTACGTCTTCTGGAGGTAGTATGTCAGCGTTTCCTCCGTGTACCGCGGGTTGCGCTCGTCCCGCGCCGTGTTCTTGAGCTGCATGAACTCCCCCTCGATCAGGTTGGCGATCACCGTCGCGAGCAGCTCGGTGACTTCCGGGTCGCGGAGTCGCGCCAGCGCGACCGAGGCTCGCCCCAGCATGAAGTCGCCTGCCAGCACTGTCATCTTGTTGCCGAATTCGATGTTGGCGGAGGGGGCCGAGCGCCGCGACTCCGAGTGGTCGATGACGTCGTCGTGGAGGAGGGAGGCCGTGTGGATGAGCTCCGTTATCTCGGCGAGGCGGCGCTGCGAGGGCAGGATGTCCGAGGCCTGCGTGTTGTGCTGCGTGTCGTGCGTGGACGAGGTGAGCGGGGAGTACTCGAGCGCGGAGGGGTTCTCGTCGCGCAGGATCTCCCGCCGCGTGATGGGGTCGTCGACGGAGAACGGGTCCGGAGTCGTCTTGCGGGCCAGTTTGGGCGTGAGGGATGTCGCTCGAGACATGAGGAGTACCAGCATCGGCCGCACGTACTTGCCCTCCGACTGCGTGTAGTACTTGGACACCGTGTCCAGCGACGGGTGGCCCGAGCCGAGCAGCTGGCGGATGTTCTTGGTGAGGAACTTCATCTCCTTCGCTACGATCTGGAAGGGATCTGCTGATATCGGTGCGTTGGGGTCAGGCGTGGGGTTGAAAATGTGCTGTGCGGTGTTGACGGCGGCGGCCCAGGTCGATTGCTCTCGCCGCCGCGACGGGTTGTAGTATGTCGACGAGGCCGTGGGTCGTATACATCTCGTTATCGCTGCTGACGTTGAGGCTGGTGGTGTTGTGCGGTACGGACATGGCGAGAGGCGAGACGCTGTGGAAATGTGCTGTCGTCGTGCGATGCTCGTCGCGAGCCGCACGGATGGGCTCGTCATCGATGGATTCTGGGGGCTGCCGAGTGCCTGGGTGCAATTGAGTCCTTCGCCAGGGGGATTGGGCTCGGGCGGATTGGAGGTGGTGGATTATCGATATTTGCGAGCGGACGCTGAGGTCGGAAAGTTTTGGAACGATCCGAGTAATCATGACGCTAATGTATCGGTGCCAAGCATGCGGAACGGCGAGCGGCGAAGCTCGAGCTCCAGGCGCCGACTTTATGGTCACTCGGCCATCGCGCTCGTGGCTCTCTCCTCCGTACCTACACGAAACTTCTAATTGGCGATTCGTTGTCTGCCATGGTGCTGTTAGAGATGACGCCCGTCATCGTGCGGGCGTTGGAGAAAGCTGCAATCCTCGACGCCGATCAACACTCCGCCCTGCAGCGCGATTCCGAGCCCTCTCTCGAGGATCCGAAGCTTGGAAACCCCATCTCGCATTCACAACTCATAGACTTGTCGAAGCTACTGAAACAGCACTCCGCCGTGCTCGACCAAGAATCAGACGAAGACGGCCCGCTTCGATACCGCCTCGACTCCCTACTCAAAGGCTCCAAAGTCTACTTCCCCCCTCCTCCGCCAAAGAAGGAACCTACGCCAGAGTATAAAGCATTGATGGCGCGTCTGCGTCGCGAAGAGGAGGCGCGAGCCTATGAACGCATGATCAATCCTCCACCAGCCGTCGAATCCTTTTCTCAGCGCTTCCCTACTTCTTCGCTAGGCCACCTCGATCCTCGAGAAGCTGCACTGGCAGATGACGATATCAGCTACGCAGAGGTGCACCGCCAGATAATTCTCATCATAAATGTTCTGGTGTCGATTATCGCCAGCAGCGTCTTTATTTGGATGGCGGCGCGGCATTGGACTGCACCAAAGAGGTTGGGCTTGAGCATGGCAGGGAGCCTATTAATTGCCGTGGCGGAGGTTATAATATACAGTGGCTATGTTAGGAGGGCGAAGGAAGCGAAAGAGAAAGAGAAGAAGAGACCGGAGATTAAGAAGATTATCGAAAGTTGGGTCATTGATGGCTCGGTTGAAGACAAGACTGAGAGTGTCTCCGTTGAGCAGGATAAGACGAATGATGGAATAAGATACAGGAAAGGCAAACATCGATAATGAAGATCTCATAAGAACAACCGAAGAAGGAAACCCGACTCCAGTCGCTCGATGCATTTCAAGTTCAGATACAGCGCTATGGCATCAAAGGACACGCTCCCATTACACCTTGATTAAACCTCCGCACCAGGGGAAGTGACCAGATCATTTCTTCTTACGTCCGGCAACACCGCCAGCAAAACGACCGAGATTGCTCAGACTGGTCCTCGATTTGTGTCCTGCAGCCTGTGGCACTTGCGGAGCCGGCATAGGCAATGGGCGATTGGTACTCGCGGCCGAATTTGGACGTCCACCTAACGGTTTGGGTGGCCCTTCGGGATGTGGCTTCTCCTTCTCTTGCACTGGCGATCCTGTCGCTTCCTCGCCCAGAGCGGCCAGACGCTGCGACCGCCTCGCTTTCTCCTGCGTGGTTTTGAACTTATCGAGCAGCTCGACCCACTTGACACCGCCCTCTTCTCTGGCCTTCAGCCGATTCGGCCTTTCGAAGCTAGGACCCGCTGGGCCTGGCTGACTGCTAGTAGTTCCAGTGTCTGAGCTCTTCTGTCTCAAATGGTTAAAATTGGAGGAGGGGACATACGTGCGGGGGGCAATGTGCAGATAGCCAATAGCGCTAACACTGTTCAAACGATTTTTTAACGCAGCAAACGCAGATGATTGAGGAAGCAACATAAGCAAGCCATAAAGACATTTGTACAAATGGGGATATTTCTCCGGCTCAAGGAGTTGGATGCGCAGATCTGATATAGATTAGATGATAAAGCAGACAGATTATGGCTAGGTCTTACTCACAAGTAAAGACAGGTGATTCGAGAAGTTGAACGAGCTTATCAATCTGGATAAGCGTATTTACGGTCATCTCGAGATCCGCACTGGATTGTATTAATAATTTGTTTATGCTAATACCGAATATGACTTACAATATCTGCAATAAGTGGTATGCTTGCTCGTATGCCTGCGCTAAGAGGCAAAGTGAGAAAGTAGCAACTGCGTTGTGACACCAGGACTTGAACAGGGTGACGAAAAAAGACTGACCGTCCTGCATGCGGTTAACAATATGTTGAGACATGATGTGGTTGAGTACTTACCCTTGAGTCCAGACTACGTAGCCTTTTCCGGAGATCTGCCAACTCAGGGGCAGTGATCAGGTTGTTGTTAAGGTTTTGCACCATGATACTGGAGAATTCAACGTCCTCATCTTTTTCAAGGCAATCGGCCATTGTTCGGTATATCCGCTCCGCACTGAGAGTCACGCATAATTGCCTGATGATGAGATTGCCTCTGGTCTCAAGCAGACGACGATCGGTGGAGAATAACTTCAGGAGATTAACCATGAAGGATGTGAAATAAGAGTCGTCGCTGTTCTTAGAGATTTGAGAAAGAAGTAATAGATCGCGTGTCACTACAGCTTCGGAAGGATCAGAAAGGGTCTTCAAGAGTGCTGGGAAAGTTCCATCCTCGACAGAAAGAATCTGAAATATGGTTAGTCTCAATGCCAATCATGAACCGCAGTCGCTCTGACCTTGCCCGGAGCCATTCGATGGAGCATGATCAGCCATGCAATAGCAGCCACCCGCGTGGCCTCATGCTCATTCAAGAATTGAAGAGTCAGGGCGTTGACTGCAGCTTGGTAGTCCAGTTCTGGTCCTGGCCGGGGAGACGGCCCACGATCTTCGGCTGGAGTGGGAGTCCTAGTCCCTCTATCATCAATAGACCTCGTTTCTGTGGCTAGAGCTTGATCTCGAATGACCGTCTTAAGTAGACGACTAGATAGATTTGAATCACGTCGCTCAACACCTGATAGCTCTTTTCCAAGAACGGACAAAGAGGTGGGTAGTTGCGTTGGCCCACTCGTTGCAATGTCGTTCCGACTGTCTTCAGATAGCGACATGATGTAATCCATCAAGGACGTGTTCACCCTGTTGGCAGCTGCACGAACTGTTTCCACGTCGTGCGACATCGTTGGGAGAACATGTGACAACAGACTCGGAACAAATGGCATGATGTCCTCGGGACATATCTCGAAAAAGCTATCAATCCACCGTAATGCGGTGAGTTGGATCTCCTCTTCCGCTGCAAACAGTCAGTATGTTCCTCAGTATGGAGACGGAAAGGCCTACCGTGTGGTTCACTCAAGAAGGACACAAGGATATGCATGATCTTGCTATAGTCCACTTGGACGTCTTGTCCAGGCATCCAGTCTCCATCGCTGGTTGATTTATCCTCGTTTGCTGCCGTGGAGCCACTAACAACACTGGCACCATCGTGTTCATCCTCTGTATCTTGGTTGTCGACTGCTAAGCTGCCAGAATCACTTTCGGCTGCCGCACTCCGAATGCTAGACGTGGATCTGTTGAGCCCCTCTTCACCTTGGCTCTTCTTACTCTCAGCCAACCCTCGCTTGACTCTTGCAATTTTCTTGATCTCGTTCAGGAATCTGTCAAGACATACTTGTGTGGCTGTGTGGACGTCTTGATTGGGATCGCTCAGGAATTTGAAAAGACCTCCAAGAAAGCGAGGAAGGTAGGTCACTAACTCCAGGTCCGGAATCGAGTCCAGCAAGGTTATCCAGGCGACAAGGAATGTCCGAGTGAATGGATTAATAACATTTACCCTCTCCTCCAGAAGCGGCAAGAACCTTTCCAATGAGAAAGCCGTAACAAGATCTTCTGGCGGTGGTTCCTCTACATCGAAGCCCTCTCCATCCTTAGTTTCAGGGGGTGAATGCAGTATGGAAATGTATGATGCTGCTGATTCAGACACTATGTCTTTGACAAGCCGGTCGAGAAGCTCTGCACCGTTTTTGACCGATAATTCGGAATCTGCAGCAAGCTGGTACGAGACCGTACGTTAGCCAACCTGGCTTCTAGACCGCAGATTTCGGCTCCCTACCTTACACAAAGCATCGAATACCTGGTTGAAGTAGACGAGTATTTCCCCCTTTGCAACCTTGGCAATGTTGTACATGCTTTCGCAGGCATAGTATCGGACGCGGGCGTCTTGGTCGGAGAAGCAGGCGAGCACGGGGGGTACAATCTCTTCCAGGTAACGAGCGACTTCCTGCAATGATATTAGCTTCCCATAACTAAGTTTAGGTTTTTTATTATTTTCCATACAGGTCCCAAAGCTATTGACGCGGCGGCGAGTCCAATCAGACCTCCATTTCTGGCGTGTGGTTGATGGACGGCGTAGGCATATTCGTGACATAACTGGTGAACAATCTTCTGAATCCTGTCATGATCACCCGCAGCTAATGAGTCTCGAATGAGACCTTCAAGCTCAAGTGCTCCGCTCTTTCGCTTATCGTAGAGTTTATCGTTAAGGGCCTTGGTGATGTTGACGTCCATGGTGGTCGTACGGATGCTGCTAGGCAGCTACTACCATGGTGGGGCAGAGTATATGTTGCAATAACAAAGATACGGGTTTAGTTCGCGCACTGTCGGGTGGGTCAATTCGATCGTCGTTCTCGCGTGAAGGCTTGACGTTGGAGAAGGTGATGTTTGGTGTTTAGTTCAGAGGTCGGGGGTGCAAGCTCTAGAGTCTAGATGCACGTCATCGCGCCGAGGCGAGGCTACCTAGTCCAGATACAATAGAGAGGGGCCGACGCAGTACAAAACCTTATGTATTACGCTGTGTACTTGGAAGTATCTGATCAGCGTAAAATAATGTGGATACTGATATTACTTAGACCAAACGACGAGTATTCCAGCTAGTATCATTTGGCTTGAAGTGGGCGAGAAAGGAGATCCGGCTGGAGACCTTACTTAAAGCAACTACAGTAACCGGGAGTGACGAAACGACGCCATTCACGACGTCTGGTACAATTTCCGTAGAGCCAATCTGCGTTCGATTACGGGTTCAAGACAAGCTCAAGAAATCAGCCACACGTGTGGACCCTGTCACTCCTATTGTATACGCATGCACGCCGCGGCGCCCTTGGCCCATATAACAATCGTCGAGGCTATCCCTAAACTTAGTCGATCGATCTCTCTCTACCGTCTCATCCTCCCTTCCACTGACAAGGCGCTGATATGGCCTATATAGGCTGACAAGGAGAAGCCGAAGACTACAACCATGGGTTCGAATGGGCAACCGCAACATTCAGAAAAGATGACTTTTACGCCAGCCGCAAATGACATCTTCCAGCACTGGGCTGTTGCATTTGTTGTATGCAACTTCAACGTTGACATAGGTAAGATGTTTTGGAATCTGCAGATACTATGTCGATGCTGATCTTTCAACTTCCATCCGTACAGGTCCAGAAGTGGAGATACTGTATCCTCCAAATGTCGCCTTCAGCACACAAGATCTCGCAGCCATATGTTTCAACAGGTATGAGATTAAATCTCTCCAATATGGGTAGCGGATCCCTGATTACCCAATAGTTTCCCAGAGCAACAGAATACAGAAACAGCTGAAGACATGAGGTTCAATTTCATGATCACGAACAACTCCCCAGACATATCTCTAAGCTCTCCGCAAGCTCCCCATGGCAGCCCTACCAACTTCTACGGATGCTGCATTTTCCGGCAAGAATTCGACCACACTATGAAAAGAAGTTTCAACCAAAGAACATTAGTCCTCATCTCGCACCATCCTTTTCTATCCTTTTACAATCGCCTGCTCCATCAGATGACCGAGTCAGGTGTCATCAGCGACCCAACCACGTTAGAAGCGGCATACTCCCAAATACTTGCTTGGCCCTCTCCATCTCTTGGACGCCACGAGCTCCCATTCTTAGGCACAATGATCACTCTAGATATTGCGCCACATGTCGCTTTTCCGCTCCAAGGTCTTCCTGGCCCTTTGCCGCTTATATCAGATACGCCGACTTCAATATACGCCTACGAACCGCTAGGTTCATGGGACTCAATTATGCCGTTCATGCCCTGCATCACAGATCTTTATATTTTATACGAAAAACTACTTCTTTGCGAACCGATAATCGTAATCGCGAAATCGCCACAATTATGTAGCGACGCCATATCATCTCTAATCGACCTCATCCGTCCGATTCCATACGCCGGGGAGATCAAACCATACATGACCATGCAATCCGAATTCCGCAGCATCGGCATCGACGGTGGCACGCCGCGGCCCTTCATAATCGGAATCACGAACCCTTTCCTCCTCAAACGCGTTCTCTCCTCCACAGAAGACAAGGACCGAGTACGCCCGCACATTCTCTACCTCCAAAACTACGATGGTCCCGTGCCGACGAGACGACACCACTCCCTGCACCGAAAGTCGAGCCGCAACGTGCTTCTGGACCTCCCAGGCGGAGGCATCGACGCCCACCCGCCAGCCCGCCGTTTCTTGAAATCAGACCCCCACTTCGTATCTCAAGTCGAATCTCTTTTGAAGCTAGACGTGCAAACTCACGCCCTCGGCCCGCTCATACGGCGACACTTCGCTGAGCTGACAGCGCAGTTCCTCGCGCCGTTGAACCGCTACCTCGCCACGTCAGTGTCTCCCACTGCAATATCGCCCGGCTCCGGAACGTTCAGGTACGCGAGCTTCTCTGTTCACGGCTTTATCAAGGATGTAGGCAAGCATGGGACGAGTGTCAAAATGAGAGGTCAGGGGCCTATGCAGAGGCACAGGGCGAGAGATGGGTTGTATGAGAGTTTCTGCCAGAGTGCCAATTTCTACAGTTGGTTGGAGATGAAGACGAGTTTGGAGAGGGAGGCTAGTGCTGGGCTTTTGGGTGCTGGGAGCGCGGCTTCTTCTGCGGCGGTGCCGAGTTGAGGTGGATCGTTAGGATACAGGAGAGTTGGGATATTTGGATTCGCCGTACCACCAGAAACAGAGCTCGTCTTGCCGATGCAGTTCGGATATGTTTGAGGAAGCTTTGGTATGATTGTAAACGGGCTCAATCAAGAGCCGCTCTTTACAGAGATATGCCGGGACACCGCGAGAGCCCAGTGTTGCGACAGAAGTAGGATAATGGGTGCAACAGAAATGCTCCAAATGGGGGTGAAGCGATACATAAGATGGTACAGCATGTAAGGACTTGGAAGAATCCTGATCCGACATGAAGGATGCAAAGAAGCGCATGCCATTGTAAATCACATATTCATTAGTGAATTCCACTGCCAAAGGGTATCTAGATTTCAGAAAAGCGACGAGATGAGAAAATCGTCGAACATAAATGGTACTTCGGACAAAGCCTCCATTCATTCGCCAAAGGGGTACGGCGGAAGTTCAGCCTCGTCTCCATTGACGACTTTCTCTCCCACTTCCTCTGTGCCGTTTGTCCCATTTGTGACTTCATTTTGCCCTTCTTCAGAACGCCAGACTCGCACCACCTTGTCCAAGCCTCCGCTCGCAATCAAATGTTCGCTTGGGTGTGTATCGACGGCTAGAACAGGGCTTTTGTGCCCTTCCAGCCTCTGTAATACGTTCTTCGAGCTCACGTCCCATAGCACAATGGTATTGTCCTCGCTGCCACTAGCAATAAACGCGTACTGGTAAGGAGGCTCACCTCCATATGTCCCGAAAGCGCCTGAAAGACTGTACTTCTTGTTCATATGACCCTGATACGTCTTAACGCATTTTCCTTTCCCATCAATATAGTTCCACAAACGAAGGCAGGAATCGAGCGTCCAAGCAAGAATGTATTTGCCATTGGGAGAAAAGCGTACCGACGTGACCGGCGCGTTGTCTTCGTGGACCAGTGTTCGGAGACATTGGCCTGTCGCGGTGTCCCAAACTCGAATAAGTCCGTCGTTGGCGCAAGAGACAATCAAAGTACCGTCACGCACGAAGTCGATGCCTCCGACCGGGTCTGAATGGGCAGGCAGTGATCGCATCACGCGAGCTGCGCGAACGTCCCATAGGAAGACAGCCTCGTCGTAGGAGCCACTGACGAGCATATTTCCTTTCGGAGAGAAAGCGATGGAGTAGACATAGTTGTGGTGGCCGACAAATGGCGTGGGATGTGCTAAACCTGTTGTGATATTCCAGAGTCGAATTGTCTTGTCGTCTGAACCAGAAGCAATCATCTTCGAATCCGGAGACCAAGATATGATGTTTACACCAGCCAGATGACCCTCAAGCGTATGCTCTAATTGCCCCGTCTTTGCGTCCCAGATTTTGATGGTACAGTCTGCCGATGCACTTGCTATCCATCGTCCATCTGGAGAAAATCTGACAGCGGAGACACCTTTCTTGTGTCCGTGAAGAATCATTGTGGGCTTATAATGCAGTTCGTTTGGCTTCGGAGGAAGAGGCGTCGATTCGGGAGACCGTGATCGCCGTCGTGATTGAGACCTCGATCGTGACCCTGAACGGGAATGTGATCCAGATTGTGGACTCCTCCTGTCTCTGTAGTATCTATGGTCGTCCTCACTGTCATTGTCTCTGCTGTATCTTCTCGCAGGCCTCTGCGCCAATCGGTATGAAGCAGATCCATTTGGGGTTCCCGAGCTTGAGCGCTTTCGAGGTCGCGCATCCTCATGTTCATACTCATCCGCTTCTCTGCCTCGTTTCGGAGATGGGTCGCGAGAATCGTCCATATCAAGAATCAGGCCAGAGTCTGATGATGCGAGCTTCTGACAACAGATATGTATTTCCTGGGCCTTGTTGCAGAGCGGTCGCTTGGTTGGTGCTGATAAAAGGGTATCTAAAGTGTTGGTCAAATAGTGAGTTGTAAGGTTGTTTTGAAAGAGCTCAATGGGACAAACGAGAAAGACGGACGCGGTCCGCAAATATTCTGCCGTGCCGGCGCGTCGATCGCTAAGGCGGTGAGTAGGCACATCCTTGATCCCTGTTCGAGCTTCCATGACCGACCCCATCCTTGGATCTCCAATTCGCATGATACATTTAAAAACATCGATACACCCGCCAACATGACAGAAGTGGTACAAAGTGGCCCTACAAGCTTACGGATACTGTCGTTAAATTGCTGGGGTCTCAAGTTCATCTCGAAACTTCGCAATGAACGCCTAGCGGAAATAGGAAATCAGATAGCTGCCGCTGAATTTCCTCCAGATATTGTTGGATTGCAAGAGTGCTGGACGCAACAGGACTACAATGCCATTCGTGAAAGAACGAAACACATTCTTCCCTACGGAAAGTTCTATCATAGTGGAATTTTCGGTGGCGGCCTAGTCATTCTCTCACGATGGCCAATCGAGGAAAGCAGCATGTGGAGATATCCACTGAATGGACGTCCCGCAGCGTTTTATCGTGGAGACTGGTTTGTCGGCAAAGGTGTTGCTTGTGCAAGAATTAGAATGGGCCCGACACGGAGAGATATTGCAGAAGTGTTCTGCACTCACGTAAAGCTTCCTATCCCCAAAGAGCTATCCTTCAGTTCACCTAACGAAGACCCAGTTACACGCCCCCTATGAATCGGAGCCACATGATTCATACATTTGTCACCGCACAGCACAAGCTTGGGAAATAACGAAGCTCATGCGAGGTGCTGCCGAAAGAGGTCATCTTGTCATTGGCCTAGGCGACTTTAATATGATACCGCTGTCCTTAGCACATCGAATTATCGAAACACATTCACCTGTTCGCGATGTCTGGCGCATAATTCATCCCGATTCATCCATTGGAGCTGCAAAAGACAAAGTCGAAAAGCTCAGAGGCTTGCCCATGCCTAACGCAGAGTTCAATCTCACCGTGAATGGTGCTACCTGCGATAGTGCGTTCAACTCATGGCGTTGGAACCATGCTCACCAAAAGCGACTTGCCAAAGGGGAAAACGTGGTTATAGAGCCGACTGTCGATGATCCTCATGCAAAGAGGCTCGACTACATCTTCTTCAGCAGCGGATCTCATCATGACGCAGCAACTGGAGAGAACACGGCGGAATGGAGCCTAAAGGATGCAAGTGTGGGAATGACTATGAGGCACCCAACTCTCCACTGCTCACTGAGCGACCATTTCTCCGTTGAGGCTACTCTAGTAAGAAGTACAGCATCGGCATCATCTGTGGAACATAGTCCTTGGGCCCTGCCAGAGAAGTATTTGGAACTCAATACATATGATGAGATCCTAGCGACTATCACCAAATACACAGCGCGTGAACGGACGCAGCGACGACTACGAATGGGGCACTTTGGCTATCAGCTTTGCCTAAGCATTGGATGTCTGATCGGCGTCTGGTGGGCACCCCACAACTACGTTGCTTTCATTTTGATGCTGATCAGTACATTCGGATTGAGTCTTGGTGTCTTAGAAGGACTGATGGGTGGTTTGTTCGTTGGAAGTGAGTTGAGAGCGTTGCGAGAGTTTGAGTGGGAAGTGAAGAACACGCGAGCCAGAGCAGCAACAAAACAACAGGAGTAACGATATAATTAATTAGCAAGGATTCACGTTACAATCACTAATATTTTCACTTAACTTCTCTCCTATTGTTACGTTTGAATGCCGAATATCACGTTGAAACCTCCAGACAATAAGATAGGATTATGTAATCGCCAAGCTTCAACGACCTAGTTGTATCGACGTCTGAGATTCATCGATCAGTAGAAGCAACAACCTCTCTTCTTCTCCAACTTCGACAGCACCTACATCTCCTCTATCCCGGTCGCGAATTAACGCGCCGCTTTGGGATATATCGCTTACCACCACGATTATTCTAGCGGTCACTCGACGCAACTGCGCCGCGGTCTTCCAAAATGAGCAATCCCCAGGCTCAAGGCTCCCAAGGGCCTCCCCAACAAGCACCACAGATGCTCAAGGCTGAAGATATAGTAAAGCTTCACAGCTTGAATGCGGATCAGAAGCAGAAGTATAGGCCAGCGATGGAAAATTTCTGGAATATCTACAACACAAAAGCAGTTGGTAGCCCAGAGCACAACCAGGCAAAGGCAAAGTTAGCGGAATGGTCCAGCAAACTCATTAGCCAAGAACGAGCATATCGACTCAAAATGAAGCAACAGCAGGCTGCGCAGCAGCAGCAACAGCAGCAGCAGCAGGGTCAAAATCAACAGACTCAGCAATCCCCACAACCAGGCAATGAGCAACAACAGCAGCAGCAAGCCCAGCAGACACCGCAACCACAACCGCAAGCGCAACAGCAGCAGACTCAACCGCAAGCGCAGCAGCAACAGCAACCAACACAGCAGCCACAATCAGCACAGGCAACGGCTCAGCAGCAACAGCAGGATGGTGCAAATCAGGCGGCACCCTCGCAACCCCCTCAGCAGGGTAATGCAGCTCGTCCCCAAGCAGCGCAGCAAAACTCAAATCAGCCACCGCCCGAGATCATGAAGCACGTCTTAAGCTTTCCCGTTCGTCTTCCACCGGATGGAGGTATACAAGAAGGCACGCCTGAGGGAGATGCAAAAGTCAAAGAGCTTCGGAGTTCCTATACATTGGCGTTGATGAGGCAGAAGAAAGCGCAAGAGCGGTTGGCTCTGTTCAACAATATGATGGAGAACAGGGAAAAGGCGGGACAGCCACTGGGACCGGACGTCCTCAATCAGAAGCAAGTAATGCTCAATGAATATTCCGGAGCGAAGAAGTTCGTCGATGATTTCAGGACGAAACAGGCGCAATGGAAGGCAGAGCATGAGCGGCGAAATTCTCAGGCTGGAGGCCAGGCTCAGCACCCACAAGGTCAAGGCGCGCAACCTCAACAAGCTCAGACCCAACAATCGCCTCAAGCCGCGCAACAGTCGCAGCCACAACAAGCGCAGGGACAAGTGCAGGGACAAGGCCAACAGCAGCAACAATCACAACCGCAACAGCAGCCTGTTGTGAAGCAAGAAACACAACCACAGATCAAGATTGAGGGTGGACAGCAACCACAACAATTTCCCAACGTGCCTATTGGGCAGCAACAGAATCAACAGATGCCACCAGGCATGCAGCAACCGCGACCGCCGCCTGCTGTTCATTCGCAGTCGATGCCGCATCCAAACCAAGCCCAATTCGGCCAAAACCCTCAACAGCAACAACAGCAGATGCAACGCCCGCAAATTAACCCACTCGCAGCAAATGCCCACGCCCAGCAGCACCATCAACAATCGCCACATCCTCAGTCCGCCACCTCTGCCGGGCCTCCGGTACCCCTCACTCACCAGGCAGCAGTAAGCGCGGCGCAAAGATCGTACTCGCAACCCGATCAGAGGACAGGCACTCCTATGCAAGGAGGCCCGGGCAGTTTCCAAGCTCCTGGAAGCCGTGAGCGTGAACAATTGAATAACCCTAAACTTCCGATTCCACGATCACTAAACGTTACTCAACCTGTACCTGTAGGAATGGGTCAAGCGCGTCCGACAATGAGCGGCCCGGCGAACGGCGCACCTGGATCCATGGGCCAACCAGTCATCAATAAGTTCCCTCCATTTCAACTTGAGGGCGAGGGCGACCGGGTGCTCAGCAAACGCAAGCTCGACGAACTTGTTCGGCAGGTCACGGGTGGTGCAGAGGACGCGCTTACTCCAGAGGTTGAGGAGGTATAGCACCATAATTACAGCCTCTAAGTGAAAGACACGCTAACTCTTTTAGACAATGCTCGCACTCGCAGACGAATTCGTTGACAACGTCATTGGCTCAGCGTGCAAGCTTGCTAAGCTCCGTGAATCACCTCAACTGGAGATTCGCGACCTGCAGCTAATCTTGGAACGCAACTACAACATCCGCATTCCAGGTTACGCCTCTGACGAGGTTCGCACCGTCCGCAAGGTCGTACCTGCCCCTGGATGGACACAGAAGATGAATGCAGTGCAAGCTGCAAAGGTGATGAACTCAGGAAAGACAGACATCTGAGTGGCTCGTATGATACCCCGTTCAAGTAGCAATTTTGGAGGATCGATTTCTGGCGTTTGGCACCTCAAGAGGTTATGGTGCGGGTGTGGACCTTATCTATAAATGAAGGAACACGATTGCATTGGGAAGCAAATGGCGCATATCTGACAATGGCTGGAAGGCTGGTGAAGATGTCAATTCCACAAGTCAGATGAAGATGTCAAATATGCATCTTAGCTGATCAGGGAAGCTTAATTAATATCATATTCATCCAAATCACATGTGACCGTCTATAATTGATATCATTACCACGAGGTTCCTTGAACTGGGTACACTTCTAGAAGATTGGTATATTTCATATTCGTGTTGTGCTATATAAGAGGAAACTCCTACTCCTCTTCCGAAACGCCAACGGCCCATGCAAGATCTTCACAAAAGCGAAGAGGATGCTGCTACGAAAGCTGGTATCCACATGAAAGCAATCATATACCTGTATCGTGCGTATCTACTGCCAACCTTTCGACTCCTGAAACAGCAGCCCTCCGGAGCCCCTAAATCATCCCATCATACATTCGTCTCTCTGATATAGGCTCATGCAGCTGCCCTCGCACCTTGACGTCCACCTTGAGCCGGTGCCCTTACGGCGCCAGGCCGATTGAGGGTGTATTTGGCAAAGGCCCTTGCTAGAGCCTTCTTCGCTGAGACCTTCTGTGATCCAACGAAGGAGTCAACGGCGACCGCGATAGCGCGATCAATGTCCTGAGAAGAGCAGTACTCGGACAATCTCATTTTGCAAAATGATTCACTGATTCGCATGATGGCTTCCAGATGACGAACCTGCAGTGTGTTAGTAGGCCTACTTGATAGAGGGGATGGTTTGAAGGCGTCGACTTACAGTAATGGGATAAGCACCGGTTGCTAAAGATTCCCTCCTCATGTCTGCAAAGAGACGAGCAACCTTGTCCTGGTCAATCTGATACAGCTTTGGTCGTATCTTTTCACGAGCATAAAGGATGTATTTCCTCAACAGCTCCTGGGGAATTTCGCCTTCTTTGCTGGGTTGTTCCTCGGAATCGACGTCCATGCTTGCTTCGTCTTCTTCACCATCCTGCGTTGCCGCCTTCGCCTTGTTAGAGAAACCGTAGGTTGCATTCGCTAGTGGATGAGCACGGCCATGGGAATTGACCACAAATTTCGCTAGGCGCTCATCTTCGCTGGGATCCACGGTATCGCGAACAACACACAGAATGTCGAAACGGGACAGGATAGGTTCTGTCAGCTCAACATTTTGAGAGAACGGAATAGTAGAGTTGTAGCGGCCACCAATAGGATTGGCTGCAGCAACGACTGCACATCGAGCTTGCAAAGTGGTAACAATACCAGCCTTGGAGATAGAGATGGTCTGCTGTTCCATGGCTTCGTGAATCGAGGTACGATCTTGGTCATTCATCTTGTCAAACTCATCGATAAGGCACGTGCCTTTATCAGCCAGTACAAGTGCTCCTCCCTCTAACGTCCATTCGCTAGTCATGGGATCACGACGAACAGAGGCAGTAAGACCGACTGCGGATGCACCTTGACCAGTCGCAAAAACCGCACGGTGCGCCGTCTTCTCGATATATTTGAGAATCTGAGATTTGGCTGTACCAGGGTCACCGAGGAGGAGGACGTTGATGTCACCACGGATCGAGTGCCGGCCGGGGGCTTCTTTACTGACGCCACCAAACAATGAAAGGGCAACAGCAGTCTTGATATCTGTGTGGCCATAAATACTTGGAGCAATGGAATTGATAATCTTATCGACGATCCTCGGGTCCCTAGCAAGCTGACGGATCTTACGTTCGTCCTCCTCTGTCAGACGGAATCCAGCAAGCTGGTCATGCGATTTCACGACATGATTAGCCTCGATAATGGTGGCGAAAACCGGGAAACCGTTCTTGTTGTTCAAGGCTGCATCGTAATTGTTACGATAGATACCAGTGACTTCTATCTCCTCGCCAGGCTTGGCCGAATCAATGAGATCCCAGAGAAGAATAACTTCTCGGTGTCGGGGCAAACGACCAGCAGGCACAGTACCGGGTGACTCTTGGAGCGTAAGCTTCTGATAATTACGGTAGACGGTCCTTTCCGAGTTGACTGTGAAGGGGCCTCGTGACTGGCAATTCTGGCAGAATGAGATCTTGACCTCTACGTTCGAATCCTGGTGGAAGGGACCTAGAGTTGTGCCGCACTTGGTGCAGTCAAATTTGACATACTTGAGCTGCGGGAAGACTCCACTTCGTCGAGTGACTACACCACTGACGCGAACCAAACAGTTGAGATGAGTTTGACGCAATTGTCGGAGGGTGTACTGGACCGGAATATCTGTCATACGGACATGAATCTCGGAATGAATGCGCTCATAGTCGGGATAGTGGATCAATGTGACCTCCAGGGCCACTGCATCGAAGATCTTCAACATCTCCGTCGGTGAATTGGCCAGCCAGAAAGCAAGTGTTGCTTTCGATTCGGCAAGGTGGTCGAAAGAGACCTCCAAGGACTCGGCATTGATTTCACCAAGCGTTCGAATCCGTGTGCCATAGACGGAGCTTCCGTGTTCGTCCGTGTATTCAGTCAAGAAGGACTTGAACTCGCGGAAAATGGTCTTTGCTACTGCAGGCTGTGCAACCCAATCGGTTAGTGTTGCAGCCTTGACATCTGCCAATGCTTCAAGCGACAGCTCCTCATTCATGATGTCGTCTTCCATGTCCATATCATCCTGATCCTCGTCGTATCGGCGTCGGCGCCGACGAGGCTGTCTCGTAAGATCTGCGAGCGCATCTTCGTCCTCATCAGGTAGAAATGCGACGGGCATACGGCGTCTGGCCTCTCGGTCCCGGGCATTGAGACGTCGCTCTAGCTCACGCCTGCTGGCAACATCCATATCACCATATTCCTCGTCGTCAATGTCAGCGGTGTCGTAAGCATCGGTTTGGCGCTCTCGATAGTCCCGTTCAAAATCATCTGCAAAAAGGTCGATGCCCTCTGCCTCCTCGGCATCTTCATCTAAATCGTCAACATCAGGGATAAGGTCTTCATCGTCAAGAATATCGATATCCGGCTCATCGTCATGCGGCAGCATTGGAGGTGAAGAGCCCAGCGCTAAGGTTGTTTTAGCTGTGCATACGCCACGTTACGTTGACATAACTCACGGCTCGACGGCGGATGCGCCGCAGATGATGGAAGATCGTCATCCTCTCTCGAACGCTTCGTGCGCCTGCTCGGTCCAGGACCACGGTTTGCGGAAGACATGTTGGATCGAAGTGGTGAACTACGCAAGGTCAGGGCTGGCGGTAAGGAGGGGTAGTGGCTGGGGAGTCTTCGCGATTATTAGCATTGCGAGAGGAGGATACGTACCTCATATCGACTGTGAATGCACTTCGAATTTGTATTTACGATCTTATGCTATCACAATCAACGGGGGATGTGCGAGCACCTTGGAGGGGTGAATTGTGAAAGTGGAGCTGGAGCGAAAAGGGTTGGACGCGACGCCGAGAGAACGCGAGACGCGTCTTCATTAAACCCCAATGGGGCTTAGCGCAACGTTCATGTTCATGGACAGCAACGAGCAATCGAGGAGTAAATGACAGCAGATCTGAACAACCCCATTTCTACAATTGGTACTATTCTCCACGCGAGCAATTCTTCTTTACAACTATTGCCCATCACAGTTTCCCCTCATCGCCCGGAAGATCTCCCATTGGTGGTTCCCTTAACCAAGCTAGCTGGGCCGTCACAATCGAGGCGACGTCGGACATACTCCGCACTTACCTTAAAGCTGTATCACCGTACCTTTGACGTCGCCTGCGCTGCGCATCGCATAACCTCTCCTTTCGCAATTCTTCCCATCGTGTCCCTTATTCAATATGGCCAGTTCACAGGCCTCTGAAGCCTTACAGTCGAAGCCGCGTACGAGCAGTATCTCTCAAGCATCCGAGAACTCTCAGACAGCAGCAGAGTTAGTCGAGTCTAGAACCACACGATCATTGCACCATACTAATGTTTGCACAGCTTCATTAAGGAGCAGCTGAATCTCGAGGCTGAGGCTCGCGAAGCCCTTCCATATCAATTTGATACATGCACACGCGACCTAGGCGCAATTCGACAGAGTCTCTTCTCATGCTTGACCTGCAATCCTCTCCCGATTGACCCTTCCGACGAATATACCGCAGCTGGTGTTTGCTATTCTTGTTCAATCTCTTGCCATGGCGAACATACCCTCGTGGAGCTCTTTAACAAGCGCAACTTTGTTTGCGACTGTGGAACCACACGCCTACCGGATACCAGCCCATGCACGTTGCGTGTGAACCCCGCCAACGGACAGAAAGGAGATATCACTGGCGAAGAAGCGGCGAAGGGTAATAAATATAATCAGAATTTTCGGAATAGATTCTGCGGCTGTGAAGAAGACTATGACCCACACCAGGAGAAGGGTACCATGTTCCAATGCCTGGGGTTGGGTTATGCAGATAATGGGGGATGTGGAGAAGATTGGTGGCATCCCGAGTGTCTTGTCGGCCTCAGTCGCGAGGAATATAAGAAAAGCATCCAGAAGCCAAGCAAAGAGACTACAGATGGTACTACGTCTGGGGAAAGGCCTCCTGGAGGCATACATCGACAAATCAGCTTCAGCAGGTCCGAGGAAGACATCAACGGCGACGAAGAGGATGCACGAAGGCCTTCTATTGTGACCGACATTGCAGCAAGTAACGGTGTTGTTGCCAGTAACGAAGCAGAGGAAGACGAGCCCGAAGATGAAGACGACCCGCTCCCTCCAGGATTCCCAAATGAGGACGATTTTGATCACCTCATATGCTACAAATGTGTAGAGGCGAACCCATGGATCAAGCGCTATGCTAGCACATCTGGTTTTCTGCCACCACTTTTCAACGATGCAACATTGAACTCTGCAAAAGACCACTCCGCAACACCTACCGAGGCAACGATTACTGAGTCTAGGAAACGTAAGGCATCCGACTCGGAAGAAACTCACTCATCCCTCCAGCCCATGGCTGCCCCGCCCAAGCGCCAGAAATCCGAAGATCCTACTTCAGCTCTCAATCCTATCCCCGAAGACTCAACAACAACGACTACCCTGCCCATCACGCCCAAGAAACCCAGTCCAGACTCGTCGATATGTAAATACGAACTACTCCCCTCAGCCCCTACAGAAACCACACCCTTCACACTATTCCTTAAGGAGGACTTCCGCGACCATTTCTGTCGCTGCCCAGTCCATTTCCCCCTCCTCAAACCCTTCCCCCAACTCCTAGAGGAAGAAGACACCTATGAGCCCCCTGTCTCCGAGGATGGCAATGAGGCGCCAGCCTCCGCGGGAACAGGCTCCATCTACGACCGAGGCGAGGCTGCATTTAGCAACATGGATCGAATGCAGGCTATTCAAGGTGCCATGGCATATGCACATCTGAAGGATGGCTTGAAAGCTTTCCTGCAACCGTTTGCGGAAAGTGGACAAGCAGTCGGTGCGGAAGACATCAAAGCATATTTCGAGAAACTGAGAGGTGATGACAAAGGCATCGCGGAGGCGGCTGGCGGTGCAAAGAAGGCCGATGCAGATGATGATAGTGGTGGTGACGGAGGTGATAGTCGCAAGGAACAGAGTGGCTATTGAATATGCATCTCCGAGTCTCTTAGTACTATTATTTCATTCAAATTTGGACTTTTTCTTGATCTCGCACGGCGAAGAGAGTAGCATCCTCTCTTATCAACGACGGACGTTGGTGTTTTGGTAAAGTCACAGAAAAGTAGTGATAACTAGCAAGGGTATCAAGTTATTTATTTTCCCTGATTTCATCTGCCAAAAGGCTTATTCGGCATCTCCCTTCAGAATGACAATCCCATAAGGATCGCGATCTACTTCACTCACGAGGACATCAAAACCTTCGTCACCAAGAGCCTCCTTGATCTCCTCGTTTCCTTCTTCCTCCGTTCGCACTTTATCCCACTCTTCAGTTATTGCTTCCTCTAACTGGTCCCTCAAAACCTCTCCCAAGAACCCTCGTTCGGAGTTGCTATGGAACAAGCTGATGACCACTTGGCCGTTCTCGATCGCGGCTAAAGCCTCGTGGTGGCTCATCTCGCCCGTGAAAAGCAGATCACATTTCAAGCCAGAGAAGAGCGAGGAGCCTGAGCCAGCACAGATACCCACCGACGAAATGCTTATGTCAGAGATTGTTTTGTTCTGTGGAATTGCAATTGGAAAGCCCTTAGGGTTGTTGAGGCCTTTTCCAATGCGGTCTAACAAGGTAGCGAGCGGCTGGGGTTCGTCAAATGTCACAACACGTCCCATACCGGCACCAAGGTGTGAGGCCAATTCTGGAGTCTGTGGGACGATGGGTCGTCGTGAATGAGGAACCGACGATGCTGATCCTCTGGAAGATCGGTTGATGGCTTGGCTGGGGTGGTTGTGTAATGTAAACACGGGTGGCTTCTTGTCTACAAAAGGGTCGTCCTGCTCGACTGACTGTGCTACATTGCCTTTATTATTCTCCAGGTCCCCTGAAACACGATTCGTCTTCGTAGCTGTGACTATATCTGCAAGCCAGTCTCCAAGGCCGCCAGGTGCAGCATCAACAGCTGTATGTGGGCTATATACGCTTATGCCATGGCTGGCGAGACGGAGGAGAGTCTGTTGTTGCGTGTTTTCCAATGTAAGAGACTTGAGACCACGGAATATTATAGGATGATATGCTATTATGATGGAAGAATCCAGAGCAATGGCTTCGTCGGCAACCGCGCGGGTAAGGTCAATGGTAAGGAGGACTTTGTTCGAGCGTCGGCGCGCAGGATCGAATGGAGCTTCGAGAAGGAGCCCGGTGTTATCCCAAGAATTGTCTGCCAGAGCCTTTGGGTAGCTAATAAATCGTTAGTACTGGATCAATTGAATCTTGAAAGCATTCCAGAGCCGATAATACATACAGTCTTTGCATAGCCCTGACCGTAGCCCGCGAAAAGGGTGCTGAATTGGATGAGACACTCATGACGAACGAACGCTTTAGTGCTGAAAAGGACATGAAATCTGAATTGAAGCAATTGGGTTAAAGTAAACGCCCACTCGGAGGGGTTACCTCGTCATGCAGCTTCATTTAAAGTCCGTGCACCACCGCATCAGATAAACCCTCTATATTACATCATCACCCACACACTCTCTCTTATCAGATCCGAGTCGGAGGGGTGCTCTTTCCGCAGCGAGTGTGAGACATGGATCCAAGACACCAACTCTCCAGATCACTTGACAAACTTGCTGTAGATCCCACAGATCTACCAACCGAAATGGACATTGACACTCCGCAAGCACCTGCGAGTTCCGGGGTGACAATTGAGGGGCTGAAGCAGAAGCTCACGAGTCAGTTGGGCGCTATTCATGTCGAAATTGAGGATATGAGCGGTAAGAACCCGTACCCATTATTCGATTCTATAAATCAGAGTCTTTGCAATCTACTATATTAAGCGAGTAAGCTAATGTGTTTTTCTTCAGGTGGGTGCGGGCAAATGTACGAAGCGATCATCGTGTCACCTGCTTTTGCGAAGAAGACCACTCTAGCAAGACACAGACTGGTCAATGGCATCTTGAAGGAGGAGATAGCAGCTATTCATGCTTGGACAGCCAAGTGCCACACGCCTGAAGAATGGGAAAAGAAGCGTCCTCAATGATGAAGCGATTATGAAGTCACGATCCAAGAAGCAATGGTAGAGAGCACGTTAGATGATCAAGATGTATGATATCAACATGAGGAACAGGATTGTGTGTATTGGCTGGTTTTTTTGCTTCATATTGAGGGATGTAGATATTCCTCAACACCTTTTAACTCAACAATACCCTGATTTCCCCGCTTGTGCGGGGGAACATATCTCTAAGGCCTGGCGCGGGCTCTTCCTCATCAGAGTCTTCGTCTGCCCGTACAAGATCATCAGCTGCAAGCAGCTTACTCTCAACGAATTCAAAGTCTTCACAAAATCGTCCTGCTGCTTCCTCGGTGACATCCTGCACAAACCTCCTGTTTCGCAGTCGCTTGATATTCTCTGCAGCATCGATAAGAGCCGAAGGAAGGAATTCGTCCAATTGCTGGCTGATCGAGATGAGTGTATCGGGTTTGAAAGCATCCAATCTTGGTATGGTTTTAAGACTTTCAGTGGTATCCGAAATTTTCGCTTCGGATAGTGCTTCCATGAGCGCATGCAAGCCAGAGTTGTGAGTGAGATAGCGATGTTGATAATCGACCAATCGAGCTGTGTGCTCGCCGATAATTTTATCAATGCCCTTCAGGCGATCTTGCGTAAAAGAATATCCCGCGAGTGTACCCTTGGCCTCTAATAGACAATTGATGATGAAAATATCGGCATCTGGTTCCTGTAGCCCGTCGCGTAGATTGAGGCATCCTTTCAAAAATGGGTCCAAAGCCTCGACAAGGACCGACTCGAAGCCATTCTCGCGGTCTTCGAGTGTAGCAACGGAAGTATCGTAACTCTTTGCAAGAGCTTTCAGCGTCTCTAAGGCTTCCTCCAAAAAGTCCGGAGGTGACAAGTCTGTTGGGGCAACCGTGACTTCGTTTTGCACCGCTGCAACATGATCTCTCATGTTGGTCCGGAATCTGCGCATAGCAGAGTTTTCTAAAGCGTCGAAGAATACTTCCAGCACATCTGAGTCTGTACCGAGAAGCTTCGAGAATGTTATCTTGTAAAAGCCGAAGAGGTTCGCGATCTTATAGGCTAATGTAGCATCCTCATGGCTTTGAATTACCTGCTCGGTACGTTGCCGAAGCAAACGAAGCACACCGGTCAGGTCGCGAGTGACCAGTTGATTCAGAGCTTTACGTCCGTCGAAGACCTCTTCATCACCATCTGAACGGAGCCAAGGCTCGCTCTCCAAGCCTGCCTGGATGGAACGCGTGATTTCGTCGCCCTCAGAAACAAACAAAACCTCCAGTGCCTCTCTTTCAGATACGGTAGCAGAATGAGCCCATGCTAGCATGTCGCCGACATATCGTAAAGGATCATGTGCATGGAACTCGATAGGTTTGGTTGCGAAATTTGTCGAGTCAGATACCTCGCCTGTCAGAGCAGCATGGAAGGCATCGGATAGGATGTGTTCACGAGCCTCAGCAAAGAAGTCAAGACAACTTTGGAACAGCGTCGGCCTTTCGGCCAACACGCGCAGCGACCGTCTGACCGAAGCGTTGATCTGAGGATTCTCCAGATCCAATGTCTTGAACTCGCGCTGAATCCACCTGTACAGCTTCTGGAACGCAGCGTTGAGCTGCTTGGAGCTTTGCTCTAATACCTCCAGGCCTAAAGTTTGATCTTCCGTGCCCAGAAGGACCTCACAATCATGATTGATCTTTTTCACTCTGGTCAAAGTCTGGAAAAACTCCTCATTGACGGGTTCCGCAGTGGACGTTAAAACGGTAGACTCCTCATCAGAAATGTTGAAATGAGAATTGAACGCGGCCAATATCTGCTGCTTGGTCTCAACCTGCTTCTTTTGGTTCATGAGGCTCTTCGCTTCCTCCATGACGGGCCCTGTCTCTCGATTCGCAGCTGCGATATGGCCTCTCATGTCGGCACAGTATTGATTCAAACTCTCAATGGCTGTACCAATACGTTTCAATTGCTTTCCAAAATTAATGCATGGCCACGTGCTTTGTTCAACTGTCTACATACCTCTGCAACAGCACCAAAGTCCTTAACAATTTCGCCATTGGACTGAATAACTTCCTTCTGTACATCAAGCCTGATTTGTCTCCTTGTCTCAGCTGTGTTGCGCACGCTGCGGGAATCCAATGTCTCTAGGGCATCTCGAATCTCAAGGTCGGCATAAGATGCAGAGAGAACACTGGTTATTCTGCTGGACAGTGCATTTGCACCTCGAGAAACAGATCCCACGGCTGGAGACGCTGGGGAAAGACCCTTATGGCCGGCTGGCGAAGGCCTTTCTTGGAAATAAGTACCAGCCATGTCTGGTGTCAGAGGTGGCTAGTTGTTGCGGGCGATACGTTTACCATCGGTCGAATGAAACGCCGAGCGAGCTTAGGTTGACTCGATGGTGGCTTAGTCATCTTCATTCAAAGCGTCCATCGCATACTAAAGGTAAATAATTATCTTTGCCTAAATGATCAGTGATATCATTGATTTTCTTCGAATAATCATCAACTTGCTAAATCAGTAGGTTCTTTGGAGGTGCGACTTCCGGCTCAATCGCAGTAATATCCACCCGCGAGTAACGACTCATTGATAGAAGTCCAAGATCAACCCTTCACGAAATGCAGATAGAAAATTCTCTTTAGCGGACATCGAGTCAAATAGCTTCGCACCTTGTTCATTAATCATCTACCTGCTCCGGAGCAGCACTTGGAGTCTTCCTTTTTGCTGTCTAGGTAGTCCTAAAGATATGTGCATCGTTGTAAGTCTCGCTGCATAGTTCCGTCCTATCAGCCAAGAAACGATTGAATTGACGAGGTGAAACTTGTGAGTAAGGAACCATTCTTATTCGAGTATCTTATCATTCGTAGCTTATAACAAGGTGACTGTTTCCTTTACATAGAGGTGATACCTATAAGGTACCGACAACACCTACATGAAAGATGATCGGTGAATCTAAGCGCCGATCTGGGGCGCGGGAGCTTAGCTCCAAGTGAGTACCGGTAGTGCCAGTGACGCCAGCCCAGTCCCTCGCACATGACAGTGCCATTCACCTCCACGCGCGAACCATTGTAGTCACACGCGAATATGTCCATTAGTTAAACACCACAACCCAACCCCATGGCTACTCCTGTAGATGAATGCAAATACAGGTCACACCGAGATCTTCAGACATTCCCCCTCGCCTTTGGAGCCTAAGCAGAAGCCCCGCCGTTGCCTGAGCTTCTGCTGGGCCGGCCTTGTCCACCCAACATAATCATGATGGCCTCAAACTTACTATCTAGGCTTCTTCCTACAGCCTCCGACGAGCGTTTTCCGTCTAACGACCCCGACTCCCACCATCGCCGCGGTTCATCCTCGACTGACGAAAGGCACGACATGGATATAGACGAGGAGAACTTCGAGGCGCGTTTCGAGGCTCAAGACCTTGAGAATCTACTCGCGGACGCCTCCGCAAGCCAGATGACCACGGAAAGCACCGCGTTCTTACCTCCGGGAAACAACAACCGTACTGGTCGTGCACCGTCGAATATAAACAATCTTAACAAACCTTCATCTTGGAGACATACGGGTCCTCCAGCCACTACTCCTATGTACGACGATGAAGACGTCCCAGAGTCTCTTCTCCTCGAAGGGGGGCAAGAGACCCATACACTATCCTCAAATACCCAGCGCCACCCTACAAGTGGCCTTCCACCTCCCGTTCCCGGCCCTACAACAGAGCAGACCCAAGCGCAGTGGGATGCTACACGGCGGCAACAGCGATTACATGACGAAGAACAAGGAGCAGTGCCGGTTCCTCGATGGAGGCCTTCCCAACGACCAGTTCGAGGTATTGGACTTCATGTAGACCCTAAGGAAAGAGCACTGTGGCGATGGGTCAACGTCTCGGATCTGGATACCTTTCTTGTAGAGGTGTACGAATACTATGATAACAAAGGGATCTATTCGATTTTATTACGAAGATTCTTGAGACTTCTGTAAGTACAAATTTTATGGTGTGGTTTTATCTTACTGATTCCCAGAACAGGCAGACTGCATTCGTAGTATCCTTTATCACGTTCTTAACCTGGTGTATCGACTACTCTGTGTTGAAACAGAGTCATAAACTCAGCGAGGTACTGGTGCCCAAGTGCACCAAAAAGTTAGTCTCTCTATTCCCCTCCAACCATTTGGGTCCGCTAACTTCAGTAGGATACATGGGTTTTGGATCTTCGCGCTTTGGATGCTTATTATGTATTGGCTGTGGTCTTTTGTACAGCTTGCCATGGAAACTCCACGTCTACGGGCGATGCACGACTTCTACCACTATCTTTTGGATATCCCTGATCGTGATATTCAAACAGTGCAATGGCAATTGGTCGTTGCTCGTATCATGGCACTCAGGGACCTGAATCTCGCCACAGCTTCGAACCTCTCACCAGAGAGCCGAAAATTGTTAGACCACAAGAGCCGACAACGATTGGATGCTGTCGATATTGCCAGCAGATTGATGCGTCGAGATAACTACATGATTGCGCTCTTCAACAAGGACATAATCGATGTCACAATTCCTATCCCTTTCCTCGGCGATCGGTACATCTTCTCTGAGACTACTAAATGGCATGTTCAATTGGCTATCATGGACTATGTCTTTAGTGGACCAAACGGCACTTTCAATCAGGATTTCCTGAAAGAGCGAAATCGTAGGGAACTCGTCAGACGACTACAATCGCGCTTTCTCGGTGTGGGTATAATCAGTGTAGCATGCGCACCTTTCACCGTATCTTTCGTATTGGTTTCATACCTCTTCAAATATTTCACCGTAATTACACTTGTCCATTTCTCTTTACTTTAGTTAACCACATGCAGGAATACCACAAAGATCCATCCCAGCTCAATAATCGAGATTTTACAGAGCTGGCAAAATGGAAGTTTCGTGAATTCAACGAACTGCCACACATCTTCAAGCAACGTTTGAACATGGCCTACCCTTATGCCAACCTCTACCTTGCTCAATTTCCAAAGGACAAGACTGAGCAAGTCTCGGCGTTTGTGGCATTCATCTCGGGCGCATTCGCATTTGTTCTCGTGGCTTTTACTCTTTTGGACTCGGAGATGTTCCTCAGCTTCGAAATCACACCTGGCAAAACCGCCATCTTTTGGCTCGGCATTCTCACTGCAATCTATAGGATTGCTCGCAACAGCAGTCCTCAGGAAGACCAAGTTGCCGACCCAACATATTACTTGCAACATGTCAACTCTCATACCCGATACGAGCCTGAGCAGTGGAAAGAACGCTTACATACTGACCAAGTCCGGGCAGAATTTTCACACCTTTATCAACCAAAGGTCTTGATCTTCGCCGAGGAAATTCTTAGTATGCTCGTTACACCCTTTTTGCTCATTTTCCGATTGCCGCAATGCAGTGAGCGCATCGTTGACTTCTTCCGCGAATTCTCCATTGTGGTAGACGGTCTCGGTGTTGTGTGTTCACACTCTATGTTTCCGTTCAAGAAGGGACGAGAAGAAGGTCCTGGCAACAGGAGAAGTAACCGCCCAGACGAGCCGGATCTTCGAGAAGACTACTTCAAGACGAAGGATGACAAGATGCTAAAGTCTTATTATGGGTTTTTGGACACATACGCAATGGATGGCCGCCGTCAAGGTCCAAGAAACTTCCATCCACCTCCACAGTTTCCAAACAATTTTGGCAATATGTCACAAACTGCGGGCCCATTTGACCACAACGGCGTCGGAAATAGTAGAATACCGGCTGGCCGGCAGTCGATACATCATGGAACTCCCATCCATGGACCAACAACCGGTCGAGATGTGCCGATTGGCTCTATACTTCTCGACCCACACCATCAGCCGTCCGCATCAACCTTCCGAAACTCCCCCAGACAGGCTCCAACAGCAAGGTACCGATCATCTTTGCAGCCCCTTTCTGACCGCCACGCCGGCGACTTGGCACAATCACGACAACGCGGTCGCATCGAAGAAGAAAGTACGATCGGTGATTCATGGCGGACAAGTCGTCTTGCGCAGGATGATGACGAAGAGGAGGAAGCGACTGGCAATACTAGAGGAGGCGTATTGCAGCTTCTGCGCCAGTTTTCCCAAGCTCAAACCGAAGGCAAGGCTGCCGGGGTGGGAATCTAATCTTTCAGCATAGCATGGGCTTCTGGCGTTCGGGACGATATCCAGGAAATATCAGCCTCACGGGTCGTTTTTTGGTGTATTCATGTTTTACTTTATGGGCAATATGGATGTCTCGCAGGAGCTGGGTTTCACATTTCTACTTACACACACATGCTACTGTAGCAAGCATTCGAAGATTAGAATAAACACATCATCGCATTCCATATTTATCTACTACCATCGGCAACTTTGTGATGATATCTCGAGCGTAACGGAGACAGAAAAAATTGAAATGTCAGGACATGAATCACGTTCCATCAATCTGACGACAGTACGTGACAAAGAGGAATGTGTCCATCAATCAATCAATTAAAAAAACATACAAACTACAAAGATTTGCCCTCCATTATCATCAATCAACAACAACAACGATGGGAGTGGGCAAAAAAATGCCTCATAACAAAAAAGTGCAAAAAAAGAACAGAAGTAACTCCCCCGCGTGGGCTCGAACCACGAACCTCCTGATATCAGGCTTTCGAATGGAATGCTTAACAGTCAGACGCGCTAGCCAATTGCGCCACGGAGGATGGAACTTTCGAACACTGATGGCTCGATTGTTGTGATGTTTGAGTTAAAAATATTAATGTATATATACCACGTCGAAGATGCAAAGCCGAAAGCTTTTGTTTCGGCGTCTTTGCAGAGTTTTAGAACGGTGGACATGGTCCTTAGTGCGGCGGGTAAATGGTGTCTCAAGCAGGCAGGGTCTTGTGTCTTCCTTGCTCGGGCCTTTTGTTCGGTCGAACTTTTGGGAAACCAGATTCCTTTGGTGCACCAAATGTACTCTATACAGCTACACTCGACGCAGGATTGTTATTATCATTATGTGAATGCGTTTACTCTTTATGCTCGTCATCTTTCGGTAGTCATTTACAAAACTGTGTTTTTGTGCGCACAGCAGGTATTCGCAGAACGATTAAAATATGACCAACGATGAAGCTTTGCACCAAAAGCAGATTCTCCGGTGAAGCACAACGTTTCTGCGATTACTAGCTTTACCATCGAGGTATACAATATGTACTTCTAGACTTAACTATCCCGCAGTAATTCATCATGCGCAGGCCTGTCAGGGTAGGTAACTACGAGGTAGGTCCTTGAAAGCTCGATGGATGCGCTAACCCGATCAAGGCACTCGGTTAAGTTTGTGCGCCAAGAGTTGCCCACGCCAGCCGAATGATTTTCAAACTCGACTTTGAATTTCCTCCCTTCCTCATCCACCACGCTTTATCTACAACAAAAGTTGCCGGAGCAAAACAGCAGAGATGGCACCTAAGAAGAGTACGTCGCATCCGATTCACTGTTCCTGACAGCAGCAATGCTTCCACACACGAGCCATCCACATTCATCGAGAGGACCTCATTGACAAATTTCCAATAGACAAGAAGACCGCCGACAGCATTAACTCAAGGCTTGCCTTGGTTATGAAGTCTGGCAAGGTTACTTTGGGTTACAAGTCCACCCTCAAGAGCCTCCGTAATGGCAAGGCCAAGCTCGTCATCATCGCCGGCAACACTCCTCCCCTCCGCAAGTCCGAGTTGGAGTACTACGCCATGTTGAGCAAGACCAACGTCCACCACTTCTCCGGAAACAACGTAAGTTAACCATGCACAGGCCTGAGAAAAAGTCTGAATCAATGGACTTTGGAGGCCGAATGACATGCTAACGTGTTTTTCTCTGCTGTAGATCGAGCTCGGTACCGCCTGCGGTAAGCTCTTCCGCTGCTCCACCATGGCCATCATCGATGCCGGTGACTCGGATATCCTCGCTGCCAACCCCGCTTAAGCGATCAAAAATATGACCGTCGGATGAACGCAGAAAAAAAGAAGGAACGCGAGAGAAAAAGGGATGGATTGGGAGAACGTCATATGGAGCGTGTCAATTATATACCCTGGAGCCAGTCGACTCGGCTGAGTCTCGCTGCGCCAAATACCAATTCAACGAGTACCTCGTACGAGACACATATCACTGTTTCCTGCCGCATCCTTTTTCGTGAACAAATAACTAGTGACTGGCCTCTCAATCTGAACTGTACACCAAGTGACCGAGTAACCACCGAGGCAGCATCACTAAAAGCACAACAGTACCATTCCCTATCACACACTCCACCCACCAACTCCACACACACAAGCATCCCTTTCATCTACCACGCTCCTCCTCTTTCTCACAAACCATCATCATCCATTTTCTCAACCCACAAATCACACTTCATCAAAATTGAATTATAAACCAAGTAATTGAAAAGTATTCTCACTAGTTATCTTATCTACAAAAAAAGGCAAATTAAATATTACATCCCCATCCTCTTCATCCAAACCAGGGTCTCAACCACCTATAAGTATTTGGATATCACGTTTTCCCTTCGTTCCTCACCCCGCAACAGTAACAGTAGCAGTAACCGTCTCCTTCTCCGTCGTCGTCACCACCTCCGTGACCGTGACGACAGGAATCGGCGTCACGATCAGTGGTCCCTCGTCTGTCGTCGTCGTCGTTGGCGGTGGGACCTCCGTCGTTGGCGCAGGAGGAGCAGGTTCGTTGGTGGACGTCGGTGCCGGAGGTGCTGGCGGCGGCGCGGGACTTGATGGCTCTGCTGCTGGTGGTGCTGGTGTGGGCTCAGGCGTTGGCTGTGTCTGAGGCTCTGATGGTGCGGCTGGCGACGACGACACTGGAGGCGCAGGTGCGGGCGAGGGTTCCACGGCAGCCGCCGAGCTCGATGACGGGGCAGGTGAGGAGGGCTCAGGCGTCACGGTCGTGTATTCAGTCTGTGTTATTATGACGACGGGGGGGACTTGTAGGGAGGTCGGTGGCGCTTCTTGCACTGGCGCTGGGGCGGATGAGGGTGCTTCTTGTACCGGTGCGGCAGCAGATGAGGGTGCTGGGTCCTGAGGTTGAGGGCTTGCGGGTTGCTGTGATGGTTCAGCAACGGCGGCGGAGGAGAGAGAGAGGGTGGGGTAGATGGTTGTGTACTCCGTCGTTGTGATTACCACAACGCTCGTTCTCGGCGGCTCGGATGGCACTGGAGCCTGTTGGACGGTGGAAGTACCTGGTTGCTCAGCGCTGGAGTTTCCTGGCGCTTCCTGCGTGGGCGCTGCGGACGCCGCTGCCGAGGACGGTCGCGGGGACGGGTTGAACAGGAATCCGCCCATCGTGGACGTCGTGCCAGGGGGGGCTTTCGCGGTCGTTGCAGCGGAGCTGGCTAACGTGGCTTCGGGGGCAAGCGAGGATGCGGTCTGGATGGGGCTTGACGATGACTTTGTGCATGTTGACGATGTCGCTGGTGCTGCGGGAGTGCTTTCTTGCGGCGAGTAGGTGAATTGCGGTAGGCGTGTGGTTGTTGGAACTGCTGCTGCTGCACTGGACGATGATGGTGATGACGATGACGATGCTACTGGGCTTGACGGAGCGTCTGCTACTATGGTGGACGTGGACTCGGGGACACTGGACGACGCCTCAGAGCTGGCGACCCCCAGCGTCTCACTGGCGAGAACACTCGACGACGAGGCACTCGATGGCACGGAGGAAGTGACTTCAGGGGTGGGGGCGGGAGCAGGGGAAGGCTCTTTGGTGAAGTAGAACGTCGACACGAGCGTCTCGGCCGGGAAGGTCTGGGGGTTCGACTTGAGGTCGAAGAACGTCTCGGCCTCCTGGATGGTAGTGAACTTGCTTTGCTCGATTGGCGTGATGACGAGGCCGGCGGATTCGGCGTTGATGGATGTTGGAGATGGGGTGGAGGCGCCGGCAGTGTTGTGAGTGGTGGTGGTGATGGTGATGATGCTTGATTGCGGGATTATCTCAATGGAGTACACGAGGTCTTCGAGTGTTGTCGAGGGCTGAGAGATAGATTGTGAAGTAGTGGTGGGTACAATCGACGAGGTGGTGTTCAAGAATGGTGATGATCTGCTTTGATATTAGCACGATGTTCGATTTGTATCCATTCATGATAGACGTACTGTAACCGCCGATAATACCTAGGCACCGGCCCTCCCAATGTCGTGCTACAATAAGCTGCCAGCAGCAAATATGTGAAAATGATAGACATGATTCAAAAATGTTACCAGAACTAGAGAAGAGAAGAAGAGGGAAAAATCGGATCGATCAAGCGATCGTTAATGACCAGCACTCGCTTCAAGCACAAGATTGACAACAATAAGTGACAATGATTGAAAGGAAATGTGTGGAGATGTGGGAATGCAAGCACAGATAAGAAAGAAAAAGATCGACGAACAGGAGAAAGACAAGGACAGTGAAAGACTACAAAGGAAAAGGAAGAAGAAAAAACGTGTCTGCACCCTGCAGACAATAGGATATGACTCTACAAAGCTCTGATGCAAGCAACTTCATTGTCGAGGCGGGATGCAGTGGGGTTTTGAAGCTTGGGGTTAGCCGCTGTTTGAGCGGAAAATAAACAAATGAAGGGCACTGGTCGAGCATTGTCGTAGGACTTCACCAATTTACGATGTACCACACGGATGTGTTGAGTGTTCCTGCTTGGTGAGTGGAGGATTGGTTATTGGTCGTCCAAGAGAGATGGTCGATGTTTCAGGATGCGGCCAATCAGAGGGCCAGAACGCGACAATGTCACGATATCCTCTTTCCAACCGCTGGACGTGCTGTTAACGCCGTGCACGGGTGCCAGGAATAGAAATGCAATATAACAGTGGTAACTCCAGGCACGGTCGCTCGTCTGGATTTCTGTGATCCGGATTGTGAAATAAATGGACCGTGGGCCGGTTCTCACGGCTTGAACACTATGCGACTCCGTCGATTCATGATCGTCTCTGTTTATGTCGGTTCATACCCGTATCTCCTCTCGCGAATCTCGCAATCTGAAGTCCGTGTCAAGTACTAAGCGACCTACGGATGATGATTTGAATTCCAATTAATGCTCGAAATACCTTGCACAACTACGGAGTACATTACCGCTGTATCTTCTCCCTCTTTCCGATACAAGAGCCACAGACTTCGCGTTAACCTGTCTTGAGATCCGACACAAGTAACTAACATCAAAACCCAATCAAATAACCACCCGTCCCAAAACAAAAACCGAAAGCGTCCAATTAAATTCGTCTGCTCGCTGCTACTTTAGGAAAAAAAAAAGAAACGAAATGAAACTTGAAATAGTATAGTGGAGAAAGAGAGACAATGTGTGGACGTGGATATCTACATGAGTGGTCAATTCCAGAAGTCATCTCATGGCAAGAAAAGAACGGGAGAGAAAGAAAGTCTGTTTCCCTCAAAAGATGCCAAGTTCGTAGAGATTGGAGAAGAGTGTTTTCATTTCAAAAATGCAATATATGATAAAATAAATGAGGTATCGTAGATAGTCATAACAGATGAGTTGCGTGAGCGATCGACCAAGTCGTGTAAACTTTCTCAGAAAAACAACAACCATATGGGTTTGTTGTATCCAAAAAGAAAGAAACCAATTAAAGACATGAGGTACCCGGGAAGAACATTGAGTTCAAATGGTTGTTGGTAAGAATGATGAATGAAATGAATAAATAAGTTGTGACCAAAATATGTAAATAAATAAAAAAATAAAATGCCAATTCATCTTTCCCGACTGAACGATAGAGTCATCCTATTCTCAATGGGTATCATCGAACCGAAAAAGAGGAGACAAGACTGTAAAACGGCAAAAACACCAAAACCAAAGAAAAGCGTTGGCATGTAACGTTGGCAACAGAAAAGACTCCGCGTAGGCTCAATGGCGTTAAGGTAACAAAGTAAATTCGTGAGTGTGTATCATCGTCATGGCGTCGTGCTTGAAGTGACATAATATATATGTTGGTGATGGCTAAAGGTGGATAGATAGAGGTAAATCGGTGTTAGTTATACTCGAAGATCCCGTCAGTCCTAATGGCGATTGCCGACGGCTTGCTGTTCGCCTGTGGCCACTGCCACCAAGGCTTCCAGACGTCGCATGTCGTTCGCTCCACCCTGATGCAAGGGAGGACCAAATGTTGCAGGGCCAGTCTCAGGTTCCCGCTGCGGCCGATATGTCGAGTTGGACAGCCCCTGGCTGTAATGCTGGCGATACTGTTGATGGATGGGATGGGGCCGATCCATTATGGACGTCGGGGGACCAGGTTTCTGCTCTTCCGTCGGGACGACAGGAGGGAGTGCCTCGACATACCCGTTGCTGTGCACTATCGCAGGATGGTACTCGTTCATGGAAGAGCCTGATGGCGTTGGAACACCTTCACTGCTGCTCGAATCCTCGGGAGAGGTACGCTGGACGACCCTCCCAGGCTGTCCATTGGGTCCGCTGGGTGGTTGAGGGGCCAGGGGACCATTATACCAGCCTTGTCTTTTGTTCTTCCTTGGAGTGGCGGGAGACTCCTGCGAACTCCGTTTCAAATCGTCCTGAGGAATCTGAATAGACTGCGGAACGGTGGGCAACGTCTGTTGAGGGCCACTGTAATAACTCGGATGGGGAGCAGTCGTGGGACGTGTAGTGGGAGGCAGGCCCCCTGAGCTGCCGGAAAACTGCGGCCATTGCTCTCGAGGAGGATTTGGACTGGCAATCTCCAACCGGTTGAGGTCCTTTTGCAAATTAGTGTCCCATGATATGCTCTGGCGTTTGGTATGCCCTAGTGTGCTTGGGGGTGGGTCGCTCGGTGCATGGTAGGTGCGAGGCCGTGCGCCGGGCGTGTCGATCTGCATGGGGCTCGGGCGACGTTGAAGGATAGGCGGGGGAGGGGCATGGTCGAAGCTCTCAATTCCAGGAAGGCGTGTCGTCTGGCTGGCGGCGGGCTGGGAGGTGTATGTCGGGCGAGGTGCGTCTGGAGTTTGGTAGTATCCCAATCCACTGGTTGCGGGCCGAGGTCCAGAGTATGTCCCAGGATGCCAAGTACGTCTTCGCCAGTCCGAATCACCGCCCGCATTTGAATCCCTCCTCGACTCCGTGAACTGGGATGACGTTGGACTTCCGAAAGCGCTGCTCTGGCTGGAAAATGTCGACGAGGTCGAGGACGGCAGAGGAGTGATGTACGGCTGAGGAATCTGGCCAGGAGGAGGACCCGAGAACGGATTGTTGCCTGAGGGAACAGATAGCCGACGGCCAGGCGGCATTGCTGCACCACCCCACGATACAGGTCTCGAGGCACTGGATGCGGGTGACTGGAAGCCTTGAGGGTATCTACCTGGGCTGCCCGTAGCGGCCGTCGAGAAGGTCGCCGAAGTGGGCGTCGAAACTTCCACAGATTGGGCGCCGTAGTCCACGATCTGGGGTCCAGGACTGCCCATTAGAGGCGGGTTGTAGGCGTCATGAGTATTGATAGATATCCTAGCCCTGGCAGCAGGGTCGTTAGCTATTGCGAGGGGTGGGGGCCGGCGCCTCGCATCCGCCGGCTGGCTTATGCTCATGGTTGAAGCGGTGGATGCAATACTAGACGCCGACAGATTCCTGCTGTGCCCTCTACTGTGCCCACCCTGACTACCCAGCGTGTTGGCTCGCGACCGTCCCGGTGGGCGCACACGATCGGTCCTGATTTGTCGTTGGAATCGAGTCCCCGTGGCGGCCAGTGAGTCTCCGGGGATATCCTCGTTCACGTGAACCGTCTGCGCATGTTGTCGAAGATTATCGAGGCGTGAGAATCTGCGTGAGCAGTGGCATTGGAAAGGTCGTTCACCAGTATGTTTCCTATAAAATTCCCCAAGTCAGTGTACATGATACTGAGCGTCCTGCAGGATACATACCGAATATGTCGTGCCAAATGTTCGCTTCTGGTGAAGCTCAGCTGGCAAGGCGGGAATTCCGTACAGAAGAACCTCTGGCCTTTCTTCTTCTTCGACGGCCTATTGACATCGCTGGTTGTACTTTCATTATCCGAGCCATCCCGACCTTCGTCGTCCCCACCCATTTCTATATCGTGTGAAGACCCCACAGAATGTGTCGACCTGTGTGAACTCCCGCGGCTTAATGCACTCTCCTGGCTGGGGTCGCTCTTGTGGCTCGGGGCTTCACTGATCTCGCGCTGGGGGGTGAAGGGTGAGGACGGTAACGGCCGTTGCGCTGCAAGTCCTCCAAAACTGTTACGGGTCGGTGTCTTCGCGGACGGGTCTTCGCTACGTGGGTCTTCTGGAGGCTGCAGCGGTTGGTGTGCATCGGGAAAGAATCGACTGTTTGGCCGCGGCGTCGTCGGCGTCGTCTCCTCGCCAGGGCGGGATGCTGGATGGTCGGGCAGGGCGAGTGTTGTCGTTGCAGTATTCACGGCCTGGAATGCAGACATGATCGCTGGTGATCAGGGCTGGGCGCCGGTTCGTTCGGTGGGAGAAAGGACGGGCTATTTATTGCACACTGGTCTGATGTGAGCGCTGACTTCAGAAGCCTCCAGAGGGGCTTGAGCAGCGTTGGGTTCGGCAGTGCAAGAATTCCAGCGGGGCCAACCGGCCAGTGCCTAGGTAGTTAATCCAAGAGGTGCGCCAGATCAGCTACCGCCGAAGAATGGAGAGAAATGGGAGAGGTTTGGGTGTTGGTGGTCCTTGGTGAGGGCTCCAGAAGGCTGAAACTCGAAATGCGGGTGACGAATGAAGCAGCGGCGATGCAACAACATGCGAACCTGGCGCTCGGTGCGGGAAGGCGGCGGATCGAGGGGCAGGTAGGCAGGCGGGAATGGGCCTGAGGAAAGAACAATGCGGGGGCGGTGATGTCCGTCGAGAGTGTTGACCGAGTCTGTGGTGGATGAGGTGGAAGTCGTGGTCAAAATCCAAGGAATGGTCGGCGGTAGTGGTGGTGGGTGGTGGTGAGGCGAAGAGAGAGAGAAAGAGGGATGGTTGGTTAGAGTGGGAAGAGAGGGAGAGAGAAGAGAGTGGTGATGCAAGAGAATGAAGAAGAGTCGGAGAGTCGGCGGGAGTTAGGATGAGTATGGGTAAGGGTATTGGTATATTGGTACGGGTTGTGTAGGTGGTGGATATGGTACCGGTATGTGTGTGTGCGTATGTGCGTATGTGCGTGAGATGGAGGTTAATGGGTATGAGTAGAGTAAAGTGATGTGAGGCCAGTGACGCTGCGATAAGCGTGAGTGTGTGTGAGGGAGGGGGGAAGGGAAGTAGGGAAGGAGGGAGGCGATCACCGCCACTTTGGAGGCAGATGCTGGCTAATGCTGGTGGATGCTGGCAGATGCTTGGACTGGGCTGGGCTAGGCAGGACAGAACAGGGCAAAGGCAGGGCAGGGACAAGACGAGACAGGGAATGGACTAGGGTTAAGCGGACATGTCCAGGTGTGAATAGTTGTAATATCCTTGGGCGTAGGAAGTAGTGAATCCAGTAGTCTGTGAGTAGTGTAGTGGGTGTAGTGTAGTGTAGTGTAGTGTGTGGTCGTCGTAGTAGTAGTAGTAGTAGATTGTCGTGCAGTCGTTGATTGATGCAAAGGTACGAGGACCTAAGGTACCGAGTAAATAAAGATGAGACGAATAGTTGGGTGGCTGGCGGGTGGAGGAAGTGGCGGATCTCATGCGCACACAGAATGCAGGCAGGCAGGGCAGGGCAGGGCAGACTTAAGACAGGACAGGACAGGACAGGACAGGACAGGGCGGACAAATGTCAAGAGAGTCAAGATCAAGTCAAGACAGGGCAGGACAAGACGAGACGAGACGAGACGAGACAAGGAACAGGGCAGAGGCAGTTTAGATATTAGAGGCGGTAATAATAATATGTAGTAGAGTATGGACTGTTAGATGTAGACAGTAGACTCATAGGCACAGTAAGAGGTAGACTTGTAGAGTAGAGAGTAGAGACAATAGAGGCAGATCCGGCCCTTTTCTTTCGCTTCGCTTGGTGGGCGGCGGGTCAGGGCGGCACGAGCAAGGTACAAATCGATGGTAACCATTTTTAACCTTTTCACGGTACGGGTCAAGTAGTTATTGACTACTCACTGTTTAGTAGTAACTAGTAGTACGAGTAACTACTCACCCAGGTACTTACAAGGTACCACCCACCGTGCCAACCACCGCCGCATCCACTCTAAGATGGTTTGGATGATTAGTCTAGTCTAGTCTAGACTACACGCATAGACAGGTACTTGGGTTCGAGGTTGGCAGTTGTTGGTCGTACAGTATGGTATAGTACACAATCTGACTACAGAGTGCTGGGCTTTGTGTTGTACCTACCCGGAGCGGAAGGGAAAGGGTAAGAGAAAGAGAAAGAGAAAGAGAAAGAGAAAGAGAAAGAGAAAGGGTTGTCGTTCTCTGGCTCAGAATCGGGTCCTGGCGCTGCTCGTGTGTCTCTGACGTGCAGGAAGCATGAAGCATGAAGCAGCAGGAAGCACGAAGAGGAACGAACCCCAACAGACGCAGACGCAGACGCAGACAAAGTACTGTATGTACGAGGTACCTAGATCCATAGTTTGCAGTTTGCAGGGAGATGGAGTAGGATGATGATGACGGTGGAGTCGGAGCGAGCATCGTATTGGATGTTGGGAGAGGCTAGGGTGGGAGAGTGGGAGAGTGTGTGTGTGACACAGAACGAGGTACGGAGGAGAGCAGAGTGGGGAGACCAGAAAAGAGAGGTACGCAATGTGAATGGATGATACTTGCGGTAGAGAAGAGGCACAGCACAACATACTCGTACATGACATGGCATAAGATAGGACAGAGATGAGACGAGACAAGATGATACAAGACAATACGAAACAAGAGATTGTTTAACAATATCTACGAACATCCTCTATCCTCCATCTACGAGTATTATCTACATGATGCATAGGGCAAACAAGAGGATATGCGAGGGGTAACCCAGGTACAATGTTAGTTGGAATGCAAGTGGACCAATCCGGATCAAGGATCCAGGCACCGGTTTACCCAACTCGTACTCTTCTTGTATCGACTCGTACTCAATACTTAACCACTGTACTACTTCTACCGGTACTTACTTATTCGGCTGCGAGAGCTATGTTACTCGTAGTACTGTAGGCCTATGAACTTTTTGCCTCGTCAGTAACGGGTGCATCTATGGGTCATTATTTCCAATGGCTGACTATACTTATAGGTACAGCATTGTGTACGAAGACCAACATGGATCATAGTTGTCTATATGGAGTGCAGGACTAAATACGGAGATAGTATTACATTTACTCCGCACATATTCCTATATAAAAATGCAAAGTACGGAGCACGCGGGTATGATCTTGTTTATTCCTCTCTTCCATGTACTCCGTACGTGATACCAAGTATTCCGCCCACCCAAAGTGTACCATTGTACCGTCGAACCTCAACATCCAGGCGGTACTCATAGTTGCACTCCGCACTCCTCCGTACCTGACTTTGACAACCCACTAACCCACCAACCCAAAGTTCCCCAACCCGAACCAAGGAAACCGAGATCTGCCTTTTTTCGATCTACAAGGTACTTGTCGCTGCTTGCAGATCATCTCTCGTATGCTGATGCTGCTCCTGTCAAGACGTCGTTCCTTGATGACTTTGCTCGCAAACCATCTACCTATCCGGATGATCCCTCGCCCCCCTCAATCCGTCCCAATCCGCCGCCCAATAGCACCTACATGATGCGAAGCCAAGGTTCCTGCTTCGCTTGTTCGCTTGTTCGTTCGCTTTTTGTATTTCTCAGCAACGCGAGATGCATGCACACGTACTCGTACATACCTACGCATACGATACGCATTGCACTCTCGGTAATCTGCACCACCTGATGACTTCTGGCTGCTCTGGCTGCTATCTGCCTAACTCAAACTGCTTCCTCAATAACAAGAACCGGTAGTACACTATCCTTCGCGCCGCCGCATGTAAGAAAGTTTAAAAATGGGGACACTAACTTCACCGCACATACACGATGGATGGGGCGAGGGCGCCGCGCTTGGGAGGACGCTCACAAGGCTATATGTTAGTCGTCTTCGCGTTGCGGGCCTGGCGGCTACATACGACAATTATGACAGGGCGGCAGATCCTCGAGGAGGAAAGTTCAGGTTCAGATATTGGTTCGGGGCAGGGCAGAAGGGCAGGACAGCGATGATGCCAATACTTCTGTGGGAGTCGTGATGTTGGTAATGCTGGTGGGGCAGGAGCCAAATGGGGGAATCGCGTCCCATGTCCATAATTACCATACTTTACACTCCAACGCCCCTCTTCAATCATTCATTCATTCATTATCTATTCCAACGCCCACCGAATAAATAATCAATATCGATACAGAGCCCTCTGACACTCGTATCTACTCTCTTACGCGTGCCTCGAATAGATATCTATACATCATCGCCTGCCTTGTTGCTCGTATGGGATCGGTAGAGGTCAGCACATGATTCAAACGGGATGTTAATGATATATTGTTAAAACCACATTCGGCGCTTCCTCGATATGAATAACGGTCGGCAACATGTCCATATTCATACAGACCCCTCACCTCGCCTCACATCCAAGAGCCTGCCCTTGCGCCAGGTTCCAAACACCGTCCAGGGGCGTTTTCGACGACGCGAGGGGCACCTTTCAATTCCTACGCCGCACATTAGTGAACAGCCATCTTACGGTACCTCGTAACTAACAGAAAGGCAAGAAGAGAAAGGGCGGCGCAAAAAACGAGAATCCCTCGTCCCGTGCCACCACTGCAGTTTCACATGCCGTGAGAGGTGTTGTTGTGGCTCTCATCCCCACCTCCACCTACCAGACTTTGGACAAACTCTAAGGGTTCCACTCCAAAATGTACCCCTCCAAACCCCTCCTTCTTCGCCTCACCTCTGGGCTGAGTTGAGGTTTCGAAGAGAATAACTCCCCTTCTTCTTGTCAGGTACGGTAATGGGGCATTTAAAGAACGGTGCGTAGGCAGGGTTTACGTCAGGGAGACCGAATGGGGTATATTGTAACAAGAAACCCTCCTCTACAGAAACGCGAACTGCTCGGCCGTCAAGTCAGACTATTCATTCATCACCAGTAGTCGTCAGCAACATCTCAACATGTCAACTCTCAACTCTCAACTTGGGATCCACCCCACCACCGACTGCCATAGTCTTGTGGATTTCGTTCAAAAACTGGTTGGTGGTGGTGGCCGTCACCCGCAACCATCCATCATTGGCCGGACTACGGCACGGGCGGGGGCGCTGGCTGGCGGCGCTGGGTTACTTGCAGCAACCATCAAGCATCAAACAGCAGTAATACCTGAGGTAGTTAGCAGCAGCAGCAGCATCAGCGAGTCCACGCAACGACAAACGCGGCTACGAAGCTGCAAGGGGAGCGAGCCATTCAAAGAAGTCAGGTCACAAGGCCTAGCCCAGCCCCTCTCCTCCCAACCACACACACCACTCGGTGCCTTATTAGTCCTGATTGTATCGTTTGTTCAGGATCCGAGCACTCTGGGTGTCTGGCACGTCTGGCTAACTAGGAACTGCGAGGATGTGCTAACAAGCAAGCTTTAAACCGAGCTATCGTCAGCCCCCGAATCCGATCATCCTCCCACACTCCACCCCGGCCGTCTTGATTAGGTACAGTACCTTTTTTCCCACAAGCAGGCCCTCTCGTCAATCACTGTACCTGCCGTTAAGCGAGTCTAGCCGTGCCGTCCGTTTTGGTATCTTCATGTTTCTTTGTTCTCTGACTGTGACTCTTACTTTCGAGGACCTGTGATATCCACGGAAATGTAATGTATGGATGGAACGGGGTAGACCATGCAGAGACGTTGAGTAACAACAGTCTGACGCATTATCTTCCTGGCACCGGGCACGCGAAATCTGGCACATCGAACATAAAGCGGTGAGTATCAGATATCTACGCCTCTGACCGCGGATCGCCACGGTATGTCTATTCTCGTTCATATGCTCCTCCGCAAACCTTGCCAAAGATATCATGACATGGTTACACCAAAAAACGATGATGGAATCATACTCCATGCAGGAAGTCCTTCCTGTATTTAAACCTCTGTGTCCTTGGGGCCTGAGTTGCGAATATGAATCAGCACCGAAAGCACAACAAACAAGGCAGAAAGGGCTAAAGAAGCCGAACAATGAATGTTTCCTTCCCCGCTTGCTGCCGGTACCTTTCTTTTCTCCAGTTACCTCTTCGGGGTACTTAGATGAATGAGGGGGACAGAGAGGTTGCAGTGACATCCCGTCCATCCGCCCATTATTTCCGTGTTGCTTTGGAGATAGTCAATGTGACTACTTCAACATATCTGCATTAGGAAACAGAAAACCCCAAGCTCGGTGCTGAGACATCGGCATCCATTCATTCGCACAGACAGATAGACCGAACTACTGGCAAGCTTCTTGTTCGTCAGTTTTCCCCTTGGAGGAGGTGTTGGTTGCACTTGCTGACGGCAGCAAGCAGCGAGCAGCAGTCAGTCAGTTTCAGCGGGAACTTTCTTTGGCCAAGTCCTATGACTGTCATAGTACCGAGTAGTTCTAAGTATCGGCATAGCAAGATCCACTCAACCCATTGTGTTTGACGTCCAAAAGCCCGATACCAGGTCTTCGTTTTCTCGATGCTAGGTCTCGAGATGATGTATACAGAGTACCATTGTCACCACTTTTACATCACTTCTCAGGATCTTTCACCATGTCATCTCGCCTCATCCCATATATGTCAAGTCTTTACCCCCAGCCGCCCCATCCCGCACTCTCCCCCAAGCACCTCGATGGAGAAATCGCGGAATAACACTCGCGCACGACCCATGGTTCGGATAGCAGACGTTGTGGGCTGCGGCTGGCACCCAGTGCGGATTATCCCCCCAGGACGTCGAGTAGCGGGATGAATCGTGAGGGGGTAGATGTCTACCTACCTTTCCACCTATGTAGTTACTCGTACCTTAGCATCCTTTGCCCTGTCATGTCCTGTCCTGTCCTGTCCTGAGCACATGCTCTTATCCTTAACGAAGGGCAAGGCTAGTCGAGCAGCGATCTACACTCCCCCCCCACACCCCATCACTACGTACCGACGACATATGTCATTCCCGCTGTTTACACGCTTGCAGTCGCCAGACGCAGAGGGAGGTGCGATGAGCATGAGCGATGAGCATGAGATAAGATTGTGAGCTCCGACTGTACATTGGTGCCCTGTGCCTGCCGTGCACTGCGGCTTGCCGAGCCGAGTGGGCGCCAGGCCCGGGCGGGTTTATTTGGAAGTGATTGGGGGGGGGGCATTGTTTGATATGATATGATCTTGCTAGATACGAGTGATGTGTTTTGCACCGTGATGGATTTCGAGGATACGTACTGTGGCATTGCATGCCAGGCAAGTGGAATGAATGGTACTGTGGGTGGAATGTCTTTCAATGTCGAATCTTGTCATGAGCTAGATATGATACCGGGGGGATATGCAGGTCTATGATAGCAAGCAACGTACAATGACCACATGCGCTCGGACATGAGAAGCAGAAAGAACAGAAGAAGAAGAGAAAGCAGAAGGAGGAAACGCCACGCATCTTCACCATGGAAATGCTACGCTTCAAGAACGCCAGAACACCATTGCCATGCGTCGTCCAAAACGCTGGGGTATGCAACACCGAAACAACATAACTAGAGACACGTCTCAACTCAACCGAGCGAGAGACTGTCCTTTTGAACGCCAACGCCAGTACGCCCTCGTCATGGCCGGTCACCGCTAGAATCAGAAATCGTAGGCGACAGTCAAGCCAACGCGCATGTTCTCCACGGTCCTCCCCCCGACGCCCTTCAGCATGGCGAGGCTTTCCAGGTCGTGCACCTCAGCTGCTTCCATCTCGACGAGGCAATTCACGATGGCGTCTGCCTTTTTGTTGCCGACGCCCTTGAGGGCTTTGATCTGGTTGACGTCGCGGGAGTTGATGATCTTGAGGAGATGTGTCGTGCGTGGCGTCTGCTGGCAGTCTGGGCCCGCTGCGCTCAGATCGGACACCTCTGCCGTGTCTCTGAAGATTGGGAGTTTCTTCGCCGTCTTCTTGGGCTTGCGGGCGGCTTTCGGTCGGTAGTCGAAGCTGCCGTCGGAGGCGTAGGACTCGTCGGGATCGGCGGCGGCTACGAAGTCTTCGTCTTCGGAGTCGTCTCTGTACACCGCTCTTGCCTTTGCTGGCTTGCTTTGCGCTTTCAAGGGTGCCATGAGGCTCGATGTAGTAGGGAGAGGCATGGCGGACGCAAGTTCCTTCTTGGTTCGGATTCGGTCTTCCAGTGTTCGCATCTTCGTCTTTAGCTTCTCGTTTCCGGGGAAGAAGGGCGCGGCGAGTTGGTACATGCGCAGGGCGCTCGCTTCTTCTCCGCGTACTTGGTGTTGCTTCGCCATGAGGAGGAATTGGAGTCCTACACAATTATCATTAGCTTATTGATAACCAACCAAAGAGGACGACACTTACCCTGTGCTTTTCCGTCTTCCTCCTGCGCATCTATCCTGTGCTCAAGCTCATCCAAACGTTTCTGTAGGTCTGAGGAAAGAGCGGGAGCAGATGCTGCAGCGTCCTGTAGCGCTTTCTCGGCCAGCTTCTCGTCGATACGCTGTGCGATCAAAGCTTCTATTGATTCCTTCGACAAGCCCGGCTCTTGGAATCGCGCGGCACCTTCGCCGGTCCTCGAGGTCTTCATAGGACGCGGCACTAGTGTGCTGTCGGCAGCTCGTTTATGAGTTTCACCAGCTCTCCGGATGCCCTGGTTCTGCGCAGGGATCGCAGATGGCCGCGAAGTAGTAGTCTTGCGAGCGTCGGAGTAGACTGAGAAAGCTTTGACTGGCTTGGACCCTGGCTTCTTCTTCTCGTTCTCCTTGTCTTGGAGGGTTGTGTTGTGTGCCGCGGCAGTCAAGGCCCGCAGAGGCTGTCTGGCAATGTTGGCGCCTCCAATGCTGGCCGTAGCAGCCAGAGGCTTCACCCGTTGCATGGGCTCGTTCTCGATCTCCGCCACCTCAATCTTCTTCGTCCTGTTCGCGAAGTTGAGGGAGCTGAGCGTGTCGAGATGGTATGAACGCACAGGGGCCAGGTTGAGGATCATGATGGTGAGTCCGTTGTTCTGACCGAGAGACAGGATGCGCGTCATCTTTGATTCACGGTACGGGATCCGGCTCTGTTTCTTGCTGATAGCCTCTACGCATTGGGCAAGGACGAACAACGACTTGTTGATCGCGGAACTTTCGACCAGTCTCTCCTTGTTGTTTTCTGTGCGGCGGTTGTCTTCTGAACCAGCTAGATCGATGGCAGAAGCGCGGCTAACGCGGACTGTGTCTTCGGTGGTTTGGGTTATTTTTACGCATAGGATGGCGTGAGATCGTGACGAGTGAGCATTTAGCTAGGGCCCGTTAGTTTCTAATCATCAGGATCCATTCGAAGACTCTCACTTTTGTCGATGATGTAGATCGGTTGATGTTAGCTTGATCGTATAGATGCTCAAACTCCTTGAGAGACGTGCACGGTTTCTCAGTCAAGCCCACAACGACCGTCTTGCCTCCATTGTCTCGTATGGGAAGACCAGACGGTGTTCGCTTCTCCGGAGGCTCGAACAGGTCGTAAACACGGTCACAGTAGATCTCGTAGTAGCTCAAAGCAACCTCGACTTGCGTTGCACCGGCGGTGTCCTTCTCGACCTTTCGACATCTTCGGTAGATGTTACTTAGCAATCTAGGGATGACACCTCGATCTGCCAAAGATTTGCCTCCACGCATCGTGTGAGTCTTGCCGGTACCCGTGACACCATAGGCAAATATCTGCACGTCAATTCCCTTAAACAAGTGCTTTACAGTTGGAGACACTGCTGGCGCGTTAACATCTCTCGCGATTGGCGTGTCGCGACAAACCAACCTTCTCCATCGAAGAGCTGCTGCTGCGTTGCCTCCTGCTCGTACACGGAGCTGAATTGGAAACTGAAAAACTCGTTCTCGTTCTTGGGATTCGGCATCCGAATGACGGTCGGGGCGGCATCGTTGCCAGCTGGGGATTCGGCGGTGACGATGGTGTCCTTGTCCAGCTCCTGCTTCAGGAGTGGCCGTATCCTGGCCACGACGCGTACAGACATGATGAAAATAATTGACAATGAAAATAACAAAAGCCGACTGTCGAAAAGACGAATGAATGTCGGACCTACCTGACGTCGATGTTCGATGTTGCAGAATCCTTGTCGAGGTTTGGATTTCGTGTGGTGTGGGTTACCCGGGCAACGGACGAGCACAGGCCGTCCCGTTCGGCTTCGTTCAAACAAGCGGTCTGCATGCATGACCAGAGCATCGTCACAAGGTATTGCACACTTCATAAATCAATAAAATAGTGTCAGGTGAATAATGGTGGAGTGCGATTCATGACGTGGCGATAGGGAAAAGCCTCTTCACTGCGCCCACGTAACCAAATATACAGAATTGATTGCAAGGCCCCAAGACCTCTCACAGAATGATTTTATAGCTAAATTCTTTCCACTATGGGTAGTGCTCGGATTAAAGTGATCTTATTGTACTTGCTTGTCCGCTTTGAAAAGCGGAATTGGGGTGATTATGATATGAATCCATTCAATCAGGGATATTCTGCTGCGACATTATGTGATTTGATGCCTCGAGACTGGCCTTCGCCTTTCCTTGACAACTTTCTGTGGCAATCAGATTCTTCCATTCATGGGTTTTTCTTCTGTTTCTGTATGTCCATTGGGTTCAGTAGAATTGTTTGGGATTTTTTTTAAATGATTAATTGATGGATGATGGATGATACCCAAGGACTCGAGGTTGCAACTGATTGACTCAATGATTTTTTATTTATTCATGTTTACAGCTTTCATGTTAAATCTTCATTTCGTTTTTGTTTTGTCAGTTCTATTTTTACTAGAAAAGAGGAGCGAGAAACGCAGAGGGTCGTTAATAATTCCTCTTTATTTATTTCCACCTAAAAATAATAATTATACACATGATCTGACGGAGTTAGGTTATAAGAAGGATGAAAAAAAGTCCATAAGGTTGACTTAGGTACGAAGAGATATTGTCATTCGAGGCTAACCAACAGACGGGCAACACCCGGGAACGAAAGATGGAAAAGATCACGGTTGTGAGGGAGAGAGTTCAAATGGAACGTCTTTGCATTGAGTTTGATTGTTATTCTGTTCTTGTCTACAATAAGATAAGATCGAAGATATTGATCGGATGTGTCATTTCTGTTTTAAACTTGCTTTACTGAACAACCTGTGAAAAGGGGGAGAATATGTTAGTGGATTTCCTTTGTTTTCGTTTGGGGGAAGTTGGGTGGTGTGTAGTTATTTTAATGGATATGGGAGGGAAGGGGGAAGGTAAGTAGGGAGAGAGGGAGAGAAGGAGCGAGGTTGGATAAAGACAGTCATTCAGTCAGGCCAGGAGCTCAGGATCAGCGGCGCATCGTAATCGTAATTGAGGCCGTGCAGCTGTTCGGCGTGGGTGGGTATATGTATTGTTCTTCGCATGGAAGGGAAAGAAAAAAGAAAATCAAGAGTCAACGTACCTTCTCCCTGAGCAGACCGAGCCACTGCTGGACGCTCATTCCCTGATCCGCGCGGTCCTCGACCAGCAGCGTCTGGGCCCAGAGCTTGAGGCTCGGGTCGCCGTCCTCCTTGATGATGTACAGGGTGGGTGCGATGATGCTGCCGACGCCCTTGGCGAGGTGGTCGGCTGACTTGTCGAGCACGGCGCGCACGCGCTCGTTGAACTCGTTGTCCAGGACCGGCATCGTCGTTTTGCCTTGCTTGATGGCGTTGCGGTCCTCGCTGCCGAAGACGTCGGCGAGCAGCGCGGGCACCGCGTCCCGACCCACCCAGAGGAACTGGTTCACGCCATCGTCGATGAGGTACAGGCCGTAGGGCACCAGGCGCTCCGATGAGAGGTTGCCGGTTGGGGGCAGGAGGATCTCGCCCGTTTGCGGGTCGGGGACGCCGGCGTTGTCGGGCATGTCGTGCAGGCTGTAGAACTTGGGGTGGATGTACTGGATTAGGAGTGGAAGGGGGAGCTGCAAGGAAATTAGTTAGTGTCAATATGGGTTTTGACGGGCCCTTTGAAATCTTACCGTAGACAGGAAGTTGAGTGCTGCGCTTCGGAGATCTGATGGGATCTGCGATGACTTGCGCAGGCCGACGTGCTTGACGAGCGAGAGGAACAAGAGAGGTAGAACTCGGAGGCTTATGACAGATTAGCATACATGTCGTGGCTTTAGTTTTGGCTTAATACATACTTCTGTGGAAGCTGGAGGCCACCTGCTCCCATATTGCCACCTGCAAGCTCCTTGCGGTACGTCTGAAGCTCAAGTTAGCACATCACTTAAGAAGACAATGCATCCGACTTACGCTGAGAATCTCGATGATCTTCGACTGGAGGGACTCGCGAGCTGCATCCAGGCCGCTTCCAAATGCTCGCTCGACAGCCTTGTGAGAATAGTAGACGGCAATGGCAGAGGGGTCGGCGCTTGCGTATACGTTGGCTACAGACTCGGTCTGGAAATTGTTAGAACGATTGCATAGCTCAAGTATGATCAATATGTCTTACTGTTGGTAGCGCAAGTGTGAGAACTCTGATTCGGCGCTCGCCATTGCAGGTGGTGTGCAGGACCGCGGCCTGCAAGCAGCAGACAGCACGTGTCAGGCTCTCATCGATTGCCACCTCAACAACGTAGGCTTGGTCCCTGGGGAAGCTGGGGAAAGCGCAGAGATCCGAGCTGCGGTTGAAGAAGTTTCCGTAGAAAGTGGACATCCTAAGACCAGTGGTAGCTCTGACACGCAGAACAGCCTCCAAACCAACTTCGGAGCTCAAAAACTCGGAGAACTCGCGGGCGAACTTGATTGCATCTTCCGATCTCGCGGCGTTGAATCCAGGGTAGAAGTAAGTCTGTCCACCAGTGAATCGAGGCAAGTTACTTAAAGAAGCAACGTTTTGGTATCTAATACAACGTCAGTGGGGCTCATAAGAGTCGTCTAGACTTCGCTTACTGTGACGAGAAAAGGAACATGTCAATGGAGACTTGATTCTTGGAGCATTCCACGGCGAAGCTCTTGTAGAAGCTGTTTTCAGTCTGGAGGAGCTTGGCCTCGCCCGAGGTTCCTAGCAGCTTCTTGTCTTCTCTCATGGTCAAGGCACCAACACCAAGAGTAGGGAGCGTTGCTGACAGCACGACGATCTTTCCACCAACAGGAGAGATGAGCTTGTGTGCCGCCCTCAAAGCAGGTCCCATAGCGGATTGTGTGATTGGTGTTTCCTGGTACATTCCCTGGAGTTTTTGGAGGAAGTTCTCAATGTTTTGCCTGCATTCTGACAGATTGACCAGGAGATCCGAAGGAGTAGGTAGGAAAGGCTCATCTAGATCGGAGACAACGAGCATGCTAGCATCCACAGGGCCATCCTCACTGTCCGGAATGTCGGGGACGATCTTAAAGTAATGAAGGCTGGAATCTACGGCCAAAAATCCAACGCGGGTCCTTCTATCGGCGTTGGGGATTCGGTCAAGGCTCTCCAGAATGCAACGAGCAGCCGTTGCTAGAAGCCCAGAGGACACGGATGCAAAAGTAACATCGAGCAGGAACAAGTAGACCAATGGCTGCGGTGGTCGCACCATGTATTCCTGGGGAGCCACAAACTCGCAAACCGAGTAGTTCAGCTCTTGCCTTTGCCACCTATCCACGCTCTTCTGTTGCTGCGAATCCCAGTCAAACGCCTGCGGTACGTCATTGGTAAGATTGCACATGTTACATCGCCAGCGGTGTCCGTTATCGAGGAACGTAACGAAAGGATTGATATAAGCTCTGCAGCGGCGACATCTTGAGATGACCTGGTCGGAGACTACAGGAACAGGATCCTCAGCATCTCGTAAAGACCCATACGGTTGTATGACCAAAGCAAATGGAAGTTTCGATTTCTTGAGGAGGGAATGTGTGGTTGGAACGGCGTTCAAGGTCGATCGGAAGTATCGTGCGGGGGCGTTCGAATGTGGGGAAGGCGTTGCGGCGGTCTGTCACTTGTTAGTCCCTGATTCCCTCTGTTGCAGGAGAACAGCGAGCAATTGAATGTCGAAAAAGCATATGCAATTCATATTGTCTGTGCAGATCATAACAACACTATCCGAACTCTCCAGGGTCGCTGGCGGGTGATGGGGCAATCTTACATTCGGGGGAAGGTTGATAGCTGGCGGTGGGCTCTCAACCTCCCAGGCCTGAACGGGCTGTTGGAGCAAATCACTGCCGACTAATGGATTCTGCGCATTCTGCGTCGCCTGCTGGGGTGTAACTTGCGTGGCCTGTGGGCTGAGGTTCATCTGGCCGAATTGCTGGGCGAGCGGGTCATGAGGGGATTGACCAGCGGGCTGTCCGTAACCCGGAGCCGGTTGCCCATAACCTTGAGCAGGCGGTTGTCCGTAGCCCTGAGCAGGTTGAACAAACCCAGGAGAAGGCTGTCCATATGTTTGTGCAGGCGCACCGTATCCAGGCTGTCCAAGTCCATACGCTTGACCTGGCTGCGGAGCATTGGCACCTTGCGCGTTCGCACCGAATTCGTATGCCCTGGCGTTCTGTTAGCTCTGCATTTCTCGGATTTGTGGGTTGTTGACATACTGCGCAGCATATGCGCGCTTCTTTTTATCAGCCATGTCGCGATGTAGATTATGGGTTGAGTGAGTGTTGGTACAACAAATATGGGGAATTTAGATGTGAGGTCGAGCTCTCTCCCAAGGATGTGTTCTTCTTGGCAAAGCCCCCACCAAAGGAGTTAAAGCCACACCGCCGAAACCACCTGTACAAACCTACACGACAATCACCTAGTAAAAGAACCCAGGCACCAGGATTCTCTCTCATTCTAGCGGACGTTGTCGACACGTATTTGATAGTATCCTAGGCCTGTGGAACCGAGTCAATGCACACATCAAGAAGCATATCGTTGGAAAGTGGCAAGCAGAAGATCCAACAGAGTATTTGCAATTCCCTAGCCATTAATTCAATCGAACCCCCCAGAGACCAACATTAATACATATAATCGTAAGAAGCATTATAACAATACCGAGGCACGCCCCGACAACCTGGAAACACACACTTTAGATGACCCCCGCTTCAGCAACTTGACGTCTTTCAGCCTCAGTCATGGGATATGGGGGTTGCACCTCTCCGCCGTAGTTTGAACCCAAAGAGTCGCCACTGGCCACCCGACGCTCACCACTGCCACTGCGGCTCCGCGCAGTTCTCTCCTTTTCTCTGAGAGCAGGATGTTCTTCAGGGCTATCGACTTGAGCAATATCATCCCCATAATCGATGCGTCCACTGTTCACCTGAGCGCTTCCCGGCATTGCTCCAACTCCAAGTGTTCCTGCCCGGGAATGAATCGGTTCAAGTTGTGGTTGCCAGGATCGAAGCTCGGCTTCAGCCTCATTAAGGACCTGACGGGCAGCTTCGGCTCCCTCGAAAGCAGGGTGTTCGTCTCCTGGTACAATTGGAGTGTCGTCTAGGAGATTGAGAAGTCGACGTGCCTGTTTTGCCAGGATGATCTGCTTTTCAGCCCGTTCGATTGTGGCCGCAAAGTGAATATCATACGCTTCTTTCACTTTCTGGCGTGTCTAATGAACCGGTCAGTCTGGTGAATCTTTCTACATGTTGCCACGGGACATCGTAACATACGATGTTTGTTAATTGCGCCTCTGCAACTAAACTCTGGGCTTCCGCGCGCACTAGTTCTTGTTCAAGCTGAACGATCTTAGTGCTTTGTGGCTCTTTGTACTTGAGCTTAGCAATCTCATCGGACACCTGCCATATTGTAAGTTATTTGTGCCTGTAGGATTCCGTTGGAACATGGGTTCTACCTTAGACTTGTGGTCACGGCTAGGCTGGACTGAACTCTCAGTGTTGCGGATCTGCTTCAAGACCCCCCTGTAATCCTCGAGCGACTGTGCGTAAACGTCCTCCTGTTCCGCGATTTCGGCCATCAATACACCCAGCTTATCAGAAATCTCCGAGATAGCATCATCACCAGTGGCTTCTCCCCATTCGGATAATTGCTGAGCGATTGAGATGCGCTCGCGTCCTGCCGTCTCATATGCTCCGATTGCATGATTCTCAGATTTGATCAACTTGAAAAGCTTCTTCGACAGGTCTGGCTGCTGGATGCCTCGCAAGGAAGCCATGGTGAAGCGGTGCTTGGGTGTCGATTTGTCGGATAGTCCCGTAGACTCCTTCTTGGAGCGTATCGACAAAGATCGATTCCTATTCCGAATGGGCATCATGTTCAGCGAGCGTGATCGAGAAGGTGTGCGTGAGGGAGGGCCCGGGTAAGCTGGAGGTGGTGGTGGAGGGGGAGGATGGGCAGGATATGCGTAAGGCATTGTGACGTTTGTAAAGATTATGCTGATGCCGAGCTGACGATAGGAAAAGAAGGGAATTATGGTAACGTTTGATGCAGGAAAGGGTATATGCAAATGCGGCAAGCAGAAAGACTTTTTGGATGCTACAAAACGAGAACGAAGACCAGCTTACATTTCGAAGGTCGTTTGTAGAGGTCTTGCGTGAGGTTATATTGTATTCTATGCATGCCTATTGTTAGCACCATGGTCGCGGAAGCTCGCATATGGAGGAAGTCGCGCGTACCTGGGCGGTTGGGCAAATGAGGACCCGTATATTGAGGGCAGTCGTCTTACACGATATGCGAGCCTCGGAAGTAAGGTAGATCGTTTTGAAACAGTTGGCGCTCTGTAGTTGGAGTTGTGGGGGAACGAGATGGATGACCTTGTTTGAGGTTTGGGGAGCTCGTAATGACCAGTGGTTGCGGATACTCGCGCAAGCGCCCGCCCACATCCGATGATGTCATGGTTTCCTCTCCCGTTCCTCCCGATATGAAGTCACGGCGCTTAGAGGTTGGTACCTGCCTACACAGTAATCTATCTGTCCCACCGTCCTACGAATACCTTCATTCTGCCCTTTCCATCCGGTCTACTCATGTCAACCCTTCTCGTACTGTCCGATCATAGTATGATAAATATCCTATTCGATTCATGAATGACAATGTACCGTATTGTACCCACGTACCCCCTTTTCACGTCATGACCGTTGGTAGGTTCGGTATTCTTCATTCCCTTCATCACAGTATCCTAATGCTGAACACCCGTAAGCAAACACATGAATAGAAACCTATCGCTTCATGCATTATTGGACTATGGATGTGATCAGAACACAAATTAATGTGGGCAACTAGACAACGGTTGAGCACAGCCAATGCTAATTGCAACGAACGAGGTACGATGGATATTAATCCCTTCCATTGTATCGTTCTTGGACGTCGGTCCCGGTTGCAGGGCTTCTTTAAACATTACATTTGCTATGCCTTGTCGTGCGCGACCATAATTATCTCAAACTCTTTTAGGTCATTGTTCGAGCTGCAGGATACTCGTATGAGTAACACGACCTTCGGTATTGGGCGCAGCAAACCCGAAGGATCGTCGTGCTTAATCTTCAGAAGGACTCCAACCTCTCTCTTTCCTTCATGAGCCATGTTATCGTTCAACGCCTTCCTCACAGGGTTATTGCTATTTCCTTAATCGAAAATGGATGCATTTCCACCAATTCTATTGTGACCAAATGCCAATACATACGGCACCAGACGCTGACGTGTGCGTCGTGGGGCGTGTTGGCGAGGACGCTGGTCCCTGGTATCAATTTTGTTTGCTGCATAACTACGGCGTCTTGATGCTGACAATTCGTGCGATGTCTGGACCTTCTATATCGACAAAAAGCTGGGCGGCACGTTTCCACTTTATTGATCTCCCCTCTGATCACCTCACCCTAGGGCTACCAGGGACCCTGCGGGCGCATCCAAGTCAAGGTGAAACCACGAAAACGTGCATCCTATCGCATCCTTGCGTACGGCCATGAAGCAGAAGCGGCTCGGTTCCCGCATCGTCCAAAGTAGCTGCCACATTGTCAATCAACACAACACCCGAATCTGCGGCACGTAGATCTTGAATGTTGCTGCATGCTGATATTAGCACCAGCGAAAGAGCCTCAATATTGGCTTCAGACATATTCTCAGACCAGAAGCATCGGACGACGCGAAAGAGACTACTTGTGATTCCCGATCCTAACTTGACCAAGCACATAAGCTTATTGGATGCAGGAGATACTCGTGGTGCATGCAGCACGAAGCATGGCAGCGTCCTACAACGTCCAACAACTTACCAACAAGAATCGTTCGATTGCCAATGTATGAGTAGAGCTCAGAATTCTCCGACTAACCGCATCGAACCCCGGTAGTCCAACGTGCCGATCAACGTTGTGCATTCTGTCTCCCTGCCCTGACATATCTCTTCCGCTCCTAGTCAATTACTCCTCGCTCATTCGTCTGTCTATCTCCTAGTTTGGGAAGAACCTAACGTTACTCGGTGTCTAAGTACCGTGAGGCACCAACATTGTTTTCTCCCTAGACGCAGTTCTTTGATGACGATATCAACAACAACAACAACCATCTCCACTGACCAATTCGCAACCATCTTGAGGGACCCATGATCGGTGTGATACTACGCCATTCTACGGAAAACTTCGGGTTTGTAGACTAATCACACAGTCCCCCAACCACAAGACAATTGAACGAAAATGGATGATGGCCAACCTATTTGCATCCCTCCCCAGCTCTCTCGCCTCATGGCATGCAACCCCAGAGACCCGCTTCATCTTGGCAATCCTGGACCAGTGACCCGCAACCATTAGTAACATAGAGGCATCTGGCCGTCACCACTAAAGATCAAGGATCTGCATTACTGGATCTTAGCTTTTCCCGATTTACAACTGTCCTGCGTGGATTCCAAGCCTAGTTGCCGGGTACAAGACCTCCATCAGTATTCATCTCAGGGAATATCCATGGCATCATTCGACATAGAATTGCTCTGTCCATAATATGACCCGATTGATCTTAGATCAGCCGCTTGACAGTAAACGGAGCGAATGGCATATTCAGCTTGCGGTCGCCTCGGAGCAACATCTTCTGTTGGACAAAGCTGAAGGCCACACCTTCAAAATGCTGTGTATTGCTTTTTGACATTCCCGCATTCTGTCCACACTGTACCCAGTAAACACGAACAGCAGTTCGGGGAGCAATGAAAACACGGACCGAATTCTGAATCCGCAATAATGTTGCACTTGGGGGACGACATTGAGATTTAGTTGCGTTGTCTTGACCTAGCAACTCTTCCCTCCATTCATTGGCGCAATCATTGCTCCGATCAATAGACACTGGTGTACGCTCACACCTGCCCTACCCGGCATGGGAGCCTTGTAATGTTCGGCTGCATAGTGGCGCGTAGTACCACATTTGTCGGTATCAAAAGCACATTTTTGGAGCCACTAACTTATGAGTTTCGCCGTAGGTCAGCGCTGAATTGGCACAGCAACTTATGATGTTATCTTGCTTGGATAGACCCCGGACTGAAGGAAATCACACAAGAAACCAACGGCACCCCATGCTCTAGCGTAGTCCAATATCATATAAAGGAGGGCTTCATTCTCTGTTCGAGTACCTTGCCAGCCATAATTGCTCTGTCACGATGGCCATCCTCAGATACCTTGCGGCCCTTTCGGTCGCTGTCAACTCTATTGATGCATCATGCCCGTACATGGCAAATGACGCAAGAGACCTGCCCGCAAGCCACCCTCCCGTTCGAAGGGCTGAGGACTACACAAACACCGATGAGTTTCTCAAGAAATATGAGATCGACGATACGGACACTTATCTCACGAGCGATGTCGGGGGGGCTTTTGAAGACCAAGAGAGTCTCAAGGCTGGAGAGCGAGGCCCCACACTGCTAGAAGACTTCATCTTTCGTCAAAAGGTAGCTTAACCCAGACGTCATAACGACAATTGCTCACACAAGTAGATCACTCATTTTGATCATGAACGCGTCCCTGAGCGAGGTATGTACTCTGAGAATTACCTTGCTAGACGAAGCCTATCATTGTTTACCACCCAACTTGTATTGTTCGTTGTACAGTATGTGACCGTGCTGACCTTTCTAGCTGTCCATGCCAGAGGCGCAGGAGCCCACGGTGTGTTCGAATCTTACGGAGACTGGTCGAATATTACAGGCGCATCGTTTTTGAGCTCGCCCGGAAAATCAACGCCCGTTTTCCTTCGGTTTTCAACAGTTGCAGGCAGCCGTGGCTCTGCTGATACTGTTCGAGATGTTCATGGATTTGCCGTCCGATTCTATACAGACGAGGGCAACTACGGTGAGTAAATGCAGTCTTGGATAGTGAAGTTCCAATCTCTGATCATGGCACAGATATCGTCGGTAATAATGTCCCTGTGTTCTTTATCCAGGATGCAATCAAGTTCCCTGATCTCATCCATGCTGTCAAACCAAGCCCGGATAGTGAGATTCCTCAAGCAGCTACTGCCCACGATACAGCTTGGGACTTTTTCAGCCAACAGCCCAGTACCTTACACACCCTATTCTGGGCTATGAGCGGCCATGGCACGGTCCGTTCGTATCGGCATATGGATGGGTGGGGTGTCCATACCTTCCGCTTCGTTACAGACAGTGGCAAAAGCAAGCTCGTCAAATTCCGCTTCCGAACGCTTCAAGGCAAAGCATCTTTGGTGTGGGAAGAGGCGCAGATCACTGCCGGCAAGAACGCCGACTATCATCGCCAGGATTTATTTGATTCCATCAACAAAGGACTCTACCCTGAATGGGAGGTGTGTGTACTCAATCCAATCGGGTCCTATCATAGGACTTACTGACAATGCTATAGTTCGAGGCGCAGATCATGGAAGAGGAAGACCAACTTCGCTTTGGCTTCGATGTATTAGATCCCACAAAGATTGTGCCGGAAGAACTCATTCCCTTCACGCCGCTTGGTAAATTGACTCTCAACCGAAATCCAAGGAACTACTTTGCCGAGACTGAACAGGTCATGGTAAGTGCAATGGTATTTGCAATCCCATTACCGATCTAATGAATCTTTAGTTTCAACCTGGTCACATTGTTCGTGGTATCGACTTCAGTGAAGACCCTCTTCTTCAAGGACGTCTATTCTCGTACCTCGATACTCAGTTGAACCGTCACAATGGTCCAAACTTTGAGCAGCTACCCATCAATCAACCTCGCGTACCATGGCATAACAACAACCGTGACGGTGCGGGACAAATGTTCATTCCACTGAACACTGCTGCGTATAGCCCCAACACACTCAACAAGGGTGCCCCATACCAGGCCAACCAAACCGCAGGCAAAGGATTCTTCACAGCACCGAACAGAGGCGTAAACAACAAACTGGTGAGAGCCAAGTCCTCCACTTTTGCGGACGTCTGGTCCCAACCTCGGCTTTTCTTCAATTCACTTCTCCCTGTTGAGCAACAGTTCGTCATCAACGCTATTCGTTTTGAGACAGCCCAACTGAAGAGCTCAATTGTGAAGAACAACGTTCTTATCCAGCTCAACCGAGTTAGCCATGATGTCGCCACACGTGTGGCCACCGCTATAGGTCTCGAGGCCCCTGCAGAGGATCCAACCTATTACCACGACAACACCACCACCGGTGTCTCTGTCGCTAGCTCGGGTCTCTTAAAGCTGGATGGTCTCAAAGTTGGTTACCTTGCGACCAACGATGCCGCAGAAGATGAAAGCGTTGCATCCCTCAAATCATCTCTCGAATCCCTAAAAGTCGACCTTGTTGTCGTCTCGGAAAGCCTCGTCAAAGGTGTTGACCAGGCCTACTCTACCACTGATGCATCTCAGTTCGATGCAATTGTTGTAGGAAAAGGCACTGAGTCGCTCTTCAGCCCAACTTCGGGTCTCGGCAGTGCGAACTCGACAGGCAAAGCCCGTACAAGCCCTCTTAGCACCCTCTACCCTGCTGGACGTCCTCTCCAAATCCTCCAGGACAGTTTCAGATGGGGCAAACCCATTGCCACGATCGGTAACACCACGCAAACTTTCACTGCAGCTGGCATTGAGACTGATACTCCTGGCGTGTATGTTGTTAGCGACGCATCCGGCCTGGCAACAAGTCTTGAAGAGGGTTTGAAGACGTTCAAGTTCTTGAATCGTTTCCCGCTTGACGAATAAAATCTTGAGATTTCGGATTCTAGTGTAGAAGCATAATTTTATCAAGGCAAACTCCATACCGTTAGACCAATATATCTATGATTCACTGCATATTGTAACTGTGTTGATAGTGTTGTGGTCCACACCAAACAGAATCTATCGTGGGTTTCTCTAATAGTACGTACACTCCTTAGCCTGAGAGGTTCGGCACTTTATTTGCGCCATGACGGGGACAAACGCTATTGATTCACTCCACATCGGCACACCCCATGTGTAGGTTGACCAAGGCAGCGGAAGCTTCGGGTAATGACTTCAGAGCCGCATCACCAACAAAACTTACGCTAGACACTCTGAGATGCGACAACTGCCATTGCAAAGCTGTACCATTTCGCCCATCTCTCCAATGATTTTGCCTTCCCATAGCCATTTTTGGATGTCTACTGTGCCGTATGCGCCCAATAAGTAAGCCAAGCTATGGAAACGCGACGAACTTGGTGAACGAAGCTTTTTGTAGCACCTATGTTAATTCATAGACGACGCCCGTTTAGGACTAGTCGAGTATTCAACGAACTATGTAGCATATATGACGTCCACTGGGCTCATCTCACCCCATAAAATTGCTAATAACATCGTCACCATACATACAGTCCGTCGTTCGCCATTCGGGAATTGTGTAGGTCCGATCGCGATCAGTAAATTAGTAGTATTGCATGGAATACATGTTAAAAATTGTTCGGATAAGGAGAGCACTATTTTGAGGCACCCAGCTATAATCACAAGTAACCAATTCACTAATATGCTCAATTAAAGTGTCCTGACTGCAGGTCCTATCTGAGGGCTCTCGTCTTTCTTTGCACTCGTGCATATCTTCCTATGTTCCTTTCTCCGCCTTTCAATAGCAACTTATATCAATCGACTACGTCAAACACTTTGTAGCGCGCCTACAGCTTTTGTGAAGACCCTCTTACTTTCCGCCACATCCGACACATCTCAAAGTTATAGATATTAAACCACGGCATCTAAATTCCAGATTGGTTCCCATTTACCCCAACTACACTATCAGAATGGCTCCATCTGTGGAAAAGACAAGCGACGACCTCAACAATCTGAGCATCTCTCCGTTCGGACAGGCCAGATCAACAGTCGAAGGACAGCCACTGGACAATGAAGAGATTCGCAAGATGACAGATTATTTCCACGCAACCCTGTACCTATGTCTAGGGATGATCTACCTTAAAGAAAACCCTCTGCTTCGAGAGCCGCTGAAGGTCGAGCATCTCAAGCGCCGATTGCTCGGTCATTGGGGATCTGACGCCGGACAAAGCTTCACATACATCCACATGAATCGTCTCATCAAGAAATACGACCTCAACGCTATATTCATTTCTGGGCCTGGACACGGTGCACCCGCCGTTCTCTCCAACTCTTACCTTGAGAGCGTATATTCTGAAGTCTACCCGGACAAGAGCGAGGACATTAATGGCATGAGGAGGTTCTTCAAGTATTTCTCATTTCCAGGCGGAATCGGATCGCATGCAACGCCCGAGACTCCTGGAAGTTTACACGAGGGCGGTGAGCTCGGGTATTCCATCTCACATGCTTTCGGTACTGTCTTCGATCATCCAGAGCTAATCGCATTAACGATGGTCGGTGACGGTGAGAGCGAGACAGGCCCGTTGGCAACAAGCTGGCATTCAACAAAGTTCTTGAACCCGATCACCGATGGTGCTGTGCTGCCTGTCCTCCATCTCAATGGATACAAAATCAACAACCCTACCCTCCTTGCTCGTGTGAGCCACAAGGAGCTCGAGTCGCTCTTCATAGGATACGGCTGGACGCCTTACTTCGTCGAGGGAGATGATCTGCCTACGATGCATCAAGCCATGGCGGCTACCATGGAGAAATGTATCAACGAGATCAAAGAGTATCAGAAGAAGGCTCGCGAGACTGGAAAAGCATTCAGACCACGCTGGCCTATGATTGTCCTTCGAACTCCTAAGGGTTGGACCGGTCCTCGAAAGCTAGGAGACCATTTCCTGGAAGGTTTCTGGCGCTCGCATCAAGTTCCGATTCCTGACGTCTTGAAAGACTCGTCGAAGCTCAAGACCCTCGAAGAGTGGATGCGTAGCTACGGGCCCGAGAGACTTTTCGACGAATCGGGCGCTATTGTTCCTGAGCTGAAAGAGCTGGCTCCGACTGGATTGAGCAGAATGAGTGCCAATCCGATCGCCAATGGCGGCATTCTTCGACGTAAACTACACGTTCCCGATTTCCGTGATTATGCTATTGAAGTTAAATCGGGTGGAATTGAAAACTTAGGTAGTATGGCGAACTGCGCCAAGTTCTTGAGGGATATCATCAAGAACAATCCCAAACACTTCCGACTCTTCGGTCCTGACGAGACGGAGTCGAACAAGCTCGGCGGGGTCTATGAAGCTGGCAAGAAAGTATGGCTTGGGGAGTATTTTGAAGAGGACGCAGATGGGGGCAATCTTGCCTTGGAGGGTAGAGTAATGGAAATGCTCTCAGAACACACTGTTGAAGTAAGCAACCATCGATATCCGCTCATCATAAGCTGTATTACTCACTTTGTCGTAGGGTTGGTTGGAAGGCTACATCCTTTCCGGCCGCCATGGTCTGCTCAACAGTTACGAACCATTTGTTCATATCATTGATTCCATGGTTAACCAGCACTGCAAATGGATCGAGAAGTGCCTCGAGGTGGAGTGGCGCGTCAAGGTCGCATCATTGAACATCCTACTCACCTCAACTGTCTGGCGCCAGGACCATAACGGCTTCACCCATCAAGACCCTGGCTTCATCAGCGTGGTCTGCGATAAGAGCCCTGAAGTCGTCCGAATCTACCTTCCCCCAGACGCGAACTGCCTCCTCAGCGTAGCCAACCACTGTCTCCGCAGCTCAAATTACGTCAACGTGATCATAGCCGACAAGCAAGAGCACCTCCAATTCCTCAACATGGAACAAGCCATCGCCCACTGCAGCAAAGGCGTCGGCATCTGGGACTGGGCCAGCAACGACCAAGGCGAAGAGCCGGACGTCGTGATGGCATCCTGCGGCGACGTCTCGACGCACGAAGCCCTCGCCGCGACTGCCCTCCTCCGCCAACACATCCCCAACATCAAAGTCCGCTTCGCCAACGTCGTCGACCTCTTCAAACTCATCCCCGCAGCCGAGCATCCCCACGGCCTGTCAGACCGCGAGTACGCAGCCATATTCACAGACAACAAGCCCGTCATATTCAACTTCCATTCCTACCCCTGGCTTGTCCACCGCTTGACGTATAAGCGTCAGGGTCAAGATCACTTGCACGTCAAGGGGTATAGGGAAAAGGGGAACATTGACACCCCGCTTGAGCTGGCTATCAGGAATGAGACTGATCGCTTCAGCCTCGCCATCGCTGCTATTGATCAATTGACTGGGTATGGAAACAAAGCTGCTGCTGCGAGAGAAGCGTTGCTCAATCAGCGCATCAAGGCGAAGAATTATGCTTTCCACGAGGGCTTGGATCCTGAGGAATTGACTAAATGGGTTTGGCCGTATTAGCTCCAGGCATTGAGGCTCCTCTTCGTCTGTATTATATTGTATGGGGTAATATTTGGTATTGCGGTAGTTAATCGAAGTCCTCAAATGAAGGATTATGGTATGATTTCACGACCATATTGCATAAGGAATGAATATACATAATCGCCATGATATTTCTATTGTGTATCTATATTTGCCGAGTATTCTCTCGCTTGCTTGTGAACACTACTCCGTGATGAAAGCAGTGATTTTTTAGTACATCAATGCCATGAGGCTTCCACTTTCTACCACAATCGGCAATGTGCATCTATATGCAAGCTAGAGTGGAATGGGGAAGTGTGAACGGGAAGCTGAAAGGACACCGGAAGTTGTTTATCATCTTCCGAGATGATGACCTGTCCGGGAAGCTTGTTCCCGGCGCCCGAGGGGATCAATTACATTCGACAGGGAGTAGGTGAGGTGAGGTTGATTACGAAAGGTGCAGTACTGTGTTGTATGTTTGTGTCTCTATGATTGAACTATTACCTCTCTGTACGCCATCTTCTGGAATTAACATGTCAATATGTCTTGCGGCAATCAATCCAATATTCCTCTTGACACGTAAATGTCGTATAAATTGTAGATCTAGACTGAGCAAGTTCTTGACGGGCCACCCGCCCGTCTGGAATCCACCCTTTTCTTCAGTGTGAAGATCATTACCTTCTATCGAACTCTTTGGGTGAACAACGGGAACTTGTGAAGGTCTAGAACGGCAGCGATTAACCAGACAGTGCGAAACTGCGAAGAGATTGATGCTTGGATATTCAGAGAACTGTTCGACATCGGGTACCTGTCCCACAGGTTGGGTCATCATCTGCAAGGGGAGGCTGTAGGCGAGAGCGGGAGAGCATGAAGTGCAGGAAATACAAGTATGTAGAAACCCGACAACTGACTTGTGAATCTCGAATCGAGAAAAATGAAACCAATGTGGAAATATCATGACGATCACTTCGCTTCGGATGGGTCTGGTATGTAAAAGATGTGCAGTTGGGCATCGGTGATGGGCATTTTGTGCGGCTCGTTGTTGTAGATCTGGAGGCGATCTTAAGGCACGAAACAATTATTACAAACACCGGACTGTTTGCTGTGAAGAGTTAGGTAAGCTGGTGGCTTCGTAGTGAAATCGGATCGATCCGGCCGCCGTCTCGTGAGCTCGCCCACAGTCCTCGTTCGAATTACTCGTGTCGTCCAAGTGGGACCCTTACACATGACTCTATTGTTCATAGGCTGGCGCTAGTTCGCCTCAAAGACAAAATGGACTAATTCGTCGTCTAGGTAATCAAAATGGCCAGGACGTAATCCGTTTCAAGAAGCCAAATGTGGTCTTATGGTATCGTGAGGAATTGGGAGTTCTAAAGGGGCAATTTGTGGAGTGATGAAAGTTATACAATACCCCACCGGCCCAGGGACCGAAATGAAGGAATTGCAGGTATACACGAGTCAAAGAAAGATCCTTGTATACACTACGATACGAGGGATGAGCAAGTTCCACAGACAAAGAAGAGCAAGCGACTTTTTATTTGCGTGCGTGGTCCCTTCGACCCGCTTGTATGCATCCTACAGACAGGGGTGAGGTTTTCTTTCAAGCACGCATCATGTTATTTATCATTTCACTCCAGCCCCTTGCAACTCTTTAGCTCCGTCCAAGTTTGCTCGCTGCCTTGGGTGGCCGTACTGGTCTTACTGTGAGAGGACCCGCATGGCGTTGAACACGGCCCGTTAGTGCATTTACTCATAACAACTAGCTTGACAATACAACCAATGTGCCACTGCAAGAAATCGCCGGCAGTGTTAGTGTTAGGGCATGTCACTCAAACTTTCCTGACTCTGCGATTGCGATTGAGGCGCTGACCCTTCGAGAGTTCGGTACGGACCGAATGGTGTAACGTCGTGTATGAAGTAATTAATATAATTTTTCTGTCCTTTTGGCTATGTATGCCTTTTAACTGCCAATTTTGAGACCAAGTTGGCTTCCGAATCCAGAACCTAATAGCGGTCGTGTTCACTGATCGAAAGGCGGTCGTCATGTTGCGTTTGGTGCTGATCCTGTATCTGTGCCGTACAGTGTCTGTCTATCTCGACAGCCATTTGTTTCGTTGAATTCCAGTGCCTCGCCCAAAAGAAAATAAAACGCCGTGGGGACAATCGTCTTGCCACATGTAACTGATTCCTAGCCTCCTTTTTTGAGCCTAATAATACAACAAATTTGTAAGGGTATCGGGTGCGTCGTTTCCATCGTCCAGTATCTTAATCAATCGGTCCTTACTTCCCACCTCTTTTGGACAGTGATTGCATGACTGTCAAGGCCACGGGGAGCGGTAGGGGTAGGTCGCGCAATTGAATCTTCGTCCGGAAACGCAACAATGTTGACGTCCTGTGCCCCCTTCATGGGCTGAAGTCGCACTTCAGAGTTAGTGTCGGCATCGTCGTCTTCGAGCTCGGTGAACGGGCGACTGTTGCTTCGGGCCCCTTTCGAATATACCCCACTTCCAGATCCGCTGCCATAATCGTATCCGGTACCGGTCTTCTTTGCTTTGCGCTGTCCTAGGAGTGGACGCATGAGGGGAATGCAGGCTAGGACGATGGCGATGGCGGGTTCGAGGCCGGAGAGGATTGTGGCGAGCACGCCCGAGTATGTCATGTCTGCAAAGTCTAAAGTGGGGAGAAACGTTTGGCGGTAGATGGTGATGACCCAGGTCCTGTTCGTATACAATTAGTGGTGGATACATGATTGAGAAGACTGTTGTAAGATCCATACATAATACCAATACTCAGCATAGCTGCTGCAATCAATTTCTTCTTCATTGGCATGCGGAGGTTGTAGATATAAGGCATGGGAAGGACGATGAGCGCAATGTCGGTAAGAATGTTGATGATTCCCCTGAATCTCCGTCAGTACTAGCTTCGATGTCTCAGTTATCGTTGGAACTTACATGGCGAAGTAGAAATTCGGTTGGCTACCGCATGTTCCAGGAACCGTCAAGTCCCAATTCCTTCTTAAAGGGCGGCAAATCAAGAAACAGGCCATAATGTTTGCGATGTTCCATGCGATAATGAAAATACCGATACCGCGGGCCCATTTTACCATGGATGAGACTGGTATCAAGGCACAGTACATCAGTAGAACTGAAATCTTACTGAAGCAGACTGTGGCATTCCAAAGCATAGCAAATGCCATGATGCCCTAGGAACCGTTAGTTCGTTACGTATAGAGCGTCACTTTGTTCCTTGATGTGCACTCACCTTGAAGAAGAACGTCGCTGTATCTGGCCCAAATCGCATTATGATGTCCATCGTGTGGAATCCAAAGCCACCATGAGTCACCATAACCATGACATCTGTATGAAGGGCAGTATTGAAAAACTAAAGACACATTAATCTAGTGTACGATGGAAGGTTCAGACGGTCTCAACCCGTACCAGAGCTCCGAGGATGCAGTAGTCACTATAGTCAAGTCCATTAGCCATACGCTTCGCCACCAGTCGGAGTGCCACTGCAAGGGCGACGATGAAGATTGAAATGGCCGAGGATATCAGAATGCCAACTTGGTTGCCATTCTCGATGGGAATCGTATCATCCGTTTTGGTCGCCATGCCTGGTTTGTTTGATGTATGCGGTCGAGAAGATGGGACGAATGGACACTGAAATAGTGTGGAGATATAGGAAAGCCGTTTTAATCAATCAGGCCGTTAGGAACGAGAAAACTGCCCAGCTCCGTGGAGCACCTGTGAATGATACCACTACCCTTTGAAACAAATGCTACTCCGTACATCTGAACACCCACCTTTGAGAACACGGGTTAGCATAAAGACGATCCTTGCTCCTCGAAAGATAGGCAGTGGCCATGGTTTCTTTTCATACACAGAAGAAGTCTCCACCTCACGGCATGTTACGAAAGACAAAGAACGGCATGGCGAGGCGCGCTCAGCATACCAGGAATTTCGGTAAACCCATCCTCTCAGACAGCGTATCATAACTAGCTGTGACAGTGGGACCTCGAGTCCAATCGGGGGTAGCCCTGTCGTCGCCGCAGCCATCGTGGTGAACAAGCGCGGCACGCTTCATGGACGGGTGGCCCAGTGGGGTTCTGAACCAATAGGAAGCATTCATCGACCACGCCTAGCCAATCATGTATGAAAGCGAATTCCCCATTCTGCTCCAAGCCAGACCATGGGTACTTCCGGTAAGTGTAGTGTGTACCAAACGGGCCCTGCCGTACTGTACCAAATATGTATGTAACTATTGTATTACAAAACTCACCACCCGTCCCACTTCCATCACTCCTTTCTCGCAAATGCGAGTGTGCGTGCTCAGGCAAAAGAAACTGTGGGGCATTTATGCCCGGGGCTTGTATGCATACGAATGCAGCTCACCGCCCGTTGATGCTTTTCCCTCTTTGTCTGTTGCCGTATCTTGTCATTGATAGAAGGCGAGCAGCGGCGCCATGGATGGTTGATCAGAAGGCAAATCGACATTGGCATCCCCGTCCTGGACAAAAAGTAGTCGCTACTTATCGAGTCGAGCCAATATCAGGCAAGGCCATCCTCACTGTGGCAGCGCCACTAGCAGAAACCGTCGAGGTCTAGATAGTTTCACAGCGGTCTTGACCCGTGCCGCCCCCGCGCGTGTTCAAGGCCCATTCAACGATTCATTGAGTGTGTGCGTGGGTGTGAAATATAGATAGCACAGTTCAGTATCGACTTGGAGACATCCACTCCTTTTGTTAGCTTTTCCACAAATTTTCTTCAGCAACATGGGTTCTCTACCTCAAAACGACCAAAAAGTCGCCATCGTTACCGGTGCTACGGTACGTGTGAATCCTCCCAGTTTGCAAATCAATCTGCTAGATGTAAAGATTCCGTGACTGATGCGTCCCACCAGAGCGGTATCGGGCACTGGCTTGCCGTGCATCTACACGGACGCGGATATCGCGTAGCTATAGTTGGCCGCCGTGAAAAACTTGGTCAACCCATTGCTGAGTCCTTGGACCCTTCCGGCAACTCAGCAATCTTCGTCCCCTGTGACGTAAGCTCTTATGAGTCCCAGTCAAAGCTGTTCCAAGCCGTTTGGAAGAAATGGTCCCGCCTTGATGTCCTGATCGCCAATGCAGGAGGCGTGGATAATGATTCCAAGTACAATTTTGCACGTCGTGATGCTGCCATTGATGACCTGCCGCCTGTGCCCAACACTGCCTGTACCGACATTGACTTCAAAGGTGTCATCTATGGCACTACACTGGCGACGCACTTTATGCGCCACAACCCTGATGGCAAGGGTGGAAAGATCATTGTCACTGGTAGCATGATTGGCATCTACCCATGTGCTACTTTCCCAGAGTACTGCTCAGCAAAGGCTGCCGTTCACCAATGGGTCAAGACCGTTGGGCCAGTGTCCAAGATCAAGGACAACATCACGATTAACACTGTCATGCCTGGAGGCATCGAGACACCTGCCATGCCCGACTTCTCCGTTGCATTTCTACCACATCAGATGACCTTGAAGTCGAATCTCATCAAAGGTTACGATCTCTTCCTCGATGACAAGGAGAACATTAAGACCGGACAGACCATCGAGGCAGCACACGACGAATTGATCGAATGGGGACACCCGGGATACAAGAGTGGAGCATTCGCCAAACGCACAGAGAAGGTTTACGACCCTTGGTTTGCGTTGGTACATGGTGAGAAGAGTGAGCTCCCAGGAGCTCTGCTTGGTCCACCAGTGAAGGGAGATAAGATCATTGCTGTCACTGGTGCGACCGGTACGCAGGGTGGAGGTGTTGTTAATGTCATGAAGAAGGTTCCAGGTTGGAAGGTTAGGGCTGTGACAAGGAATCCAGAGAGCGAGAACGCGAAGAAACTTGCCGCCGAGGGAATTGAGGTTGTCCAGGGAGACTTCGATGACCAGGAGTCCTTGAACAAGGCCTTCAAGGTGAGTCTCCAACACTGCAATATTATGCAACCGTACAGAACACTGACATTCATCTACAGGATGTCAGTGCTGTCTTCGCCGTCACCAACTGGTGGGAGTGGCTGTTCCGTGGAAAGACCCAGCATGAGGCTGGTGTTATCGAAGAGACACATGGAATGAACATCGCCAGGGCTGCTGCCGGTGTAGATACTCTCGAGCACTTCATCTGGTCGACTACACCAAGTGCGAAACGCAAATTCCCTGGAAACCAACTCGAAACTCCCCACATGGACTACAAGGCGAATGTTGATGCGCGCATCAAGAAGGAGTTGCCCGATTTGGCCGCCATCACCACCTATTTGCAGTTCGGTTACTACCCCCAGAACATGGCTTTCTTCCCCTTCCTCAAGCCCATCGAATACGTAAGTTTCTTCCTAAGGAAGGTTGCCTCTCATATTGTACTAACACTCGTGTTTCTAGCCCGGTAGCGGTCAGTGGGTCCAAACCATGGCCACTAAACCCGACGCCGTCGTCCTTTTGTCCGGTGACATGACTGTCAATCCAGGTATCTGGGTGCGACAAGTCATTGCCTCTGGCAAGAAGGCGTACGGAAAGTACTCGAACGTCGCTCTGGAGAAGTGGACTTTCCAGAAGATGGTGGATGTCTGGTCAGAGATCACGGGCAAGAAGGGAGTCTTCGTCGAGACCACACTGGACACTTGGACAAAGATGTGGGGCCCCGCCGGAAACGAGTTGGCTCTTCAGTTCAAGTTTGGCGAGATGTGCGATCCTTGGGAGGAGAACGAGGACCACATCAGCCCTGAAGAACTCGGTATTGATAGGAATGAGGTTGTAGGCTTCAGGGGTGTGATTGAGGGGCTTAACAAGATGGGAATGTGGTAGTTAGACCTCAGCCGTGACATGCGATATGTGGTTGTCGCTTTGTCTAGCATTCAGCATAACAATGTATTATTATGGCGACAACTGATTCTTCCCAAAATATTGAAGAAACCGTTAAACATCCAGTTCCCCGGTAGGAGCGGCTCGATTTCCACACAATAGTAGGTAGCATTGGTCGTGAATTCGTAATGCGTATGACCCACCCCGTTTGACGCCCTCGGCCGAGCCTCCTGATCATACAAGTCAGAACTGGTGATGATAATTACTGTGGAACCTGGATATGGTGAAGGAATAACCGAACTGTCCAGTCGTGTTGATCCAAGGATAACCTCGTTGGCCCTACGCTCATTGTCTCTAGTAGATACGTTAGCCAACACTATGAGCTTCTTAGTCCACATGAGTTCATGTCAGGTACCAAACGGGCATGTGTCACATTGATAAAGTTCCGGGCGCTACTCATCGCAGAGCGGCAGAGGTGTGTCAGCAATTACGATTCCCGAAGATCACGATACGAAGTAAATCACCATTTGGTCCAGTGATTAATGGGAATTTGGACATGCATTTCAAAGATTGTGACCTTCCCGGCTGTGCCGATAAACCACGACTCAAGTCGGAAGGTTCCTTCTTCCCGGAACTCAAAACGCCTACAGGGAGGAGGGGGCTATCCCTTTCGGCGTCGACCGAGGATGTATGTATTTCTCCATGAGCATTTTTGATTAGTCTTGCTGGTACAGGATAGGAGCAACGTCGGTTGTGGTGTAGTGTACAAGTTTAGGTTCAGCGGGTGGGAAAACCGTTGCTTAGCGTGAGCGAACGGACCCCTTTCCAGCGACTTAGGTCTTCGCATGATTACTTGCGATGCCGCTGGCCCGCTCAGGTCATGGAGAAAAAGATGGCAAGTCCTCTGTCAATCATGAGAACTCCATGCGAATTGGATGATGGTGATCGCTGATACCTGTCTTGTTCCAACTAACTACTTGTCTTTGCCATGTAACCTGTCTAACCAAAAGGTGAAAGATCATATCCTTACACCCTGACCGTGGTTACTAAGTGAGTAGGTATGTATTACAAAGTTGATCCCCTATCGGTGGGCTTTACAGAATGGATGATCATTTTATTCCACTATGTAGAAATCCGGTTGAAGAATGGGGCCGTCAATAATGATTTCAGTTCCACAGCGAACTGTTCCGTTCCACTTTGCCCCTGCACAATAGTCTAACGTCGTTGTACCCTTGTCGACCCCGTCTCCCGATTGTTTGTTACCGAAGGATTAACTCCCCGTTGATGCAAGAGTAGTCGGCGAGGCACAAATCTCTACTCCGTCTGTTCCTTCGGTCTGGAACGAGAAAATTGGGAGAAAGAGGGCAAGGGGTTGTTGATGCTTTAAGAGTCTTCATGCATAGCGGAACAAATGGTAGACAACTTCGAAGATCTTTTCCCTTACCTCCGCTACTAAAAGGCCTCATCTAGAGAATACAAGTACTCCTTAGAATCGTTACAGTAACGGATGGAAATTCAGTGTAACAAAAGTGGGTTTACGTACCACTCGCTTCTCGGTTGCAGATTCTGTATGATTCCTGACACAGGTTACTGTGCTCGTGCCGCAACTCTTGTAGCGTATTTACATGGACAACGTCTGCGGATGTGAGCATAATAGCCACTGTACAACAAGTGTAACCCCATATCAACGTAACGCCGTAACCAATGATTGATAGTATTGACTACAAATTAAATGGACGAAGTATAGTCCACTCAAGCATGACGCCCCCGACTAGCCTTTGACGTGAGGTCATACCTGAGAAGCACAGCATAGCCAATACTCGTATTTCGATGATGATTGTACTTGTGACGACGACAGTGCTAATACCTGATGCGCGTGCTATTTTGTAAGCAATTCGCGTATATACATTGAGAGAAGCAAGTACAACGGTGCGAATACAGACGCGGAGTGCAAGGTGGGGAGTATATGGCTGTTGTTCTCTACCCAGAGTCTTTGAAAAAAAATAGGAATTTGGATAAAGCGCAAAGAACAGGACGAGCAGGCAGACAACTACTTTGGTAACTACGGGCCTAAATGAGCATACAACGAAAACAGGTCAGAGCGAGTAACAGTACGCTGCTATCCCGAGTGTCCCTATTCATGCTATGATGTTTGTCTCAAAGGACTATCTTTTCGTTGGCTGGAAAGAGAGAATAATTGCATGTTAGATTTGATACTAGAGTATATCAAAGAAACCTGATTAACATTGAACAATTACAAAATGATAGTTCCGACGCATTTGCACTTATTGTTCCTGTCTAGCAGTATCATGTTTTTCAACTATGTGAACTCTTCTTCCTAGATGCATTTCTTCTCCACCTGCTGACAATCTCTGTTGATCTACAATGTCATGAGCATTTAGTCATTTGATAGAGCCTTTAACCTACCGCTAGTAATCATGGGACCTCTGAAAGTTCTTCGCGCTTTGCTCTTATTGTTTCCGCTGAGCAACAATATCAGTATCTGCACCTTCTGTGATCCCACTAAATTGAACGTAGAAGGCTTAGCTAGCTTTTACAGGTCTTGCAGAATGACGGCGTTGCAGGTGTTCTCGGACTTTGTCAGCGATTGAATTGTGTTTGCAACACTTCCAGATCCGTGAGGGACAGAAAACCATTCACTCTGTTAAGACAGCGCTAGTAAGACCGCACTATATCTTGCCAGTGAGCGATGGTGCGTTGTTGGTTTGCGTTTTACTTTTGAAAATAACCTCTGTAGAGCCAGGGCTCTATGCGACGCTTCGTATACAAGTCGTAAATACATTACTGGATGTTGTTTGACGGCCTAGAGTATGGAAGTATGTGCAGTGTTTGTGTTCAAGTGGCCTTCATAATCAACGATCTGAGTTTTTCGTAGGACTTGCAGGTCGATCATAAACAAGGGTGGTGACCCATTATCTACCTTGGTATTCAGGACACGAGAATATAAGCGGTCTACTTTCTTGTAGAGCCTCTGAGTTCCGGAGGGTTGTTCGCCTGTGATTTCTAGTCTAGAAATTGAAATCTTAAATAGTGTGATCTTCAAGAAATGAGTATGGATATCATCGTTTGTACTACATAGGCGTGTAAATTTTACCTGGTAGCTAGATAGGCAGTAGGTACCGTGGTACCTAGCTGGAATACTGGTAGGAAGGAGCGACGGGAAGTTACTAGCCAAAAATTGTTCAGCAATGATGCCAGAACTCTCGAACCAAATAGCCCTCGCAGAAGAAGCAACTTCGCCTTCTAGCTCCAATATAATGTCTCTGATCAATCTACCGACTGAAATCCTCCTTCAAATCCTAGAAGATGTCATCCTCATGGTGGGGCTCGCCACAGGTACTTCTCTAAGGCTCGTCTGCCGTAAGGACAACCTCGCAACTGGAAACAATGCCACCGAGACTAATCATTCAATAGGGGATTTTGATCAACTAGTCGAGGACGTGATATTCCGTCTACCGAACAACGTTCTCATGTGCCATAACTTAAGGGGACCCGTGCTTGTGAAGATCTTGTACGAAAGATTAAAAGTTCAGAACGCAGACAACTCCCTATGTCGTACTATCAAAGGTACAGTCGATCATCTCGACCCTGGGGGCAAAGATACTGTGATGAGAAAACGATACACGATTGTTCTCATCAAGGCGGCTGCTGTCCACATGTCTTCTTGCGCTATCTTCCATCATCTCTCTCCCAGCGAGGCATGGGAATGGGGACATGCCGATGATACCGCGCTCATTGCAGCAATAGCAGCGAAGGAGATGGACAAAATTGAGTCTATACTCAAAGACACCACCGCTAGCACTCTTTTTGAAACTCTATACTTTGGACACGCTCTATCGGCAGCAGCTACGTTCAATGCTACAGAAGCTATACCATTGCTCCTTCGATACCACAACCAGCCCAAGAACAAGATCTCTCTCTGCCGTTTGCGTCTTTCTGAAGCCCTCAGTACGGCGGCTAGCTACGGACGCCTGGAATTTATAAAAATCCTGTTAAGAGAAGCGAAGTTTACAGTACATGATATTGAGAGGGCCTGTTTCAGCGCCATTAGGTCTTTACAAGAGCCAGCCGCAATCCTACTGGTAGAGCAACATCTATCGTCTTCTCCATCACACCCGGAAAATGATTTCTGGCTCCCGTTCGCTTGTGATGTGGCAAAGATTGGTTGTCGTAAAGTCTTGGAGAAAATCATGGGCGTTATCACTTCGGATTCAAATGTTCTTGCCAGGGTTCTTGAAAATGCCTGCAAATTTGGCCATCATGACATGGCGTGTTCGTTGCTATCAAAGTTCTCGCACCAAGACCTTGAGGTTCTCTCTGGTAGCCTATTTTGGGCAGGGCGTTCGGGAAATATCGCGTTGGCCAAAACATTTCACGAATACTTCCGCGGGAGTAGCATTGCTCAGCTCCAAATATTAGCGGGGACAATATCAGGAGAGCACTCCAAAGCCACTGAGCATTTATTGCAAATGCTCGGTATCATTTCCGAGTCAATCAAATTCACTGATCTAGTACATCAGTTGCTGCCAGATCTCCCACCACCAATCTCTCGCAGTAGCGCCAAACAGTCACAAGAATATCCATCCAGAGCATCTCCAGGACGGAGCCCAGAACCTGTAGAGCATGGCCTTCTCAAAAAGGCCATCTGGGATAAAAGTCTTGCAAAAGCAGTCACGATCATTTGTAACTATGGTGCCCAACATCCTCAGGATGATCTTGGCCTGTTTTCAGACTCTTTCTTGGAAGCAGCTCGTATGACCTGTCCTGAGATCTTTTTATACTTACGGGACCACCGAGCGGAAACAGTGCAGAGCTCTCCCCTTTTCGAGTATGCAACGGCCATCCAAATCCTGAGGACTGTTAACTAAGTGGATTAGGATAACCAAGGTCGAGTATGACTGGATTGTGCCGCACCGCATCTCAGAATCATTAGCGGCGAATCGAGGTGCGTCGCCGTACTTGATCAAATCACTTTTAGACCCAGGACAGCTTATTGACAAGTGACAGTTATTCAATTTCGTAATACTTCGATAACAATCTGATACTCTAAACTTCGTTCAACCAATGGTGTATTTCGACTGTCCCAAGAAACTCTTTCATGCGCTAGGAGGATGAAAGATCCTGGCCACATTATAGAGATGGAAGAGCGTGGACATCAATTTAAGATGAGAAATAGAATTGAGGTTGTTCAATTTCTCCCCGAGCGCGATGATGATTGAACGTAAGAAACTTTGAACGGTAGACTGTGCTGAAAGCTGCTAGGCGCGATGAAAACAATCGAATGACAAACCTAGCTAGACGTGTAAAACTCCGATAAAAGTATATAACTATCCCATTGCATCTCTATCGTCTGTAGAAGGCCACGTGTAGAAATCTTGCGCTTCTCTATGATTGCTCTAATAGGAAGCTTTCACTTAAGGAATATCAGAGGAACATAGGAAAATTACCAGAGTTGAATCATCTTGCATCTCGGGAGCCAATCAGCATCCTCGCTCGAGCGATTAGTGCGTTATGATTGGCTGGTTGCTTCACGAGCTTGAGTCTCAATAGCAAACATACGACTCATTTTCAATAACCTTTTTAGGTCATAGAATATCACCTTCCTGGTAGCTGTCTGTTACAACGGTTTCGTATGTAGGCCAGCTCACATGCTTATGCGAATGATTATCACCAACAACCCCGCACATGGACAAGCTGCCGACTGCTGCCCGGGGTATCTTGCGTCAACAGTGAAATCGATGTCGTGATTTAGTAGGACAGGCATCTCCAACCACCCAAGCGAGTGCGTTACGCCAATGAAAACTTACCAAGCCTCGCCATCAAGCATCAATGGCTTCATACAAGACTCTTTGAGGAGTCTTATCACCGACACTTGAGGTGCAAGGCGCCCGGGTTCCCGCATGACGCGCTTCAATTCTCCAATCAATGGTCGGCTTCCAAAACTGACGTAGGGGTTGCTCACGACTTTCGGTAATTCTTGACCCGGTAACTGTCTTGATGGCAACGTTACAATAAAGAGTCTGATCAGTCTTTTATTCCACTTCCTCTTCTCACAAATCGACAATGGCGCCAATCACAGATATCGAAAAAGACAGAGAGGCCATCCAGCCATCTCCAGTCGTACCTTCAGAGACATCCTCGCAATTGGACGATACCTACGAGGAGTACAAAAGGAATCAAGGAATTGAGATTAGTCCAGAGGAAGCGAAGAAGACCTTGCGCAAAATAGATTTTCGTGTAGTACCAGTCCTATTCTTCACGTATCTTTTACAATATCTCGACAAGAATGGCATCAATTACGCATCAGCATACGGGTTAGAGAAAGGCACAAAATTGAAAGGACAGGATTATGCATGGCTTGGTAACAGAACGTCGTAGATTTTTGAACTCACAACGCTGATTACATTGAAGGCTCGATCTTCTACTTTGGATATCTAGCTGGGCAATACCCTTCGGGCTATCTGCTCCAGCGCCTACCGATTGCTAAATTTCTTGGTTGCGCAACTTTAGGTGAGCTTGTTCATTTTAAGCTTTCAGCCCGTCTAACAGTATTCAGGATGGGGGATAATTCTCATGACGACTCCGGCATGCCACAACTTTGCGGGCATAGCTGCGAACAGATTCTTGCTCGGACTTCTGGAGTCAACTGTGAACCCTGGTTTCGTGCTCATTATGAGTATGTGGTATACCTCTGCTGAGCAGCCTCTCCGACTCGAATCGTACTACTGCACTAATGGCATTGCCACAATGTTTGGTGGACTTGTTGGTTACGCTGTGGGTAAGATCAACAGCGGTCTCCCCAAATGGATGTACGTCTTCATCATCTTCGGCTCGTGCAGTGTGCTCATGGGCATTGTCACCTTGCTTGTCCTGCCAGACTTGCCTTCGACCGCCAAACACTTGACCGAGCGCGAGAGAGCAATTGCAGTAGAGCGGGTTGCGGGTAACAGACAGGGAGTAAAGAACAAGCACTTCAAGAAATATCAAGCATGGCAGACCGTCAAGGATCCAAAGACATGGATATTGTTCGTCATGGCTATTGGTGCTCAAATCCCCAACTCTGCCTTGACTAGTGTAAGTACGTACGAAATACTTGCAAAGAGACTTCTAATAGATTGTGTCAGTTCACTTCTATCATCATCAAAAGCTTCGGCGTTGACACTCTGGGCACACAATACCTCCAAATCCCCGGTGGGGCCGTTCAATTTCTCTCACTCCTTTCTGGAGGCTTCATCTGTACTCGTTGGCCGAACTCTCGCTGCATCACCATGACGGTAGCAAATACCATCTGCATCCTTGGAGCAGGCCTACTTGTTGGACTACCAAGCTCCAACAAATGGGGTCGACTCGTCGCGCTTTGGCTTTGTTACTTTCAGGGTCTTGGGTTCAGCATGAGTCTTACGATCGTATCATCCAACGTCGCAGGCTATACGAAGAAACAGTTGACGGGAGCTTTCTTGTTCACCGGATACTGTATTGGCAATATAATCGGGCCACAGACCTTCAAAAGCAGCGAGAAGCCAGGTTATAAAAGTGCTTATGTTGCGTATGTTAAAGCCATCCTTCTTGTGGAGTTTCACCGAACTAACTGATACAGGATGCTGATCGGATATTGCGTCAAGCTGTTGATGGTGCTGATCCTGTTTGCGTACATGTGGTCAGTTAACAAGAAGCGCGATCGAGAGTCGGCAAGTGGGATCCACTTGACTCCCGAAGAAGAAAAACAGGCAATTGAGGAAGGCATGCATGATGTGACGGAGATCGATAATAAGGGTTTCCGGTATATACTGTGATGTTGTTGTTCGTTGATCGAGAATGGAATCAAGTCGATAACGACCAGTGCAGCGTTACGTACTTGAATAGACTCGCGGGAATACATTCTGATAATTCAGATGTTCAACATCAAGTCAACTCTATGTTACTTCACTCTCTTGGGATATCTTGAATTCAAATACTCTTTACAGACCAAGCACATCTATGCCAATTCGTATCGTCCCAAAGAGGCAGGAGACACTAACCCTGATTGGGAATCGCATCCACCAGGGCTCAACCAGAACTCATGCGCTGTTCATCCCTTCAGCATCCTTACCAAAAATTCACAATGTTAGAAATCGCTTGCTTCAACACCGAATCAGCAATTGCTGCAGCAAATGCAGGCGCTGATCGAATAGAGCTGTGCGCAGACTATGCCGCCGGCGGAGTTACCCCGTCCCTCGCAGCTCTCCAACAACTTCGGCAAAAGGCCAGCTTGCCAGTGAACGTCATGATCAGGCCAAGAGCAGGAAACTTCGTCTACTCCGACACGGAATACGAAGAAATGATTACTCAGATCGAAACCTTCAAGACGGAAGCGAGCGGCTTCGTGTTCGGTATACTCGATAGCGATGACCGTGTCGACATAGGCAGGAATCAGAAACTCGTCGAACTGGCCAAACCGCTTCCCTGCACTTTCCACAGAGCCTTTGACCAGATTGGAGATATGAATGAAGCGACCGAACAACTCATCGCTTGTGGTTTTCGATCTATCTTGACGAGTGGTGGCCAGTCGAACGCTGTCGCGGGTGCGGCACAGGTTGCGAAGCTGCATCGCCAGTGGGGCGCGCAAATCTCCTTCATCCTAGGCGGTGGAGTGCGATCTACGAATGTTGGTGGATTGAAGGATGAAACAAGCGTAGAATGGTATCATTCTGCCGCGATTACGCAGGGAGGCGAAGATGTTGATGAAGATGAGGTGGCGAAGCTTCAGAGCGCGTTGAGCCAACGCTGATGCGGGGGCCGTAAACCGAAATAACCCAGAAAAGATATAAATACAGAAGACAGGATTCCAAAAACAGAATCCTGAAAACCTCTTGGCCACGCCATTTCTATTTTGGAGATTTGAAACTAGAAAACGAAAAATGGACAATTGAAAACAAAAAGCAGAAACTGGAAAATCAAGAACCACAAATGGAAATTAAAAAAGCAAATTTAAAAAACCAAAATCAAGAAATGAAAATCGAGAAACGGAAATCGTAGAATGGCAATGAACAGCCAAAATCGAAAATTGAAACCCGATTTCCAGAAACTAAAAAGCGAAAATCGACAGCACACTGTAAATCGGAACCCAAGAACAGAAATCCAACACAGAACTTTAGTTTCTAAATTCAAAAACACGAGATGCAAATTCGAAATTCAAAATCTGGAAAGCAATAATCAGAAGTCAGAAACCTAAAATTCAATAGCCAAAATCAGTAATCGCGAATCAGGGATCACAAAGCAGATTTCCAGTTTCCAAGGGTGAGAAATGATAATACAGATTCAGGTACGACACATCAAAAACCGAGGATTGGCCTTGAACGATAAGGTTCTTGTAGTGATTATAAGTTTTCTCCGGACCGTTACGAAAATCCACCCAGGGTATCTATATTCCAACGAAATAGCACAGCACAGAAGCAAACACGCAGCTGGTGTATATGTACAGAAACATAGAAGGGCTGACAAGTTGAAATTTGCCAAAATCGACAGTTATCCCGCTCATTATGCCCCGATTGCTGGTATACACCCATCCCTCTTCATCAGGCAAACAAGATCACTCAAGCAGCGTAAAAGGCAAATATCAACCCCAAGATGAAGGAAATACTGAAAGGCTTGCTTGAATCGATGGTGACATGGCCAGCAGCGCCTGTACTGGAAGCTGAAGGTGCAGCAGTCGCGGTAGCAGCAGTGGTAACGGGAACATCTGATACCGATTTCGCCATGTCCGTAGGCGGGATTGCACTTCCGATTCCCGCAGCCGTCCATTGCGGAGGAATCGACATTGTCGCAGTATTCGGCTTAGCAGCAGGATTTACAGCGTAGATGTCGCCACTCTCGCCTCCTACTCTGCTGTACGCTCCCGTGAGAAGGTTCGCTGTCGATCCGTCGATGCCGTTATAGTCTCCAGTTGTCAGGGAGCCCCAGGAGTCGTCGATGAAGGCGAAATGCGTGGTGTACTTGTCGTAGCATATCGGCATGTTCAAATTATTGACCTTTACGCAGTCGAGGCTCTCTCGGCAGCAGAACCCTTCGTCTGGGGCAATGGCATTGTCTGTCCATCGTCTCTTAAAATGGATATCCTTCACTGATGCCAATACATCGACATAGAGCGACATCATTGCTGGTCCAACAACCGGGGCACTGCTGTTCGTGGCGCCTTGGGGATTGCATGGCTTGCATGCTTCTCGTGCGATCGCATGGGTTGCTGCATACGTAGTAGCGGACAAAAAGAGGGAGAGAAATCTTAATGCCATGACGATATCGTTGAGAGTTCGTTTCGATGAGACAGAGGCAGTGATCGTGACTTTTCAACAGCCTCCGTGTGTACCAAGTATGATTTGAGGTATATTCCGAACCAGGTGCAGCGCAACTCTTATGAAGCAAAAAAGGAAAATCTGGATTATATAGTGCTGGCAACGAATAAAAGAGCGACAAGGACACGTTAGGGATAATCAACACATGCGCGATGGTCTTATATGGGGGCGAAAGAGAAACGAAGGAATAGGAACAACCCCCGACAACAGGGGAAGAAAGGAAAATATAAAGCCACGCGACCCGGAAGATAACACTGAGCTTAGCCAAGTAATGGCAAAGATCCTGTAAAACCTTAATAAAGCCATGGTTGGGAAACGCAGACATATTTCTGGACTGGGCCAGATGCCGTTCATTCGATAGACAATCGGTCGACTGCCTGCAACAACTTGGTGCAGAGGCACCCACGGCACCCAAATTCTTTCGCTCTTCTACATTGCAGAGCACAAGGGATCCTGGACCACGGTACACAACACTATCAACTGATTGGGGTAATGACCATCTGAACGCAGGGGTTCGGCATGCCATGTCAACCACACATGGCCATGCGCTTCAACATCGATATTCTATGTCTCAAGATCATCAATCGCGCCGCTCCTATTCGTACATGTATCCAGATCTCGAATGCAAAACATTCTTATAAACAAGTGTTAGATCCACCTGCCTTAACCAGGTCATCATGTCGTAGTTCCCGGCCAATCCTGGATATTAATAGCCTGTGACTTATCGAAGCGCCCCCCGGGGACACAGAACATCCGAGAAACATTTGTCCACGCCCTGTCTCTTAACATTGTCTCCAAGGCCTGCAGGTCGCCGGCGCTCCGAGAATCACAGCCATAGACCGAACAGTTTACCTTGCACAAGACCCGCATGCTGGGTCGCCGTGCGCGACGCCGTTATCGCGAGGCCTTGACCGTACAGGCAATGGTAGCACAGCAGTTCCCACGTGAGGCCTCGAATTGAATCAATACATCTAGAACAGTCTTGGTGCTGTCTTGGCCTAACCACACCATCTGGATTGAAAGGCGGCGTGAGCTGTCGAATTGTGTTCAAAACAAATTGGCGACTTTCGTTGTGGAGACAGTATCGTATGGTGCAGTGCCCCATCTTATTCGCCGGCACTTTATCGATAGCGGTCATCGCGGCTGTTGGCGCGACTTAATCTACGCGATCATCTCTATTTTCCTTTTTGGGATATGGCAGCTCTACCCAGCGATATCGAGTATACTTGTCTTTGCCTGCTCAATTCTCTATGAGTCTGTGTCGTTTTACCAATCTTGCTAGAAATATAAACTGTTGCCAAGGTCTTGATTCGATAGTTACCTGAGAAACCAAGAAAATGTGAAAAGAAGGCTCAAGACCGACTTCGCTATTCCTACATTCAAATCTCAATGGCCCAATATCTAGCCCGATTCTACGCAATGGCATCTAAACCTTCGGATGATGGAGAGGAACGAGGCAATGCGAGTACGCGACTACGAAGGACGTCTCAAGATTTTCACCATGCCTAAGAAACATGACTTGCCATCTGTACGCTCCAAGATACCCAACTACATAAATGGGCGATTCCAAAGCACGAACACCTTGTCCACTTAAACAAAAACCAGGAATATTCATCCGCCCATCAATCACCCATTCACCAACCCTTTCCTCTCCAAATCCCTCAACTCAATCCCCTCTCCAACCCCTTTCCCCACCTTAATCCCTCCATTCCCCCTCCCCCTCCCTTTACCTCCCCTCCTAACCGCGACATACTCCTCCGCCGCAGAGACAGGCCAAAGCACCAAGGCGCCCAGCAAGCAAAACGCCGTCGCCCAAAACTGCCACAGCCACACCAACGCCCAACCACCAGGGGCTACAAACTTTACGAACTGGTCCACCTGGTACAGGTCGTTCTGGCCGTCGATGTACAGCTTGCCGTCGCCGCGGTTGCGCTTGAGGTTCAGCACGGTGACGAGCCGGACCGGCGCCGAGTAGAAGGGTATGATCCAGATGCGGAAGACTTGGAAGATGGTTACGTAGAGTTTCAGGTTCGGTTCGTCGAACGCTGCGGTCCATTGTCAGTAAACCCATACCAATCTCCTCAATTCAATTCAAACCCCATCCCATGTCCTTCCCTTCCCTTCTCCCATAAACAACCACCAAAAATTAAAGACAGAAAAGAGCGCAAACATACCAACACTCTCAACCGAGATATCAATCCTCGGACTCATAATCTTGTACCATCTGTAAATAGCAATGACGAGCCACCGCGAGTTTTCCCATTTGCCGGTTCTGCAGAACGGATGCGTGAACGAGGCTGCTGGCGTGAAGTACGTCTCGATGGTGGCGCGCTGCTCCGAAGGCGGCGACTGCGTGAGGAGGTGGATCACGCCGGAGATTTCTTTGACTGTTCTTCGTTTAGGTACTGTATTTGGAGGATGTGTGAGAGGGGAGGGGAGGGGAATGCGATTGCGATTGCGATTGCGGTTCTGGGTGGTGTTTACAGACCTGGATTCTCCATTGCAATGTACAGTCCTGCTCAATTGCTCAATTCGTGTGCGTGGCCGTGGAGACAGGATGATTGGAGAGGGGGTGCGGAGGTGGGAAGTCGCCGTTATCGCCGTCCTGCTCGGCGATCGTCCGAGAAGGGGGGAAGAGGAGGAAGAGGAGGAATCTCAATTACAAAAATACTACCGACACTCTATTGCAACGCGTCGAAGCGGGAACGAAGCCCTACAAGTACTTGCTACGCCTGTAGCCTTCGCGCTACTCGCGATGGGGGACCTAGATATGTCACATGGCGCGCGGTTGCGATGGGTATGACGTCACCGGCTCGCCTTTGCTTCCTTGGGAATGCGGCGTGCGGTTGGAGGCGCTGGGACATCGTGGTGTATCAAGGATATGCTTGTCATGAAAACTTTTGTTTACGGGTTTGATATGATTCAGCAGAGAACCGTCAAATATAGGTACTCATGATCTAATTCACTATCATTGATTGAGGATAACTACTACCTGTTAGGGGAAGTCACAGCAGCCGCAGTTGGGTCTCATTGTCATATAATGTCCAAAATGTTTGTTTGTAAGTTACCTCATGCTTGATAGCTATATCTTTCCCTTTCTCTCTTGTTTCCCCTCCACGTATCCATGTTCCGTTGCGCGCACATCACTCGCTCATAACGCCCGATTCCGCCAATTCGTTGATTCGGAGACCATTCTCTCAATAAGGAAAGAAGGAGGGAAGAAAGGAAAGTTACATTGGTGTGAATTCGAGAATGCTAAAAACCATTCATCGGGTCGGCAGTACCCAATCTCAACGACTTGCTGGATGCCAAGAAGGGTATCCGCAGTTTATGGTGAATGGATGCTACTCATAGGGAGGCGGTACCGGAATTTATAGGGGACCGTAGTTGAATAAGACCAGATAACCCTTGTGGGGATTCCAAATGTGTACAAAACGAAGTTATTTGAATTAGAGATCATAGTTTAGTTCGTCTCAGAGATTTTTGTCTTTCATTGGAGAGCGGTGGCTGACTGCCCCAGATATAATGGGATGATAGGGGAAAATAAACGCCCCTTATGCAAGTGTGTCATAATCTCAGATCGTTCCATTCTTTTCGTGTTTTAGGTCGTGACAGTGAAAAATTGGGCAGAAATGCCGTAAGATCCCGATGCTACTTTTGATTTTTTTTATTGCCATTTACCGAAACCGAAGGGACAAGGACGCCGGACACCAGGCTGTAAGGATAAAAGTTGGATGGGATAGGGTCGTAGGAATAGCTGGGCCCATAGTCGTGAGTTTAGCATTCGTCTCGCTCGTGATATGGCCGAGGAAGGGTGTCCAGGCAGACTTTTGACAGTCGGGCAATCAAGCATTGTTACCCCAGGGTCCAGAATCTTTGCCTAAACCTGCAAGATTGCCAATACGGTGTCCGCCGATAGGTGTGATATTAGGGCTTGCCTTGCCGCCGCTTCCCCACGGACCGCTGAGTCGTTTTGCGGCACCATCCTTGCCCTTTCCTCGCTCCAATTCCTCCTCCTCTTCCATGCTGAATAGGCCTTGCTCTTCCTCGATACGTTCGCGGTTGATGCTGCTGCTGCTTACCGCCCGGTCCATACCAAGACGAGTTCCAGCACTGCCAACACTGGTGTTGGAGGTGACTCGGTTGATACCAGGATGGATGTGGTTGCTGCCAAGCCCGCTCAATGAGCCTTCATCAGATGCCCGCGAGGATAAGCGAGTGCGCTGGAGTTGTTGGCTTATCATGCTCATGGACGCCTGTCGTGGCGGCGAAGACACGAAGGGACTGACGTCTCCAGTAGTAGGACGACCTACGGCACGCAGCGAAGGGCTAGCACCAGGGTGAAGCGTTGAGTTACGCAGAGGAGAGCCAACATGGCCAAACGCGGACGCTCCAGGCAGAGATCCGGACTCAAACGACCCTTCGGTAGGTGGTCGCCTTCCCCACAAGGACTGGTATCTCGAAGGAGATGCGGTCGCCGCGGAAGGAGAGCCAATTTTAGAGTCCGACGCTGTGGGAGATGCCCCAAGTCTGGAGAGTGAAGCCCTATGCGAGAGCGAATTACCATCGTTATCACCATGGTCCCTAGAGAATCGGCGCATCTTTTCCTGGGGTGTCAAAAGATCACTAAGCGAATTCGGTAGGAGGTCTTCCTCGAACTTTCCAATCATCTCGGTGTCCGGCCAGTCATCGATTGGGGCGCGGGCACCCACGCTCGCAGATATCATACCCCGCCTCGAAGCGCCAATCTCGGAATGCATGATGCGCCTCCCTGTCGGTTGCTCAACAGAATCTGGCGGGGACGATCCCAACGCAGGGGGCTTTCCATCGCCAAAGGCCGAATTATGCAGATTCCTCAATGCTGACGAATCATTCTGGTATGAAGAAGGAGGCGAATTGGCCAAGAACTTCGAAGGGACAGACGCAGCAATAGGGCCATATCGTGCCATGTGGGAGATCCCCTGACTATCAAACGACGCAGGAAGAGGCACGTCCATCACAGAAAGACCCTTCTGAGTGGGAGATGTCGGCAGACGGCCGCTCTCATTCGGGGGAGAACCGAAATTCGAACCCGGGTGCGAGGAGAATGTGGTATCGATAGTCGGTATCTGATCGTACGCGGCCTTCTGCGGGAAGAAGTCGTTCTGGTAGGGGAACTGCGGTTGCATGTGCGCCTGCATAGATAGCAAAGAGCCTCCGGGGGCAGGCTCAGGATGATGTGGAATGTTCATTCGACCAAAAGGTCCTGATCCCATCACATTATTCCTATTGACAACTTGTCCGTTGGGAAGGATATGTGCTAATGCGCATTTCGGACCGAACTTGCAATTTCCCTGCACGAAACGTTAAATCGAAGGCTCCCGAATGTCTTTCCTTATTTGGCCTACCTTGGTGAAGTATTTGCACGGTGCCCTCTCCGTCAGAGGTTCGTCTGAATGGAGGAAGGGGCATGCCTTACCAGCCTGACACTGGCCCTGTCGATAGAACTTGCATGGGACGTGGGAAGTGCCTGTTCAAGTCAACATCTCAGATGTACCACCATACCAGTATGACTCCTTACTTTTGTTGTTGGGCGGACTCCGGGGCCCTCCAAATCCCATTTCGCGCATTTGTGCACCGTGGCTGGGTCCGTTGCCAGCACGCCCGTGTTGCCCACTGGGAACGGGCACAGGGCCGTTACCGTTCGCTCCAGACATCTTGCCGTTAGCGCTGGGTTGACGAAAATCTTGGACAGGTCGCTGCGAGGAGTGAGAAGGGTTCGAGGTGTTCGAGGGTGAGAATGGCGGGTTCGGCGCGTTCAACTGGTGAGCGAAAGGGCTGTGGTCGAGTTGCTGGGGTGGTGGGGGCACCTCTTGGTGGGGGGTGTTTGCGGAGTCGAGCGCGGAGGAGAGATCTGTGGAGTTTGCAAAACTGGTCATATCTCAGTCTCCTGGAAGAGCCCGCTCAAAGGCCAAAGAAAAATGCTTTTAGAGTAAAGGCCTCGAAGGCGGAGCAGGAGACGAGCGAGTATGGTCGAAAGTGTGAGCGAGCAAGAAACTGGTCGCAAGGTATCGAGAGGGAAGAACAGGTACTAGTCCCGTTTGGGATTAGTGGGAAAAGACGAATTCGCTTGAGGCGGGCGAGACGTCAATTTTGCAGACAAACCCGGCGACATTCACGCCGAACACGGTCTGGGGCCTGGGTGCCTGGAACGACTAGGGGAGATGATTCGCGGGGTCCAGTGAAGTGAAGCAGTCTATGAGACTCGTTTAAAACGAAGATATTTCGAGAAAAGGAAAGAACGAGAAAGACATCTGTCGACTGGCCGATTATATTACTACTACATGGGCGCTGCACACCCGCCTCAAGTCAGCTATGCTACCCCCATATCGCGTCACGCGGGCCAAGCCGTCTGTCACGCGGGGATATGTCGAATCGAGGTGCAAAGGCTTGCTCGATAAGGAAGGGAATGTCTCATACTTCCCGACTATCAGCACCAGGCACAGGCAAACCCGAAGCACACCATGCCTTCATTGCCACCACCACCAGTTCCTCCTCTTTTCCTATCTCCCACCGAATCCCCTCCAGATTGTGACTGATGGGGAGGGATACGCGAGAGCTTGGGGCGCGAATGACCACCTGCTGTGGCCAAGTCTGGGGGTGGCTTTTGACTGCGAATTTACACATGTATTGTAACGTACATCTTGTCGTCTACCATGTCTGTATAGTAAATGTTCTCAACTGAGTCCACCAAGCGATACATACATTACACGAGCACGGTTTGGGTGGTGTGTGAACATTCCATCCTGTAGGCCCGGTCCACCACACCCACCATTTGACTTGTCCTCTTGACGATTGTGAGACATATTCGTACGTACCGCAGATGGGAGCACAGTCTGCGGATAGATAATCATATTCAGTTACTATATAGTCACCGACCAGGTAAGGTCATTGCTCCCGTCTTATCAAATGATCCCTATCTACCTATGCTACGGCCCTCGTTGTCGTGTCTCGGTCCAAGTCCAACAATTGCAATCGATTAGCACCCGGTCCAAAATCTATTCATCCTCGTTAGTGCTGCTTCGTGATAGAAATTATATTAAAAGGCGAGACATACGGTTTCCAAGCCTCATAACGCCCGCCGCGCAAGAGTTATTGTACCATTCCATGGCCAAGTCATCCAACATGTACACTTGCGGAATACCAAGATTGTACGTGTATGCCTTGAACTGGATTCCTGACAGCCCTCGAAACCTGTCCGAGAAGAAGACTCTCGTAAGTTGGCATCCGACGAAACCCCAACAGGCGGGTATCGTCACATTCTGCTCTGCAACTTTGACTTCACGCTGCAAAATAGGGTCGAAACGATATCCAGAGATCCGTAATGCACAAGGCGAAATACCACTCAGGGAACAGCCAAAATAGCCAGACCGTGCATTGAACCAATACGCATTCACAGAAGCACGAGGACCAGCACCGATCTCCCCCTCAAGTAATGTGCCGGCGGCTGCATTATCTGGGAGCAGCTTTCCATTCAATGGAAGGAACATGGCTATATTTGGCTGAGATACAGCACGATATGCTCCCCATTTGTCAGGAATATAGGTGAGACCATTGCTGTAAAACAAGTGATGATAAGGATTGATCATACCGGTTGCGACGATGGTGTTATTGTCTCCTCTCCTTACCGTCGTGTCATCGAAATTTAGAGTGAAATTTCCATACTCGCCACAGAGTGTGGGTTCAGGCCTGGTCACATTCCGATTTGTAGGTGTTGCTTCCACATTCGTAGAGATGGCCGTATCGGTTGTCGATGTAGTTGACAAAGCCTGAACAGACTGAGAGGGAGGTCGCCCTGGGAGAAGCGATCGCCGCACCATTCTTGTGGTCATAGATGATGAACCAGCTTTGGACCTGACAGTAGCAGAGAAAGCCCCGGCCCAATAAGATCGTGTCGTTATTACTGTTGGTGTTGGGAATATGAACGTAAAAGACTGCTCGCTGTATGCTACCACCTGGGTCATGAGGCCCGTCGAGAATGTAATTGTCGTGGTGCTGAACCGCGACGAATCCGTGCGACCTGGAGAAGTATTGGAAACCTGGGTGGGGGCTCTGGTGGGAGATGATATACCTGGAGTTGCACTTCGCGAGATAGCGGGCGTGGAAGTCGACCATGTCCTTGTTGAAGAGATCGTACCTGAACTCCTTGGAAGTGTTGTTAAGAGCGATGATGTCTGACTCGAGGGTGTGAAACTGGGCGCCACAACAGATCTCGTTGTCAAGCCTGATGAGAGTACTGTTGAGGTGGTGAAGGGAATTGATGGTGACAAATTGATTGAAGTCGCGAACACAGAAGAGCTTAATCCGAGGGATGAGCTGGCCGGGTTTCCAGGAGGTTGAACTGATATGTAAGTCGGCGATCCAATGGTCGTATATCGGCTTGACGAGGAATTGCTCGATGGGCCCCCGATGAGAGATACAGTGAGGATAGGACCTGGGGGTACCGTCACATATACCACACTACAAGATTCTGCGGAGACGAATCTAAAAATCCCAAGGAGTCCATCAATAGCCACCCAACAGGCGTAATAGACGCCAACAACGAAGCATATGAAAGTAAGGAGATTCCGCGCATCCTGGTGAAAGATGCCAAGAGGCACCGACATGACGAGTCCTTGGAATCTTCTCCATATTCGACAGGGCCGCCACCAGCGGATTTCGTTCCATATTTGTGTCCATAGTCTTGCCCCTTGCTGTAGTAGTACCGCAATGACTGACGGCGGTTTGACCACAGCACTATCCTTTGTGACCGTGTGATGTCCCTGGGGAGGGCCGTTTCGTTTCCCCGGTGTGTTCCTGTTCGACTTGTTGTTCTTCTGACCGCTTTTGGTTCCATTCTGAAGGTCATTGTCGTGCCCATTCTCCTGTCTTTGCTCGTTACCGTTCTCATGATTCGCATCTCCATTCTGGTCCCCTCCTCGTCCTTTCTTTCCTGGCCCCTTGCCTTTTCCTCGACCCCTGTATAAAGGCATTATGTTGTTGTGTTTATGTAAGCTGTGAACACTTGAATATATTGGGGAAAGTATGTATTGCAACTTAATGGAAAGAGTTTGAAGGTATGCAAAATTGAATGTTCTGTTGGAAGCGTATGATGTATGAAGTCTTGCACGAGCGGGCCATGATAAGGGAATGAGGGATGCCATACTTGGTAGGAGCGTGCTGTGTTGTTACTGAAATATGGAGAAAGAGATCTCATGTGAATGGGTGAGGAGAAGGTGCTTTGGATGGAGGGCGGGTGGTAAGTGATCCCTTCGAAGTAGTTAGCAACTGAGAAAACATATGAATTTCACCTAGCAAAGGAGTTATACATGGGGATATCGATTGTGCGAAACTGGTTGTCCTTTATAGTATATGCGGATCTGCCGCTAAATGCTTTTCATTCCGTGCCTCTGATTGGTGATATCAGTGGCTATTCTATATCTTAAGCTCTCACTTCCCATAGCTTCACTCGTCCTGTCTCGCTTCCAACGGCAAGAAGCGCAAGACTACCTTCCTTCTCGTCTTCCTCAGATGGACGTCCCCATGCTACGGCACTAATTCTTCCCAAAGGCGTCTTTTCGGTTGGCCAATTCTTGAACACAGTAGCAGACGGTAGATGCACAAGCCTCATGGCGTTGTGCTTCCAACGACTAGCCATGGCCATTATCTGGCCATCAGGCGAGAAATGTAGGTGTGATATGGGAGTTGTTAGATTGTCCAAAGTGCGAACAGGTTTGGGAGTTTTCGGGACGCCACCGTTCGGGTCGTCGGGGGTGCTAGCATCGTGGGTCTCGACCCATGATCTTCGATCGTAGACGTTAACAATACCACTTGTACTGCCAATGGCCACCCAGCGGTCACCGCCAATCCAATCTCGGCCACTCTTTCCACCTACTGAAATCACTGTCGTGCCCATCGCTCCTTCATCGGTCCATCTTCCAATAACACCATCTTCCACGCTCCATTCTGTGACTTCGCCATTCTTTCCTACGATGCACAATCCACTTCCGTCGCCCCACCACACGAAATCTGCGACACCACCACGGGACTCAATTCGCACTTGGGTTACCCACTGCAGGGTCGTGGCATCAAGAACGTTGATCACACCTCCTCCTTTCTTCGCGGAACCTCGCAGAGCAAGGTATCTGCCGTCTGGCGAGATAGAGAAGTATTCCATAGTGCGCTGCTCGTGCTGATGGCCATATACGCGAGAGATCTTCTCAATCGTACCAGTTGAGAGATCCCAGATGTGGAAGTAGCGGCGACGTGCACTGAGGAAGATGCGAGAGTCGGAGGAGGAAGGATGGAAAGCGGTTGTTGTGAGAGGTGTACGTTTGATATGGAGGGATGTCAGGAGTGGATTTGGGTCTGGCGGGTTAGGCTTAACGTGATGGAGCTGTAATGTAGCGCTGGGTCCAGAGGAGAGCAGCAATGGGAATACGGGATGGAAAGAAAGAGAGGTGATGGCAGACTGCAAAACACTGTTAGATATATAATCAATAGCCGGAAGCGCTGTACTTACTGGTCCCTTCTGGGTGACATCCTTCAGCCTCTGGATATCAATTGTGCCTGCTTGAAGTTTCCTCCTCTTGGATGGGCCGTGCGAGTTCCTAGAGAGAATGTCCGCATCTCTGAGCAGCCTGGCCAAGGGCTCTGCAGAGAGGTCGTCATCATCATCCATATCCATATCGCTTGCAGACTCCTCTCCGCTTGAGCCGTCCGCTGCCACACTCCTCCTCTTGCGTTTTGATTTCCCAGTCGCATGCAACGCCCAGTCAGGCGTCGGGTAAAGCGTTTGATATTGTCTACGCAACCGACGGATGTACTCCTTGCCACCAACAACATCATCCGCCTCAGACTCCCTCAATTTCTTATTTTGCGACCTTGCCAACAAACTGACATTCAATCGCTCGTCGTCGCTATCCTCCCAAGCAGGCTTGCCATCCTCCTCTTCATCGCTCTCCGCTGCTGCAGCAGTCAACGCCTGCGTCGGCGGCGCAGCTCCAGGTCCCGAATCAAAAAAGAACAGATCCTGATCCGCCATACCCCCGAGCTCTCCCTCACCCTCCTCACCCTCCACCCCCTCATCGTCACTATCCCCACCGAACTCCCCTTCAGAATCATCCATAGTAAACCCCTTCAAACCTTCCCTAAACCCGGTCGCATCGCCGAAGACCAAGCGCTCAAGCTCCTCCTCTTCCTCGTCTCTCGGTAAGACAGGGGCGCCTTTCTCCTCCATTATGATATCCACGCTCTCTTCGTCGCTATCATCAGATGCACTGGATTTGTCCTCGTCGAATCCCTCCCAAGCTGGCTCGTCCTGCTCCCCCTTCTTTGTCGTCGCAATCTGCATCTCGTCGTCCGATTCGCCCGCCGAAAGATTGTACTCCTGCGGCACGAATGGCGCTCGCGGCTTCATCGCCGTCCTCGTTTTCTTCGGCGCCATTTTTTCTCTTGCGGGATTGAAGATGCAAGGGGCAGCGCGCTTGTGCAAGGCGGCGAATAATGGTAATTGGCGTTCGGTGCGAACGAAGGACGAGGTTGTCGAGCAAGCTCGTTGTTGTTCTTTTCCTCTCGCGGTTCTTGGGGAATTATTTTTTTTGGGAGAGGAAAAGAGGTCGTAGCGGCAGTCGGGGAAAATTGAGTGCAGATCCCGACATTTTCTTTGGGAGAGGCGTGGCGCTAGTTTTGGCAGCCACAGCATCCGTCAGTTTCATTGCGCTCTCGTTCCTATTGTTTTTGAAGAAAGAGTAGAATGGTATCAGCTTCTACGAATAAGTTTCGACTCTCTTCAAATGATTGGTACTCCCTAATTCACAAGGTTATATCATACTCCTGAACCAACTTTGCCAATGCAACGCCCTCACCAAGCCCGACGACACAGTGAACCAGCTCACATATGCCAATTATACAAAGATCAAGTCAGGTCACAGTTTGCGAAACATGAAAAATGTAAGAATTTACGTCAAGTACAACGCAAAAGAAATGATAAAGTAAATACGACCAGAAAAATTATATTCAGCTTGTGCCAATGAATGTCTATCCATGCTTCGTCCTTCCTGATATTACTGCTGCCGATCCTATTATACCTTCCTTCCTTCCCTTCTACAATATACATTTATCAACCACCTCCTGTTAGGTTTCCCCTTTCATCTCCCCTCCTATCTCTCTTAAATTATGATAGTTGTGGTTTTGTCGTTATGTTTATCCAATTAATTATCATCCCCTCCCCAAAACTCCACTCCTATCTCACATTCTCTCACACGCATGCTCTGCAGAAGCTTTCGGCAACTACGACATCGAGAAGGGATGCCCTACAAGTTTTCACCAGTAGAGTTCTTCAGTGTCTTGTAATCGCCCTTAAGCTTCGGGAACTCTGTTGTGGAGTTCGAGGGCTGAATGTCCTGCCATGCAACACTGACCTGGAAGCCCGGGACGTCTTTCGTCGAGACTTGGTCGCCGTTTGCCTTATAGACGTCAGTATTCGGAACGTGAGTTATCGTTTCATGCAAGAGAGGAACCAAAGGGAAGGGGAGAACAGTTTATGACTTACGGAAATGACACGCCACTTCAGGTTCTTCTTCAGATACTCCTCGACGTCCTTCTCCTTGAAGCTACTGAGCTCCTTGCTGTGGGCTTTCGATTCCAGGGCAGCGGTGAGCGGCACCACACAGTGAGCGTCAACGTTCGGTTGTTGCTTGTCGGAGCTTCCCTTCTGTGAGAGGATGCCGGCCATACCGAGGAACGAGGGTTCCTTCGCCCATGTGTCGGAACCACTGGACGGTGCATCGCCAAGGAAGACGTAAACGGTGATGGAGCCGTCGAAGCCGAACTTGCGGGCCTTGATGTTGAGGTCGTACTTGCGGTTGTAGGAGAAGGCTGCTGCACCGGCGACACCCTTGTTGTCCTCGCGGGTGTGGAGGGGTACGGAAACCGCGCGGGCCTTGAAGTTGCCAAGTTGGGATGTTGCACGAGGCCCGTAGAGGGAGTTCACACGGCTGACGAGGGTGGCGGCGCCGTCAGTGAGGTCATTGAACTCAGGGTAGGTGTAGCCTAGGGTGGTGATCCAGCGGACATCGGATGAGGACCAGAAGTTGCCTTGGTCGTCCTTACGGAATGGCGTCAGTGCTGCGAGGGATTAGCTTCAGTGAAGAGGGTTGCCGGGTGAGGACGAGTATGAAGTGCTTACCAGTATTCGCGTCAGCAAAACTGCCTCCCGGATAGGTCCAGGTTGCGAATGTATTCTCCATCCCTCGAACATAACTATTCGGGTTGAGTGCCTCCCAGATGGCGAACAGACGATCCACGTTCGCATGATGGAGCCAGAAGATAGGATCGAAAGCAGCCATGGCAATTTCGGACATGTGGCCACCGCCGCCGACGGTGTTGTGGATCGTGTCATGCAGAGACTCGAAACTGTCACCAGGCTGCAAGTAATTACTGATCGAAGTAAAGTCGTGCTCTAGCGAGAGCATGTCATAAACGCGAGACTGCATGTTCCTACGGTTGTCGTCAAGATCCATGGCCACGAGATCATTTCGGCTTGCGGCATTGCCACTGCTGGAACTGGGGTTCCTGACAGTCTGTGTGTAAGTTGTCCATGGTGCAGAGGCCTAATATCATTAATTATTTCCTTATTTCAGTAAACAATAGGAGTTTTGACATACAAAATCTTCCCTAACGAGTGGATGAAATCTGTATGTCAATAAAGGATTGTCGAATGTCGCTGTGCCGTTCGGCAGAGCAACAGTGACTGTTCTCCGTTGCGCACTGAGAGGGAATGAACCTTCGCCATCGGGTGGTACAGCCGCCCAGTCCCAGTATGGGAGACGGAGCGTTGTCAGCGCTGTTTCGTACCCATCCTTCACGTCACCGTCGTCCAGCTCGGAGATCACCTGACGAGCATTGAGATACAGGATCTGCTCAAAAAGCGCCAGATACGGTCGGTGCCATGTCGTAAAAAGATTCGATCCATGTGGGCAGTAACCGCCTCCCGAAGCGCCCTGTCCTTGGCCCACACCGTCCCAAGTCACGTATGGACGTCCATGTATACCTTTACACACGTGTCAGCCCAGTTGAGAAAGTACATTGTGAGACAAATCGTCCCAGTCTCAATCGGTTCTTCAATGTTTCACATACCGGAGATCTGGTAGTAACTGAGCTTATCCCGTTGGTCTGTGTTCTGGAATCTCCTCAATCCGAGGAGGAACAGGTTCCACTGATCCGTGTTTCTCTCCAGCTCCCGAACTTCCAAACGTGGATGTGCATTATTGTCGCCAAAATTGGCGGCACCAAGTGTCACTATCACACTCTGCTGGCGCTCCTCCAATGTCCGCAGCGCCTCATCGCTGACAGATCCATCGGTAAATCCCACGGGCGAAGCAAGGCTGGAAGGCGATATCAACAAACTCGTGAAAAGAATATGTTTAGCGACCGTGGTAACAGTAGTGATTGGCGACATTATGCTGGATTATTGGCAACTGAAAAAGTACAAACGAATGTGTATCTTTGAAACACGAAAAATAAAAAAAAAGTTGGAAATTGACCTGAAGAGACATGGTTGCGAAGATCTACCTTGGGAAAAATGTACCCTCTCCGGGACCCTCGATCGATTTGCGGCCACAACAAAGAAACCACCGTGGGGGGCCTGTACTAGCAAGCAGAAAAGGTACGTCCTGTCTGAATGCGGGTTCCACCTATATAAAGATAAATGGTATACCGTCATGTCCGATAGATCGATTCCGGCCGAGGCCTCTTTGCGCGCTTTTGCATTGTCAGTCGATCGGGCTTCCTCAGGTGATATGCCGAGAACTGGTTCGAGATCGAGCCTTTTGATATCACGAGAACCGCAAGTTATCGGGCGAAATTGAACACTTGACAGTATTTTGCGGAGAGCGCTTGTCCGCAGTGATTCATTTCTTGGTACAACTAGCTCAATCCGGTCAAATCCAGGGCCGGCCCGAAGCCGCAACAACGCAAAACCGTCAACAAGCTCCAATATCAGATCATGCATAGCAGCAGATCATAAATGGAGTAATGTTATTTCTCTTGAATGACATGCTCAATTGCAGGTTTAAGTCAACATCTTGAATGAATACACACCTTGTACTGTGCAGAAATTGACGTTCGAAGTCCAATCGAGTAGTATTAAGCTTCTCGCCTAGAGCATCCAGGGGACCCTGACGACCCCGACCATCTCCGGAAACAGACTAGCCTGAGGCTCCATGTCCGACAACATTACATTGTTCTTCCAACTAACAACAGTACACATGCAATGTCCTGCACGATAGCTTCCTTCAATCGACCTCGCAATAGCGCGCCACTAACCATATCTCCTCTCGCTACCATCACTTCTGCACCGGTCTCCCCTTAACCAAAGTCCGAGATGTCACTATAGAGACCCTGAGCCAGAGTTTATCAACTTCCTCATTCATTGCCAACACGCATGCGGGAGGTGCTGGACGTCAAGTGTACCTGTACCTGTGCCTGTGCCTGTGCCTGTACCCTAATTTCTAGGTTCCTAGTGTCTGGCTCGGCGGAGCGAGCATCTCCGGGGCTATACGCAAAGCGTAGGGGGGATGTTGGTGGGTTCATGAGGTAGATGGATGGTTGGATGATCTGAAGGGTAGGGCAGATGGAGGAGATTTGGGAGGTAAGTTGGACGTAATTAGAGTTTTTGGCGTTTGCGGGTGTTGGGTTGAATCAATGCAGTGCCAAAGCAAGACACCTCGGTGTCATGAGCTCGTCCATTCAGCATGTGGTTGATCGCTTGGACGAAAGCAAGATTATGATAGTTGGTCACGTACACGGTACTGCAATCAAGAAGTCGCACATCATCAATCAATCGATGCCCGTGTATGTGAAGGAAAGAAGGAGGCCATGATTCTACAGTACACAACACAGCTATAGCCCAATAAAAAGAGTTAATGCAAAAGAGTGGTTTTCACCATCCCGCATTCCCACCATCGTGCAAAAAAAAAAATGCATGCATGAAACGAAGGCTCCATCAACCTTGACGGAGCCCACTCATGTCAAGTTCACCCGCAAGAAACTCCCAATCCTTTCCCCAATTAGCGCCCCGAAAACCCAACACAATCGCACCATCACTGCCCTATCTCTCCTTCTTCGCCACACGTGCTTCATCCATAGCAGCAGAGCGGGAATCAAAAGGCGAAACGCTCACCACTACGAAGCGTCGCCGTCCGCACCCTCGCCGCCATGGTGCATCTCGGTGCCGTGGAACGCGTCGCCGAAGGCCGAGTCGTCGACGAGGTCGAGCCCCATGTTATCGTCGACATTCGTGTAGTCTGCGAGCGCGTCGCCGGCGGTGTCGAGGTTGTCGAAGGAGCCGAAGTCGGTGCTGTCGAAGATGCCGGCGGAGGGGTCTGCGTCGGTGCTTGGCTGCTGTGGTGCGGTGGTGCTCGCGGCAGGGGCGGTGGTTGTGGCTGTTGGAGCTGATGGACCGGCAGAGGAGGAGGCGGGTTGTTGGGCGGTGGTGGTTGTGGTGGTGGAGGTGGTCGGGTCAACGACGACCCAGTCGTTGTCTGCGGTTCCTTCTGGGGCGCTGGGCATGTCAGGCATGTCGACGTCTAGGTCGAGGAGCTCGTTGGCGTCGTTGTTGGTGGGTTCGACGGCGGGTGCTGCCGCGGGGGCTGGGGCGCTTGGGGTGGCGACGGCTGATTGGGATTGACTTGGAGGCTGGGACAGTGCAGGGACGGAGAGACTTGCTCCTGGTGTGCCGGCGAGCGAGGTGGATCCGTACTGATCGAGGAGGCCTGCCGCACTGTTTTCGGCGTCGATGGCATCGGCGCCGCCGTTTGAGCCATTGCCATTGGTTGCAGGTGTGGCGTCGTCGCCGTTGACTTGTTGGTTCTTTTGCAGCACTTGCTCTTCGATCAATCCTCCCTTGTCGAGACATACCACGCTCTTCTTGGGCTCGAACTCGACACCGATATTCTTCTGAAGCTCCTGTACGACATCCTCCACGGGATCCGCATCTTCTTGCGCCGTGGCGTAGTCTCGTGATCGGGGGATATCTCGTAACCGTCTTTCAGCTTTGATATATGTTCGGTTCCGCTTGAGATCGGCCATCTTCTTCTCATGGGCGGCTTTGAGCTTGGCAAGTTCGGCCTCCTGCTTCTTAGTGTAGTCTGCGACGCGAGATTCGAAGTCTTTCAATTGCTCGGGATGTAACCTATTATAGCTCTTGACGTCGTACTCCTTCCTCCGGTTGTCGAGACCGCTTGAATCACGTTCGATGTTCAGGGGTGGATGCTCGCCTGTCGATACGTCCAGAATGTCGACAGTGAGAGGAGCGAGTTCACCCATCAACCCGAGTCCGAGGTCAATAGGTAGAATCTTGCCGACAGCATGAGGAGACGAGAAGATCTCCTCCATCCACTCGTGATGTTGCTTATATCGTGATAAACTGATCTCACGGGGAGTCATGAAGTCGAAAGTATCCTGCGTCGAGTTCTCCTCCTCTTCCAATGTCTGTTCAAGATCTTGCGCGGGTGCCCGCGGGGGCTGGTTGACGCGCTGACGCTTGTTCGGAGGCTGCTGTCCGGGATATGCGCCTCTCTGTGGGATCTGCTGCATGGGGTTCATCGGGTTGTAGAACGGACTCGGTTGCGCGGCGCCGCGTTGGAACTCGACTCGAGGCCAGTTTGTGCGGTCTGCCAGCATGAACTCCTTCCTGACAAGCTGGCCGGCATTCTCAAGCGTCGCTCGCTGCTGCAGAACTTGCTGGACGTCGGGGCGGATGCCGATCTGGCTGGCGGGTATGCGACTGGCGGGATCTGCTCCGGTGTAATGCACCACCCAGAGCGTAGGATCAATAGGTCCTGGGCCTTGCGTGATCCTGTATCGGTATCGAGCGTGAGATGTGACGGCCTCGTGCGGGTAGTGGAAACCGCTCTTGTGGATGAGAACTTGGATATTCTGCTCCCTGTTAGCCATGATTGTCATTGCGCGGACAAGATTCGTCGTACATAGCCCCGGATAGGGATTTCGTAGGCAACCTCAGCATCTGCCCAGACCAGTCCGTCTGATGCGAACTGGTTCTGCATGCGCGGTGGCTGCCATGTCAAGAAGAGTGTGCCATCTGGTGGAGGAGCCGGGAAGTACGTCCATGCGACGGCGGCCGTGTCCTTCACGATCGTTGGTCCTTTGATGAGATACTCAAGAGCTTGCGCGGGTTGAAGCGACGGGACTCTTGGGAATCGGTAATTGGAGACGAGGTGCACATGGGGAAGCTAGAGGATTGCATGAGCGCATGTCGGGTTGAAAACAGCATAATCTGTACATACGACTTGGGGAGGCACAAGCTGGCTTGGATCACCGGCTTGCGCGTGGTTCTGGTTCATCCCGTACATGGTGGTGAGCGACAATGCGACAATCAGGATCCGATTACGACCGTTCGCGAAGATTGGGGTCGGACGTCGATGTTGAGAGATGCGGAAGTTCTGTGAGCCTGTCGCGCTTTCTCCAACGCGACGGACAATTGCCAAGCATTATGGATGAGCACGTCACGTGAGAACCTGAATCACTCAATTTGGTATGGTGCGTTATGCACGTTGCTCAATCGTCTGTTTGGTCTCGAAATCACTGAATCTATCATCATTGCTTTCCGGCTTTTGATATCATGTTGATTTAACTTTTTTTTGAATTCGTATGTATGGCCGATCTTCTGGCCTCCTGCTACCTGCAAAATTTCATTATGATTATCCTACAAGGACTGCGCAAAAGCCCAGCGCAAAAATAACTTTTTGCCAATCCTTTGGCAATGTCGGGGAATCTCTGAAGTATTATAGACGTGTAGTCATAGTGTACATGTTTAAACTGCTACTCATATTCACGTGCCAAACTGATATCGCTTCGTTTCGAGGGCGTATAGGCGATGGTTCTGGGACTGTAGTAGATGAGCGAGCTGTTTAGGCGTTTATCGCGTCAGTCTCAACGGTTGCAAGCTACACAAAGACGCATTTATGAAACTTTGCGCATATTGTTGCGTTGATGTCGAAAATCCAATCTTGAATGATGGTGATCGGAAATTGAGCTCAACCCAAAATTCTAGGTCCGCCAGACTTTTTATGGGGGTGTTTCTGGATGCCGTTATGAGCAAAAGTGCCCGCTCCGGCTGCAGCGTTTCCAGGTTTATTGTTTCCTTTCTTGTTGTTCTTTCCATACTTCCCATGCTTGTCGTCTTTCTTAGTGGTTGCAGTGACTTCGGTGTTGGCTCGCTTTATACGGACTGGATGGCTGCCAATGTACTTGCCTTCCATCTCCTTGGCGGCGCGAAAGTAGTCGTCAGTGTTTGAGAAACTGACAAATCCATAACTCTTGCTCTTGGTGGACTTCTTGTCGCGCACGACGCGCGCCTTGGACACGGAAGGATATTTGGAGAAGGCTTTGAGAAGAGAGTCGTCGGTCACTTCTCCCGCGAGATTTCCGACGAAAAGACGTGGATGCAATGGATCCCACTCGAGCAAAGACGAATCCTCCCAGGTTTTTCCACCGCCCTGACGCAAGACCGTCTTCTGTTTGCCCTTGTCAGCGCCTGTGCCACTGGCAGCATCGCGGTCGGGGGTAGATGTAGTCTCGCCTGTCCTAGATCCAAGCGGGACCGTGTTTGCGTTGCCCTGCGGTCCCTTCTTGTTTCCCGTATCTTCCTTTGGCGCATAGGCACTGTTCCAAGCTGCGATTTGCGCCTCCTCTTCAGGGTCGAGCCCTCCCTGTCTTCCATACCCGCGCCCACCGGTGGCACCAGGAACACCATAAGGGTTTCCGTAGGCTGAAGATGTAGAGGTGCCGTAGCTAGGCTGCTGTTGCTGATAGTATGCATTTGACGGGTACTGATTTGAGTGATACCCACCAGTGTTGTAGGGGGCATGTGAAGACATCATACCTGGCGCTGTGGCAGCAGACATGTACGGTTGAGGGGCCCGCGACACCACGGAGCGTGGCATGAGGCCGTTGAAGGCGGGAGCAGCGTTGGGATAGGTACGCGCCGAGTTGTTGGTGTTGTGTCGAGGAGGTGCAGAATAGGTCGCGCTCGGAGGACGCGCAGGGAGGGAGTGGTGAGGTTCCAGGTTGTTGTTGTTGGACGGCCCAGACATAATGCTGACTGTGACGATGGTTTGGATGCGTTATCAGGTGGAGTCTGAGAGCGCAGCACGTACCCTTGGTACAGACTGCAGAGACTGATTGTTACTGTTTCTGATTGAGGATGGAGGAGGTTACGACAAGTTAGGTGACGCAGTTCAGAGCAGGGATGGAACGGCCGCGGCTGTGAATTTTGGCCGGGCGTAGGCAGGTAGGCTGAGGCAGGTAGGGTTGGCAAAGCAGTCTGGAATAGGGTGGAGTATGATGAATTACCTTCGGAAATCGGGGAGTATGTACTCGTGTGTATGGATGATACTCCTCTTTAGTGGGTAAAGGGTATTTTCTGGGTAAGGTATGCGTGGGAGGGTGGAGTAACTCGAGTCCCTTTGGTTGCAACGAGAAATGCCGCACTTGGGTCGGTTGGTGGTTGGTGTGGGTGAAAGGTTGTTAGGAGGGAAGAGGCTGATGTTTGCTGACTGAACGCGGCGTGGGAGGGCGGCGGGCGCCAAGCGCTTTGTGGGAAGGATTAATAAGGATGTGTTACGGTTAAAGAGCCAGAGACGGAGATCGGGCTTTGGACTTTGGCTGGTCGGCCCGCACGCGTGGGAGGGTAAATTTGATGCTTAGGCCGACTATAGCTAGATAGTAGGAGAACGAGGCGTGTATCGTGTGTTTTTGTTGGGGCAAAACTTGTCAAGGAGGTTTCGAAGGGAGGAGGAAGAAAAAATGATAGACGAAGGTCTTGGCAGGTTACGACTATGATGATGGGTGAAGGACTGAAGCTTGATGGACACCTCCAGGTAGATGGATGGGAATTATTATTACTCGTACGGAATACTGTATGGAAATAATACTACAATCTACTACATCATGAGCAACAATAAAGATCAATTTGCTCTTCCTCCATTTTCTCGTCATTTCTCTTCTTTTCCATTCCCATAGATATCATCAGTATGTCCAGATTGAGATATGTGCTCCGAGGCCGCAAACCGCAAACGCCGACAGACACGTGACATACGGACCACCGTTTTTGGAGGGGGAGAATACAGGGAGGGGAGAGGAGGCAAGAGTTTCCATAGTTACTGTAACATCAAAGTCGGTTACTTGTCATCCATATTGATGACTACGAGTAGGTAGGGATACGAGTACAACCATTGTCTTCCATCATCATTATACAGACTGCTATCGTATGTACATACACGTCAACGTCTGTCTTCCTTTTCCTTCTTGAGGAGATGGGGGAAGTCTTACAATAAATAAGTCACGAACAAGCGGCATCTGGTAATCAAGGCTTGTTGGTCTCACTGGGCAGCAATGGGTAATTGTTCCCCGAATGAGGAGGGACAAAGCAGGGGTGGGTTGGCGTAGGGGAAGTAGACTGTAACTTGTAAGAGGTAGGGTAATATTACTACAGTAGTACCATCTTTTGTCATCATTGTAATGGGATAGTCAACTCACTCAGGCACCGAGTTACGTAGGTATTGACCAGCTAATAAGCATACCCACCTAATCAGCTCATCCAACTATCCAGGTAATTAGTAGTAATGATACATCATTCTCTCTTCTAGTAGGAAAGATGGAGGTGGAGGCGGAGGTGGAGGTTAGCAGAGGCTGCCGGAGAGGGAAATAATCCATCACCACCACATGGCACAGAGTATCAAATGCGTTTTTCCGTTCTCCGTGGTGCAGTTCCAGAAAGTCACAAATGACAAACAGACGACAAACAGCAATTAGTCTCACCATCGCCTTAGTGTACGATAGTGTATAGAGTGGTAAGAGGATACTGGCAGTAATTACTGTTTGCGCTACCACCGCGGCCGACGCGCGCTTTCTCCGGTGGGTTTTACTTACTACGTACACAGTAGGTATTCGGTAGGTAGGCCTCGTACGGTGTTCCCTCCTGTCCATGTCCATGCCACGCCTTGCCTTGCCTCCGTGTCTCCTAGCTAGGTATCTAGGTAGTTAGTACTGCGTAGTGGTTAGGTTTGGAATTAGACGGATTAGACGGATTAGATGGATTAGAAAGAATCTGTAGGGATGATTTATTGGGACGTGCTTGACGCTCATTGACGCAGGCCGTAACCAATTGCCCCGCCCACGCCGCTTGCCGCTACTCAGTTTACTACTCCCACTCCAGTCTCCCACCCATCTCCCCCTCCACCACCATTACCTACCACCACACCAAGAAACAAGTCCATCAAACTTCCGGGTCGGAAAGAAAGCCAAAAAACGTACTTATCTACATCCCACCCCCAGCTCATCCGTCAGTCTTCTCCTGTCTTCCTATCCTCCATCTTCATCCAATTCCAATTCCAATCTCTCCAATACCGTTGCCTTTGCAAAGCAACTGGATACCCCGCCATTAACATACCCCCTCAATCTTACCATCACATAGCTCAACAACAACCCCCACCATGTCTGAAGCCGTTGGAGATTTCGGCCTCATCGGCCTTGCTGTAAGTTCCATTGCTCCCCTCAATCCTTCCTCCCTTTTGCTACGCATTGCGAGTTGGAACATATGGCTAACTCTCAATCCTCTAGGTCATGGGCCAGAACTTGATTCTGAATGCGTAAGCCGCTACTCAAGACCCTATTGCTTCCATAAGCCTTGCTAACTTCAATTCAAGCGCCGATCACGGTTTCACTGTACGTTAACCCCCTTACCCATCTGAAGTATCATCGGGGCAGTTTCGCTGACTATCATCAAGGTTGTTGCTTTCAACCGAACGTAGGATCAATCCCAGCTCCCCCGCACTGCCTCCAATGGTAGACTGACAATCGAACAGCGTCGCCAAGGTTGACCGTTTCCTCGAGAATGGTAGGTTCCAATCGCCGGCATCATTTTACATTCATACAGAATTGGTCGGCTAACGCAATGCTATGCAGAGGCCAAGGGCAAGTCCATTGTCGGCGCAAACTCCATCAAGGACTTCGTCTCCAAGCTCAAGAAGCCCCGAAGGATGATGATGCTCGTCATGGCCGGAAAGCCCGTTGACGACTTCATTGAGCTCCTCCTTACCGAGGGAGGTGTTGAGGAGGGCGACATCATCATCGATGGTGGAAACTCCCACTACCCCGACACCAACCGCCGCACAAAGTACCTTGCCACCAAGGGCATCCGTTACGTTGGTAGCGGTGTCTCCGGTGGAGAGGAGGGTGCCCGTTACGGTCCCTCCATCATGCCCGGTGGTAACGAGGAGGCATGGCCATACATCAAGGTGAGTCGAGAAGGGCAGGTTCGGGAGATTTCACGATTCTAATACAAGTAAACAGGACGTCCTCCAGTCCATCTCCGCCAAGTCTGATGGCGAGGCCTGCTGCCAGTGGGTCGGTGACGAGGGTGCCGGTCACTACGTCAAGATGGTGCACAACGGTATTGAGTACGGTGACATGCAATTGATTTGCGAGGTAAGCCTGGGTCGACATGAACCTGCAGAAACCGTCGATTAACCCCGCGACAGGCCTACGATATCATGAAGCGCGGTCTCGGAATGAAGAACAAGGAGATCGGTGATGTCTTCACCGAGTGGAACAAGGGTGTCTTGGACTCTTTCCTCATTGAGATCACCCGCGACATCATGTACAAGAACGACGAGAAGGATGGTGTCCCCATCGTTGAGAAGATCCTCGACTCTGCTGGCCAGAAGGGTACCGGAAAGTGGACCGCCATCAACGCTCTTGACCTCGGCATGCCCGTCACCTTGATCGGTGAGGCTGTCTTCGCCCGTTGCTTGTCCTCGATCAAGGCTGAGCGTACCCGTGCCTCTGCCATCCTCGACGGACCCACCCCCAGCTTCACTGGAGACAGGCAGGCATTCATCGACAACCTTGAGCAGGCCCTCTACGCCTCCAAGATCATCTCCTACGCACAGGGCTTCATGTTGATGGAGAGCGTAAGTACACCACAGAAAAAAGCTCGTGAACGATGTTTCTAACAAGACTACAGGCCGCCAAGGAGTACGGCTGGAAGCTCAACAAGCCCGAGATCGCCCTCATGTGGCGCGGTGGCTGCATCATCCGCTCTGTCTTCCTCAAGGACATCACCAAGGCCTACCGTGCCAACCCCAACCTCGAGAACTTGCTCTTCGACGACTTCTTCAATAAGGCTATCCACAAGGCACAGCCCGGATGGAGAGAGTAAGTCTATTCTGAGCCCCGGGATTGTAGCCACTTTCAATGCTAACATGATCCGCAGCGTCATCTCCAAGGGAGCTCTCTGGGGTATCCCCACCCCCGCTTTCAGCACTGCTCTTAGCTTCTACGACGGTTACCGCACCAAGGACCTCCCCGCCAACCTCCTCCAGGCCCAGCGTGACTACTTCGGTGCCCACACCTTCAGGGTCAAGCCTGAGTTCGCCAGCGAGGAGTTCCCCGAGGGCCAGAACATCCACGTCAACTGGACCGGAAGGGGAGGCAACGTCTCTGCCTCAACATACACCGCATAAGCGAGTGATGGTGATGGTTGGATGATGATTGGAAGGTTGATTAATTGATAAGATTTTTATTATGGTTGAGGATCAGCCGTAGATGCAGCGACATCTGCTCATGAAAAAATAATGCCCATATAGGATACAGAAGAATATTCAAAATTTCAAAAAGTGAAAACAGTAGTTCCCAAAGTCTTGATTCAAGTGAATTTCATTATTGTGTCATGAAGTATCATTAACTGTTGCAATCATTATCTACACTATATGGAGTGATTGCTTGTAGTTGCGATTATTTCCAATGTTTGTGATCTGACGTTTTGGCGGGCAGCTAGCCGTTTCAAGACTAGCTCACAATAGGAACCGTACTCAGCCAGACAATGTGAGACTCTACAAGATTGAGAATGAATTGGTGAATGCCTATGTGTCTTCTACGCGCGGAGTACAATATAATCGCCTTTGTATGCTATAATGTGTGCCAATCATTAATTATAAAACAAGCACTTTTATAGCGATCGCTCTACCAAACGGCGGGCAGGTGAAACGAAACGAAAGCGTGACAGGACAGGACCAGCCCAGGGTGCGGTGGTTCGGAAAGTTTCCCACCACACCTGGACCACACACACCACAAACCCGCTCCGGCCAGCGATCCAAGCAAGCGCCAGCGGCCAGTGCCAGTGCCAGCGCCAGTTCATGTTCAAGTTCCCCAGTAGCAGCTACTAATAAAAGTGACAGTGCAACTTGCACGTTACCTTGCCTTGTTCTCCAAAAGTGCAGCGCGGCCCTGAACCATCTGCATCATCCGCATCTGCTGCGTGCGCACCTCTTCTTCTTCTTCCTTCTTGCGCCCGCCTGCTGCCGACCTCCCCTTTCCTCTCCTCCGTCGTGCGCAGTCATTATCCTATTCTTCTTGTCGCTCCTTAGCATTGGTTTCTTCCGCTTTGCATGACTCTCTGGCGTTTGGCTTCCGGGAGTCTTTGGTGAGCGTCAAGTCCGGAGTAATCGATTAATCAACTTTCAGACGCTTCCTCCACACATCTACCTACACGGTACCCACCCCGAACACCGTCCGCACCACGGAAGAACGACCCATCATGGCCGATACCAAGAGGCAGAGCATGGCGGGAAAGGTCGCTACACCAAAGGTCGGCCCTACCAAGGAGGTAATTGATGGTGACTCCAGCCTGTACAAGGCCGTTGGAGCACGGTATGTCTCTCCTGCAACCGCATCCTCTCCTCCTCCGACAAAGGAGAACCCCCTCGTACAATCCAAAGCAAAAACCATGCTGACGCGCAGTCGAACCGCAGGATCAAAATTACTTGCGCCCCGCACAACAACGTGCTTGAGGGCACCCTGTTCACAACATGCAACGTCACCAACGCAATCGCAATAAACACCGCACCCGCCCCGCCGAACCCCTCAGCGCCGCTGTCCAGCCAGCCTGGCGACTTCCACATCATTCCGTTCGGCCACATCGTGACCTTCGAGCTCGTCGGTCCGGGAGAGCGGGCACCCGAATCCGCCGCGGGCTTTGATGGAGCTCTGCCCAGCATCACCAAGGTGGATCTCGAGGCATTGAAGGCGAGAGAGGAGAACACCATCCGAGAGATGAAGAAGAAGGACGCACAAAAGGGCAAGGGCGTCACCAAGGAAGCTCAGGAGTTGTTCGATTATATCGCTAGGACGTGAGTGTTCCCTTCGTCTTCCTCCGCCTTTGTTTTCTTCGCCCACGACCCTTCAACCTGGGATTTATTTATCATGTCTCGCTAACCTTGTTGTCTCACCATTAGACTCCCACTCCGATGGGCAGGGACCCAAATCGTCGTCAACGAAGCTTCGCTCATCGACGCGCCGTACGGCCTCAACAACATCAAGTCCGCGCCCGGCAAGGAGCAAAGCGAAGCCCATGTCCGTAAGATCGTCGAGCGCTTCTACCAACTCAAGAAGCCCGCACAGGGAGCCCCTCGAGCCTCGGTCGCAACCCCAATCGCGCCCCGGAAAGGAGGTTGAGTAAATAACCCCCATCCCCCCTCCAAACAAAGGCGAAAGACGAAGAGATAAAAGGAGGAAAACATCACGGAAAGAAGAGGATGATGTACACATATATCTAGGCCGGCCGGCCCTCCAGTCAATGGATTGGGAGGCTTCCGAAACAATTTTTCTCGCGCGCCGCTCCGGGGAGGGGGCTACATTCATCACGAGATATGTAGATGTTTAAGTTTCTAGTTCGGGGAAATTTTTACTCGTGGTAACTGTGGTAAACTACTTCCTTCATCTTCTCCGATCAAGACACACCCATACACACACCAGTACTAAAGTTATGGAAAGCCAGACAGACATGTTTAGTAGCAGCGAGCTCTCGCTCTCATATCTACTAGCATTAGCGTGTTTTCTGGACTACCATAATCGAATTAAAACAATCAATCCATCCATCCATCCATCCATCTACAAATCCAAGCAAATTTAGCCACTGTCGATTGAAGTGTTACCACTGGCGTTGTGTTTATGCCATACCATAACCAACCGTAACTCACGTAGGTCCTTGCCCATACAGAACGTCGTCCTTCGACAGGCTCGAAGAGAGAGGGTGGGAATGTATTCGAGATGTTCGCCCACCGACATGAACCCAATTCTTCACAATTGTAATAGGGACTTAGTACACACTCCTCCCTTCCTGAATAGGAAGGGTACTGCTGTCTCTACTCACCAGGATGACAAATGCTAGGTAAGTACTCCAAGAAATGGATAATAGGTTTTGGGGTTGGGGTTGGGGTTGGGGTCGAACGAGTTTGTAGCTTAGCTATACACATACGTAGGAGAAATACATGCAACGAAAAATAGGATACTTACGCTTTGACGACAGGAATGAATGGCGTCAATGCAACGGGACTCAATTGCATTACTTGCCTACAAGCCCTACCTACCTACAGAGCTTACACTCACCAAGGTAGGCGTCTGGGTAGATAGGTATATGATAACCCTCCTTCCCTCTCCTATCGTTGTTCACACGTATTTTATTGAAGTCTTTTCGGTTTTCCGGGGTGGAAGGCGGAGGTTGCAATGCTGGAAGAGGACGACTGAGGTTTTGAGAGTGACTGACTGATTGCTCGATTGATGGCAAGCACTGACAGGGCTAGGTATATGTATGTCGGCCTCACCGCGTGTATAGAAAACTTTCGGTGAGATTATCGGTGTTGTTATCAACTTACCAATTATCAACCCATCACAGACCTTAACCCCAGTCATGTCCAAGGATGTCTCTACCATTTTCCTGGGGTCCCTTAATTCTGGAGATGAGCAATTGGCTCGAACCCTGATGTCAAAAGTCGCCAAGTATTCACGTTTTCCTCGGGAAGATTAGGAACGTCCAATTGTCCAATTGACTTGACTCTTTGGAGAATGTTGCAAGATGGGACGAGATGTGCAGGGCAATGTTGAGGTCGTAAGTCGGGCCGAGGTAACGTTGTGAAACTAACGAAATATCCCGTTACAGGTGTACGCAGATACATGTACATGTACGCCACGATGACAAGGGGGATTGATGTGCGTGCAAAGGTATGGAAGAGAGTAATGCTGAGATGTTTGTTTTATGACTATGGATGGGTATATGTAAAACCCACCATGGGACGATAGTGTTTAGTGACTTGATTGGCACGGAGGTGACGTGCGAGTGGAGTTCTCTACCTTCGCGCGACATTCGACATCGGCCGGTTCGGTTTCCTCTCGATTGATCGATTGACATTGGGCCTATTGCGGGTGCGAGACAGACACGGTCGTCCAGCGGCCAGCCACCACGACGGCTAATGATGTCTAGAACGCTAGGTCAGGCTCAGGTTTCGTTATCTCGCTCTTGGGGGAGGAGGCATAAGCTTTCGTTAGTGGGTGTGCCGTCCCGCTCGAGGTACATAAGTTCGCGAGGTGAAGCTACACATGCGGGTTTTAAGAGCAACGTTCGCTTTCGACAGTGTTGGCTTGTGAAGAGAGAGTTCAGCTCCGGGTTTTCTGCTTTCAGGGACAATTGGATTGATAAGAGCTTCCTCTCCTCTGTCGATTTACGACCTATAATTCCTAGGACTGCTGCGACAACGATTTCGAAGTCACTACGCCAGATATCGACGTTCAGCTCCAAGGCCACCACCATGGACAGCAGTCCAGATATCTCTGAACCTTCCACCGCACCCTCCTCCACCTGCAACACACCCAAAACCTTCCTCACCACCCTCGCCAAATACGACCTCACCGAGCAATCCCTCCTCCAAATCCACAATGACCTCGTCACTCTCGCCCGGGAAGCCGGCCAAATGATGCTGGACGCCGACCCAACGCTCCAACCCCCAACGACCAAGAAGAACACCAGCGACCTCGTCACCCTCACCGACCGCGCAATCGAAACCATGATCCTAACCCGCCTCTCGGCCTCCCACCCCACCATCCACTTCCTCGGCGAAGAAACCTCCAAGACCAACCAGCGCCTCACCCCCAACCCGACATTCATCTGCGACCCCATCGACGGCACCCTGAACTTCATCCACGGCTTCCCCAACACCGCCGTCTCGCTCGCCCTCGCCATCGACAAGATCCCCGTCGTCGGCGTCGTCTTCAACCCCTTCCGCGGCGACCTCTACACCGCGATAAAGCACCGCGGCGCGTTCCTCACCACGCCCACCCGCACATTCAAACTCCCCCTGAACCCCATCCCCCGCCCGCTCCCCTCGCTGTCGAGCTGCCTCGTAGCGCTGGAATGGGGCTCCGAACGCAGCGGCGCGAACTGGGATCTCCGGACGCGCGTGGCGAAGACCCTGCTGTCTGCGAAGGAGGACGGGGCCGGGAAGATGGTGCGGTCGATACGGAGTTCCGGGTCCGCGGCGCTCGATCTGTGCTACGTCGCTGCGGGCCAGCTCGACGTGTTCTGGGAGGGTGGGTGCTGGGCTTGGGATGTTTGTGCGGGTTGGTGCGTGCTAGAGGAGGCGGGAGGGTTGGTCGTGGGTGCGAATCCGGGGGAGTGGGAGGTCGAGCTCGAGGGGAGGAGGTATCTTGGTGTTAGGGGGGCGAAGAGGGGGGAGCAGAGGGGGGTGGTGGGGGAGGTTTGGGGGGTTATGGGGGATGGGAGGTTTGTGTTTTGAAGGGGGAAGGAGGAGGAGGAGGTTATGATTGATGAATTAATTGAATGATTGGGATTTCCTGGGAAAGGGATAGAGGGTAATACCATGATGAATGAAATGAAATGAAAAGATATACATGTTAAATCCCCGATACCGACATACACCATCGTCCATCTTACCATCTACAACTGTTCACTGACACCCCATTCATCGATCCGACGTACACCCCCTAAATCCGATGGCAGAACAAATACAGCGGACTCTCTCCATTCCTATTCCTCTCCTTCCCCCATCCAACCATCCCCAACGTCTGCTCCGTCGCCTGCTGCTGCCCATGATGAAACTGCACTCCCTTCGCCCACCTCCCATTCCCCAGCTCTATACACTCGGTGACCGCCCAGCCCTGACAATCCGCGTCAGGCAACCTCATCGCGCCAATGAGCCGATTCACCGTCCACCCGCTATCCACCTGCATCGGCTCGACCGTCAACGGGACACCCGACGTCTCCCACGGCGGCCAGTTACAGTGAATGCGGTACACGGCCGTCGTCTCCGCGGGCTGGCACACCGTGTGGCCCGGCAAGTCACCCTCCGGCTTCACGGTCGCGTCGTTTTGGGCGCCCGGGACGGCGCCGGATCCGCCGTCGATGATGGGAGGGGGAGGCTTGAAGGGGAAGGGGAGACCCATTCCCATTCCCCCCATGCCGTAGGGCATGCCCATCCCCATCCCCATGCCTGCCATACCGCCTGGATACATGCCGCCGACGCCGACGCCGCCGAGGACGGGGGGTGCGGCGCCGGGAGTCCAGGGGAGACCGCTGCCGGCGAAGGGCGCGGGGAAGCCGCCGTAGCCGGAGCCCCAGTTCAGGGGGGAGATTCCGGAGCCCGGGATAGGAGGCGGTGGGAACGGTGGGTGTGAGGGGTGCTGCGTGTAGAGTGCTGGGCCGCCGTTTGGATGGAGGGGAGGGTGGCCTGGGATGGGGATGGAGGCGTAGGGGGGTGGTGGTCCGATGGGGAGGGCCATGCCGGGTGGTGCTGGGGCTGGCGGCGGTGGTGCGGCTGCTGGGTTGCCGAGGAGGACGGCGGCGCCTGGTGCTGGGCCGTTGACGATGACGCCGACGGGGGCTCCTGGGGGTGCTTGGAGGGCTTCTTCGAAGGCTGGTGGTGGAAGTGGGTCGTGGTTGATGTTGGGGTTTTGGCTCACGTCGACGAGCCACTGGTGTCCCGGTGGTGGTGGTCCAGCCATCTAGGGTTGTTGATGAGGTGTTAAAGGAAGGATTGGAATTTAAGGAGTTAGAGAGACTGGAAATGTAGGACGTATCGAGATAGGTTGGCCTCTGGACTCAGGTGTTCAGGAGTGGAGGATAGCCAGGGAGATGATCCGTGAACATGTTGAGAGATGTTGGTGGTTTATATGTTGGCAAAGCAATGATGCAGGTGTGAATAGACAGACATGGGCGTTGACGTGAATAGATAGACATGAGCGCTGACATGGCGAACACGGATGTCGAGGATTGTGCGCGCTGGCAAGCTGTCCCAACGGAATGATTGGTGATATGGCAGTGACGAGGGCAGTGTGAAGAATGTACAAATGTTTTTGATATCGTGATGAATTATTGGTATAACTGAACCTAAATTGTGAATTTTATGAGTGATTTAGTTGCGCGGTGCCGGTCCGTTGTCGCACGTTTGAAGATTATGTGATGTTGTGTTGTGTGAATCATAACCTATGATTTGGCGTTAGTCATTCTAGAAAGTTGTTCTTCACCAACTGTGACAACGAGGCTCGAGGGGTGTCGTCTTCCATGCCGGTTGTCATTGAATGCAGAGTAAGAAGCGAACGCCAACCCGTTAGATAGAACTTGAAAGTGAGAAAGAAAAAGATGGACCTATTGTGATCCAGGAATATCAAGTACGTGGAAGCAAACGAGTGTAATGTGTTGGAACCGAATGTTATATTAGACAATGAAGAAAAGTAAAGAAGTCTAAAATCCCAGTGGTGACAGCAGAGATGCATTATTTACATCGCGGCGAATTATGCAACAATGAGCCATGGATCCCCACATCAACACGGCCGCTCAGGCAGTCTTATGTCGTCAATGTTTAGCAGGTCGCAACCTTGGGGCCAGGGACAATGTAAGAGTTGAAGTTGTTGTAAATGTTGGCCGTGTATCCTGGATCGGATGACTTCACGTGACCAGGAATCTTGACGGTAGGCTTCGGGCTTCCGGAGCCACCACCGGTAACCTTGACTTGAGCGCATGCGACGTAGAACTGAGGTGGCGATCCCGGGTTGTGAATGCCGAGCTGCTCGATGCGAAGAAGGTAGTCACCAGCCGAGATGCAGGAAGGAAGCTGAACGCTATAGGTCACTGTGGAAAATGAGTAAAACGTAACTAAGCAAGACTGGGCCTACTCACAGCTCATATCCCACTTTGCCTGACCTCCACTGAAGGATGGACCGATCTCCTTGATCTTGAACCAATCGGTCGAGCCATCGGCAGCTACTGCGTCCGAAACCTTGGTCATATAGAAGGAGACAGGGCCTTGGTGGTAGACTGCAGTATCGGCAGTGAAGGAAACAGATGAGCCTGCGGCCACAGAGACCGTCGTGGTGTTACCTCCTCCAGAAGATGCGCCGACATTGCACCTCAAGTCGTTGGAGCTAAGGGAAGTGACGGGCGAGTTGTAGTTAGAGTTCGTCCGAACATTCTGGTATTTTGCACCCTTTGCTCCGTTGGCAGTGAGGTACTGGAATATGTCTAGCAGTTTCAGTACACGAAAGAACCATGAAGACTCATCTATACATACAGTGGCCCTGTGCGACCTCAGCAAGAGTCGCAAGGAGGAGAGTGGCAGCAGCAAATGTCTTCATGATGATAACTGATAGATGAACAACTCGCAAAAAGGTGTCGATACTGGTAGAATGCTCAAGGAAGGCGTACAACGTAGCTTTCCACCTGGAGACGGTTTATATATCAGTCCGCATAACAACCTGACTCCTCTATACCTGCCATGGTGCAATATTGGACTAATTACTCAAATTGCACCAGATAGGTTGACTGTCCAGCCTTGATTGGCGTTCGCATTGGCACCTAAATGAATTGGTGCCCAGTGCATTTGGTGCTTTGGTTCGGTAATCCCTCGGGAAGTGTCCGGATGACCTGGTGTGGGGGAGGTAACGTGGTTTATCGAAATCCATATATATCGGTCTAGAATTAAAGGGTGACAAAAGAGATCGGCCGTGATTTGGATAGGGGTGCTGGAAGGGTCAGCAATATAAAGAGTATGGCAAATGCCATTTCGCGAATCTCGGCTTGAGAACGTGCCCATGGGGAAGTGAGTCTGGTAACCAATGAACATGAGGAAAACAGCCGATTCGCATGGCCGTAAGTGAAACTTTTGTGGGGATGATACAATCTATCGGTTGGTCGCTGTCACGTTGGAAGTGCCAAATACAGTAATATAATCGGTAATATTGATATAGTGCTTGGACAGCCCGATTCGGCTACAGTCAAGGGCCTGGAAGAACAATAGGCAGTATTCAAGAAAAAACAGTTTGTACTAAGAATGATGTCAGTGCCAGGCTGTGCCATGATCAATTGGTGTATGGGAGAATCTTTCAGGGGGCACGCGAAGGTGTTTCCAAACTCTGGTGACTGCCAACCGCAGAGAAAAGATTGGGTCAAAGGCTGTCGACCATGTACTTAGAACTTCGGGATGATATTGCATGTTGCCCATAGTTCGATATATGGCAGACGATTCAAGTCGACCCAAATGGACCTAGAGAATGAAGGATGCAGCTGCGACTCACTGGCATCAAAATTGATCACGTGTGCTACGTCTTGCAGTGTTGAAGATAAGTCAGACAGCGGAGTCTCTTGTCCGACGATGGAATCTGATTTCCGATGAATCTTCTGATATGACTATTACGAAGTGGGCTGGATTAACGGGAGTTGCTCAGAGATAGGCCAGGGTTTATCAGTTGAAAGGCTTGGATATGCCTGCACATAGCACTAGCCAGGTTGATAGGAATCGAGGACTGTATGACTGGAACCTGGGAGACAAGCTGACTGTGGCGAAGAGGTCTGTAGCATGTGTGTAACGCAGTAGAACCATACATCATCAAGAAATAGAGGGATGAATACTTCTCGTATCATAGATGTCCAAGTGTCCGTACGTGTTTGTGTTAGGTAGGTTGTACGTAGGTATCTTGTCTGGTGGGAGTGCGGGGTAGTTAGATACAGGGGCGATTGTTCTTCCCACGTTGACACTAATCCCAATAAGACAAGTCCACCCGGCTTATCTCCATCATCGACCGAGAAACTGACTTGTACTGGCTGAGGAGACTATCAAATCGCACTACGCTTGGAAGACCAACAATGTTAGGTAAAAACTTCCAGCATCGCCCTCTTCCGACATCTTTACGTGATCTCACTATAAGAACATAACACTCTTCCATCATTCAATTCCCCTCCTAAGAAGTTCACTTCCATGGTAGCATCATCATTGGCTTAGAACTATTTCGCTTTGCACAATGTCCACAGAAGCCATCGCCACCAGCCCTGCGGCATCAACCGCCAAGAGCGTTGCGACCCATCCTCTTGCACCTTTGTCAGCACAAGAACTCACTTCTGCTGCATCGATAATCAAGGCTTCATGGCCAGCACATACAGACCTACATTTCAAGGTCGTGACGCTGGAAGAGCCACCAAAGGCCGAAGTCCTGAAGTATCTAGATGCTGAACATCAAAAGACTTCTCTTCCAAGTATCAGTCGAAAGGCATTCGTGAATTACTACATACGCAACACCGTGAGTCCAAATCGATATATGCATTGAAAGACGTAGGCATTGACCAGGCTATGTTCAGAATAAATTCCACGAGGCCATTGTTGATCTTTCTACCGGACACGTAGTTTCCAATGTGCTTCTCGGCCCCTTTTTCCATGCCAACGGAGATGGCGAGGAAATCGTGGCCATTGAGAAGGCGGTGCTTCAGGATGAAAGCGTAAAAGCAGAGATTGCCAAACTTCAGCTCCCAGAAGGAACTGTGGTCATTTCAGACCCTTGGATCTACGGTCAGCGAATTCATGCATGCATAAATGTCCTAAGAGCTGACTAGGAGTATAGGATCTGATGGTGTCAACGATGAGGAAAGGCTGTATCAATGTTTCCTCTATTTGCGTGATCCCATGAACCCAGGAGAAGCGGACTCAAACCACTACGCACTTCCGTTGCCCATATCCCCTGTCGTTAGCACCGCCGATAACAACAAGGTAATCCGTATCGATATCATGCCAACAGGTGTCGATAACACCATTAAACCAATTGGCCCATACAAAGTGCAACCGCCAAATGAATACGTTTCTGAGTACCAGAGTCTGCGAACAGACCTGAAGCCCTTAAGAGTTGTTCAGCCGGAAGGTGCAAGCTTCCAAGTGACCCGAGAGGGCACATCAAGTATTCTTGCTTGGCAAAAGTGGAAGTTCAGAGTGGGATTCAACCAGAGAGAAGGCATGGTCTTGTACGATGTGAGTAACAGTCTTGTCATTATCCTACTGATCACTAATTTTCCCAGGTGCGATACGATGGACGCCCATTGTTCTATCGACTAAGCCTTTCTGACATGAACATCCCCTATGCTGACCCACGCCACCCCTTCCATAAGAAATCCGCCTTCGATCTTGGTGATGCCGGAGCGGGAATCATGGCAAACAACCTCAAGCTCGGTTGTGACTGCTTAGGATCAATCTATTACCTGGACGCAGTACTGTCTGACGACAAAGGCGGGGTCACTCCAATGGACAACGTTGTTTGCATACACGAACAGGACGCCGGTATTGGTTGGAAGCATACCAATTACCGAACCGGTCGCGCTGCCGTTGTACGCTCCCGCGAGCTTGTGCTCCAATCCATCATCACCGTCTCCAACTACGAGTACATTCTGGCCTTCATTTTCAACCAGGCCGGTGAGATCGATTATGAGATTCGAGCAACAGGTATATTAAGCACGCAACCGATTGATGAGGGCATTGAGGTACCTTTTGGAACGGTCGTTCATCCTGGCGTTCTCGCCGTTCATCATCAACACATCTTCAGTCTGCGTGTCGATCCAATGATTGACGGGCTTGATAACCGCGTCGCCTACGAGGAAGCCCATGCCATGCCTCGATCAGAGTTCAACCCTCACGGCACCGGGTATTTCACCAAGGAAACCGTAATCTCGGAATCTGGAGGCTACGATCTTGACTACGACAAGAATCGTACATTCAAAATCCAAAACGCCAACGTTCGCAATCCCATCAACGGAAAGCCTGTGGCCTACAAGATCCAGGCCCCACCGTTCCAAAAGATCTTGTCAGACAAGGACAGCTTCAACTACAAGCGCGCAGAATTCTCCGACCACAACATCTACGTCGTGAAGCATCGCGATGGCGAACTGTACGCAGGAGGAAAATATACGAACCAGTCGCGAGGCGGAACCGGCGTGCGATCGTGGGCAGACCGAAAGGACAACGTTCAAGACACCGATCTGGTTGTCTACATCCAAGCGGGCATCAACCACGTGCCACGCATTGAGGTAAGCTGAACTAAGCTCGCTCTTCCCATTACTCAACTAACTTTGTGCTCCAGGATTTCCCCGTCATGCCTTGTGAGATATTGAAGATTCACATGAAGCCTGTCAATTTCTTTGATAAGAATCCCGCGCTTGATGTCGCGCCTAGCGAGCAGGGGTTCAATAAGAGTGTGCTGGTCAGTGAGCAACATCACCAGCCTACCGTGGAAGCAACCATCGACAAGGACGGTGCATGCTGCGGACCGAAGTTATGAGTTGGATAAGTGCTACAATAATAAGCAATTTATCAATTGGGTGATTTTTGTGGAATTTACTACCCTGGCAGCGCTTCGCATATGCTAGTATAGTACTAGCAAGGAGAGTTAAGACGTTGGAATAGATAGAATTTCTACCGTAAGGCATTTTTAATATATCCTTGGATGATCTAAGATGCTTTTTATTGGATTTTTGCGTGATTCCGATGTGTTACGTTGACGAGGTTAATTACTTTGTGGTCTCATAATGCGGGTGAATGTTATACTTTCCTGAAGCATTACTTCTAGAGAGCCGTGTTATTTCGAAATATGTCAGTCATAGATCATTTCTCAAAAGAGCCACATAAATAAAGCAATAGCCAATTTCCACCTATAAGCAGACTAAGATACACATTCACTGAATCTATCGGATGTATGAAGGTGATGGGGCGTGGTGAAGAGTGGTGAAGGGTTGCGTTCACTTCCCCATGCTCTGTCTGCCCTAAAAGTCTTGGCTCACCGTGCGCGTAGCTCAATCGCAACTTCCAACTGAAAGAACTCACCTAACTTCACATCCAACTACAACCTCAGACAAAACACAGCGAATCCTCCTCAAAGTCAATATGCCGCCAAATGATAAAGCAGGACGCGTCGTGTTCATCGGAAATATTCCTTATGGTGAGTAATCCTGTCACTTAACTGTCCTTAATGACGCTCACGATCCTGGAGGAGGAACGGAGGAGATGATTGTCGAAACCCTCGGTCGCGTAGGCCAGGTGCTCAACTTCCGACTCGTATACGACAAGGAGACTGGTAGACCCAAGGGCTTTGGTTTCGCTGAGTTTGCAGATGCCGACGCAGCAGCCTCCGCCGTACGCAACCTGAACGACCACGAGATCATGGGAAGGAAGCTCAGGGTTGACTGGTCCAACGACAATGGATCTGGAGACACTGCTCCCCCAACAAACTTCGGCGCACCGGCGCCTTCGAATGGACCTGCCGAGGGTGCCTTTCCTCCTCAATCGCAATCAAACATTCTCCCACCCCTACCTCCAGGTGTCGACGTTCCTCCGAACTTTACTGCGCCAGACGCGATCTCGCGAACCCTCTCGACGCTGCCACCTCCACAACTGCTCGATATCTTGTCGCAGATGAAGGGTCTCGTTATGAATGAACCGCAAAAGGCCACGGAGCTGCTCAGACAAGCCCCCCAACTTGCCTATGCCATATTCCAGGCCTTGTTGATACTCAACCTTGTTGATGCTTCTGTTCTGGCACAAGTAGTCGAGCAAACGAATCCTGCTGCTCCTGCCGCAGCGCCTCCTGTCCAACCTCCCGCACCGCAGCATCAACCTCCGCCCCCGGCATATGGTGGATACCCGCCTCAGTCGGCACCTACTCCTCCTGTCCAGGCGCAACAGCCACCACCACAACAGCAGTATGCGCAGCATCAAGCACCAGCACCTGCGCCCACAATGCAACTCGCTAGCCTTCCCCCTGAGCAACAACAACAGTATGCAGCGATTTTGCAGCTGCTCCCCCAGCAGATAGAGGCACTGCCAGCAGCGCAAAAAACGCAGGTCATGCAGATCAGGCAGCTCTTTGGTATCCGATAGGCAGCCTGGATGTCGTACATACATGCGTCACCCACTAAGTTCGTGGGGGTTTACCATTTCATGCATTGGTTCACGGCGTTACTTACAGCAAAAAAAGCGAGGAGTTGGGCTGGATTGGGCAACAGTATCTCTATCTATTGACTGGGAAATTTCTTTGGCGAATTTGACGTGGAGGCATCTGTACCAATAGCAATCACAAGATTTCAGGGAAGATGCTTGACAGGGTTTCGGCGGGTCGGGCGTGGTTACCAGGCTTTTCTGCTTAACCGAATAACGAAAAGCGGCACGCCCGTCGTCGTCGTCGGTCTGGTGGTCGACTAACGAATCGTCCGGCCGAGGGAATCGCGACAAGCGTCCTTTTCCCTTTCTTCCTTCCATCGTTCCAGGCGTAGGGCATTTTCGATTGTTTTTGTTTGAATTCCAATCTCGGGGCGGCTACCGAGCTAACAAAAACAATAATCAAAACAAACCGCCGCATTCCTACTATGTATTGAACCCCTGACTTAACATTCACCCCCCCCTTCCATTCCCTTAGTCGTCTCTATATAAATGGGGGATGATCGAAAGGTGAAGCAGGGTATCATCTGAAATTCAACAAAATGCAACAGAGTGCGCATTACATACAGTTACATACACACACATGCATACATAAATTGATATGTTTTTTCTCTTCATTATTATGCGCACATATGATCGTCTTGTGAAATCCGTGTGATGAGCGCTTAGGCGCGGGTTGGCCCAATGGAAATGCACGAGGCTGGTTTGGGCAGATCCACCAGACATCCTTGTCCAGCTGGACGTGCAGCAAGCAGTGCAGCTCGCTCAGTCGGTGCCATCTCCCATCTGCAATCGCCACAACAACTCAGCTGTCGATTTGCAATTAGGAACCGGTGAGCGGTGTCTGTGTCTCTCCTTCATCATCTAGACATCTTTGCAAGTAATCTTGGTACTCCTTGCAAACCTTCTTGTATACAGTAATAACGACATGACGATGAAACGACTCCATTAGAGCGAGCGAGATACATCAACTCCCTGTACACGCATCCCCACGTCCCAGCGACTTTTTGCGACAGTCGAAGAGTACCATCATAATTTGACAGCACACACCTCACCGCCGTGCTTCCTGCACGACCTGCACCATGTGGACTAGATTCTCAGGCAAAAGCGATGGATCGTCCAAGGATGAGAGTCGCCGCGACTCCAGCACGCGTCGCTCCAAACGCGCGGAGTCGACCGTCTCCTCGAGCAGCACCCGGAAGCCCAAACGAACAGACAGCGATCCGCGACCGTCTTCATCGCGGAGCTCCTATCCTCCCCCTCCCGGCTCCACGGCTTCATCGTACGCGACGGCCCGTGACGACGCTACAGAATATACGGCCTACGACGCCATGCCTGCGCGCTCCGAGCGCTCGCGAGGCGTCAATGATGACTTGTACGACGATCCTCGAGATGAGCGTTCCACGCCGCGTCGAAAGGAGTCGAAGTCATCATCAAACCCACGAAAGGAAAGGGAAAGATCCCGTAGTTTGGACAGAGAGGACAGGAAACGGGATAAGGATGGGAAGGATAAGAAAAGGAAGACAAGCCGCTCGGAGCGCTCCAGCAGCATGTCGCAGGTTGGCGGCTATCGTGGTGACATTGTAGAGAGCCCAAAGCCAGTCACCAGGACCTTTACTGGCCAGATTAATAGCCCTGGATTTTCACAGTTCCCAGGCCAAACAGACTCCCCAATGATGTCCGGCGCATTGCCTGTTGGGGCACAACCTCCTCAGCTGGACCCTCACGTTTCTAACCAGTTCCCTGGACAGGGCCCTGTTGATGCAAATCCTCATGGCGCTGCAGCAGATTACTATGGTGACCAAGGTCAGAGTGTCCAACACCAGCCTGGAGTGCGTCCTCAACCGCCCTCAGTCATAATTGGAGCCGACACACCGCATCTTACTTCTGCTTCCGCAGATTTCATCCCTGCACAAGATACAGGATCCGGATCGGCGGCGGATTTCTACAACACAGCTACTACACCTTCTAAACCCTCCAAACCTTCCTATTCAACTATGCCTGGCGCCTTCAACGACGACGACGAAGGCCCAGGTCCCTCCAAGCCTCCACGACCAACATCATCAAAACCATCAAAACCTGCGAAACCCGCAAAACCCAGTAAGTTTAGCTCGACAGCCCCATTGGCAGCCGGAGCTGCTTTGGGCTATGCTTTGGGTCATAATTCTAGCACCCCGGAGTCTGCATCGTACCAGCCCGCGAACGGCTTTAATAGCAGCACCCAGGGTGCATCTTCATCATTCTACCATCAAGGTAACAATTCCTCCATGGGCGCCACGCAAGGTAGCTTCATCCCTTCATACGCCGAGACTACCGACGGTGCGCCTCCTCCAAAACCTCCTCGACCTGGCAAACCGGAAAAACACTCTTCTGGATCCTCCCATGCCGGGTTGTATGCAGCTGGCGCAGCAGGCCTGGCTGCGTACGGCCTTTCCCAACACAACTCCCACTCACATTCTCAAACTCACACTCACACGCACCATCATTCATCTTCCATGCCTGGCACATTCCCCGGCGAACATCACAACGGCGTCGGCCATTCTCACGATCCTTACATGGGCGGATCCATGGGCATGGCACAGCGACACGAGCACAGAGGACCCGTTAGCAAGTTCGTCGACTGGTGGAAGGATTACGAAGACGTGCAGAAGATGGAAGAGTACACCGAATTGATCGGAGTGTGTAGGTACTGCTTCGACCCTCGATCATCCGTCCTGGAAGCGCCGCGGAAGCATCATTACGGTCGAAAGCGGTCTACCGAATTCGATCGCCCACACGGCATCGAGAAACAGTCGAGATACGGACTAACAGAGAAAGCCTCACGAACGTCTCTGTCCGGTGACGAGAAGAGGTCCAAGATCAAGACTTCGAGTAGCAGCAACAAGTCCGGCTGGCTCGCAGGTGGATTGGCAGGCGCTGGTCTCGCAGCGGCTGGCAAGGCACTTTGGAGCCAGAACCGTGACGACTTCGACGATACCTATAGCATCAAGTCCGGCCGTGACTCGCGTACACGAGTCGCAAGGAGAAGTCGAAGCCGGTCTGACGAACGCAACCGAAAGCGCTACTCGTATGGCAGTTCTGATTATCGACGCAGGAGCCGTTCCGGGGATCGCGTTTCTGTGATGTCAACGGGCGTCACGGGTGGCCGGAAAGACTACAAGATCGTACGTCGCTACTCGGACGAATCGAGGTCTCGATCACACTCGAGGGATCGCAAGTCAGGCATCATCGGCGCAGCCATGGGGGCCGGCCTCGCCGCGACCGCCATTTCTGCTGTAACAGGCTCTTCATCGCAGAAGAAGCGACCAAACCGAAGCCGATCGGTCTCTCCCCAGAAGATCCAAGTCCGCCACAGACGTGAGTCCACCGACTACGAGCGCAGACAAGCCAAGTCACGCCGCTCCTCCCGCAGCTCGATCACCTCTGGCTCTTTCGTCGATGTCTCGCAACCCTCGAGGCCGCAGAGTGGTTTCCTAGGCGGCTTCTTCGCTGCTCCCCAACCTAAGGAGAAGCGGAAGAAGAGCAGCGCTTCGCATGCTAAAAAGAAGAAGGGCTTCTTCAATTTCGGCAACGGATCCTCGTCATCTTCTGATTCCCCTCTCGCATTCGGCGCAGGTTACGTCAAGCCTCGCAAGCGGGTGTCTCGCAAGTCGTCCGAGGAGAAACTCAAGGCGACACTCGCTGGACTGGGCGCTACCGCAGCGGCCATTGCAGCCGCAAAAGCCGTACGTAACGGCAAAGGTAACCGCCACGGACCAGAAGTCGTAGCTGTCCGTGAGAACCGCCCTGGCCGTGGTCGACACTCAGGCCGACACTCCAGGGTCTCTGTAGATGACGATGGGTGGGAGTCTCTCCCCGAGGATGACACTTCTGATTCCTCGAGTGTGAACTCTGGTCTCGCTTTTGGCAGTCTTTATGGACGAAGCCAAGAGTCTCTTGTCTCAAACGGTTCCGGCACGAACAAGTGGGGATGGCGATGGGGAAGCAAGAAGCAGAAGAAGAAGCCTTCTACTGACAACCTGTACAACTCTGCAAACAACTCGTCGATCGCCGGCCCTGCGATAGCTGGCGTCGCTGCTGGCGCCGCGGTAGGTACTATGATGGGTCGGCACGACAGTGAAACGAGCAGTGTCCCCACTCTGCAATCAGTCTATCCTGTACAATCCTCTGACCCTACTTCCTTTGATGCTAGAAGGAACAGCTACGGTCCTACTCCTCAACCTATAGTCACCTCGCGACCCGATGGTATCAACCTGCAGCAGCCTCAACCCATCCATCAGGTACCAGGAGCGATATACTCAACGCAGACAGGTCCTCCACCAGCATACACCGCGCCATCTGGCTTTCCCGCATTCTCTCAAGGGTATACCCCTGGATTCGTTGAATCTCCCGAAGACGAGAAGCCACCACCTCTCCCACGACGAACTAAATCCTCTCCCATTCAAAGCTCTTCATCATTCAAGAAAGACGCTGCCATTGTGGGAGGTGTCGCCGCTCTCAGCGCTGCCGCCTTCACTGCCGCCAAAGCGAAAGAACGCCAGAGAATCGCCTCTCCCACCTCCAACGTCCGCTTCGAGCTGACGAAGGAGCAAGCGAGAAAGGAAGAGCGAGAGCGACGCAGAGAATCGGACCGCGAGGAGGAAGAGCAGCGCAAGCGCAAGCTCGAGCGCGAGCGCTACGAAGAAGAGGACCGCCAGCGCCGCGAACAACAGCGTCGCGAAGAAGAGGACCGCCAACGCCGAGAACAGCTCCGTCGCGAAGAAGAAGCCCGCCGCGACGAGGAGGACCGCCGCCGCCGAGAATTGCAGCGCCAACAAGAAGAAGCCCGCAAGTACGAAGCCGAACGTCTAGCCGGCATCGAAGCCACGCGACTCGAGGACGTCCGGAGACGCGAGCGTGCGGAAAGGCGCGAGCGCGACGCAAGAGAGGCCAGGGAGGCGCAGGAAAAGGAGCGCAGAGACCGCGAGGCTGCTCTTCTCGAAGCCCATCGGCAAGAAGACTTGCGCCGCGAGGCCGAGCAGATCGAACGCGAACGACGGGAGGCAGATCGACGCGATGCCGAGATTCGCGCAGACTCCGATCGTCGTCAACAAGAGCGAGAGCGTGAGGCGGCGCTGGCTGCCCTCGAGCGACAGTATAGCAGCGATCGCGATCGATACACGAAGCCACTGGAGCAGCAGCGCACAGGAAGCTCGGTGACCACCGATGTTCGAAGGAGAGAAGATGAACTCCGAGAGCGCGAACGCGATATCGTTCAACCCGATACTTGGAAGCAAACCGCCGCCGCCGCAACTGTCGCCGGAGCAGCTGCAGCTATCACATCGGCAGCCATCTCCTCCTCGAAGAAATCCTCTGCAAAGAAGTCGGAACCTGCTGTCAAGAAGATCGAACCCAGCAGGATCGTCCAAGATTACGCAGATGACGACATCTTCGATCCCAATCTATTCAAGAAGGCCAAGACGCCAGCCAACGCGCGTGAGGTCTACGAAGACTGGGAAGATCGATACAAGGAGAAGCCCGTGTCGCAAGCTGACTTCTTCGCTCCGAAAGAGCTTCTAGATCATACTGTCTCCTCCCCTAAGATCGATCCTAATGCAGGCGATACTACTATCCACGTCTCCCAAGCTCATGAGGACGAAACAGCTGGACCCCGGGTCCCACCCTATCCTCCCTCGTACTCATTCACCGCTACCAAAGACGGCGGCTCATCCCTCCAATGGGCCGTCCCTAGCTTAAATCTCATCCAGCCTACTCCCCCAGGCAGTCGAGCACCATCCGAACGCGCAGTCTCACTACCCCCATCTCCCGCCATCGAACCAACGAAAGAGCCCGCGACCGAGCCGATCCCCAGGCACGAAGAGCTGAAGCAAGACGATAGTCCAAAAGCACGTTCGCGAGTGAGTTGGGGTGAGAACCAGTTTCACAACTACGAAGTCCCCACGCCTGATTCGTACCGCGAGCAATTCATCTCTAGTAGCGACCTGGGCGATCGCAAACGACAGGATCATGACGAGGTAGTCGTAGAGGCCGAGTCGCCCAAGTCGGGTAAGAAGACGACTTCGTATCGTCCAGACAAGGAAATCACGCGCTCTGAAGTCCCCGAAGTCCCATCAAGCACTCAGTACGTTCCCAATCAGGAAGAGGATAGCTGGGCGGACACCGTGTCCAAGAAGAGCTCCAAGAAGGACAAAAAGAAAGCCAAAGCTGAAGCCAAAGCTGAAGCCATCGCGGCTGCAGCCGTTCCTTCCCAAATCCGAGAAACTGTATCTTCGCCGGTACAGGAAGACGACGGCTGGGGCGACTATTCAACATCGAAGCTCAGCAAGAAGTCAAAGAAGAAGGACGCCAAAGCAGCAGCAGCAACGGCCGCAATTGCGGCCGCTGCTGCCGCGGCCGCCTCGACCGCGGTCTGGGATGACAAGCCCAAGTCTGAGGTATCAACCACCTCTACCTCGCGAGACAATCCCTTCGCCGATTTCAATGCCACGCCTTCGTACGTGGCTTCAGCGGGTAGACCCGCTCGATCTTCCTCTTCCTACGATGATGGAAAGTCTGATGTTAGCACTGTCATTCAACGACCTTCAAGCAGCTCCTACACAGCGCCATATCCGGACGATAAGTCTGATGTCAGTACAGTCATTCGACGTCCATCTGGCAGCTCTCAACCGCCATATCCAGATGATGGAAAGTCTGACGTCAGTACGGTCATCCATCATCCACCGAAACCTTCCTATGAGACTCCTTATCCAGATGATACAGTCTCCAATGTCAGCACTGCCATCTACCGACCAAAAGACGCTCCATCAGACGTTCGCACGAAGGAGAGTGACCAGCCACACATTCCTGGTAGCTTCGAAGAGGATTCGCCCATCCTGCCGACCGACGAAGACGACTGGGCAGCCTCGGCCAAGAAGGGCAAGAAAAGCAAGAAGAAGTCCAAGAGCACCGAGGCAGAGATCGTCTCTCCTGAAGCCCAGCGCATCATCGAAGAGCCCACTATTTCCAAGTCGATACCAACAGTTGTACCCGAACCCGTCAAGGAAGTCATCCCGGAACCGGAAGTCAAACTCAGCAAGAAGGACAAGAAGAAAAAGGCCAAGGCCGCTAAACGCCAGAGCCTCAACGATGCGGATGGATCTGACTCCAGCCCGGCTCAGACGCCGGTGATAGAGCGTGACATTAGGGACATTGAGCCCGTTTACTCTGCATACACACTCCCACCCGAACGCAAGGAAGAGCACAAGCCTGTTGTAGAGGGACCGCCATACACAGCCTATTCGCCCAGACCCGCGGATTCATATGAGGATCGTGAGCGCCACGAAAGCTCCTCTTCCCGTGATAAGTCCTCCAGCAGCAGCAGCAGTGCCGTGAAGGCTGGCCTTGCCGGAGGCTTCGCAGGGCTCGTGTACTCAGCCATGCAACAGGACCAAGACAGAATGTCATCAGATCTAGACCATGCCAGGCAGAACTTGGAGACCGCTCAGAAGCGCAGCGAAGAGAGGTCAACATCCAACGGTAATCGAAGCTACGATGAATCCGATAAGAAGACTTCGTATTCCAGCACTACCCAAAATGACGTCGAGGATCCGTCTGATCTTGTGGACTCCTCGAAGCGAAAGAAGGAAAGGAAGGCTAAGCGACAAAGTGGTCAGTGGTCGCCTTCCGTTGGATCACCGCTCCGATCGGAAGTTTCGTATAGCGACTACATTGGCAAGCCTCCGGGCGAATCCTCGCTGTCTAGAGAGCACAGAGAGACAACATCTACGTCTCGTCCCGTGACGCCAAAGGAACAAACCTATAGTGATTCGTGGGGCCCCGTGACAGAGCCATCGGCTCCATCATCAGTTGGAACCGTTGTGCGAGATCTCGAGCACCGCCCCTCTAGCGAGAAGCAGGTCGAAGGAACAGTCGAAAGGGACTCGGACGAGTTCTTCTCTGCCGGCTCGGATGAGAAGAAGAAGTCCCCAACCGAAAAGTCACCCAAGTCAGAGAAGTCGCCCAAATCGCCCAAATCAGTCCGGTACGAAGACCGAGACGCCCGCGAAGAGCGCGACGACCGCGACAACCGATCGGTAATCAGCTCGGGAAGTCGAAATGAAGACGACTACGACCGCGAGGAGCGACGCCGCCGACGCCGCGAGCAGCGCGAATTCGAACGGGAGCTCGAACGACGTGATCGCAACGGCAGCGAGGATCGCGGATACGCTCTAGAAGACGGCGAGAGCAAGAGGAGACACCATCGACGCCGCGAGACGGACGAGCGCAGCGACGACTGGGACACTCGATCCGCCATCTCCGAGGCGCGTTCGGAAGCCAATGGCGAGCGCAAACGCAGGCACAAGAGGCATGAGAGCGAGAGGAATGGCTCGCCTGACACCCGCATTCGATCGAGGTCTTCCGCAGCTTCTGAGCCCGGCGACCTGTACGATCGCGACAGGAAATCATCGTCGCGACGTAGTTCGAGAAGGGAGGGCGACTTCGACGACAACGCGTCCATGATATCTACATCGTCGAGGTACGACGAGGATCGCAGCTCCAAGAGGGAGAAGGAGAAGGAAAAGGAGAAGAGGTCTAGCGGTCTTTTTGGTTTGTTCAGCAAGTCGAAGGAGAGCCTCGTCGATACCTCGAGCAGATCTTCCAAATCGCGACGCGAGGAAGAGGAGGATGAAGAGAGAAGGCATCGCAGGAGGAAACATCGCTCCGACCGTGGCTCGACATACGGCTCGGACGATGATGACGCACGCTCGACCGTGTCGTCTAGCTCCCGTCGCGAGAAACGAAGGAGCCGTACCGACAGCAGGGATGGCGAAGACGCCTTCGATGCAAAGGTACATTGATTTTTTTGTCCCTTTTTAGCATTGCATGTGTATCTTGCTTTGAAGAGTTTCGTTTTGTTGCCGTTTGTATATAATACTAAGACATTGTTGTACAGGATCTCGATTCCAAACGTGATAGATCTAGAGAGACACGACGTGCTGCCGATGAAGACCAATCTTTTTTAGACGAACGGGCAGTGGTAGCCACTCCACTGCCCGGAGATGAGGTAGGCGCGCGTGATCTTGAAGCTTCACATCATCAGTACGGCCAGGATAGTGGCATCCCAGGGGATCGGCCCGAATTCCCTCTCCCGACCCTCGACGACTCCCATCCTTTCCCAATTCTGCCTCCGAATGTCGATCGACCGAAGACACCCGTCGAGGATAGTCGTGCACTCTTGAGCCGCCTTACTGGACTGGCGCCGTGGCAGTTGGAGGCATTCCCAGATGAACATCCTCCCCATGACGAATTGCCACCTCTGCCACTATCACCAAGTTCTCCACGCCTTGACACGACAGATTCATCGCGTTCACTTGGCTCTCGAGGATCGTCGTCCAGCGTACCACTTCGATTCCGTAGGCCCCCTTCGGCCGGAGGTCTTCAGCGTGACCTCACACTCGATCTTAACAGATCGCCCAGCCAGTCAACTTCACCAGTACGATCACGACATGGCAAGACTCCTTCGTCTGAGATCTCTAGCAACAGAGAGTACCGGCCCTTGTATCTCCTCGAGAAGACTCGTAAGTCTGCCGAGATCGAGGAAATACTCCCAGCCCTTCCATCCAGCGGAAGTCCCTCCGTTGCGTCGACAGACCGCGAAAGCGAGGACGAGTACCAATCCGCCCTCGAATCTCCTCATGAAAGCATCGGCAACTTCCAAGATGACCCCTTGATGACAGCCTGGGGCTTAGCCACTCCGTCCCCGACCAAGGACGCTGGAGTCCACACTGGGGAGACTGAGGATTTGACGGAGTCTCAACAGACAACGCCTAAAGCTTCGTCGTTCCCGACCAGCGTTCTCGATCTTCCAAGCTTGGATCTCTCATCGGCTCAGGAGGCGCCACCTCCACTTACTTTGGAGCCAAGTGCCCCTCTGGACGATAGTAAAATGCGCGACACCACCGAGTCCGGTGACAAAGAATCATCACCGCCAAGGCCATCGTCTTCCATGCGAGATGCTGCGTTAAGTGCCCTAGTAGGAGGTGCTACGGCTGCTGCTGCCACTGCCATATTGAAAGATCGATCGCCATCGCCGTCCCGCGCTGAGAAAACTGAGGTCAGCAGTAATGTCGAAGAACGGGCCACAGATGCTGCAGCTGAACCACAGCACTCTGCCTCACCTGCTTTGCCTGCCGCCAAGGACTCCTTAGAAGATGACCGTACTCAGGAAACCACCAAGCTCGCAGCAGAACCGACTCCTGAGCCCAAGCCTGAAGAGATCAAGGAATCGACACAGGAGGTTACGCCGACTGTCAGCTCAAAGAAGGGAAAGAAAGGCAAGAAGGGTTCCAAAGCCAAGAACATTGACTCCGAGGCCGAGATATCGATGGAACTTCCTACCGAAGAGCATGTCGAGACCCCGAAAGTGGACGCACTAGATCCGATAGCAGCAGACCCTGCCGAAAACACTACGGTTGAACACATTACTCCAGATGTAGCCGAAGAAGCGATTTCCTCACCTGCCGTTTTTATACCAGAACCCGAGACCAAGAGAGCCAAAGGCAAATCAAAGAAGAAGGGGAAATCGAAGAAACTCTCCATCTCTGAGCCCACTGAATCATCGTCTTCAGCAGCTCCCACACCAGCTGAAGAGAAGCCCGAGTACCTGCCCTCAAGCTCCTCGCAGTACATTCCGACCTTTGTGGAGAACGAGGACGACTGGGTGAAGAACCAATCGGGTTCCGTGGTCACCGACGACGCTACTCTCGTTGGTGAGCCTTCTTCAATCGAGGGTTCGATTCTGAAGGAACAGCAGAAGCAGAAGGTGCTCGATGCAACGGAGCCTGTCTCTACTGGCGGCGAGGAGACGCAAGTGCGCAACTTGGCAATTGGTACCGAAGGGGATAGGTCTTTGCAGGATACATTCAAGTCGAACTTGGAAGCTAAGTTGAAGGCTAAGTTGGACGAAGGCAAAATGGAACCGTCCACTGGTGTGGAGCCTGTCGAAGCACCAGCTCAAGTCGTCGCGCGAAACGAGCCGGAAACAAGCACCGCAGACATTACAACGGATAAAGACCTGCCAGCCCAAGAGATCCAATTGGAAGATCAGCCCAAGCCTGCTCAAAGCGAGCCCGTTGTCGAAGATGTCGAAGCTGCCCCTAAAGGTAAGAAAGGTAAGAAGGGTAAGAAAGGCAAACGGGCGAGCAAGCAGATCGAGCCAGAGATCTCGGCCACCCTCCCTGAAGAAGCTCCGGCGACAGAGACCGTAATCCCGTCCGTTGACAAGGAACGCGAGATTGAGCAAGAGGTCTTGCAGCCCGCTGTCGAACACGTGGATGAAGCGCCTAAGCCCACCGTAACAGACGATAGCGAAGTTACTCGGGCTGTTGCTACCGAACCGTTTGCAGACCCGGATGACGTTGAACCCGCTGGAATGGCTGTCACAGCTGATGACAAGAAACGGAATTCGCGCGATTTCTTGTCTAAGAAACTGAAACCTTTCAATGTGATGGATTACTTGATCGCTGATCCCTCACCATCGTCTTCTCTCTCTCCATCCGCCTCCCAATCCACGGATGATGTCGAGACTAGGGAAATCGCTACCGACAAACCATCCGCCATCGAAGAGAAATTTGAGGATATTGCGGCGGTGCCAGAACCTTCTGCAGCGATCGAAGCGTCCAAAGAAGAACCAAAGGACATCGAGCCTAGCCATACCGCTGCGGAAGAGCCATCTGCCGTCGAAGACAAGTCTCAGGATGTCGCGGCTTCGCCAGAGCCACCTGCAACGATCGAAATGCCCAAAGAACAGCCAAAGGACATTACTGCGCCAGAGCTACCTGAACCACCAGTAACAGCAGCGGACGTGCCGCCCAAAGACCAATCAAAGGAAGTCAAGGAAGAGAAACCTCCGTCAAGACCTGTCTCATCGTCCTCGGCGGTGAGACCCACGTCTTCATCTTCGACCTGGGGATCTTCGCTTTGGGGCTCCTGGGGATGGGGCAAGAAGAAGGAACAGAGTGCTACACCAGAGGTTAAAGCACCTGTTGCTGAAGCTCCTGTTGCGGAGGCCGCCACTAGTGTTCCTGCTGTCCCCGAACCTATTGTGGTGGCGGAGGAAAGCGAGAAGTTGCCTGAGCCTTCTGCAGAGACAAAGGAGATCATCGAGGAGCCTATTCCTGTTCCTGCAACTGTGGAACAGCCGAGTGCAGAGCCAAGTGTACCCGACGTGATTGAAACTGTTTCACAGCCAGAAAAGGAGGTAGCATCGAGCGAGTCTGCGCCAGTAAAGGAAGATATTGACACTCTAGGGCCTGTTACCGAGAAGAATGTCTCAGAGGCTATAGCTCCCGAGATCGTCCCCGCTCCTGTCGTTGAGGGTGATCAGCCTACCAATGAAAAGAAACCCGTTGTTGACGAGGCTCAGCCCGTTATCGAGGAAATCCAACCTGCTGTCGAGGAAATCCAACCCGCTGTCAAGGAAGTCCAACCCCCTGTCGAAGAAGTCCAACCTGCTGTCGAGGAAGTCCAGCCTACTGTCGAGGAAGTCCAACCTACTATCGAGGAAGTCCAACCTACTATCGAGGAAGTCCCGCCTACTATCGAGGAAATCCAGCCTACTATCGAGGAAATCCAGCCAACCGTTGAGGGAATCCAGCCTACTGTAGAAGAGGCCCAGCCTATTGTTGAAGAAGTCCAGCCTCCTATTGACACGAAGGTCCCTGTCGATGAAGTCCAGCCTGCTGTGGAGGTAACTCAGCCCAAGATTGATGACGCCCACTTGTCAGCTCAAACGATGGAGCGTAGCTTAGAGGCCCAAGACCAGCCTGCGAATGTCGACGCAGCTCTTCCAGTCTCGACCGAAGCACCTATCGAGTCTTCGACCGAAGTGACCACAGAAGAGCCAGCTGCTTCAACATCTTCGAAGAAAAAGAAGGAGAAAAAGTCGAAGAAGAATAAACGTGCCAGCCAAGCTATCGAGGAACCTGCTCTGGAGGCGGCGAGCCTTGTCTCTGCCGTGGACGAACAAGCCACTGTGAAGGAAGACGAAGAACTGCCAGTAGAAAAGGAAGCAGATCCTATTGCTCAAGAGTCTTCGGACAAAGTCAACGAAAAACCAGAAGTCACTGCTGTTGCCGAGGAACCCGCGTTGCCAATCGAGCCAACCGTCGAAGCTGCTCAGGCAGAGAGTTATGTTGCACCGAGTGAACCGAGTCAAGAAATAATTGCGAAGGTAGACCCTGTTGAACCAATTGAGCCGACTGCATCGGATGAACCGATCGCCCAGATTCAGCCGGATGAAGCTACTGCCACTGAGACCTCTGGAACTCCTGTTGAGACAGTCGACTCAGCCACGCCTTCGAAGAAGAAGAGCAAGAAGGACAAAAAGAAAGCCAAACGTGCGAGTGCGGCTCTTGCTGAGTCTGTGGATACGGAAGAAGCAACTGCAGCTCCCCAAACTGATGACACCAAACTTGAAGAGAAAACCGAGGCAGCTCCTCAAGCCCAGCTCACTGAACAGCAGCCAGCTGATGCATCCATTCAATTGACAGAAGCCTCCAAAGAGGTGGGAGAACCAAAGAGTACGGACCCCCAGGAACTCACCAAAACGGAAACAGTAGCTGTACCGATCAGTGAAGTCACAAAGGACAATGTCGCTACAGCGGAAGGAGTACCTCAGGTTATAGAACCACAAATGATCCCGGACACGGAAGTAGTGACTGAGCCAATTGCCCAAAATATTGAGCCAGAGGTGCAAGCTGAAGTTACGCCTGTCGCAGACTCTCAAGATCTCACCAGGTCAATAGAACCGACCGAGTCAACAGTTCAGGCCGATCCATCTGTTCAAGAAGAAGTGGCACCTTCAACTCCCATCCAGGAAGAGCCCTCTCAGCAGCCCTTGACCGCTAAAGAGAAGAAAAAGAAAAAGAAGGGCAAGAAGGGGAAATCAGTTGA